CGTCCTTGAGCTTGATCGACAGGTCGCGCTGCTGCCGCGACTGCGACCCCGTCCTGCTGACGATGTCGCCGCAGAACGCCTCCACCTCGCTCACAGACGCCGCCCGCGGGTTGTGCGAGAACTGCTGCATGGTCTCCAGCATGCCGGCCTCGTAGATGCGCCGCACTTTGCGCGCCTCGTCCGCGCGCCCGCGCCACTCCACCAGCCGCGCGATCCCCACCGCCGCCAGCCCGGCGTCCATGATCCGCTGTACCCGCTCCCACACTGGCCGCGCCGCCGCGCCGTCCCCGACGCCACCCTTCCTCGTCACCCGCGCCCACAGGTTCTTCTCGTCGACCGCCCGGTACAGCTCGCCCAGGATCTTCTCCGACTTGTGGTAGCGGTGCCGTGGCTTGCCGAAGCCGTCGTCGCCCTCCTCGTCCTCGTCCTCGTCCGCGTCGACGAACGCAATCTCCCCCAGGGTGTACGTGGTGGTCGGCGGCGCCGGCGCCGTAAAGTCGGGCCGCGTCTTGGGCTGCCGCGGGATCTCGTTGACGGCCGGCGGGATGCCCGTCTTGGAGTAGTCCACGGCGGTCGAGTGCAGCTCGGCCAGCTTGACGCACGAGTGGTCGTCGGTGCCCGCCGGCTGGATGTCCGCGTACATGAGGTGGCGGTTGGCGATGAGCCCAAGCACGTCGGTCCGCATGAACTCAACAAAGAAGTTGGCAATGTCCTCGCGTGTCACGTCGCGGTCCAGCGGCTGGGGCTTGTTGCGCGGGTAGCTGGCCGGCGCGAACACCGTCTTGGGTCGCGCCCCCTCGTCCCAGATGATGTTGTACTTGTCGCCGTCGAGGTCGCCGCCGCTCAGCTGGCTGGGCAGGTCGCGGTCGCCGCGCTGGCTGAAGACGACGCAGTTCCGCAGCGACCGCAGCGGGTGCTTCTCCGGCGGCGTCACCATCTTGGCCAGCTGGATGTCGCCCGGGTGCAGCGCCGGCGACCGCGTGATGATGACGACGCCGTCCTTGAGCGTCCCTTCAATGCCGTCCTTGCGGCCCGGAATCCGCTCATCGTAGTGGATGTAGACCTCGCCCTCCTTGAGGAATGCCGTCTCGTCCATGACGCCGAAAAGTGTGACGCCCTTGTCGACGGGGATCCGCGCCTTGTGTTTGAGTAGCCGGAGCTCCCGCAGCACCACGTACTCCACAATCGCCTTAAGGAACGGGTCGCCCCGGTAGTCGATGCCGTGCGCGTGCAGACGCCTGATGAAGCGCGGCAGACGAATGTTGGCGCCGACGCCCTGGTACTCCAGGAAGGTGCACGTGTTGGTCACGGTCGCAGTGACGCCGCGCAGGTTCTCGAGGGCCTTGGCCTGCATGGCTTTGAACCAGGCGGGGTCGGTGCCCATGTCCTCGAGGATCTTAATCATCTGGCGATTTAGTACGAGGCGGAGGGGCTTCGCGGCGACCTCGCATATGCCAATCTCAACAAAGTCGCGGCTGGGAAACTTCATCATGGACTCGGCACGGATGCAGATCTGCTTCCCGATGAGGCGGGGGTCGAGCGAGAGCATGCCCTTGATGCCGGCGACGCGGATCTGGACGCAGGTCGGGGAGCCGAGGTTGAGCGGCAGGACGTCCCAGAACTCCTCGAGGGCGGCCTGGGAGATGGTGCCGACGCCGTCGCTGAAGACACGGGAGTCGTCGACGGCGCTGCGGACGTCCTCGATGTAGCTGATGACGATGCTGCCGCCGCGGAGCGAGACGGCGTAGGGGGTCTCGGAGAAGGCCTGGCCGATGCGAGCGGCGCACTTTGCGGGGATGCGGATCTCGCGGAAGTCGCCGAGTGAGCTAAGGACGGTGGCATAATCCTGGCGGCCCATGCGGTTGTCAACAAACGGCGCCATGAACCAGGCCGAGTGGGAGCGCAGGCTAGAGTGGGAGAAGCCGAGGAAGGAGAAGCGGCGGCCGGCAACCTCGATGCCCTGCTTCATGACGCTGCGGTAGTGGTCGTAGACGTAGTCGTTGGAGACGCGCGGGTTGAAGCTGAGGTCAGAGCCGTCCTCGTCGGTGAAGGTAACGCGGAGGAAGTAGTCGGTACGGTCGTGGAACATGCGCAGGACGCGGTTCTTGGACTCGGCGTCGGGCCCGCCGAGCAGGATGCGCGTCGGCGTGACGATGGCCTTGAGGACCCAGGCCTGCTGCTTGGAGATGGCCTCGGTGCGGCCGGCGCGCACGGGGCTGCCGCGCTCGGCGTTGTCGGCAGCGGCAGTGGCAGCGGCTGCGGCGCCCATGAGACCGTTCTCGATCTCCCGGACGCAGCTCAGCAGCTCAAAGGGGTCCAGCTCGTTGGGCTTGACGCCGGGGGTCGGGTATGGGATGTCGTTGAAAAGGCGCTTGAAGGACTGGACGGAGAAGGGGCGGGGGCGGCCCTCCATCTCGGCCTCTATGGCGAGGCGCTCCATGATGTCGAGCATAGTGGCGGCGGCGCGCGGGTGCAGGTAGTTGTTCCAGACCATCTTCTGGACCTGGAAGAGCAGGGCAAAGGGCAGCAGCAGCGGGTTGCTGCCGAGGATGCTGATGCGGCGCTGGAAGTCGGCGGCGCAGGTGAGGTAGTCGTGCTCGTGGTGGCGGGGGGCGCGGTCGACGCGGAGGACGTGGCGGCTGGCCGAGAGGTCGTGGTGCTCCTTGACGGCGGCGCACAGCTGGCCGGCGTCGACGACGTCGAGCCCGTCCGAGGCCAGGCGGAAGCGGTAGACGAGGCAGTGGGCGACGAACTTGGCCAGCTCGGGCCAGCCGCTGAGGACGGGCATGCGGCACCACTGGGCGCGGAGGTCTGGGTCGGCTGTGTTGCGGGCGTAGAAGCGGGGGCTCTCGCTGAGGATCATGGTGAAGGCGCCGTCGGCGACGTCAAAGACGCAGTCCTCGACAGTGGCGTAGGGCACGTGCATCTGGTTGCCGGTGACGGTGGTGAGCACGCAGGCCTTGCGCTTGAACTGGGCGGTGCCGGCCGTGGTGCACTCGGTCTGGCGGGCGAAGACGAGCGACTTGCCGCCGCCGCCGGCGTGGGCGCCGCCGAGGAGCGTGTCCTGGAAGACCATCTTGCCGCAGGCGATGCTGCTGATGCGGCAGGAGGTGACGAAGCACGGTCGCGGCGGCGGCGGCGGCAGCGGCGGCAGCGGCGCGGCGACTCTCGCGCTCGTCCTTGACGAGGAGCAGGTGGCTGAGGATGAGGTAGTCCGGCTCCTTGGCGCTTTTCTCGGCGTAGACGTCAGCCTGGAGGAGTCGGAGCTTGGAGATTTCGGGACCTTTTCGCGGGAAGGCCGGTGACGACTTGGTCAGAGTGTTGTTGTTGTTGCTGTTGTTGTTGTTGTTGCTGCTGCTGCTGTTGCTGCTGCTGCAGCTGCTGGCCGTGCTCGCTGCGGCGGCAGCGGCGACTGCTGCGGCGACGGTGACGCACCGCGGCTGGGTTGGTGCGATGACCTTGCCGTGGCGCTCGAGGAAGCGGGCGCCATCCTCGCGACGGAGGAAGGTGAGCCATGCCTGGGACTTCTTCTTGGGCTTGTCGCAGGACCAGTCGTCAATGGCGAGGCGCTTCATGAGCGGGAGGAGCTCGGAGCGGAGGGTGTCGTCGGCGAGGTCCTTGGGGACGCCGCGGAGAAAGACCTCCATGATTGTGGTTTGAACGGCACCGGTTTTTTTTTTTTTTTTCCTTTCCTTTTTTTCCTGTCTTTTTTCCCTTGGTAGTAAGAAGGCTGGAATTGAACAAGGAGAGGAAAAAAGAGGGAAGGATTAAGAGGCGAAAAAAAGGGTGCAACAGAAAAAGGGGAATACAAAAATCTTCTGTTTATTTACACACGGTTCGGGCGTCGGCTGCTGCGTGTGGTGGTGGTGCCCAAGCATTTTCACGGTAACGTGAACAGTCTCGGGAGGAGGCAGATGCAGATGGATGAGGGGAGGGGGAAAAGGAGCATGCCCATGCCCAAAAACCCAGCCCTCCCCAACAAAGAAGAGAAGGCCAAGATGGAAACCAGCGAGCGGGTGAATTAGCCGCCGGCGATTCACGGACCACCCAAACAAGCTACATGCAATGCGTAACTACAACAACTTCCTACATTCACTGCAAATTTCTTGCCTGCGGGTTGGTTGTTGTTTGGGGGCCGACCTCATCATGTATGTACATAGGTAATAAGGCATCACATGTGCGACGTCACAAAGGACCCCTTCCTTGTCCCGTTGCCACTCCAAATTGTTTGTTTGGTCTTTGTTGTACACAGCAGGCAGCGCTGGCTTGGTGCGAAATCCTACCAAAACAAAAAAGAACAACAACAACAACAACAACCAAACCCAAAATAATCGGTGACAACTCGACCACTCTCACTCGCCCTGCTTTCTCTTTCTTTCCTTTTATTGGTCAGCTACATAGTTAGTAGCGCACGGGTAGTGGCATTTGTTCCCGTCCCAGCCTGCATGTACCACCAGCCCGACCGCCTTGCCGGGACTTGTCCATTCCGGTCGATTAGTAGTCTCGCTCTCGTCAGACGGGCAACTTCAATTTACAAAAGGATGGTAGACGCGGGAAAGCTTTGAACTGCCATCAATCTCCCCCTCCCCCTCCGGCTTCCCGGTCCCCAGTGTGGAGGTGCCCGAAGCCGAAGCCGAAGCCGGGGAACCCGCCCATCCATCCACTTCTTTTACTCCAACTCCAAAGTTATTACTCTCTTCACTTCCCGACAACACTGCCGAGATGGAAACGGCGCTAAAACCCATCAACCGTTTGGGGAACCTTTATCCGCCCAGCGTCGCGGCAAAAGTCCAGTCCTCATCATATCCAACTCTTCTTTCCAACCTCAATTTTCCTTTCTCTCTCCTCTCCTCTCCTCTCCTCTCCCCTCTCTTCTCTCCTCTCTCCTCTCTCCTCTTCCTCTTTTTCTTCTCCTTTCCCCCTTTCTTTCCTCTTCTCCCCTACCCATCTTCCCGCAACTCTCCATCTTTCCCCTCCTCACCCGCATCACATCACCAACCATGGCCTCCCCCGGCATTCTCTACGTAACCATGCAACCGCATCCCGACCTCAACCTCGCCCAGTTCCACGAGTGGTACAACAACGAGCACGGCCCGACGCGCCTCTCCATCCCCTCCATCTTCTCCAACGGCCTCCGCTTCCGCCGCACCACCTCCACCGCCGCCTCCGGCACGCCACCCACCCCGGACTTCATGGCCGTCTACGATGTCCACCACATGCCGCTGCTCGCCACGCCCACCTACACCGCCCTCCGCACCAACCGCTCCCCGCGCGAGGCCGCCACCATCGCGCGCGTCGACGTCCGCCGCGCCTTCTACGACCTCATCCACACCTCCGCCGCCTCCACCTTCCGGCCCATCGAGGCGCTATCCGACGCCGAGGCCGCCCACATCGTCACCGTCGCGGTAGAAATCACCCTCACGGAGGACCCCGCCGCGGCGTGCGAGTATAGGCGGTGGTACGAGGAGGAGCACGTCGGCCTGCTGGCACGTGTCCCCGGGTGGCTCCGCAGCCGGCTCTTCAAGACCTCGGCCCTCGACGACAACTCCGAGACGAGGTACTTTTGCCTGCACGACTACGAGCCGCGCAATGGCCTCGGCGGCCCGGAGCACGCCGCGTCCATGGACACGCCCCGGCGCGCCGCCGTCTTTGACACGTACGTCGCCGCCAAGACCCGCCACACCTATTCCCTCTTCTACGTCTTCGGCGCCGCGCCGCGGGACCTGCACTCGCTCTCCCAGCTCCCGCCCTCCTCCTCCTCCTCCTCCTTCACCGACCACCGCACCACCACCACCCCCACCCCCGTCTCCATCTCCTCCCGCATTACCGCCGCCGGCGGCATCGCCCTCCCATACCGCCTCGAGGGCAGCCCGGCGCCTGAAGCGCCCACCGTCGTCCTCTGCAACTCCCTACTCACCTCGCTAACCATGTGGGACCCGCTCGTCGCCATCCTGAAGGCTCGCCGGCCGGACCTGCGCATCCTCCGGTACGACGCGCGCGGCCGCCACGCCGCCCCGCCCCTCGCCGCCACGCTCGCCGACCACGCGGCCGATCTGGAGGCGCTACGCGCCGCCCTGCGCATCGACCGCTACGCGTGCGTCGCCGGCGTGTCCATGGGCGGCGCCACGGCGCTGTGCTACGCGCTCACCCACCCGGCGCGGGTCGGCCGGCTGCTCGCCGCCGACTTCAACTGCGCGTCCAGCCCGGCCAACACGCAGTCGTGGCGGGACCGCATCGCCGTGGCGCGCGACGGGGAGGCGGGGATGGCGAGGCTGGCGGAGCAGACGGTGACGCGGTGGTTTCACCGGGACGCGTCGCGGGAGACGGCGGCCTGGATGCGCACGGTGGTGGCGGGCAACGACGTGGAGGGCTTCGCGAACAGCTGCACGGCGCTGTGGGACTACGACATGCGCGCGGAGATGCGCGCGTGCGCGGTGCCGGCGCTGCTGGTCGCCGGTGAGGCCGACGGAGGGGGCGCACTGGTCACGGCCATGGAGGGGTTCAAGGGGCTGCTGGGCGAGGGGGGCGCCGAGCTGCGCGTGGTAAAGGGCGCGGGACACCTGCCCATGTGTGAGAATCCGGAGGGCTTCTGGGGGGCCATCAAGGATTTCATATAGACGGGCTTTTGCTGTGGGGGGAAGGCATGTGTTGCTTGTTTGGATATCTCTATGATTTGGACGGCGAGTTTACATACGCAAGTGTCTAGAAAATAGTAACGTAGTAACGCCATCCTGTGTAATCCCAATGACTGCCCGAAACGCCGCTTGAAAGCATGAGCCCGTATTCTCTGTACATACTCTAAAGACAATTCATGAACATGTCAAAAATGAAGACCAAGGGAGACAGGAAGAACAGGCCAAGAAACTCAAGGCTGACAGAAAAAAGGCCAAAAGTCACGGCAGAGTGACATCCCATCTCGCCAAGCATCAGCGGCATCCCCATTCGTCCAGGACGGTTGGGTTCTGTATGGCGCCGCCTTTTTGCCCACTCAGCCACGCCCGGCACGCCTCCAAGCGCGCGTACTCTCTCGGGCAGCCCCCGCTCGCCGCCATAATCCTGGCATCCGCAACGTCCAGCACGCTGCGACCCGCGGCGTCTCGCGCGTACACGTTGGCCCCCTCGCCGACCAGCGTCCTGACGGCGAGCTTGCGTCCGCAGCGCACCGCGACGTGCAGCGCCGTCTCGCCAGCGCGGTTGCGCGCGTTGACGCGTCCGCCGCTGTTGATCAGGGTTCTGAGAATCTCCGGGCCGATCCTGTAGTTGCCGTCCTCGGGCAGTTGCGCGGCGAACGCCATTAGCGGGGTGTTGCCGTTGGCGTCGTAGGCGTTTGGCCGGACGCCCGCGTTGAGCAGGTCCTTGAGCGATTCGAGGCGCATAGCCATGCGATTGTCCGATGAGTCCGTTTCCCTCTTGTTAACACTGCTCGCGCGACGCCTTCCGCTCGGTGTCGTGGCACCGCTGGCTATTGCTGGACTGGGAGCGCTCTCGGCCATGTTCAATGAGGAGGTTGTTCCAGTGGCCATGCTTAGGTTTGCGGTGGCCAGGCAGTGGAGGCCATTCCGTCCGTGGGTATATTCCGCTAGGGGATCTTGGAGGAGAGCTCTGTTGATAAACGTCACGAGTTGCAATTGCGTAGTCACCGCGCTATTCTCGGTAGCATGCAATGCGCCATCAAGTTGTGAGGCAGAATCCCGTGACAGGTTGTATGACATTTGTGCCACGGAAAGGTGTGGCTCCTCTCCAAAGGCATCGCGCGTATTCCACTGGACCGCGTCGGTCGGGTCGAAAATATGCTCCAAAACAGCCTGGCTGATGCCACTGGCCCGCAGTATGTGGAAAAAGTTGCGACCATAGTGGTCTTGGGCATAAATATCCAAATCGCTGCCTTGTCTCAGGGCGTGAACTAGCCCACTCATGAATTCTGTGTCCTTCATGATGTGGTGGTCCATGACGTGTAGAAATGACTGGCCAGCCGAATTCCGTTGATGTAGGATACCGCGAGATGTTGGATGTCTTATGGTGTCGTATAGCATCCCGGCGGTGCTGCGAGCAGCCACAAAATGCAGCAAGGTGTTGCCAAAAGCATCCACCTCAGAATAGTCCGACTCCAGGACTATACCGGCAAGGATACGCTCCCCTTTCTCTGTTAGGCCATTAGGTGTCACCCATGGCAAAGCCGCGGCAGGCGTTCGCAGCAAGTCTCCGGCGTCAGCAAGCAGCTGTCGACATTGACCATGCAAATCAATGCTGAGGAAGTCGCCTGGCAGCGGAAACGGCGTGCCCTCATACGGAGTTGGAGCCTCGCCGGCGTCCAGCCAATCCATGACCCCAGAATTGGATTCGGAAACGGGCGACATGTTTCTCGAATTTGGAGAGAAGCCAGGAAGTCGTCTCATTAACCCCTTGACAACCCCGCGATATGGAGAGCTATACTCAGCCAGGATGGTTCGTAGGGAAGAAGCTGACGTAGCTGTTGACGAGGATGCCATGGTGGTCCTGCGGAGGAAGGGTGCAAACAGAACCTCGTCTTCATCCTCTTTCGGATGAATGGCAGATGTTTGAGGCGACTGAAATGACTGGTATGGCGACCACTCTACCGGACCTTGATAGTAAGCCTCTGGTGATGTCGCGGCACTCCAGGAATCCATAGAGTGGAGGGGGACATCCAGGAGAGTAGGGCTGGCACCACCCTCGGACTTGAAGGGATGGGGGGGGAATCCTAGAACAGATGGTTGAGACGAAGCATGGTGGAATGAACTGTCGCTAGACCTGGAGGACATTCGGGAGGGCGAGAGGGCGAGCTGCTCGAGGCGACGGCTCATGTCCTCATTGGACCGAGGGTGCAACCATCGAGGCTCCTTGTCGAGCAATGCGTTCAAATTCTTATTCGCGGAATCGACCCCAGGCGGGTGGTTTCCAAGAGGTGACTTGTGGTGGACGACATCGACGATTTTCAGGAGCGGTAGGTTGGTGTAGAGGTATAGGCAGACCATTTTGCACTGGTGAAACCTTGTCCACTTGGCAGGGCGACCGGTGGTTGCGCTGAGGCCATGAGTAGATGGTGATCTAGACAGGCTGGGCGAGGTATTGAGGTTGGATGGGACATGGATATCTGGCGGGATAGTAAGGCTTGGAAGTGAGGGCTGTGTCATAGTTGAGTCCAGCAACGGTGTAAGTGCAAACCTGGGTGGATGCCGTATTTAACAGTTATGGTCAAGTGAGTCAAGATGTTGAGCGTTGTTGAAAGCGGAAAAATGAAAAGGCAAAATCTCTAATCAACTTGATATCTAAGCAGGGCGGCGCGTTGCATTTAAAGGAAAAAGGCGTTGAGGGAACTGCAATGCGAACAACGACAATGCCCTCTGCTTACCGTGGGCAAGGCAAGCTGGGAGGGCCTGTATTGGGGGCCAGCCGGGGCAGGTAGTAGCAAGTGAAGGGCGGGCGCGCGCATGATGAATGGAGCGGCCCGGAAGCGGAGCCAGGGTTGTTGCGAAAAGGGCTATGGCGGCAGCTGGCAGAAAAGGGAAAAGGGAAGCATCATGGCCGTCATAAGAATGTAGAATCCTCTGGTGATGAGCTTCTTGTGCTGGCATCCGTTTGTGCCTGTATGTGTGGCGGAGGGCGCCCGGAAGTCAGCCACTTTGCATAGCCACATCGTCGGGAGGGAGCGGTGGGGCGCCAGACAGTAAGTGGGAGGCAGTCAGGCCTCAGGAGGCGGCGAGGCGTTCGGCGATGCACTAATGGCAGGGCGGCATGGGCGAGGCTGAGGTGAGGCAGAAATGGAATGGGGCTCAGCAAATCTGGTGAAAGTGATGAGGATACTGGAGGCCTGTGTTCATGAACATGGACACCTGACATGCGGAGTCGTCTGTGGACGGAAGATGAAAGGTGACTCCAAGAGCCCATCTTTTTTTCCCATTTTTACACAGTTACACCACTCAAGGGTAATGCGAGGCACTTTCCAAAAGTAGGAATATAAACAGTCAGCACAAGGTACTACAGATGCCGCTTTTAAAAGTCGGGTCTCGCGCCGAATTGTATTCTTTTTTTAAGAAGAGTCTTTGTTTTTCCGATCTTTCTTATCTTTCATGTCTTCCGTGTCTTTCATCTCTTTCGTGTCTTTTATATCTTGCGTGTCTTTCTCATCTTCTTGTTCCGTCGTTTTCCACCATCTTTTATTGCTACCCTACACCTGTTCCTATCAAATGCCTTCTAGAAACGTGTGTACGGGCTTGCAACATTGTGGTGGGGCCAAGACAAGGACGCGATTGCCATGGCGCGTCCCAAGTCTTGACAAGAAAAAAACAGACAGCTATATTACAACGAGATCAAAAGAATCATATCTATGACACAATTCCTGTCAAAATGGCGAACCCTACAATAATTTCTCTTGAACAAGGCCCCGAAATAAAAAACATGACAGCTAATCTGCTGCCCTGTCACATCCATCATAATGGCTCAATCGATCCCGTCAGCGCATACTGGAAGCCCACGGACAGCACCGGTACGTACAACTGCCAACAGAAATCGGACCAGAAAAAAAGACGGCACAACAGGAAGAACCACCCACTGACGCAGCGCCATCTTCAACAGACAATAGCAAAGAAGCATACTTTCGCGGTCGAAAGCTGAAAGGCAAACCCCTGCCTCTACCTCAAGGCTACCGCGGCCTCATCGTGGAGCGAAACCCCGACAAGTTGAAAAAGGAAACGCTGCTTTCTTCCGACGATCAAGACACGAATGACGACGAAGTAGTTCCAATGGAGACTGTGGGCACGATGCGGGTGACGGGCGAGTTTGACGAAATGGTGATTTGGTCCCACGAGTCCATGGCCGCTGCTGCAGCAGACCCTTATGTGCGGAGTGTTGAGGAGTGGCTGAAAGTCTCTGATAAGGTAAGACTTACAAGCCTGCGTCAAGGTTCTTTCGCTATATGCGCAGCTCACATTGGAACAGATCCACGGCTTCGAAGACGAGACCAACGACAAGACAAAATAAGGATGACCTTTTACACTATACATGATCACTACAAGCCACACGTCATTTAACAAAGGACTCTAGTTGAAGTTCGAATAGGGATAACTATGCCCGATTGACGGGGCTCGGTCGGAATGCGCTCGCTTCCGCGCACCATTTTCCTATGGGCGTATACCCTGCTGGAAGCTGCTGGGCACACGCCAGCCATGTAGTTGCCGTGGCTACCTCATCCCGGCGATAGCTAAAACACAACTGATCTCATGGAGCAACTCATGGATGATCCCATGACAATGGAGCGGTCAATTGTCCGACTGGTGCACAGCTTGCTCATTCGGCCACTTTCTGCGCTGCCCCTCACCTCACGACAGCAAAGAGATTAGAACTAGGCCAGGGGAAAGTCAAATTTGCATACAAAAATAATAACGAGCCTCGACCCCATCACTATTTGGCTTTAAAATCCATTTTCATCCTGTCTTGCTTTACGTCGACTGCTCTGCCCTTGCCGTTAATTCCCGTACTAGCTAATCAATTAAAGTCGCGTTGAGCGCAGCCCCTCGGACGCGTCTCCGACGCGTTTCGCGTTAAGTGCTTCTCAAATGTCCCACCCACAACAACCATCTCCCATCGCAGTTCGAAGGCTTGCTTTGGGCTTCAATCATCTCTCCCCTCCCAGAAAAGCCCAGTGCCTACCCTACCTAGTACAACTCGTCGCCACTCACGTCGTCGTCTTCTTTCTACTCGTTCTCTTCAGCGAAAAACAACCAGCGAACTGATAGTCGCAGCTCACACCGCTCCCCCACCACACCTCATCATGGCTCCTTCGAGCGAGGCCGGGTTCATGATGTCGGACGCCCCGTCCATTGCGCCGCACCGACGCAACATGGGCTTCCCATCGTCCTCGTCCGCGCGCCCTCGCGGGCCGCCCTCGGAGAACCTCGGCGCCCCTAGTGAGGACGGCACCGAGGGCTTCGCCGACGACCAGGTGCCTCGCACCAGCCGTGCCAACGGCCAGGGTCACGTCCCCCGCGTGCAGGACCTTATTGGTGGTCTTGTCCAAGACCACTTTGCCGCCTTTGTTGAAAGGTAAGACTCTCTTCGGACTAGGCATGCAGAGGGGCTATTTTTACTGACAATGAATGGCCTGGTATAGCTTCGTTGAACAGCCTGTTTCTTCTGGCGCCCCCGCCTCTAGCGCAGTCACCACCGATAAATTTTATATTGCTCAAATAAAAGCCATGCGCACATTCGCTTTGTCAACATTTTACGTCGATTTCAAGCACCTTGCATCATGGGAGAATGGCAGTTTGGCCGACGGCGTCATCCGCCAGTACTACCGCTTCCTGCCCTTCATCACCGCCGCCCTCAATGGCCTCATCGCAAAGTATGAGCCTCAGTACTACCGCGACCACCGACAGCCTACATCCATGTCGAGCGCCGTATCAACCTCGGCGGCCAACCAGATGGGCTCTGGCAGCCAATCAGAGTCCACACACCGCATGAACGAGCACCAGCAGACCGACAAGCTCTTCTCCGTCGCGTTTTACAACCTACCGCTCGTCTCGCGCGTCCGTAGCCTCCGCGCCGCCAACATTGGCCAGCTGCTCTCCATCTCTGGCACGGTTACCAGAACCTCCGAGGTCCGCCCCGAACTGTCGCTCGCCACCTTTGTCTGCGAGGCCTGCCGTGCGGTGGTGCAGAACGTCGAGCAGACCTTCCGCTATACAGAACCGACACAGTGCCCCAACGCCACCTGCCAAAATCGCGTAGGATGGCAACTGGATATTCGTCGTAGCACCTTTGTCGACTGGCAAAAGGTGCGCATCCAGGAAAACAGTTCCGAGATCCCAACAGGCTCCATGCCTCGTACCATGGATGTCATCCTCCGGGGCGAAATCGTCGACCGCGCAAAGGCCGGCGAGAAGTGCATCTTCACCGGTGCCTTGATTGTCGTCCCTGACGTGAGCCAACTGGGCCTTCCCGGTTTGAAGCCGAGTGCGGTTCGCGACGACCGCGGTGCCCCGGGCGGTGAGGCTGGTGGTGCGGGCGTCAGCGGTCTCAAGGCCCTCGGTGTGCGTGATCTCACTTACAGACTAGCCTTCCTGGCCTGTATGGTCAGCCCTGATACCACCTCGGCTGGTAGAACTGCCGCTGCCGGTGCTGCCGACGCCATTGCTGCCATGACCCAGAACATCGACCCTGATGAGAAGCAAAGTGTGGAACAAGCGCAGACCACCATCCTGTCTTCCATGAACCAATCCGAGATTGAAGACCTGCGAGCGATGGTGCACGGTGAACACATCTACTCGCGCCTCGTCCAGTCGATCGCGCCGATGGTATACGGCCACGAAGTTGTTAAGAAGGGTCTCCTGCTGCAGCTCATGTCTGGTGTCCACAAGACCACCCCTGAAGGCATGCAGCTGCGCGGTGACATCAACATCTGCATCGTCGGCGACCCGTCCACCTCCAAGTCTCAGTTTCTGAAGTATATCTGCTCTTTTGCCCCGCGCGCCGTCTACACCTCGGGTAAAGCCTCGTCCGCCGCCGGTCTGACCGCCGCCGTGGTCAAGGACGAGGAAACGGGCGAGTTCACCATTGAGGCCGGTGCGCTCATGCTCGCCGACAACGGCATTTGCGCCATTGACGAGTTCGACAAGATGGACATTGCCGACCAGGTCGCCATCCACGAGGCCATGGAGCAGCAGACCATTTCCATTGCCAAGGCCGGTATCCAGGCGACCCTCAACGCGCGCACCAGTATCCTCGCAGCCGCCAACCCCGTTGGCGGCCGCTACGACCGCAAGGCTACGCTGCGCGCCAACATCAACATGTCAGCGCCCATCATGTCGCGCTTTGACCTCTTCTTCGTCGTGCTCGACGAGTGCAACGAGCGGGTCGACCGCCACCTCGCCGCGCACATCGTCGGCGTCCACCAGCACCGCGACGACGCCGTCCAGCCCGAGTTCAGCACCGAGCAGCTGCAGCGTTACATCCGCTTCGCGCGCACCTTCCGACCCGAATTCACCGACGAGTCCAAGGAGGTGCTCGTCGAGAAGTACCGCGAGCTGCGCCAGGACGACGCCCAGGGCGGCATCGGCAGGAACTCGTACCGCATCACCGTCCGCCAGCTCGAGAGCATGATCCGCCTCTCCGAGGCTATCGCCAAGGTCAACTGCGTCGAGACCATCAGCCCGGTGATGGTCGTCGAGGCGTACAACCTGCTCCGCCAGAGCATCATCTCCGTCGAGCACGAGGACGTCGAGATGGACGGTGAGGACGAGGACGGGCCCGAGAGCGGCGAGTCCCTGCGCCGCGCCGCCGCGGCCGCCTCCGGCATAGATATGGAGAACGACGGCGACGGCGACGACGATCCCGACGCCGCGATGCAGGACAGCGTGGCCGCCGTCGCAGCGTCCTCGGACCGCGCCAAGCGCAAGATCACGTACGACAAGTACATCAAGATGGTCAACATCTTCGTGCACCGCGTCAACTCGGACGAGAGCGGCACCGGCGATGGCGTCGCCAGCTCCGCCCTCGTCGCCTGGTACCTCGAGCAGGTCGAGGCCGAGCTCGCCGACGAGGATGACTACCACGCCGAGGCGGCCCTGGCCGCCATGGTCCTCAAACGCATGGTGCGCGAACGTATCCTCATGGCCCTCCGCGGTCAGGGACTCGCCGAAGGCGAGGCGGCGGCCGGCGCCTCATCGTCGTCGGCAACTGCTACCGACAAGGTTATCTACGTCATGCACCCCAACTGCGCCGTTGAAGACTTATGAGCGAAAAATCTTTGTCATGGGGGGAGTAAGACGCGGGAGGGGGGGGGGGGGGGCTTTTCAGTTAAACTTGACGGTGAACTTGTTTTTTGCGTACCTTGGCTTTATGGGATCATAAAATATGGAAAGGGTGATGATGCTTTGTTCATGACAGATGACATGTACTTTCAAGGTCCTATTTTTGTTTTACATATGAACACACACGTACTAGGTCTCCAGAGCTCATCCTGGAAGAGGACGATGAAGCGTTTCAGTCGCGGCGTTGATGACATTCCTTTACAATTGTAACAAAGATAAAAACTATTCTTCCTCGCCCCTCTTCTCTTCTTGCAATGACGTGTCTTCTGTGTCTGTGTGTCGCCGTGTCCATATTATTCGAACCGACATCACGAGCAACGAGGGGATCAAAGCCGAAACTTGCCGTGGGCTCTGTTTGTCCCTACCCTCAATTCTCCGACTTCCTGCCATCTTTCCTAACTCTTCCTCATAGGGCATGAGTTGTTTCCGTAATTCCAAAGCTCTTGGTATGCGATCCTCCCCCTTTGCAGACTATAGGCACTTGCCCACTTGCCTTGCCTTATCTGGGCTTCCATTTGATCCCCCTAGTAATATCTTAGTTCTCCCCAGAACTCCCGTTCATCACGCCCAAGGAGAAGAGGTTCGAACAACCAAGCAAGAGAAATAGTTTTGTCTCGTTCCAGTCCACATAATTATCAAGGCGAAGAACAACACATCAGAACTCTCAAAGGAAAAAAAACATATAAGAAATAGAAATGCCCGTATTGCATTACTGTTTTGCGAAAACAAAATGCGCCATGCCCCAGTTGATGATATCTTCCACCAGGAAGTGAAAGGGCAGCAGCGCACTGTGCAAAGCTGAAAACCAACACAATTGATGCATTCCGAATGAGCACATGTTCAAAGTACTCCAAAGTTGTACATTTGGGCTGGCCTATCTCCTTCCGGATGGCAGCATCGTTTCGCACCTGGATGCGTTTTTGTGTGATAGTTTTGGTATTAAACCCTGCGGCACTTTCCTATCCACACACCATATCCCGTGGCAAATCATTGATGCCGTTCACACAGCCAACAGGCTCAAAAGCGCCCAGCTGAACAGCTCACTAACTTGAGAGCTGCGTTTGAGACTGGACTCGGCTTGAGTTGCGGTTCCAGTTGTCAGAACCCTTTGCACGATAACCCCCACGACCGCCCCGACCGTGATTCGTAGGCGAGTCTCCGTGAGAGTTAGGTGCTTCTCGTTTGCCACCTCGTCCACCACCACGATGGCGAGGCGAAGGTCTGCCGTTACCACGACCGCCGCGAGAGGGGCTTGTTGTTTGGGGAAATGCGACAGTCTTTTGCCACTGCATGCCTGGGAGATGAACACGAATAATGCCAGAATTGCCGGAGTGTTCGTCGGTGACGCGGAATGGCTCCATGATGCTGCTAGCATGAACAAGGTACCGCCTAGGGAGAGGCTTCAACTGAACCACGACAGGTTGCCAAGCAGCGTCAGGAGTCTTGGTCGGAAGTCGAATTATAGGGAGAGAACCCATCTCCTGTTCCTCGAAACATTCCTCGGCCATAGGTTTAGATTCGGGTGGCTTGGGAGCAGATACGAGCCGTTGCGGTTGGCGAGGGCTTCCTGGGAGGACGACTGTTGCTGCAGTTCCTGCTCCGTTGTGGTCATAGCCAGAACGGCTAGCAACGTTCACAACGTACATTCCTATGGTCGGCTTCGGAGGTGAGACCTTATGAAGTAAGCTGTTGATACGGTCTTGCCATTGTTCCTGAGAGCTCTCTGCACTTCGTTGAGATTGATGACCGTATGGCTGTGGCCCACGGCCGTTGGGCGGTCCCTTGTTACTCCAGGCGGGCTGTTGGCGGTTGGACGGCGTCTGTTGGTGCTGGCTGGCTGAAGGTGGGAGCTTCACAATCGGCTGTGGTTTTGGCAGTGAAACCTGAGGACGTCTAGCATCGCCCTCATATGCAGGATGACCCTCCATAGTAGGCGGGGGAGCGGATGGCGAAGACGGCCTGATTGTATCTGGCGGTGAGTCAAGACGCTGCTCTCTGGCAGGGAAGAAACGGGAAGTCCGTGGTTGCGAGGATGCGTTAGCATTTTGGGCCAGCATATGTGGCGGCGCCGATCCAATGACTCCCGCAGCAACACTAGGGTTTGGCTGTTCCGCATGCCTCGGGTCTTCTCTTGGGGCCTTCCAAGCATTGACGGTATGCATCGGCACCTTGGTGGCGTTTACGACTTGGCGGGTGCCATCGCCAGGTGCATGAACTTGTCGCCAAGTTTCCTTGATCACAGGCTGAGCATCGTCCGCTGAAATACCTCTTTCAGCTAGTTGACGTTCCATATTCACGTGCTCAGCCAACCTGGTAGCATTTAGCTTCTTATCGCTATCGGCAACAGCAGCAACCCATTTGCTAGCGAGATCTGTTCCAGGACCATCATATCGAGAGCTTCGGGACCCGATAGGTGCTGTTTGCATCGCCGGTGGTAATGAAAGTGGCTGCGGGCCATTGGCAGTCTGAATTGATGTACCAGTTGCACCCGGGATTCGACCCAAGTCAGGATTGAAAGTTCCATTGCCAAGACCGCGGTCATTATCTGGGGACCCCCAAACGTTCCTCCCCAGGCCATTTGGTCCAGTTCCCCAAGCGGACAATCTGTCTGGGCGAGGACTAGTACCAGACCATGATTCAGCAGGCTGCTGTTCCTGAGTCTGCGAAAGGCGTCTTGATGTCGGATCTTTCGGGCCTGTATTGGCATGGTGTGAGACCTGTTTGTCGACCGACCTTTCACGGCGATGAATTTGGGTTGGCCTGGGTTCGTCACGACCGGGAGCGTCCTTCTTTTCGTGCTTCTTTTCTGGTGCAGGGCCAAGCGCCTCCAGCTTCTTCTGGATACGCTCCTTCAGAGCGGCCTCTTCGCGAGCGACTTCTTCTTGCCGGCGTTTTCTGGCAAGCTCAACACGTTCCTTCATCAACTTCTTCTGGTATTCAACATCGTCTTCTTGTGGCATCGGCGGCTCCGCATGTGTCAGATCTGACGTCTCCGCGTTATTCCAAAGAGGATGTTGTCGGTTAGGGCCGTTCATATTGTGCTGGGTATAACGCCCTTCGTTTGAGCCAGAAAATGATGGCCGCCGGTGGCCACGATCGTCGGAAGGGTAATGTGACTGTCCCTCACCGGCGCGAGCACCGCGCTGGAGAAAACCACTGCCACCGCTAACATTAGACGATGCTCGTCTTCGGTTGAAAGAGCCGTCGTGGCTAGTCCGGCTCGTTTGAAAAGCGCTAGACGGCTCTGGATGGTCATTGGCTTGACGCTGGAGAACGGCAAGCTGTCTGCTCGAATGATCGGAGAGCATCGATCCACGGCGGTCTGGGACAGGCTCAAGTCGTCCAGACTGGGAGTTGTAGAGCTCACGGCCACCGCTACCGGCATGGCTGTCTCTCCACGAGGAACGGTTGAAATCATCTGCAGCAATTTCCTTAGGCGGGGGAGCCATCATTTTTAGAGGCGATGGCTCCTTGTATGAGCCCCGAGGTGACCCCGTTGATTCACTCCAGGGCTGCTGTGGCCGCTCGACGGGAGGTAGCTGGGCCCAAGGAGACTTGGCCGGAGCCGGTGGCTGTGGTGGCTTTGCAACAAGAGCTGGGCGATCTTGGGTGGCACCCTTCAGAACGAGACCTTTTCCGGAAGGTAGGCCGGCAGGTTTTGGTATTGTGTATTCTGATTGGGGAGTTCGGCCGGGTACCTCGTGTTTCGGGTTAAATCGATCTTGAGAGCCATGAGAGACATCCTCTTGTGGTGGATGTTCGTCGGGATGCGGCAGTTTCGTTTTTGTCCCATCGCCCCATGTGATTGCTTCTGGAGCCCAGTCGTCGTCGTCGTCGTCAATATCAGCCCATTTGTTTTGCCCTTGTGCATCGTCTTCATTAAGGCGACTAGCCATATGAATACCGTATTTCTTGAGCTCCTCATCGGTAAATTTCTTGGGCTCTGGCGCTATTGACAAGGTCAGTTACCGAGTTTTGCTATGCTTGAGAGGTTAAGTAGCGATGGCGATACATACGTCGATTCTTGTTCCAAACCGCGTTTGCATCTGGTACGGACCCTGACTTGCTACCGTTCGTGGCAGTGAAACGCGGCACCGAATCTCTCGCGCCGTTGCCAGCCTTGGCGACAAGCCTGGGTCGAGATGCTGATATAGCTGATGATCCAGGAGGGGGTGTATTGGAGCCTCCCGAGGGCCGTTCTGTTGTTCTTGAGACTATACTCGAGCTGTTCGCCTTGGCGGCCAAGAACGTCTTGTTGACGGAGACAGCCTTGAACATGGCGGGCTTCTTCGCGGCAGAGCCGGTTCTGCTGTGACTCTTTTCACCATCCTTTGCTCGCGACGCTTCCGTGTCGGATCCGCCGCTCACACTAACGTCGGTGGAATGTAATTGCTCTTCGACACTGGTGATGCGCTTGTTGGCTATATCCTCGATGTTGTGGAAGCCGCCGTTTAAAGCCGAGTAATCGACGCCATGCTGGGCACCGTTCGGATGCTAGACAAAAAGGTGGCATGTTAGAATGTTGTGCTTCGTGTCAAGATGGCGGCAGCCGCAGTCGACCGTTTGCCGAAGCTGAAGCGATGGCGCAAACCGCAAACGCAAATCTGCTTTCGCCACGGGCAGCACTTACGTTGTTTAGTTGGTGCGAGACGGAAACTTCAGCTAGCTTGTTAAATGCAGGCTCTGTGGCCATCATCCGTCCTTGAATACAGGCGTGCGCCGCTCGCGAGGGGGACGACGACTGCTGGCTCAGGTCGTCGGTGGACAGAAGCTTCTCAGCTACGGGGCAGCGCAACAATAGAGACTGGAGACGAAGAGGCGGCGGACGGTAAGGGTTTCCCGGTCGGTGATGGTGGTTTTCTAATCTGATAATGCGAATTAAGGGTTCGCAGACGATGGAACACGGTCGCAGGTGGCAGGGCGGTGCCTCTGGTCGAGAGTCTCGAATTGTTTCTAGGTATGGGGAGCGTCGCCAGGTGCCAGGTGTGACTAAGGCAGGGTGAGATACCGCTTGCAATGGAGGTTCCTGCTTTTACTGCGGCTGGACAACATACTTTGGGCCCCGTGCACGAATCAGGACTAGCGTGCTGTCTTAGCTGCTTCAAGCAACGCCGCCTAAAAAAAGCACCATTCGCTGAGCGGTAGTCAGGTGACACTTTTGAAGCGCCCGTTTCCGCGGGTGAATCAAAAAGTTGTTGATATTTCGGACAGAGGTAATTCACCTATTTCGATTGCGTGAGTTACCTTCTCGGATATCACTGCTGAATGATTACTTGACTGGAACAATAGTGTACTTCGGTAACTCGCCACGGTAGGTCCTTAATGATTTGCTCAGAATTACTTGAACTCCACTGTATCAAGCCGCAGCTCCAGCAGCCGCCGACAGCAGCAATAATGCCACCAACTTGGGCAAACTGCACCACGCAGTCAGCTTGTTTGTGTTTGAAGTGTAACTTTTGCATGAAATGCAAAAGACATCCGTATATAGCAGCCAAAACGCTGAAAGGAGGCATTATAGCTGTTGCATTATCCCCGTTTCGCTTTTCTTTCACACGGCGCCCGTAAATCACGCTCATGCAGCACACCGTGTATCTCGTGTTGCATGACCTGTGCTGCCTCAGCCACCATCTTTTGACCACTCGTCTTTCATATCTCTCCAATGCCCGTCTTACTGATGCACCACGACTTGCACGGCTCTGCCGATGAACAAAACCCTTGCAGGAGCGGTGTATCATGCGTGCACGTCATGGCCCATTTTATCGTCAAACCATTGCGGCCCAACTGCGTTGTCCCCTCAATGACCCGTGTCCATCTCCACGCAAGTATATAGCCTGTACTATCCCAGGGTGACATATCTTGACACACCTGCGCTTGAGTGTTTTCTTCTTTGCTCCTGATTAATTGGCTCGCTCGTCCTGTCGTGAATAGGTACCTAGCCAATAGATTGCACGACGAATATACAGGCCACAGTAGCCAGCATCTGATAGAGCTTGCAATATATAATGTGCACCATTTAAACTATCACGAGGCCGAATGTTTCCAACGTTGTTTGAATTGTTACAAAAGGAAGTACAGGTGTGGCATGACAACACCCTCTAGGAGTCTATTTACACAGCCCTTCTGTTGTCACCGAATGCTCTTCGCTTTATCGAGTGAGCTCGCCTAGTGAGCGTTATTCTTGTGGTGGCCTGCACGTCATCGGTCAGTCGAGAATTCTTTCGTCTGTCAAGAATTATCTTACGCAGGTGGAAGTAGTAGTTCTGGGCGTAGCCAATGCCGACAAGGAAGACAATAGCGTGGATGATAGCTAGGCAAAATGTCAGCAAAAGGGTCCTTGCATGCAGCCTCAAGACTTCTGGTAAGAAGCCCGAGCTTCGCAGACGATAATCCATACGGGTAGCAGATGCCTTCTTGCCAAAGTAGCGGGCCTGGTAGCGACCAAGAAGACCCTTGGCCTTGGCCTCAGGGGCGGCACCACGAGGAAGCTTCTCGTAGAAACTGACAACACGCTGCATGCGCAGAGCGTCAGGGGCGCCACCAATAGCCTAATTGTTCCCTCGAGTTAGCGTCGTCGATTGTTGACTTTGTCGTGGTTGCGCCGATGCCGTAAGCTGCGACATGTTCGGCGCGTCTCGGCGATAGATCAATGGGTCATTGACTGGCATTTTGCGTCGCCGGCGTCGCGAACAAGCTATCGGAAGTAGATAGACAGGGTTTCGTACCTTAGGAGAGGCGACCTGTGACAGGTCTAGTTAGCAATTGGGTCATCAAGACGAGCTCCGGGACATGACGGGGGCCTAGCAAAAAATGGCGTTGCTCACCTTTGGGGGGATGAGGGTGGAAAGACCACGGCGAGTGACGAAGCTCATAATGTCGGTGGTTGGCTGAAGGTCGAGTAGGGTGCACTTAAATTAATTTTTCCTGCCACTTCGTTCCGTCGACGGTCGTGGGAGCTGCTCAATTTCAGATGGTCTTGCGGGTTGAGGGTATTGGTGGTTCTGCTGCTTGCAAGCTAAAGAGTCGCCGTTCCGAAAAGCATTCGTCCCGGCAAAACGTCGCTCCATTGTCAGCCAATCAGCACCCACCCTTAGCTGCTTTGCGTCGCAGTACCCATCTCAACGTCGCACTTGCTCATCTCGACAGCAAAAAAGGGCCTCTCTCTCGTCGTCAATTGAGCGGCAGCAACAATCCAATCATGGCTGCTCTCCGATCTCAGGGCATTGCCCGCATCCTGCGAAGCGCCGCCGCGCCGCGCCTGGCCGTGCCCATGGCCACCCAGCGCCTCCAAAGCTCCGTCGCGAAGAGCGCCGAGAAGGAGGTTACTGGCACGCCCGCCGCCCCCAACCAGCCCGACTTCGACACTCCTCACGACAAGGCCACCTCGTGAGCGCCTGCCCGAGAGCTTAAAGATCTTAATAATTTTGCAACGGTGCTGACCAATGCCGCAGGACCTTTACACCCGTGCCCAGATCGGTTCAGGACGGCACCGACGACGTCCGGTCCGCCGCCGTCACTTCCGGCGCTCCTATGGAGCTCCAGGCTCGTACCGTCAGGTAGGTCTCCTGTATACCGTGTTGGGCACTTGTAGTCAAACGCGGAGGTGTCATTCTAACCACTTGCAGAATATACAAGGAGTCCAAGGCCGCTACACAGTCCGGGACCTGGAGGGGCCACGATTGGCGCATGGACTGGGACATTCTTCCCAAGGGCCACCGCTGGGAGAACCCTCTGATGGGATGGCAGTCTTCGGGGGATTACATGCAGGGCACGCACCTCAGCTTCGAGACCAAAGAAGATGCCATTCACTTTGCTGAGAAGCAGGGCTACGAATTCTTCGTGCAGGAGCCCAACACCCGCAAGTTCACTCCGAAAGCGTACGCCAACAACTTCCTATACAGTGCCCGCAAGCTCAAGCACATCCGCACGAAGTAGATTGCGATGCCTTTGTTTTGAAAGACTGTGTAAGAATCTCATTTGTTTAATCTACAAGTCCCTTTCATGCTTCCTGCGTTGATACCATTAAATGTGATTATGAACACTGAGGAGGCACAATCGATGGGTATTAGCATTGGAACGTAAAAGAGGTTCAAGAATTGCCGCTATAGAGACGAGGTATAAAAATAGGCTGCAAATGTAGCATGCACGGCACGGAGCACCGTGTAGCCTAATCCAAACTCCAGTGAACTGCCACGCAGAAAATTCACAATGTACACGGCCAGTCGCAGACCAGAGAGTCAGAAAAACCAAGAAAACGCCAGTCCAAATCATAATCATGTTCATCATACCGTCACCATGGGTTCGTGTCCGTTGTCAGTGTTCGCATAGCGTCGATCCTCGTTCTCAGCAGTCAGGCTTACGTCTAGCCGCTCAGGTAAACTGATGCCGCGATCCCGAGCTGCAGATTCTGCCCAAGCCCGCATTTTGACAAGCTGGCGGATCGCCGCCTCGCGCCGGCGTGATTGGTGTCGTAGAATAGCGCGATTAACATTATCAGCAGCGTCGCGGCGAAGCTCAGGATTCAACAACGCGGCTAGTTGGGGTTCAAGAGCGTCAGGGGAAAACAGTAAGAGAGCCATTGTTTTCTCAAGTTCATCAAGAAATCGAGAGTTTGTAGGTGCACGAGGGCCTAGCTGCTCCGTGGCAAACTTCAGCGCTGGGCTGATGTCGCCTCCCGTAGCGTTACACGTCCTTATTAACTCGACAAGCTGCAAACGCAGCAGAGAGAAGTGCAACGCCTTATCTCCATCTAGTATCTGCGTTCGCTTGTTAGCGTTGGCTCGACCGCGAAGCAACGATATAAATGTGAGTGAGGGTGTGAAATCATTAAAAAGTGGTTGTTTATCATCACGGACCGATGCCGGTCCATATGCGTGGTGCATGTATAACTCTTGTTTTAATCATGTAAAGGGATGACTCGAGAAGCAATATGGCTTACCTGCGGGTCCAATTCGTTGAGCATCTGGATGGCGGATTCAATGTTTCCACTATGAATACAATTTTGTATTTCTTGGCGGATACGAATTGAACCGATGTCTTGCTGAGGCTGCAAATTTGCCTCTTTGGAAAACTTTGCAGCCGCATTGGGGTAGCCTTCCATTGTCAGGTAGTCTAGGATCAAGGCGTTGATATCACTAATGATGCGATCGTTAGCTGCGTCGCAAGGCAATGCGTAAGAAAGTATGTGTGGAAAGGTTTGCCAGTCAGGAAAGAAGATAGATATCGGTTTCTCCGCATTAATATCTAGGAGAGATTCCCATTTGATACAATCATCATTTTAGGCAAGATGTGCTGGGCCGGAAAAATTGGTTGGTTTACCTTTTCGGTGATTTGATTTCGTCGACGCGTCTTTCGAAGGCGTGCTTCGCCGACCCGGCGGCCAGGAAAGACGAAGACTGAAAGCAAGAGTTAGCAACTAGTTGCAAAGCCGATGTTTCACAAGAGCCTCGTACCATGATGAAGATTGACGCTGATGGTTGGGGGTGATGAGCAGAACGCGCGGCAGCTCCTCACTAGGCCAGCTGGCGAGGTCACAGGTTTCTATCGACTTTGCATGTGTCAAAGCTGAAGAAGAGGGATCTGCAGCATGCAGTCGTCCTCTCAAGCCATGGAGATGCTTTGGAGAAAGGAACCGGTTGGTTCGACGAGGTGAAAAGCTGGTTGTGGAGGGGAGAGAGCAAGCCAGCGCGAAGTGGATTGAAGCAAATAGAAAATCCGGAAGGCGAGTTAAAGCGTTCCGAGCTAAAGGGTAGGGCCCATAGTTTGCCGAGCTGTGTGGAAGAACGTTGCCAAGAAAACCGAACGCGCACGCGAAGACGTGGAAGGTCAAAAAATCTTGGGTATCTCAAATTGAACGCGAAATAGCCGCATGGGATCCCCGGCCGAGTTTTTAAAGTTCGGATCATTTTACGCGGCTGCAAATTGCAGATATTACTGCCGTTGAAACCACCATTTGTCACGCACGCTGCCAGGAAAACCAACTGCAACTCCCGAGTTCCGCCGCTAATACTGAAATCACGCCTAGGCCATTTGGGCGTTCTCCAAAGACCAACAACCAGAGGTCATACAGGTGCGACCTCAGCCTTATTTATTAGCTAGCCGTATCCTAGGGCTGAATCAGGAAGGGCTGATCTAGGTACATAATGAAATAAATAATGATTTCACTGTTTTTAGCCTCCTCAAGATTGCGGAAGCACGCCGCCAAGAATTATTAGTCCAGCAGCGACCCCGCCCAACGACGGGCAAGTGAACCTCGGCTCATCAACAACGCGTGGCAAGACTGGTTGTGGCAAATTACAACACGCCGTCATTCTATCTCTTGCTGGGTAGGGTTTGCGATTAGCGAGGGGGTGATCTGTTGGCGGATTATATGTGGCTTTGGCCTACCAACATCGTGGCTGTGCCTCCTGGCAACATCGCTCTGCAGATAGCTCTTTGCCTTAGAGATGGTGTTCCCTTTTACAAGAATGCTGAGTTTCACTTAAGAGAGATTAGGTAGCCTGTAGGCCAGGTGTTTGTATGAGCTCCCAACTTGCTTTTACTTTATACTAAACTGCTTATCGACATGGCAGCGAGTGAGCTACCCAACAGGGTAGCCGAAATAGCACTCTGCCAAATCTCCTTGGCCAAGCGTTAGCATTGCGCTCGAAGAAGGACCTTATCTTGGCTCAATTAGCCTGTCGTCTGTTCTTAGCCGTAAGCTCTATATCGCTGCCCAGCAAATCATTCGCGAGGGCTGCCGATTATGCCGAGGCACTACATGTGACGTACGTCAACGCCCGAATGAAGGCGTGCGAATTTTACGCGCGGCGATTCGTATGCCTCGGAAAAGCGGTGAAATCATGCTGCAGTTGTAAGTATTGTGCGGCAAGACAGCTCTGTTTCAATTCTCACCCGCATTGCGTGGTTTGCCGATGGATATAAGGCGACTTGGCCACCCGAAGGGACGGCTTGATGAAAGGCTCTTACCTGACAAACCAGACTCTTTTCCCTCTACATACACGGTGAAAGAGCAGCAACTTCTTTCTTTGTCTTTTCTGCTCCCGAAATAAGATCCACTGTCAAGATGAGCGTACAACGAAACCCCAAGGACTCCATCGCGTCCACCTGGAGGGGAAAAGACCGGTCGCAATGGAACATTTTCCACTGGGCATACGAAATACTTCGTCTCCATCACGTCGACCTCGACAAGCAGATCCCGGTGCATCCAAAGACCGACAAGGTGCCGTACTTGAACGACTGGTACCAGCATCGGTGGATTCTCGCGCACGCCTTTGCGCCCCTCCTGCTGCACCACTGCTACTACCTCTACACCGGCCACAACTTGACCATGTGGCAGGCTGTCGTGTTTTACAGCCTTGCCTTCAAGCTCAATGCGATCCGCGAACTGCACATTCTGCGCCAGCTTGGCGAGCAAATTGGCTTTCTCGACGGCGACGTTCACGAGCGCGACGGTGTACCCGACAACAGCGTCTTCCAGGTCTTTTGGTCGCTTGTGTCGACGTCTACTTTCCGGCCAGTCTTTACGGTCTTTCTGGCCTATCAGACCAGCAAAGCCCCCGCTACCATGCAACTCTACCTGCTACCCCTTGAGACGGGACTCTACGCAATCATCCTTGACTTTTGGTTCTACTGGTATCATCGGCTGATGCACACTGTGGAGGGGCTTTGGCAGTACCATCGCACTCACCACCTGACCAAGCACCCAAACCCGCTCCTCACCCTATACGCCGACACCGAGCAAGAGATCTTTGACATTGCCGGCATTCCGTTGCTAGCCTACTTCACCATGAAGTTGATAGGCTTTCCCATGGGCTTTTACGAGTGGTGGGTGTGCCATCAGTACATTGTCTTCGCCGAGTTGGCCGGTCACAGTGGTCTGCGTATGGCCGCCACGCCGCCAAATCCGTTCAATTGGCTGCTGCGCATCTACTCGGCGGAACTCATCATCGAAGACCATGATCTGCATCACCGAAAGGGGTGGAAGACCAGTGCCAACTATGGCAAGCAGACGAGGTTGTGGGACCGCATTTTTGGAACCTGTCGCGATCGGATCGAGTGTCACGACGAGAACATTGAATGGACTACACAGATTACGATGCCGATCTTTTAATATGGCGTGTTTGTTGGGGAAGACGAGAAGGGGCGGGTGGACGCGAACCAAGTTTGCACGTTTGGTGCTAATGAAGACTTCGGGATTTCTAAAGATTGGGCAATTAAGATATAGAAGAAGAGACTTAGAAACATAGACTAATGGGTTTTTGTTGTCAATCACGCAAATTATCACACAGAGCAGCCATCGAGTTGCCATCAAGACTCGATGATTTCCATTTTCGCTTCATTCTAGCCATGATGGTTGTGATTCTCAAAAACAGCGCAACCCACGGCCATTCACTTGGTGCCTGCTGTTCTCGATATCCGAAGGTGAGTTGTCCCCGAAATTTCGTTGAGGAGTGTCATCAAAAAGTGCTGCCAACCTGTGTGGCCCTACCGGGATATACAGGGAAGTTCTGACATGTGATATTTGACGTGAGTCACTCACACAAAAGACAATGAATCGTTCTGCAAGGACATGGAGACATGTGACGCGAATGAATTAGAGTAAGGTAATGCATTTTCCAAATGACGCGGCATCGACGGCATGGTCCGATCAATACAAGGCGACACGTAGGGCTACACGCACACGTCTGTGCGTCTCAACACTTTGAGGTTGGAATTGACTGAGGCCGCATTGCAGGGTGAAGACAGCATATGTAGGTGTACACGAGTACACGAATTTGACGCCGAAGATTCTAGTCAGTGTATTATTTTGATTATTTAAAACGTTGCCTTCCCAGCAATCTCCCGCTCTCCTGCAGTTCACCTTTAACTCGGATCATCAGAACAGGAACTGCCTCTCAACATTTCGCCATCAATCCACCATACAACTGTGGAGCTTCTTACAAAATGAACGCAATCACCCAAGCCATTCTGAACAAGAGCAAGTTGGAGATTGAGTTGATCAAGATCACCAATGCCACACACAGGTAAAGCAAGCAACCGAGACTCTGTTGACGCACATGGACTTACCCTGTAGCAGCTCGTTCGTGATGTCCTTGAAAGGCAAAGCGACAAAGATCGGTGTGGCTACGGCCATAATTTCGGAAATGACTGTGGATTTAGTAGGGCCACAAGGTGCATTTGGCCGTTTAAACGTGCCTTCCATCAAGATGGGCTCGCTCGGCGCGACCATCACAATCGTTGACCAACTGATCAACATCATCGACATGGGCGCCTTCCAGGCTTTTGTTGCAGCCATCATGAAAGAGGAGGATTTGACTTTGCGACTGGAAAACGGCCACGCCACGGTCAAAGCAATGGGGATGAAGTCTATCATTGTCTATCACAAGGTGCTCCATCTCAAAGGTCTCAAGTCGCTGCAGAGCACCCTGGTTAAGGAGGAGGTGGGTACAGATGGCGTGAGGAGCAGCACCATTTCCTTGATGAACCCGTCTCAGTTTGAAGTCGATCTGGGCACCGTGGTGTATGAGGTCCAGGACAAGAATGGGAAACGAATTGGGGAGCAAAAAGGAGCAACGTATGTGCCGCGTGGCGCATCGAGCCTGGCTTTGTGTGGTGCTGTCACGGGCGAGGTACTCGGTGGCGAGACAAGATTTGTCGGGGTGGACGTCGAAGAGGAAAACTGGATAAAGCAGATTATGAGAAGTATTGAAGTAGTGGTGACTGTCTAGATAGTAATCTTCTTTTAAATTTAAAAATGACAATATGAAGACCGATGAAGTACATACAAACATGACAGCAATGACTTTATAAACACAGATGTTGTAGTAATAACTATACCAAGAAACTATATAGCCATGGTTCTCTACATCTTTTGGCAATTCTTATCTAACGTAGAAGTAAAAAATTCTCTCATTTGCCTGAACCAGGTATGCCTTGATGCCGCTCACTCACACGCGACGGCCGCTTTCCGCCTTACCACGGCAGCTTGGAGCCGGTCGGGCAAGCCTTGGTGGTGGTCGTGACGGTGACGGGGGCGCTCTTGGTGCAGGTGGGGGTGGGAGTGCAGTCCTTGGTGTCGGTGGAGGTGACGGTGACGGTCTCGGCGGCCGGGCAGGTGCCGTTGCCGGGGCCGGGGGCGGTGGTGGTGGGGATGCCGGGCTTGGTGGTGGTGGTAGGGACGGTGGGAGCGGAGGTGGTCACGGGCGGCTTGGTGGAGGTGGGCGCGGCCGTGGTGGTGGCGGGGGGAGTGGAGGAGGCCGGGCCGGTGGTGGTCGGGCTGCCGCCGCCGGTGTTGACGCAGTTGGCGGCGCTGAAGAGGTCGACGGCGGCGGCAAGGTCCTGCTGGAGGGGCGCGACGAGGCTCTGGGCGATGGACTGGGCAGCGGCGGGCACCTTGGAGACGATCGTCTTGATGAGGGCGTTGGAGGCGGTCTGGAGGTCGGTGACCTGCAGGCGGGTGACGTCGCAGAGGCCGGCGGCGGCGAGGGCGGCCTTCTTGTCCTTCATGGTGGCCAGGAGCGCGTCGCCCTTGGTCTGCAGGTCCTTGGAGGGCCCGGTCAGGGCGAGCGCGTCGGTGAGGCTGAGCGGCGCGACGGCCTGCACCTTGGCGTCGCCGTCCTTGAGGTCCTGGATGGCCTTGTTGGAGGCGTCGAGGAGCGCGGACGGGTCGCCGCTGAAGCCCTTGGCGGCCGTGTTGAGGCCGTCGAGGTCGGTGCCGACCTGGCCAAGCACGCCGGTGATGACGGACACGTCGCGGCGGACGACGCTGGCAGCAACGCCGGTGGCGAGGGCGACCAGGGTGAGGAACTTCATTGTGGGAACGGGAGGTTGGTGAGTGTCTTGGAGAAGATGAGAGATTTTGTGGAGTGAGGGAAGAGAAGCTGTGATCTGCGGAACTGCCTGGGCTGTTGCTGTTGTCCTAGGATTGTAGAGCAGAAGATTGATGCCTTCTTATACATCTCACTTCAGTGACTTGGCTGGCTGCTAGACTCGACGAGGCCACAGACATGTGGGCTCAATGATTAGCCGAGATGGAAGCCCAGTTACGCCAAGCTGAAAATGCAATTGAAGGTACGTCCAAGTGCTTTCCGGTCACCATCGTACTCCTTGTGCTCGATCAGAGCACGTTCCTCTCGGTTCTCGTCGACCGGACGCGAACTCGGTGCCAGCCCCGGCGTGGCTGGACCCCGGCAGTTCAGCGTGTAAGTCGACTGCCCCTCCCCTTCCCCTACCTGAAGCTTCTCCGGAGAAATAGCGCGCCATCTCTCAGAATGCGGGGAAGTTGGAGCAAGGCAAATGGAGCTGCTTCTGGGGAAATCGCCACATATGATTAGTCGTTGCGGCATGAACGGGCCGCCTGTGCTGGATGCAGGTTCCTGGGCGCTGCGCCCAGAACCTGCACCAGGTTGCCTTGTTCTTTTACGGTCGATTTTACTGGGATCAAACAATAGCTTCCACCCAATAAGGCAATGGCAAGAAAGTGGCGTAGCAATGGCGGGGAGGGGGGGTGTGCCTGTCGGTACATATGTATGCGCACAGATGTCTTCCGTGGCTGGCACATATGTGACAATGGGTGTTTGATCGCCGAGGCATGCTGGAGTGAATGTAGCTCCATTTCTTCACGAGACGGATATGCTTATTCGATTATGGGTAAAATGTCTTGTTTTTCGGACTCACATCCCAGAACATGAACGACCATGGTCGTACTGGGATGTAAGACAGAGAGATGGATGGTCGGATGTAAGACAGCGAGATGGATGGTCGGTTGACAACTCTGACACACCAACTACTACACAAATGACGGCAATACAACCTCAAATTGCATGTAGTTGTTTCCTTTAGTAAAATGTCGTCTATAAATACTCCGGATTTCTCTCGTGTGTTTTGAATGTAGAAACCGATCATCCATCACCGGCTTTTCATCCACCCTCAGTCACCCTACTTTGGCCCAACTCTCTCTCTGTCCAAGATGCTTCTCTCCAATCTCATCGCTCCTACTATCGCCCTGGCTGCCACTGTGCTGGCCGACGGCGCGGCCGTCAACTCAGCCTTGCAGACCGTCGACGACGGCATCAACGCGCTCACGGCCGCGCTCAACGGCTTCTCGGGCGACATCTTTGGCGCGCTGCCCGTCCTCGGCGCAAGCATGACGCTCAAGTCGGACATTGACAAGGCCAGCGGCGTCGCCAATAACTCGCAGCCGCTCACCTCTGACGACGCCCTCGCGCTCGCAAGCACCGTAAACACCATCATCACCGACTCCACCAAGTCCATCGACGCCTTCATCGCCGTCAAGCCCAAGTTTGACAAGCTCTACATCGTCACACCCATCGCCTCGGGCCAGATCAAGGACCTCAAGGCGGCGACGGTTACGCTGGGCAACGCCATCATCGCAAAAGTCCCGGCCGACTTCAAGGACGTGGCCACCCAGCTTGTCGGCCAGATCAACGCGCAGTTCGACAGAGGCATTGCGGCGTACGGCAGCGGCGGATTCTCCTTCTTTGGCCTCCCTGCTTCGCGTCGATCCAGCGTTGCTCGTCGATCCGTGGATGTTGAGCTAAACATCTGAGGCGGCGGACTGGCTGAAAGGGTATGAGTTTACCCCTGATTCATTAATTTGTCCAGGTTTATCTTGACCTCTCACCTAGATAGCGGGTAGCGCAATGGAATACAGTGTGAATGAAACTACTCTGCTCATGTGCTCCCTCCCGTTTTAAAAGAACGTATCTAAATAGTAAAATAGAACTGTAAAATCGGCCTAGAACTCACTTCCGATACTGCCTGCCGTGGCCAACAAACTTTCAAGCCGTCATTAAAAGCAGGCATTAGTAGAAAGTGAGCGCCGCTACGTGATACCCATCATCGCCACAAACCCAAATTTAGAGTCTGAAAATACAAACATACGCAGAGAAAACAGCAAAGCTCAAATATTCTTTAAAGACTCGCGTTCCCCCATCTCTTTGTCCCATTTTCCCCACCTCTACTACGCGACTAAATAGCCTGGTCGCCAATCTGCCTACTCACATCGGAGTGAAGCCACGCAACGAAAACCTCACCAACAATAAAAGCGCCGCTACACAAACCACCACCACCACCACAACAACAACAACAGCAACCGTCACAAGTAAAGAGAAGATAGTTTTCATTATCTTCATCTTGAAAAAGCTGGCCGCACACTCGACGCGGGCTTCCGAAGCCACTGTATCGTCGTCAGGACCGCGCCCTCTTTTCCTTTTTTCTGTGACACTGACAAGTTCGAGCGCCACGACCACTATGATGCGATGGCATACCATCAAATACACAGGGCCCCCTGGGAGCGTCGCATACCTGCAAAGAAACCGAAATTGAGGGTGCGGAGCACATTTGACTACCCCGAGTATATTTCACTAACCGACGCCATTTGTTTTGGCCCGTTGCAGGGCCATACACGCTTGCCAGAGGACTTGAGCTGGCCGATCAGGCCACAGGGAGAAATGTCGGAAAATGGGGCTGCTTCTAATCAAGACCAAAGCTCCGGTGCCGGGTTTGCACAGCGCGAGGAAGGGTAACCCTTGGGCCGCTGGGTGGGCGCAACTTCCGTTTTGCAGATCCCAGCGGGTGATATTCAGGCGCGTATCGAAGAGTTCTATAGAACACAGCAAGAGGAACAGCGGTGCGAAGCGGCTGCCATGTCGTCTTGAGGGGGCCACGTTGGAGGGGTTGGTAGTGTAGGACACGATACTACCGTGTAAGTAGTAGGCGTATATATCTCCAGCACTCTCACATAGTGGAAGTGAGCATTATGCCAACATATGATTTATTTCTATTTAGCCATTCCACGCAGCTAGAGCAGTTTTCTCTTTTTCTTTTGCAATTTCCTGACACCGATATACGCGTTGTTGCGGCGGTGACAAAGGACTTGCGTTGTACTATGCATCCCCGCCCGCAGCCTCCTATGCGTAGGCCTGGATGGTCTCATAAAAGTGAAACTCCAACGACGAGAGCAGAAGCGGCGCGACGTTCCGGACCTGTGTGACGAACTTGTCCGTCAACGCCTCACCGAACCCCAGCGTGGAGTTCTGCAGCTCCTGCAGCTCCTCGCGCACCAGGCCGGTGATGGCGCCGCCCCCGCCGAGCCCGTCGAAGACGTCGTGCTTGGCCACGACCTTGCCGAGCACCGCGTACGTGACGTCGGTGATGCCGACGACCGCGTAGGCCACGCTCGCCGACGCGTCGTCGTCGAGCGCGGCCGAGCCCCGCACCGAGTCCGTCGCGGCGGTGAGGTCGGCGCGCAGCTGCGTGGCCTGGTTCTGGAAGTCGACGGCGGCCTGCGCGTCGTCGGGGCCGCGAATCCGGTCGAGGGTTGCGTTCATGGCGGCGAGCTGGCCCGAGATGGCGGAGATGGAGCCGACGATGCCGGTGCTGTTGTCGCGCGGTGCGAGGTGGCTGATGGCCGGCGCGACGAGGAACAAGGAAATGAGCATCGTGAAATGCATTTTTGGAAAAGGGTTCTAGATGCCCGATTGAGATGCAAAAGAAAAACAAGAAAGAGAAAAATACAGTGGTGAACCTGTTATTCTCCGTCAATGGCCGCCTGTGATCCAGCAACTTGCTCACTACATTCCCAAAGTAAATATTTATTTCAAGCCCATGTCTACTTTCGGCAATGGCTTAACTAGCTCGTTTCATTGTCTTCCCATGCAGATAGTAGTATACCAGATACGCGTACTATTCCATCACGTAGGGACAGGGAGTCGAGTGTTGGAGACACCCCTCCCTCCTTCCCGCCCCGACTGACCCCAGCGCCGTAGCTAGCTCCAACGCAGCAAGCCGCCAGCTTCATGTTGCATTACATCTCCAAATCCGACAAGCAGCCTTGTTTTCTACCTTGGCTGGCCATGGAGGTAGTTTTGAGTGTGAGTGGGGGGATCAGCACGGGCAATGCCGAGAGAAACTCACATGTACTCAAAGTAAGGCACCTGTCATGAATGCACTCCAACACATGCACGCACTGCTGCTCTAATAAAAGAAGAATGATGAATTGTCTCTTAAATTAAGGACCGTCAACGTTGCTATCACATCATGCCTACTATATCTTCTCGTGACACCGAAAACCTGCAGTCGGCAGCCTCGGCTTCAATACATGACACACTCATGTAGGCCGGATGGCCGACATGAGGAAAGAGTAACAAACAACTCGAGAACGATCTCATCGCCTTATCCCTCCCGAACATGAGCACGGCCAGTTGAAGCACATGTAGTGAGTGAGTCGGAAGGAATGATAACGTGCTTGACCAGATCATTCCATCGGCATCAACAACCCCAACCAATACCATGCCATATGACCCCAATCCCCTGAGCGCATCGTCCACCCAATGTGCCACCCCCCTGCTCCAAGACATCTTTCAAAAGGCTGCTTGCTGGAGCACCCGCAGCTACCACTTTCCTTTTGCTGCCTTGGTGGATCTACTTGACACAGACAACCTGGCCCCGAACGGGGCCGTCCTTGCAGCGTAAAGGGTAGCAGTCGCTGGACTTCTCGAAATCACTGAAAGTATTGCAGGTAAAGACTTCGTAATCGTCCGTCCCGCAGTAGGAAAAGCCCGGAGTGCACCCATAAGGTGGCTGGGCCGGGGCCGGGACGGCGCTCACCCCGGCCGCCGCGGCGACAAGTAGGAGGAGAGCGGATCGGAAGAGAGTCGGCATTGTGGCACTTGGTAAACGACGGTTGAGAGTAATGGGGGTTTTTTTTTTCGAGAAGATATTGATGTCTTGGTGACAAAGTAAGGGCTTGGATAAGATGCGAATGCTAAGGGTGGGTGTTGCGAAGATCCGTGATGAGTGAAGTTGAGAAGCCTGGTTGGGAGAAACTACAACGTCTCAACCCGACGTCTTTATAATTTTTTTTGGAAGGCATTGTCATGTTTGCCCATGAGTTTGTTTGTTGCGGTGCGTGAACTAGAGGTTGAGTTTGTCTGTCGCCCGTCACCGTTCGAGGCCCGTGTCATCGTTGTGGTGCAAACTCGGCGCCATTTGAACATGCAAACTGCGACTAAAGGCAGGGTCATTCGTGATGATTGTGCCTTCTGATACAACAAGAAAGATAGAACTCTCATCGCAGTCGCGTGATAGATGGACCGCGAAGGGGGGGGAGGCTGCGCTCGGAGGGTAAGGCTCAGTCTTGAGCACTGCCTGGCTACACCTACATTACGTATACTACAACTTCGTCCTCTGTCGGCTCACAATTGGGTCAGACTCTCTGGAATACTTTTTTTTTTCAAACTTCCTCAACGTTAAATTAAGCTCATTGACCTGGTTTGCACACACTGGCACTGCTCATTTTTTCCCGGGGCGTCTCGTGTGCTTCCTGTCTTTGACTGAGACATCGCCTTCATGGCCATACCGCACCGCAGGCCGGGACAAACAACGAGCTCCCAACCACGGTATTGCTATACGACACGTGCGCATTATTGACCAGACTCGATCCAAAATCCTGGCCGGCATTGCATTTCTAATTTCCCAGCCATGTTAGCTTCCACCAGACGGAGGGGAGGCATGGCATGTTATCGTGCCACGTACCGGAGAGTCAATCTCGCACTTCCAGGTCGACCCGGCCGTGTTGTTTGCCTCCTCGCTCTGGAAGTACTCCGGCGAGTGGTGGACGTAGCCCAGGACGGCCGGCGGGATCTGCGGGATGCCGTCCGTGGAGTGCGTCACGCGAAAGTAGCGGTCGTCCGGCACCACCTCGCTCGCGTGCCGCGCCCAGGCGGCGTTTCCGTTGCGCGGCTCGCCGTAGGTAAACACTTCAGACACCTGGAAGCCCAGGCCGGTGAAGGATGCCGCGGCGATGGCTGAGATGCCCCCGCCGAGGGAGTGGCCCGTGACGACGAGGCGCCAGCCATCTTCGCACAGCAAGCCCTGCAGGGTCGTGGCCAGAGGCTTCATCAGGGCGGTGTAGCATTCTTGAAACCCTTGATGGACCTAGCAATGACAAACATTCATTTTTAGAAACTTGTCCCTTTTTTTCTTTTTCGGCGTGATGGATGTGGTCCTGGGTTCGTTTACCTTGCAGTCGGGGCAGGTCGTGCCTGGCACGCTGAGCGGGACGAGCGTAAAGGCCAGGTCAAAGTCGAGCTCCCGAGGCGACGAGGTGCCGCGAAATGCGACGATGACTTCCTTGGCCTTGTCGTCGCGGAAGATGGCCGCTCGGGTGCTCGTGTCGGCGTCGTCGACACTCTTGACAATCTCGGAGCCAAAGGGCGGCGTCGGGCAGTCCTCCTGGTACACTGCGGCGGCGAATTGCGCATACCGCAGCGTTTTGTCGAATACCTCGGACGATACTTGAAGTGATTCCGTTAGAATCTTATTTTCCATGATTTTTGTTTTTGACGATACCTGCGCGGTGAATAACGGACCTGGTGTCTGGGCGTTGACGGCGGCGTGGAGGAGGCCAATTGATGCAGGCAGAAACCAGCGCATCTTGAAGGTTTTTATTCTGGTACGAGACAAACAAGCTGAAGCGGTGGAGGAAGTCAAGATTTGGTAAGAATAAAAACTAAGCTAGCAATCTGTCTTTGAGTTTTGTAGCAAGCACATGAATGGCCGATATGTGTGCTGGCCACGACAGACACTATGTTGCTCCCACTGGTAGGCATGCCTAATGAGGCATATGCCTTGAGCTTTGATCCCAATGCGGAAAGAAAGATCGTCGCGCCTCGGTAAGTGGCTTTTTGCGGCGTGTACTAATATGTGCACATATGTGTACATATGTAGATAGGCTCGCAGCCACGCAGCATACCCTCTAATGTAACCTTTCACTTAGACTAAGCTGAATTGTAGTCGTAGACCAAGTTACGCACAACTAGTTACTTGGTTTAAGTCAGGTCAATCCGCCAAAGTGCCAATAATCACGACTCTGTCACAAACTACGCCTTGCGGCCGAGAAGAACAAGAGAAATATGCGGTTCCCCGGCCTCTTCAGCGTCCTCGGCCTGCTGGCCCTCACCGCCGCCACTGACTTCCAGACCGTCCGCAACGACATCGCCAACATCAGCGCCCTCCTGAAGGGCCTCGACGCCAGCGCCAAGGGCATCCAACCGGGCTCGCTGGGCATCGCGCGCTCGCTGCAGCTCGAGGTCGACTCCGTGCGCGTCCACCAGCTTCTCCTCTCCACCATGCGCGACACGCAGGCCGCGCCGCCCTTTGCCGACCACTCCATCGACGTCGGCGGCGACTTTCTCAACATGCAGCCGGTCATCGAGGGCGTGCTGTCGACGCTGGCGGGCCTCAAGGGCAACCTGGGCCAGCTGCGCCTGGTGGTGCTGGCGTGCCTGTACCAGCTGCGGCAGGACGCGGACGCGCTAGGCAGGGAGGTGGCGGGGAAGCTGAGCGCGGACTTTCAGGACGTGACGAAGCAGGTGCTGGGGCAGATTGACGATTCGTTCAATCAAGCCATCGCGGCGTATGGCGGCAAGAGTAAGTAGACGTTGTTGTCCTTGGCTGTTGTCGCGCGGTTCTTGTCTATATTCTGACTGGTAGTAGCAATCTGAGTAACCTTGGTAGAAATCAGCGGTTTACACGGAATAAGTGTTTTATAGCACATATTGAGAATCTAAATAGACAATAAAAGTTCAAGTCAAATAACTACGCGATTGGGCTGTACTGTAGCTTGGAGCCCATGTCTACTTCTCTACTTCTAGCCAGTGAGATTCGCACCTGTTATGACACTGCGCAGATAACTCCTAATAAGTCACATTGTAACTCTAGAGTATAACAAGATAATAAGAATTTTAAATTTATGCAAAAGTACTGAACACGATGACAATAGTCGGCCATCAACACTCCCGACACCCTCTACTCCAGCCGCTTGGGCTCGTCTGTACTTGCAAATCTGTAAGCTGTAGTTGTTTGAGAATCAAGTTCTCGGGAGCCCAGGCCAACGCTTTCTCCAGCTCGGTCCCCATTTATAGATGATGGGGATGAACAGGATAAACGCACCCAGGATTCCGGCATACATGATGAACGTCTTCAGGTACCCGAGCTCAGCAACCCACTCCGAAACCCGGAAGGACAGCACAAAGGCCACCACGAGGCGGAAGGACGCGATGTTGACCAAGGCCGGTCCGGTAAGATGAGGGTACGATTCCAGGACGTAGACGATTCCGATCGTGTTTGTGGCGAGGAAAGCGAACGCAATCATGCCCAGACCGAGGAGGAACACTATCCAGTGGTACTTTGCCGGGTCGTCTCCCGAGACGGCAAACACGATGCACCCCACGAGGCCAACCACGCACGGGATGATCAGGTTGAGCGCTTGGAACTCGGGATCCCGCCCGCCGCTCCTGCGCGCCAGCCAGTTGGCGACCTGGTCGGCTCCCCAGCCGGAGACGAGGAAGGAGGCGATGGCGGCGACGATGAGCGGGAAGAGGCAGAAGCCGAGGTGGTAAAAGTTCCAGCTCCAGGGGTCGGCGAGGAGCTGTGGCGCGGTGGTGTAGCCGGCAGCGAGCGCCATGGCGATGACGGCCGAGTTGAGAAGCGTGACGAAGAGCATATGCGGGTAGAAGAAGGTGCGCAGGCAGGCCCAGAGGGCATCGATGCCCGCGCGCCAGTCGACCTTGCACTGGAGGAGCTTGATGTCGTCCTTGAAGGAGCGCGCGGGGTAGCTGACGTGGTCGATGTCGGGCCGGGTCTGACCGGGGCGGAGCGGCACGGCCGGGATGCCATCTATAGGTGGTGATCAGTATATGCGCCGAGGGGGGAGCAGAGGGAGGAGATGCGTACTGCTCTCGTCTTGGGAACGATCAAACTTAGTTTCGGGTAGGGTGAGGAAGAGGCAGACCCAAAACACAGCGCCGGCGATGGCAGTGGCAAAGTAGATGAGTCTCCAATCGGCGTAGCCAATAATGTACGGTGCTGCCACGCCTAGAGCGACAATGATCAAACCCTGGAAGCGGGAGGAGTTAGACCACGTTCAAAGAGACCAACGTAGTTATCAGCCAAGGACGTACCTGAGTAGCAAATACAATGCTAATGGCGGCGTTTCGCTGATGGAAGAAGATGATATCCTGCAGGATAAACGGAATGAGACTCTCAATAGTCCCCGCGCCGACCGCCTGGATCACACGACAGACGAGGTGCGTGGCCAACGACGTGCTGAACCCTGACCCGACGCACCCCGCGAGCGCGACGACGCCCGTGATGAGCAGCACGTTGCGGCGGCCGGTGGCGATGGCGAGCGGGATGAGGGCAATGTTGGTGACGCCCATCATCAGGATGGGCAGCGAGGCCAGCAGGTAGATCTCCCAGATGGGCGGGCCGGGGAACTCGGCGAGGATGGTCAGCGCGTTGACGCCCTCGGGCAGGCGCACCTTGGTCAGCAGCTTCGGGTCAATACCGGCGTACTGGAAGCTGAAGACGGGCAGCATCGCGCCGAGGACCAGCTCGGCGGCGGCGGCCATGGCGCCGAACAGGCAGAGGGACCCGAGGGCGGCCATCTTGTGCCAGGTGGGCAGGTTGAGGGGATCTAGATGAGGGAGTTTTGTTAGTTGCTTTGCTCTCTCTCTCTCTCTCTCTCTCTCTCTCCTCTCGCTCTGGTCAAGTTGAGACCTGGGTACACATACCTCTAGGATCCGCCGTGGGCATGGGGATGAGCCGCGGGACCTTGCTCCTGCCGCTCTCCAGTGACTCCTCGCCTTTGTCCTTGTCGCCGGAGGACCGAAAGTCCTCGCGTAGTTCAATCATGGTTGTGGCTGTGGTCTGCGTGCTCAGCTTCTCGGCGCTCGAGCGAGACAGCAGCCTGGAGAGGGAGGAGGGCATGATTAAGTAAGGTCCCCGAGTTGTCAGGAACGATTTGAGCTTCAACAGTCCTTGGGGGGAGACAATGACTGTGATCAAGAGATATTTAACAAAGTCGCCACCGGGCACATGTATAAGTGATGTTGTGGCTGGGAAGGAGGAGGGAGGGGGGCCGATGATGATCTACGACCTCACGTCCTAGTGTTCGGATGTGCAAAGGTGGCGGCCAAGGTTTCAGTCGAGTATGAGAAGAAGAACAGACTTTTTGTCAAAGCTTCCCTCGGTCTGGGGATATCATGCGGGGAGGGGGGGCCAAGAGAGAGAATTTGGCACCACTGGTAGGTCGCAGAATGGTCATACGAGAAGAGCCGCAGGGGAGGCTTCGTGGAAGTGTGTGTGAGAGGTGCGATAAGTTCGTCCCGTGCACACCAAGCAGATTTTCTCTCAATAGCATATTCTTTCTTCTTAACTTGGCAATCACATGTTTGGGGGGGAATGTTCTCTTTAAAGAGCGTGAGAGTCCTCGGCAGCCGGGGACGGGCACATATGTAGCGCGCCTCAGACAACCCCAAGCGAGTCAAAGCCCGGGGGGGGGCAAAGTCGAGGGGCCGCTTGGATGAGCGCGCCCAAGAGACATCTTCTTCCCTTTGTATTAGTATTAGCGCCCGTTTGTGTGGTTATCGCGCTTTGAAAAGGCACTGTTTCACGAGTTGGTCACCGTCCCGTCCTCCGCGCTGGGCAACGCCTCCCGTTTCCCCCATCGACAGTTTCTATTTTGTTCAAGACCCTTGGTGTTGCCGCTTCCGGCGAGCCTATACCTAGTGTCAACCCTTTTGTATCATTGTATCATTCTCTTACAAACAACTTGTCACCGAAAAATGCGCATCTCACTCACTCTCTGCGCGTCGCTCGCAGGCGTCACCCTCGCCGCCTCCTCCTCGTCCAAGGCGCTGGTCGCGCGTGACTTCGACACCGTCGCCTCCGTGCTGGCCAACGTCACTGACGCCGTCAACGGGCTCTCTACCGTCGCCAACACGGGCGTCGCGGACCCGGCCACGCTCCTCACCGCCTCGGACCGCATCGTGCAGGCCATTCAATCCGGCACCGCGCGCGTTAACGCTACCGGTAACTTGACCTTTATTGAGACGGTGCACCTGATTGCGCCGGTACACAAGCTGTCGTCGCTGTCAGGCGACCTCACCAAGAACATGGTCAAGCTCAAGGGCTCGATCCAGAAGCAGCGCCTGTGTGAGGTGGTGCGGCTGCAGGTCGGCATCATCAACAACGCCACCTCGGGGCTGATCGCGGCGATTGACAGCAAGGTGCCCTCGGCGGCACAAGACATTTCCCAGGCGCTGTCGCAGGGCATCACGGATTCCTTGACGGACATCCAGAAGGACTTTTCGGATCAGAACTGCGTCGACGGGCGCAATGAGACGACCACGTCCGCCGGTTCACCACTTGCCTTGGGTCCCTCCAGCGCCTTCGTCTCTCTGTGTCTTGGTTTAGTGACGGCTTGGATTATTATCTGATGGCATTTGTACAATAAATTGGCAAATGGGAGTCTTGCAATAAAAATGGCCCAGGTGGCGAGTCTACATCGCGTCGACACCAGGGCCTTGCACCGTCCATCACGGCAGTTGAGTCGGAGCAGGGCATATTGTCGGGGGCCAATATGCTGTTGATGCAATTTTCGGGCACAGTTTTATAGATTGATTCAAAGCATGTTGATTTCAGTCTCAGTGGATGTTTCTGCGCGACTTGTTTTTTTGACAGCGGTACATGGTGAAAAGATAGCACATCACATCCCTGCATTTCGACCAAGCTCCCTGTCCAAGATCAATGACAGCATCGAGAATCAGCTACGATTTCAAGGTGCTTATCCAATATCTTTGTTCCGGATTTAATCGACAATGTATCACATACTAGAATCAAGCTCACTATCTTTTCCAAGTAAAGTTCACCAGTAGTCTTGCAGTGGGGGTTGCCTGGGGTCCGTTTCTCCGCAGTCTTCAAGCTGGGTTGGGTGACAAGCGTACAATATGCCGGCCGCAAGACGACATTTTCGTGGCGTTATTATTATTGCGACAAAAGGCACAGCTACCCCGCAAACGTTAATGAGCCCGTCCAAGCACTCCCGAGGCGCCTCATTTGGGGGCAAGGGGGCTCTTCTCGGCACGAGGACAGGTACATGTGAGGCCCAAGCTCGCCATTGGAGAGCTTGAGTTAATATGGGTTCAGCCAGGGCCGGGGCCAGCGATGCAAAACTGTGTGGTTCTGCACAGTACAAGGTGCCAGGCCATACATATGTCGGATGGCATATTGGCTGGGTTGGGGGAAAGCTAGCCAGGAGAGAGGGAGCCTCTCGCGGGACGGCTTGCCCGGATGCACTGGCCCCGGCCGTGCGCTGCCTTTGAGCACTCACATCCCCCGCACCAGGAGGCAACAAGATGTTACATGGCGTGGTGTGGCATCTGGAAATGAGAGGGTGTAAGACTAGCGAGACAGGGCCGGCGCACTTGACACGCACACACCCCCCTTCCTCCATTTTAGAACACGCGCCGTCAATCAACCGATATGCATGGTCCCAGAGACATGTGTAGCTGCTTTCAAGCTCGGGAGAATGGATGCATCGTGATGCTTGCGATCATGAATCTACAATGTTGCAGATTCGATCGTGCTTCTCTGCGCCGCGCGCGCCGGGCCAGCCACCGCCCACGGGACGCCAAATCGACCAGACCGGCCAACTGACAAGCTCGGGAACATTCTGGATGATGGCCTCACTGCATAATGTATGATGTTTGATCGCTCAGCACTCCGGGCCAATCACGGCAGTTAGCGCAGGCTGCCGCATAACAATAGGCACTGGCTGAATCTACACCAATGCTGGCGCCACCGTTTCTCCATGGACTCTTGCACATGGTTTTGTACTGTATGTACCCCGGAGTAACTGTCATCTGTCATGTGCTTATAAAAGCTCTGATACGACGGAATGAACTCTGAAAGAAGGCTATGAGTCTTGGCTTCGGAGGGTAATGCGCATGACGTGATGGCGCAGAACCTTGTGGTGGAACTGAGGGCAACTTGTAAGCGGCATTCCCATCACATGGCGTCGGTTCGTTTGCGTCGTTGAACAATGACGGAAATGAAAACACCCGATCCAGTACTAGCCATTTACGGTGACTTATTAGGCACGAGTGGCATTTCCTTGGAGACTGTCAACTATACGAGTCAATTGGTCGCTGCGGTGTATTCTTGGAAAGGTAGGCACCTCGAACGTCTTGGGCATTACGGCTCACTAGACCATGCTGATAATTAATCAAAATCGGCGGAGACTATATCGAAAAGTAACTCACTCGAATGGATGAATAAATGTATCGAGACTACATAGATGGTAGAAGTCAATGAGCGAGTGCCAGCGTAATGATGCCACGCCAGTTTGATCAGCACAACGCCGCATGCATGCTGAGCTCAACTCAAGAAAGTTTGCTCGTATCCAAAACAAGAAAAAAAAAGGGCTCCAAGGCACTAATAAACTAGTCAGGGGGTGGCGTGCCTTTCATCTGAATGGAAGCGCACAGATGCTCCTCAGCTCTTCATCAACACCAGGGTTGGGTGGCGGCCTCGGCAACGTGGACTACTACATATGTCAATCGGGGGGAGGACCGAGTCTACATGCTTTGCTTTGGTCATCGCCGATCAAACAGCATCTTTATAGTCTTTCCGTAGGATTTCCCGAGAGAACTCGTAGCTTAAATAAAGCCACAAGAGAGCCAAGCCTGAGCAAACAGAACCAGCTCTGCTCTTCACCCATCTCTCATCCCTTGCTCACCCAGTCGTTTCAGTCGCAACCAATCAAGCACTCTGCATTATTCTTTCACCTTGAATAAAGTCCTGATCTCCCAAACCACAAACATCAAAATGAAGTACTCCGTTATTGCCTGCGCCATCACCGGTGCCCTCGCCGTCAACACCAACCTCCTCGCCGCGCGCGACGCCGCCACCGTCACCTCCATCCTTGGCGACGTCAAGAAGGACCTCGAGGCCCTCGACTCCACTGTCAAGTCCTACAGCGGCGACAAGGCGCCCCTCCTCAAGGCCTCTAACGACCTCATCACCACCCTCAAGGACGGCAAGACCAAGGTCGACGCCTCCGCGGAGCTCTCCCTCAACGACGCCGTCACGCTCACCTCGCCCGTGCAGGACCTCACCAAGAGCGGCGAGGCGCTGACCACCGACCTCAAGGCCTTCCGCCCGACGATCGAGAAGGAGGGCGAGTGCGTGCTGGTCCGCACCCAGGTCGGCAACGTCAACGACGCCTCCCAGGCGCTCATCAAGGCCGTCATCGCAAAGGTGCCCCAGGAGGCCCAGACCATCGCCTCCCAGCTCGTCGCGGGTCTGACGCAGGTCCTCCAAGACAGCGTCTCCGAGTTCAGCGAGGACAACTGCAAGAACAGCGGCGGCGGCGGCGGCGACTCGCCCAGCTCCTCCGCTTCTGCTGCCCCCAGCTCCTCCGCTGCCGGCGGCGAGTCCTCCTCGGCTGCTGCTAAGCCCACGAGCGCTGCCTCCACGGCCGCTTCATCCACTCCTGCGGCGACCACTGCCGCCCCGAGCGCTACCGGCACCGGCGCTGCGACTACCAGCTCCGGCCCGGTCAGCACCGCTCCCCCCGTGGTTGCCGGTGCCGCCGCCATCGCGCCTCTCGGCGCCGCCGCCTTTGCCGTTGCCGCTCTGCTGCTGTAAGCTTCCTTCTCGAAGCTACAAGTAGCCTACGCTGCTAGCATGGAGACGATCCGCTGAGAAGGAAGTATTTGCATAGAGAGATTGAGCTGGAATGGTTTTACTTCTCTTCTGCCAAAAACGCTACCACGCGCGCAACTGGGACATCACACAAAAGACACAGACTGTATCAACATCCGGTAGAACCATAATTAGTTTACACATTGGCTGGCACATGTTTTTGTCGCGGCATGCTTTTTCGTATAGTTTACAACGTGTCTGTCCGGTAGTCTAGATAGCTCTTGGATTAATTAATCGTGTCTCGAACTTGATCTGGTCGACTCTTGCGCCGCACAGACTGCCTGCCCGTGATGGATAGCCCCTTGTCCGTTGCCACTTCAGCGCTTGAGCATCGCAGCAGAGTGACTGGCTATTTTTAGGCTCTCGCTTCCAGACACCGGATGTTGGTGGAATACTACGTGACGCATCCCACATCTGGGGTATGCTCGCTTGTGCAAGTACCGGTGCGACGGTACTCTGCGATTCGACCATTGCCAAACTCTCTTGCAAAAATACAATAAAAAGGAAACATTGAAAAACATTAGCGACAGTTTTGCTAGCAGCGGTGTATTTCTTAGACTATATAGAACGAAGTACATTGATCCAGACGTCTAGAAGCGAGCATCCTTGCCCCAACTTAGGCGTTGACGCAGTTGCCAGGAGAAAAGGCAGACTGGGCATCGGCGAGGACGTCCAGGATTCCCTGCGCCTGGTCCTGCGCGATGCCCTGCGCGTCCTGGGGCACCTTGGACACGGTCGCGTCGATCAGGCCCTTGCTCTTATCGCTGATGGTGCCGATCTGGATTTCCACCACCTCGCAGAGGCCGGCCTGCTGAACGGTGTCCTTCTTAGCCTTGAGGTCGTCCACGAGCGTCTGCGCGTGCTGCTTGAGCGACTGCACCGGGTCCAGCAGCGTCAGCGACTCGTCGAGCGTGAGGTCAGGGCTGCCCTGCACCGTGGCCGTGCCCTGGCTGATGGTGTCGACGAGCTTGTTGGAGGCGTCGAGCACCGGCGACGGGTCCGAGGTCCACCCGTTGACGGCCGAGTCGAGCCCGTCAATGTCGCCCTGCACGGCGGTGAGAACGCCGATGATGACGGAGGCGTCGCGGGGGATGACGAGGGCGTGCGCGCCGCTGAGGGCGCTGATGACGGCGAGGGGGGCAGAGAAGTGCATGGTGGTGTTGTTTTTGTTTGATCAGGGGAGGGGAAGATTTGAGTTTCAAGACAGGTAGATCCGGTGAGGGAACTGAGATAGGAGATTGTTGAGATTGGCAGCGAAGATGTTTTCTTTTTTCGGCTTGCTTATCGACAATCTCTTTGAAGATCGTTCAGGAACTGGCCGTTTTATAGCGTCAATTTTGTCGTTGTTTTCACGACATCAACGTCGGAGACCGCCTTGGAAGCTGAACTGGCAATTGACTCTACATGACGTGGAAATTGTCATTTCCTCAAGCTACCAGACTCCGAATGTAACGCTGCGTGAAGCCCTCGTCATGGTCGGAGTAATATTCCAGCGCGACGAGCGCAGAAAACCTGGGGTTGCTGACAGCTCGACGACAAGTGCCGACCCGTCACAAAGACGCTCATGAGAGCACTCGTGAGAGTAAAACATACCGAGATCCGGCCAGTCAACCCACGAGGGGTCTTTTGCCGCGGCTGCCGCATCTGGGGGTTGGTTGGGATGGTGTTGCATCGGCCCTCCATGTCAAAACAAATCCTTCACCCGTCATTATTAGCCCTTGATAGTGGAAGGATCGAGGGCTTGAATTAAACTTGCCCCATCAGAAAGCAACACCACCTGCAGAATGGGGGGGGGGGGGGGGGAGATGGTGTGGTGGAGAGGCGGCTCTTTTCCCCTCTCCTTCCCTCCCATTGTCCAAAGTCTCTCCCATCGTTGGGCCGAGCACATATGTGCTCTCCCGTTGAGCCTCGCGGCAAGTTGCTCACTGGTCCGAAGTGGTTGGGGGCATTGGCGGGGGAGGGGTGTGTGAATAGGAACACCAACAGGGGGGGGCTCTTTTAGCCTTGAGGTAAAGAGATTTACAACTAGCATTGCGGGGAATTTCCCTCCCGACAACCTATTGAATCCTGTGGGTTCTGCAAGCGACGCCCGCCTTGACTCATCCAGCGCGGGGTGGACTTGGACGGTGGCGCTCGACCAGGTTCCGTCTCCCTCAATGATTGATGCCTTTGTTTATGATCCCGTCTCGGAACGACAAGTGAACTGCCCTTCCACCGCCCAAGTACCTACTGGAATCAGCAATCAGCCCACTGACGGGATCAACCGCTTGATAAACGCAACCTTTTATGGAGTGGACGCTGTCCAAGCGCCCTCCCTTCCCCTCCCCCTCCCCCCCTCCCCCTGCTGCCCACTGTCCACACAATGCTGTAGCTCTGCGGCACCTTTCCCGGCTGAACTTTCATCCAGACAATTGACCCAAGATGGTTCCTGACTATCGCCATGTATGGATGACGCGCGAGGAGCAAGGTTTCGGTTCTTGCCATATTGCCCAAACTCCTTGGCCAAACGCCACTCACTACATGCCAGGGCCAACTTAGTCTCGGCCGACGGGTATGACGGGGTGAACAGGAGACAAATGGTATCGAATTGGAGAATATCAAAATGCATCATATCATGTAAAATCTGTAAATCTCCTGCACCGCCGACTTGACTAGCAATTACCCTCATTTTCCCCCATCGCCGCCATTCAACGCATCCAGCTGTTCTTGCAGGGCCTCGTTCCTCTCCAGCAGCGTCTTTAAAAACTCGACTGCCTTGAACAGGATCCTAGACCTCGACCAGGTTCCTCCTCGAAGCTCCGGCACGAGCTCTGTCAAGTCATTAAATCCATCTCGTATGAGTCCGCGCCGCTTCTTCTCGTGCCGGATGTGGTTGCTGCGCTTCTGTTCGATCGTGAGCTTCTTCCGCTGCCCTTTTGTCTCGCGTCTGGATATCAGGGGCCCTGCGACCGAAGTTGCCGCACTTTCTGAGTATACTTTCTTGGGGATGTTTCTTTTGCTGCGACCGCCGGGCCCCTTTCTGACCGACGCCGCCGGGCTTCGAGCCTGGCTCGATCTTCCTCCTGTTGAACGCGCATCTTCCGCCTCGCCGTCTTGTTCTTCCTCTTCCTCTTCCTCTTCTTCCTCTTCCTCTTCTTCCTCCTCCTCCTCTTCGTCTTCGGGCATTAATTGGAGTCTGAATTGAGTGAGCTGCCGCACACCAACCCGCCGCCGGGTGGCTCTCGACTCTGTGGTGTCAAACATGGCGTCGCTACCCCATTGCACCGTATCTTCGGCAAAGCTTCGAGATGGTGATCCTTTTTCGGGCGGATACACCCACTCCATAAACGTGTTCTCGTTGCTGTCGATGTGCCGGTTCCGCAGCATCTCCTCCTTGAAGTCAACGGAGGTCTGGTGTAGCAGATGAGCAGGTGGGCGTCCAGGTCCTTCAGTTTGCACAGGTACCGTTGACCCGTCAGGCTTGAGTAGTGAATGGGGTTGGACTGGGTAAAAGTCGGTGTTGAGATTGGCCTCTGATAGCCCCTCTGCGTACTTTTGGGAAGCGCGCGAGTTGGCGTCATGGCTGTGGTTGTTGAAGCTCATGCCGTAATAAATGCCTTGGCTGTCGTATGGATCTTGGACAAAAGCAAGAAACGGCGTGCCACGCGGATCGACTAGTGAAATTGGCAAGTGATTGGAAGAAGCCTTATCAGAGCATGGCATTACAGGACAGGATGGTGGCCAGCCTATCTGACCAAACTGAGTGGTTGAATACATGTCAGCTGCAAGTTTGTCAGCGTGGATTCAGACAAGACAGGACGCAATCGCTCAAGTTCCATTTCCGGACCAAGGAGAGGCCAGCAAGATTGCGCTGCGCGTACATACCTAGCTGCATATGGGCGGGTAGAGAAGAGGAAGGGTATGTAATGTATGGTGAAACCACGTGTACGCACAACAAGAATCAAGCAGGCAAGCAAGCAAGCAAGCAAGTCGTTCCTGTCCGGAGCGGGTTCCGTCCGGGCAGGGAGATAAGGCGAAGGAAGGCCAGAGGTTATATCTCTCCGGAGACACGGCAGCCGGCTGGCAGGAGAGAGGAGCGTAGCGAGCTTTGCAGATGCTACTCTGCGAGAGGTCAACCCCAGAGCCGCGTGCAAGGAAGGTTTCTTGTTCAAAGGCTTGTGCATTTTCGATTTTATTGGCAGCAGTGGAGAGCGTCCGGGCAAGCTGCTACCCTGGCTGTTTATGAGATAGCGGCAGCGATCATTGCCTGTCCAGGCTTCCTGCTGTCTCTGTTTGAGGCGTCAGTTGACCCACGTTGCATATTCCTGTGGAATGGAAAGTCGCAGTAAATAGTTTCGGCGGCTCAGGTAGTTCAAGAGCAAGAGCCAGAGTCAAAGCTCGGGGGGCGGGATCAAAGACGATCAGACAGCACCAACAAGGGCGAGCGCTACGAGGCTGGCGATTGGGAGGCAACTCGTCGGCTCGGCGGCTCACATGCGACGAATCGTGTCTTTGTGGCAAGAGATCAAAGAATAAAATCCTGGAATAATTATCAAGACATTTGACAGGGGCACTAGCAACGTTAATTTAGTGTCAATTCGCAGTCGTGCGACAGGAGCCATCAAGGACCGACAAGCGAGAAACGATAAAACGAAAAAGAGCCCCTTCATCACCGCATTTGGAGATGCCAGATCCCTGCAAGTCACTCACCACTGACCAACTAGGTTCTCAGGTAGATGGGCTAGCCTTTCGCCCACAACCGGTTTTTCCATGAATACTCGTAGTCCAGTCCCAGTCCTACATAGACCCAGACCCAAGACCTTTCTCTCCTGATCTTGCCATCCACTTTGGCGGGAGAGTCAAACGGTCCTTTCCTGTCCAGTCCAAGCCTCGACGCCACCTCGTTGGAGAAACCAAGGCGGCGCGGGAGTGCAGCAGGAACAAGGGTCAGTTTCTCTACGGCTACCCCCTCCCCCTCCCCGCTCTCCCCTCTCTCTTCCATCCTCTTCTCAGTGTTAGTAGGGCGTCCGTGACTTCCCTCCTCCGATTCTTCACCAACCAGGATTTGCGTCCGCGGAGGTCATTGTTACAGACCGGCACACGGCCTCCACAAATCAGGCCGACCGCGCGCGGCATCTCCAATTCACCACGTCTACGGATAGAGGCTTTTCTTCAAAACCCCCACCTTGTCAAATCTGTTGTCCCAAGACACGCCTCTCGTCAAGCCTCGCGGATTTCAGCCAGAGTTCAAAGGACGGGTTTATGCCGATGCTGCTTCCACATGACCCATTGAGCTCGGACAATGAGGCAACTCGCTTTTGGCTATTTGTAGAAGCACTAAGAGTAAATTGAAAACCGGAGCATGTTGGGACCGACACCCAGAGCAGCAGAGGTGGCGTGAGCTGTCGTTGCATGTTTGTCTTGGCCAACTATGTATTCCCGGTTACCAGCAGATATGTGGAGAGCTAAAATAGAACAAAAACAACATAGATCGATTGTTTCATTCTATGCTTTTACTTGATCTTCTCTACCATCAGCCAAGTGCAGCTCCGCTGTCTCTTTCTCTCCTTGACGCCATGGGAGTCGGATGTTCCCCAGTGGCCGACAGCATCTTGGCCAAATCTATTATTGTTCCCATGCAAGTGATTATTTCGGGAGTTCTGGCGCAAATCAATGCGTCAATAGATATATCCATAGACGACGTACCTGAGAACGACGGTCGAGATTATTAGTAAACGATCCGATCTTGATGGGCCGCTGTCCTACCGCTCGCCTCATTCGACTTAATGCGCCTCGGCTCGCTGCGCAGCCTTAGCTATTCAAAAGAGTTATACTTCCTCGAGCTACTGTACACATATGTACTCAGCCATCTAGGGTCGTAGCAAATGCTTTGGACAAGACGTTGGATGCGTTGACCCACCACCGAGCATGCAGAAAGACATCCAAAACATGTTTGTGCTTGTGCATAGAGTTGCCACACAACCCTCTCCAAAGACTTGAACGCTGCATAAACGTACATGTTTTAGGGTGCCTCGGTATTGTTTTGATTCAAGAGTTGGAATCATGGCCTCGGCAGGTCGGACACCGTCCCGATGATGCGTCACGTCGAGGGCCGTAGATCACGAGGGATGTCGCATGTGAAACCGCGTGTAGGGCCGTAGTTGTGTCTGTCATAGTCTAGTAAGTGACGATTGAGTTGAAACTGACTCATTGTTAGGCATATATTGGGATTCAAGCTCCAGTGTTGTACGAAAACGAGAGACATGTGCTGGTACCAGTGCTCGCTGCTCCCTGTCACAGTGACGGCCGAGGGACAAAGTCCCTTGCTCATTTACTCAAAGGGACTAGAACTATTGATGGCCACGGTGAAATATCTTTTGACTCCTCATCGCCGCCTTTGAAACACTTGCTCCTACGATTCTGCGTGACAAGTCATGATGCAACGGCCCGCTAGATTTGGGCTGAATGATCTACGACTGAGCAATGCCATTGACAGCAAAGTATGGAGACATGTAGAGATCATAAGCGAAAATGTATTAGAAGTTTCACAATAGCGGAAGCCTGTCGAACATGGAAGATAGCCTACGTTCATCATGATTAGACATTGTTGCGGCGTATGGCTCTTCACATTTTCACATTACAATTGCACGCTTGTGACAGACTATAATTCTACTCTAATTTTTTAGCAGAGGTGATTTATAAATACTTCTGTCGCTTGCTAGCTTTATTACTTGATGAACGTAGTATGGAAATTTGGGCAGGTTTAGGGTAGGCGGTGGATATGGTGAATTATCTATCGTCTTCACACTTTCCTCGCCTTCTACCACCAAAAGAACTTTCTGCATTAAAATTAGGTAAGAATAATACTAAGATAGCATGGCTCCAAGATTTCCTGTCTCTAGTAAAAGAAGGCTTTAGCTACGGGCTGAATTAATGTATAGATCGTCAATCCTACACTCCGCCAGTTCAACGTACAGTATACCAAAACCGGCTTGTGCAACTCACTGTAAACTCACTGTAGATCATCAATACCAACTCCCAACACTGCGAAGTTGCATTCACCAAGTTTATGCAGCGTTGCTGGGATTAATGTACAGATTTACTCATGTTGTTTGCTAGGCAAAAATGTATTTACAAGAAACTAGCACCAGCAATTCAAGAATATCAGGAAATATTTTTTAAGCGTGGGCTGGTTTTAAGGCTTCTAATCGATTTGTGTGGCGTCGCGTCGGCCCGTTTGTCAGCAACAACTTGCCACTTGCTGCGAGCTGTCGAGACATTGGGACTGTATTTTGCACATGCACCCTGACTGAACGGGCGCAGGCAAAATGAAATGCAAATAATAATTCTTTTACACCGTTCATACATTCTTACATATATTTTCAAACTATTCCGTCCAATTACCTGTAAATTGCACTTGTACTCGAGGCTGCAAGTAGTGCACGTGACGTACCAGCAGGCAAGAGGAGGCGCATGAGCCAATCAGGGCTGCCCCATCTCCGTAAAAGCAAGGCACCAGGGCGAAGGAACATCGAGGTCATCTCGACGGACGGAGGACTTGAACGCACAGATCTTGCTTGGCCGACGACTCGGAGAGCTTGCTACCCGCCTACCACAACTATCGTCGCTCCGAGGTCCTGCTCCTCGTCTCACCTTTGGAGATCCTGCCGTTTCCGCTGTCCCCGCCCCGTCCCGGTGGCTGGTCTCCTGGTGGATCACGCGAGGTCACAAATCCAGTGGCGGATTTTCGCGACAACGGTTTTGGGAATATTCCTGTTGCGCACCTCAATTCGCACGTCATGGCGGGCCTGGAGACTCATGTCACGGTGCAGAAGCGAGCCTACTATGCACCGCCGTGGGCAGACGTTAGCATTATTGGTGTGGCGGGCAGCTCTGGCTCCGGAAAGTCGACCCTGTCTCAGGCCATCGTGAAGAAGCTCAATTTGCCATGGGTGGTGATCTTATCCATGGTACGGCCTCTTACAAGTCGCCCGTCTTTCATCCGGCGTCTGCGATGGGGGCTGACCATGAGCAGGACTCATTTTACAAGACTCTCACTCCAGAGCAGTCGAAGCTGGCCTTTGCCAACGAATATGATTTTGACTCACCCGAGGTACGACGGATAACTCGTTCATGTCTCTTCTTGAGATTAATTATAAATTCAAGGCCATCGATTTTGACATCTTGGTTGAGCGTCTGAGAGATCTCAAAGCCGGGTAAGTGGCCGCCTGTACGATCCCGCTAGTGATGTCGTCGGCTCAAACGCATGTGCAGAAAACGCGCCGATATCCCTGTATATTCCTTTGCCAAGCATCAACGCCTGGAACACACTACATCAATCTATTCCCCACATGTTCTTGTTCTTGAAGGCATCTTTGCCCTGTACGACCCGCGCGTGCTGGAGCTTCTGGACATGCGGGTAGGTGACTACCTGTACCACGGCTGAAAAGGACGTCTCATCCGCTCTGACATGAATACAGATTTACTGCGAGGCTGACGCAGACACGTGTCTGGCACGTAGAAGTAAGTTTTGCGTGCTATCACAGCAATGCGGCGTAACCTGGCTAAGACATGCGTCAAATCAGTTGTGCGAGATGTCCGCGAGCGTGCTCGAGACATTGAGGGATGCATCAAACAGTGGTTTGCTTATGTGAAGCCCAATTTTGAAAAAGTACATTTGCTGACTGATTTCTTTGCTGTTTGACCTTGACTGACCCAGGATCCAGTATGTCGAACCGCAGCGAAAGGTTGCTGATCTCATCGTCCCCCGAGGCATCGAGAACCAGGTTGCACTTGGTAAGGGAAGCTGTTTGCCGGCGCATGGTTTGGTGTCTAACACTTGTGACAGATATGATGGTTCAATTCATTGACAGGAAACTGGTTGAAAAGTCCAGGCACCACCGAGAGGCACTGTCGAGACTGGAGGCGGAATGCAAGGAGCAGCCGCTTTCTGATCACGTCGTGATGCTGAATGGCACACCACAAATCAAGGCCATGAACACGATCTTGCAAGACATTGATACGTCGGCCGAGGACTTCATCTTTTACTTTGACAGGCTGGCGGCGCTGGTGCTGGAGCAGTGAGCATCCCATCCCGCCAAGCTCTCTCGACTATTACTGACAACCATCCAGGGCGCTCAACAATGTCCAGTTCCAAAGCCTCTCCATCAGCACGCCTCAGGGCCACGAATACAAGGGTCTCGCGCCCAAGGGCGAGGTGAGCGCCGTCATCGTGCTGCGCGGCGGGTCGGCGTTCGAGGCTGCGCTGAAGCGCACGATCCCCGACTGCCGCACCGGCCGGCTCCTGATCCAGTCCAGCTTCAAGACGGGCGAGCCGGAGCTGCACTACCTAAAGCTCCCGGAGGACATTGCCACGCACGAGAGCGTACTGCTGCTGGACACGCAGATGGCCAGCGGCGGCGCCGCCCTTATGGCGGTGCAGGTTCTGGTCGACCACGGCGTGGCCCTGAGCAAGATTGTGCTCGCGACGTACTCGGCGGGCAGGCTCGGGCTGCACCGGCTGATGACGGTCTTTCCCGAGATCAGGGTGGTCGTGGTGAACGTCCTGGCGGATCAAGAGCAGCGATGGGTTGAGAAGCGATATTTTCGCTGTTAATGCACGCCTTGCTTGGATTGAACTGGACCCAGGATGGCGCGGTTGCCAATATTTTTTTTTTGCATATGAGCATAGAGCGCCTGGGATATCCCCGATTGGATACTTATCCTCAAGATGCACGGTGATCTTTCCTTGACCATCAGAATTTCTCCATGTGACGCCAGTAAATATGGGAAGAACAAATTCGATGCTGTCTGGTGATCGGATCCGAGCTCGGGGTGCCGACCCCAAGTCCGCGACGGCGTTCCTGCGGCGGCATAACCGAGCCACAGTGTTGGCCTTGCGACCCTAATCCGACAGGTAGACGCGGCCCTTTACATCTTTCCAAGACAGATAACCGCAGATTCTCGGCTCGAAAAGTGACTTTTTTTTTTTTTGCCGTGCCCCGTTTCCATTTCGGAGCCGCCGGAAAGAACCCAGTATCCAGGTCCGTGAGATCCGCGATCCGCGTCGTACAGTGGACTATCGGCATCGATGGTCTATTGATTTTCAGGCGGCCCACAGCGCTTTTACAGGCTGTCGCCCCCCGAGCCCAGGCGTCTTAGCCCACCTGGGCAGCTCTCGCAGCCACTGTGGCTGAACCAACCACAGCACTGGTTCATCCAAACCAGGTTGACCTATGACGCCACTACCCGTGCCGTGCTAGCCAGCTTCAGAGCCGCCCAATCCTGTTTGCTTTCGATGACCCAGCGCCTTTTCCGTCAACGTCGCGATGGCTTGTACCTGAATTGCCTCGTTGTTTTTTTCTTACTCTCCTGCATCCGCAATCACTTGATTCTCATTGCTGCTTCATTTTAGGCCAATTGCTTCCGTACCACTCCATCTCCCGTCACTAACGACCTAGGCATTGATCGCCAAGCTCAGGTAGCTTGCCCAGAAGCTGTCTGCCAGTGACCAAGGAGCTCCCCTCCCACCAGGTTGCGCTGGCCATGGCTGCGCCGCTTCATCCCACCGGCAGCGCGGCTATTCGCCGGGTTCTGGGGCCCTTGCCTCGCCGATCGCTTGCCCAGCCCGTCTTGCGGCGCCATACGCCCACGAACAGAACTATCGCCCAGCTTCGTCGCGCGACGTCACCGATCCGGAGGGCTGGTCCCGCCCAACAACAACGCCCTGCCGCGCTGGTCCACGTCCGCGCCCTCTCCGGCAAGCCGTTGCCGCAGCGAGAATCATGGACGCTCAACTTTTGCTACAGGATGATGGCGTGGCTAGGCACGTCCTTTGCCGTCGGCGGACTTCTCGTGACCGCCTTCTTCGTCTACGACGCGACCACGTACAAGGAGGGCGCGGATACCGGCGACATCACCGTCGGCCAGCTCGCGCTGCAGCCGCGCCGCGGCGGACCCAAAAACCTGCCCATCGCCGACGTCCTCATTGATGACAATGACAGCAACGGCAAGAGCGAGAACCAGGACAAGCCCAAGCTCGTCATCCTCGGAGGCGGATGGGGCGGCGTCGCTTTGCTCAAGGAGCTCAACGCCGACGACTATCATGTCACCGTCATATCGCCCACTAACTACTTCCTGTTTACACCCATGCTGCCCTCCGCGACTGTGGGAACGCTCGAGTCGCGATCCCTGGTCGAGCCGATCCGCCGCATCCTGGGTCGCATCCACGGCCATTTCATCCGAGCCAGCGCCGAAGACGTATGCTTTCATGAAAAGCTGGTCGAAGTGTCGCAAACGGATCTCGATGGCAAAAAGACTTACTTCTACGTCCCCTACGACAAACTGGTTATTGCTGTTGGCTCCGTCACCAACTCCCACGGTGTCAAGGGTCTCGAGAATGCCTTCTTCCTCAAAGATATCAACGATGCTCGGATGATCCGGAACAAGATTATTCACAACCTTGAGCTCGCCTGTCTACCTACCACGTCGGATACAGAGCGCCGCCGTCTTCTCTCCTTTTGCGTCAGTGGTGGTGGCCCTACCGGCGTCGAGTTTGCTGCCGAGCTCTACGACCTGTTGAACGAGGACCTGACCCGAAACTTTCCCCGTCTCCTGCGCAACGAAATCTCCGTCCACCTAATTCAAAGCCGCAGCCATATTCTCAACACCTACGACGAGGAGGTCTCCAAATATGCTGAAAAACGCTTCGCCCGCGACCACGTTGACGTACTGACCAACTCCCGCGTGCAAGCTGTCCACCCGGACAAGATTGTCTTTTCGCAGAAGCAGCCCGACGGCAGCGTCGTGACCAAGGAGCTTCCCATCGGCTTCTGCCTCTGGTCCACCGGCGTATCCCAGACGGAGTTTGCGCAAAAGATTGCCAAGACGCTCGGCGACTTCCAGACCAACCGACGCGCGCTCGAGACCGACACCCACCTACGCCTCAAGGGCTCCCCCCTCGGGGACGTCTACGCCATCGGCGACTGTTCGACCGTGCAGAACAACGTCGCGGACCACATCATCAACGTGCTGCGCAGCATCGCCTACAAGAATGGCAAGGACCCGGAGACGCTGCACCTGCACTTCAGCGACTGGCGCAAGGTCGCCACCGAGGTCAAGCAGCGCTTTCCGCAGGCCGTGTCGCATCTGCGGCGCCTCGACAAGCTCTTCGCCGAGTTCGACAAGGACCACTCGGGCACGCTCGACCTTGGCGAGCTCCGCGAGCTGCTCGCCCAGATCGACAGCAAGCTCACCTCGCTCCCGGCCACTGCGCAGCGCGCCCACCAGCAAGGCAACTACCTCAGCCGCAAGCTCAACAAGATGGCGCACCTCTCGCGCGGGCTCGAGGTCAACGACGTCCGCGACGGCGACCTCGACGCCGCCGCGTTCAAAGCGTTCGAGTACCGCCACCTCGGCAGCTTGGCGTACGTCGGCAACTCGGCCGTCTTCGACCTCGGCGACGGCTGGAGCTTCACCGGTGGCCTCTGGGCCGTGTACGCCTGGCGCTCTGTCTACTTTGCGCAGAGCGTCAGCTTCCGCACGAGATGCCTCATGGCCATGGATTGGGCCAAGAGGGGGCTGTTTGGCAGAGGTAAGCTACTCTCTTCTTTTTTACCGGATGACTTGTTGATGACTCGAACATCATGACTAACCTGCTGTAAATAGATCTTATGAGCTTTTAGACAGGAAATAGAGACTGAGGAACGCAATAGTAGATGCAATCAAAAACAAACAAAAAATTGCCGGGTTTAGGATGGGTGCCCAGTGACCACACGGGCACGGTTTTGTTGCTAGAAATTTTGGATATCTTATCGCATTACTCGAGACTTGTTTTATTTCTAATGCATTTGCTCGTTTATCAAATGATAATAAACATGACCGAAAAGAGACGACCGAAATGATGTGCGAGTAAACAGTATGCCAAGCGTGTCCAATGTTTTCCCTACGCCACCCAACATGTATAACAACCAACCGAAAACTGCTTTTGCTTCTCTGACTCTCCTCCGCTTCATCTGTCCCTTCAATTCCTTCACAGCACGAAATCCTTGTGCGTCCACTTCTCCGTTGTCTTGCGCTTGGCCTGCTTGTGGAAGGGGATGTGCCTGCGGCTCTCGACCTTGCCGCGGACGAGCATGCTGCGGTAGCGGTCGGTGAGGAGGTTGCCCTCCGGGCGGAGCAGGCGCAGTGAGTCCTGCAGCTCATCGGGAAGGACGAGCTCGAGGTCGCGCTCCGGCAGCTTGTACTTGCCGAGCTGGCGCCGGCGCAGCTTCTGGCCGCCGGTGCCGCGCAACTCGCCCTCGCTGCCGCTGTCCTCGCCGGCCAGGAGCGCCAGGGCGCGGGCCTGCGCCGTCTCGTCCAGCTCCTCAGCGATCTCGCCGATGCGCGCCTCCTGGGTGCGGCGCGCCTTCATGGCGGCCTTGTGCTTGGCGAGCTGCTCCTCCTCGCGGCGGCGGCGGATGCGGTTGCGCTGGGCGTGCGTCTTGCGCTTCGGCCGCTTCGCCGCGGGTGCGGTGTCCTCGACGCCGCTCTGGAAACCCTCCCACTCCGAGTCCTCTTCCCACTCAGACATGTTGGCGCGCTCCTCGGCGGCCTCGGCTTCGGCGGCGGACTTGGCGGCCGCTTCCTGCTTCATCCGGTCGGCCTCCTCGGCAGCGAGACGTTTCTTCTCGGCCTCCACCGCCTTCTCGCCCTCCCCGGCGAGGCGCTCCTCGTAGTCTGTGAACACCGGGTTGTAGCTGTAGCCACCGGTCGGCCTTTGGACAGCGGGCACGGCCTTGCCGCTAGCGACCAGGGAGATGGGCGCCTGCTTCATGGTCTTGGGCACCTTGACGTTTAGTTTTGTATGGTCGAGGTTGGCTTCGGGTTCTTCTTTGGGTGCATCCCACAGGTCAAATGTGGCGTCATTGATCTGTATGGCGGTTTCGTGCTGGCCGTCGGCAACTCGCTTCAGTCTGGCTAGGTCCTTGTGCGATACCCAGTCGCTACGCAGCCGCTTCACAGGTAGCAATCCGTTTGTGGTCTTGTCGCTTGCTCGCTTGCGCATCGATACTGCCGGTAATGCAGATCGCTTGTTGAGAATCTCATCGGCCTTGAGAGTCTTGCTGGCATGTCTGGGAAGCTTTTTCGAAATCTGTGAGTCGCCTTTGACGTCGATGGCGAAGAGGTCCGCGGAGTCCCTTTCGCGAATAACACCACTGTAATAAAAGGTATCAGTGTCCGAAAGACCGTACGCCACGTCATTGTGGTACTTTTACATCTTGAAGTTCGTCGTTCTTACCCTTCTATAATTTCCTCGTTCAATTCCTCCAATCCCTTCTGCACCTCGGTCACGTCGACATTTTTCCTCCAAGCCTTTTTCCCCTTTCGAGAGGGCTGTTTGAACTGGCTAGGCGCATCGTACGAATCTGAGCTCAACGGTTTTATGACAGGCATTTTGGTCGACTTTGCGCAATGAAGAAACGCGATATGAAAAAAATCGACGGCGAAGTGTGCAGAGCCAGTCTGGGCCTTCTAATGGCTGGCCAGCCTGGTGTTGAACTTTTGATTTTTTTATGGGGCTGCGATAGCCCCTCCGCGCACAGTGTTATCGAGTGCCGCTGACCGACTTATTGGCACGGCCACCCACCCCGGCTTCTTACATACCTAAGGTCCAGGGAACTGGCACCCCAGCCCAGGCAGCAACTTACAGTGCTTTTTCAGCAGCCCACAGGTGATCTCCCCTGGCATGGAGCGCTGTGGTACCACCCGGCACGTGCAGTTTCCACGGCGGCCTGGTCGCAAACGCCGAGTGTCCTTCCAGGCCCAGACTTCGGGCTGCTCTTACCGATTCAGTGCAGGAGTACCAGACGAACCAGCAATTGGGGTTTACCTCCGTTCTCTCCGCAATCAACTCCGCCACAGTCAGCTTTGACCTGCATCGTGTAATTTTAGTTGGTCTGGCGATATTATTCTTACATCCGCCCTCTTTCCCTCGCCTGCACGACAGTTCGAGGACCAAGCGACTCCCTGCCAGTGGCGCATCCTGTCCAACTCCTCTCGTCCAGTTGAATCAGGCACCCGATTTCCAACATGGCGCAGGCGGGCGGCTCCTACAACAACCCCCTGAAGAAGTTCAAGTGCGTTACGCCAATTCTGCCATTGTGTATCATCCGCTAATTGTCCCAGGCTGGTGTTTCTCGGCGAACAGAGCGGTAAGCTGGCATGCGCTTGATTGGTGCGGTGAGAGGGGTTCTCCGGCGACTAACGCGGCAGGCGACAGTCGGCAAGACGGCTCTGATTACGAGATTCATGTATGACTGCTTCGACAACATGTACCAGGCTACTGTCGGTATCGACTTCTTCTCCAAGGTGAGACGCGGCCGCGCTACAGCAATCATCCTCCCCAGACCGATTATTGACAAACCGCGTGGCTAGACAATGTATCTTGAGGACAGAACCGTACGACTGCAGCTTTGGGACACGGCCGGCCAAGAACGATTCCGAAGCTTGATTCCATCCTACATTCGTGATTCCAGTGTTGCCGTCGTTGTCTACGACGTGTCCAGTAAGGGGACTAGCGCAACTTTAAGGAACTGTCAAGTGCTGACTCTATATTCAATAGACGCGAAATCGTTCCAAAATACGAAGAAGTGGATTGACGATGTGCGAGCCGAGCGAGGCAACGATGTCATCATTGTCCTAGTGGGCAACAAGACGGACCTGAACGACAAGCGCGAGGTCACGACGCAACAAGGCGAAGACGAGGCCAAGAAGAATAACTTGATGTTTGTTGAAACGAGTGCCAAGCTGGGCCACAACGTCAAGAACTTATTCAAGAGGATAGCGCAAGCCCTTCCTGGAATGGAGGGCACAGACGCCGCTGCTCAAGCCTCAAGCCAAAGTATGTACCCCACGTGTCTCTCTATATAAGGCTTTCTAACGGTATGGGCAGTAATCGATGTCAAGACCAACACTGCTCAGCAGGCTCAGGAGGGCTGCTCGTGCTAAACGCTGTGGAGAACCAGAAACTATGTTGGCCTGAGTTTATGACCCGTTTTGATGGTGCAGCGACTAAACCCGGCCGCCCGCGAGGGTAGATGTCGTGCACGGCTGGTACATCGGAGCATAGAGCTGGTTTACTAGTCGCAAGAAAAAGTACGAGCCTATGATCTATTATACATATAACCTAATACAATTTTGGCATACGCGTATGATATACCAGTGGCGGAAGACATAATCTTATTCCTTTTTCATTGTCTGTCGCCCATCATGGTTGCGCAAATGGGATGTTTCGCAATTGTAGAGATGATCACGCCAGGTGAAATGTGTGGATGATGCCATGGAGAACAAGACGATGAACACAAAGAGGAGGGAAGAAAAGAATTACCGGATGAATGCAATTTGGGCCGTCCAATCAACAGTCGAGTCCAGGTGTGAAAGGAGAATTTGGAAACGGAGACGGTACATATGTTCCGTGGTAACCAGCTGCATACTAAGGTAAGTAATAAGTGGTTGATAAACCCAAAGCTCAGTAGTTGAATGGGTCCATTGCCCCCAACAGAAGCAGCCAGCCGCCGAAGGGACGTTATTCAAGTCGTCATAAGTAAGGTACCTACCTATCTAATTCACCTGATCGGGCACGTGATTCCTTGCGGTGGCACTTTGATCTCGGCAGCTACGGACCAAGTGGGCCTAATTTGATGTCAGATCCCATGCAGCAGTCCCGACGCTTGACTAGGTTCTACTTTTTATACTCCTGGCACAACCTCCCCTTCGACTTGATCTTAGAAGGAATTGTCGAAAGCTTTTCTCGCCAATATGTCCAAATTTACGCGGCTATATCTGCGCGTGCCGCAACCCACGGTACGTTTCCTCTTCCCGATACCCCCGCTCCCTCAGTGGCGAAATTACCTACGAGACGCTCGAGAACCGTTGAACGTTGGGAAGGCTGGTCATGAGGGCGCCGGAACGCTGGAGCGTGCTGTTTGCTAACCATTCTCTCTTTGCGGACAGACACTATTCGGCTGCATCAGCCTGCAGACTGGGACAGAACTCATCTCGCTCGCGCTTGTGTTCAACAAGGTGACGGGGGTATACGGGCTGCTGGCGATCCTGACTGGGTACCAGCTGTCGCTATTGCAGCTTTCTACATACGTGTACTCGATTGGGGTACTAGGCTTGCTCATCTTCCTGATCCCACATATCCGACGACAGAGCCCATTTGAGTGCCTTGCGCTGGCATGGGTGTACATCCTGGACGCGTGCATCAACGCGGCGTACACGGCGGCTTTTGGGCTGGACTGGTACTTCCACAGCACGGCGACCGATTCGGAAACGCGGCCGTCGGGCCTGACAAGCACGGTGATGGAGAGCATCGAGGGTCTGAAAAAGGAGAGCGCGATCCACGGCAAGGTGGTGCCACAGGAGACTGCTATGAGTATGATCTTCATTGTGGCGGTGACGCTGATTCGCGTCTACTTTAGCCTGGTGGTTATGGCGTACGCGAGGCAGGCGCTTCAAAAGTACATGCAGCTCATGATCATGGAGGGCCCGGGGGTGGACGACTACGACGGGCCATTTGCGTTGGATCTACCGGACGGGGAGGGCCGGCGCGGCCGGCTGGGCCGAGTGATGGTCTCTTTTGGCCGCACCTACTGGCTCGGCCACCTCGAGGACAACGGCTGGTCCGGCAACACCAGCAACAGGCAGCGCAAGGCCAACGAGCCAGGCACCCTTGCCGGTGAGGTGTAGATTCTGGCTGTGGAAGGATTTCTTGTGCGGACCGGATGGAGCTTACAGTGCCAGTCACCTGTGGGTGATAAGGCAGCGAAATAGTTGCCATGAAAGATTGCGATGTACCATACGAGATTTCTCGATTTTGCAGCATGCGGTCGGGGTTTTTGTTTTCTCGATACTGCGGCATGCCGCGGGCGATTATGAGATCATAGCTGAGTGTTTGACCGCATCTGGGTCGACAAGCATATGTATATGATGGTGGCGTATTTGTTTTGTCAGAAGTGGCACATTGCTTGGTATACCGGAGGCGTATACATTCATGTCGTATTTTCGGTTCATTTTTGGCGGTCGCATGCGACAAGGAACAACACTAGATAATGTATTCAATTCATCATGAAAGACAAGAAGATGGCTACTGAAACTATTGAGTATCTAAATCTAACCTCAAGAGATGAGTCGATGGGTTGTTTCGATGCATTCCAGCCAAGTAGCTAGGTGTAACCAGGGTTAGATGACGCCATTGTGACCCTCGGGCTCACCATCCGGGGGAAAAGCGCTCAGAGGGGGAAATGGCGGACAGAACTGGCCGTGGTCTATGGATTTTGGGGGCTGCGGTGGGGCATGGCGGCGTTCGGAGAGAGATTGGCATTCAAATTTTGGTGATGGGCTGAGGGCTGGTTCCCTCGGTTCGTCGGTGGTTGAGGCCATGTCGGAAGGTCGGGGGTGGTTGCGTATGTGGGCGAATTCGGGACAGAGGCGGGATGGAAGATGTGGTAATGGGAATGACTCTATAAGCCTATTGTGGGGGTCCTACTGCTGAAACGCCATGCTTTTACTTTGCTTTATTTTTTAATCTTTGGAGATTGATAGGAATTTTGTGTATAACTACTAGAGAGGACAAGCAGGTGATCTGGTTGAGGGTATTTTTAGGTTGACGAATAGCAGTGGGCCATTTGTAATCCAAAAGCGGCAATGCAGATTGATGGGGAAGACGGGGGGACGTATACTTGGTTGCGGTAACGCAATAATGGCTACAGAAAAAGCAGGAAAGCAATTCTAATAGTAACGACTCGTAAAAACAGATGACCGGACCGATACATGTCCGTGTCGTGCGATGCGTCGTGACTTGATGCAAAGCACGAACATTGCACTAGGCAATCACGCAATTGAGAGAAAACGGGCTGACCTGCGGGGAATTTGCATTTATCTGCAGCCTACTGGGCGGGAGGGGAGTTGGTGGTTCCACATGCGGTGCAGAGGATGCTTAATAAGGCGGCTGCGACTGAGAGCCATGAATTGAAAGCGCTGTGGGGTGCTCAGATGAGCGTAAATGGCGAGGGAGAGGGGCATCTGTAGGCGGTTTCGGCGCTGAAATGGAGGCGATTCAGTGGATGTTTGCTGAGCCCGTTGTGGAGGACTCCAAGACCAAGATGGGAAAGTAAAGATGCTAACCAGACGCCTCCATCAAAGCCCGCCATGTGCCAGCCGTCCGTTCCAGAAACTTTGATTTCCATTACCGGTCCCCTGTTTTTCTCCCTCTCTCTTCTTTTCCTTCCCTTCTTCTCTTCACCCTCAACTTTGACTTTCTTATTCTTTATTTCTCCCCGCGTTTGCCGTGTTGTTGCTGAGGGAAGCTGCACTGCAAACCATGGAGGCTGCCCAGCACAAGGTGCGCACGCCCCAAGAGGCTGGTACGTACCTATTCTCTCCCTCGCTCTGAGCCGACAACAAAACAACCACCACCCTCCTGCTAACAAACGCCCTCAGTCGCCAGAATCGCATACCTCGCCTCCGACGTCGTCGTCTCTGTCCAACCATCTCTCGCCACCGACTCGGAATTCTCCTCTCATCTCAAGCGATATGCTGCCCGCAAGGACCGCAGCCTCGTCGCTGCCACCGCTGCCGCTGTCCCGCATGTAAGTCCTATCCTCTGCATCGTTTTGCCCACCACCACACTTTTTTCTACCCACGACGACCCGAAGCACGTCACCCGATGGCCCGGCCAACCACCCAATTCGCCCTCACGTACCTCAATTACTACAACAATCATACTCGGAATCATCGCTGACCCCTCTAGATCCTCTCTGTTCGCCACAATGCTGACCCTCTGCTCTCCGTCTTCACACCGATCCGCTCCGGGAAGCTCGTCTCCGTCACCACACCCTCCTCCGTCCTCTTGCCTGCCGTCTCTCACCTCTACAAGCTGGCCAATTATCCCGTAGTCCTCCACGTCGCCCTTCAGCCCCGCAACTTTGCCGACTACTCTGTCATCACCGCCATCCGCAATACTGGGTGGACTTTTGTCCAGTCCGAGACTCTCCAAGAGGCCCAGGACATGGCCGTCACCGCCCACGCTCTAGCCGTGCGCACTGGCAAGGGCGTCATCCACTTCTTTGCCCCAGAAACGTCCGCCAAGGACGAGCCCGTTTCCGTTGAGGACCCCGCCGTCGTTGGCAACATCATTGATCTCGATAGCGTCCGCCGCTTCCAGTCCGGCTCTATCGCTGCCACCGGCTTATACGCCGACGACGGTCACGTCGCGGTCTCCTCCGACCACCCAGAGGTCGCCGCTCCCGACGGCGCCACCAACCTGCGCCCGCCTCCGAGCGCCGTCGCCTCCAAGCTGACGTCGGCCGGTACTTCGGTCAAGTCTAGCCAGGCTAGTGAGACTGGCACTCCCGGCGCGCCCTCCTCCGTCGCCACCACGGTCGAGTCGGCCCCACCACCCGTCACCTCGGAGGATATTTACACATGCGCAACTCGCATCTGGGCTAGCCTTCACTCCGCTGTCGGCCGTCAGTATAACGCTTTTGAATACACCGGTCCGAACAATGCGCAAAACTGCCTCTTCATCTTTGGCTCCGATACCGGCACTTTTGCCCAGGTTATCGACGATGCTAAGCCGGACGAGATCTTTGCCAACACCGGCATTGTCACTCCTCGCCTCTACCGACCCTGGCTCGGCTCCAAGCTGGTTGACGCTCTCCCCAAGTCCATCAAGCGCATCGCGGTCCTCGAGCAGATTCACCGTAAGACCACAAAATGGGGCCCTCTGCTGATTGACGTCGTCTCCTCCATCAAGAGCGGCCCTGGTGGCGTCGAGACCATTGTTGGCCACCAGCTCGGCTACATTGCTGCCGAGGCCGTCGATCAGGCTCTTCGTGGCATTCTCCAGAACCTCACCTCCGAGGTCCCTCTCCAGAACCTCGAGGTTGGCGTCCGTGACGCTCCCGCTGAGCGCAGCGACTATGTCCTCGCCATGCCTACCCTCGAGACCGCTTACAACAAGATCCTGGACCAGCTCTTCGGCAAACGCACCTACATTGCCAATGCCCTCCGTTCACAAAACACCGGCATTTCTTCCACTGTTTCTGCCACGCCCGAGTTTGGCTTCGGTTCACTCATTGCCCGAAAGGACCTGCGCAAAGACTTTGTTAGCGAAGTCAAGGAAGCCGCCAAGAGCAACGCCTTCATCACGGACGGCCCCAAGAACTGGCTCGCCAAGTGGGCTGTTGCTTCAGACGACCTATTCAAGTCTACTGAGATTGCTGACGACGTTATCTCTCGCCTCCAGACCGACGGCTCGCCCATCGCCCAGAAACTCCTCAAGAAGCAAGGCCTCTTCCGCAAGGAGTCCCTTTGGCTCGTAGGCTCGGATGCCTGGTCCTACGACCTTGGCAACTCTGGTGTGCACCATGTCCTCGCCTCTGGTGAGAACGTCAACATGCTCATCATCGACTCTACTCCCTACTCCGAAAAGTCCAATGCCGACGCCAACCGCAGAAAGAAGGACATCGGTCTATACGCCATGAACTTTGGCAACGTCTACGTCGCTTCGACTGCTGTCTACAGCTCTTACACCCAGGTCCTCCAGGCCATGCTCGAGGCTGACAAGTTTGACGGTCCCTCCGTTGTTCTAGCGTACTTGCCCTACTTTGGCGAGTCTGACTCCCCCCTTACCGTCCTACAGGAGACTAAGAAGGCTGTCGACGCCGGATACTGGCCTCTGTATCGATGGAACCCTGAAAACGAGAAGAAGGGCGAGCCCAACTTCTCTCTCGACTCGGAGCTCATTAAGAAGGAGCTCAAGACCTTCCTAGCTCGCGATAACCAGCTCACGCAGCTCATGAACAAGGAGCCCCAATTTGCCGCCAGTCTGGCCCAGGACTTCGGTACCGAGGTGCGTGCTCAGCAGAAGCGTAAGGCCAAGGACGCCTACAACCAGCTCCTTGAGGGTCTTCTGGGAGCTCCCCTTACCATTCTCTACGCCTCTGACAATGGCAACGCCACCTCTTTGGCTAAGAGACTTGGTAACAGAGGCCGTGCTCGCGGTCTAAAGACCACTGTTTTGGCCATGGAGGACTATCCGCTCGAGGATCTTCCCACCGAGGAGAACATCGTCTTCCTAACCTCCACTGCTGGTCAAGGAGAGTTCCCTCAAAACGGTCTCGCTTTCTGGGAGGCTGTCAAGGACAACACCAATCTCGATCTTGCCACCGTCAACTACTCCATTTTTGGTCTCGGTGATAGCCACTACTGGCCCCGCAAGGAGGACAAAATTTATTACAATAAGCCCGCGAAGGACCTGGACCGTGTTTTGACGAATCTTGGTGGCAAGCGCCTGGCTGCTATCGGCCTCGGTGACGACCAGGACCCTGATGCCTACCATACGGGCTATGCTGAGTGGGAGCCCAAGATTTGGCAGGCTCTCGGCGTTGACAACGTCGATGGGCTCCCTGATGAGCCCCCGCCTATCACCAACGAGGACATTAAGCTGGCCTCTAACTTCCTCCGCGGTACCATCCTCGAGGGACTCGCAGATCCTTCTACTGGCGCCATCTCTGCTGCTGACCAGCAACTCACCAAATTCCACGGTACTTACATGCAGGATGACCGTGATGTTCGTGATGAAAGAAAGGCCCAGGGTCTCGAGCCCGCCTACTCTTTCATGATTCGATGCCGTTTGCCTGGTGGTGTTTCTACCCCCAAGCAGTGGGTTCAAATGGATGACATTGCCAACGAACTTGGCAACGAGACGATGAAGCTCACCACTCGCCAGACCTTCCAGTTCCACGGCGTCGTCAAGGGCAAGCTTAAGCCTGCCATGCAGGCCATCAACCGTGCTCTGATGACTACCATTGCCGCTTGCGGTGACGTGAACCGCAACGTCATGTGCAGCTCCCTACCCACGCAGTCCAAGTACCACCGTCAAGTCTTTGCCTGCTCTCAGAAGATCAGCGACCACCTGCTACCCTCAACCAACGCCTACCACGAGATTTGGTTGACGGATGACGATAACAAGAAGACACAGGTCGCGGGCGAAGCTGTCCAGGACTTTGAGCCCTTGTACGGACCTACCTACTTGCCCCGAAAGTTTAAGATTACCATTGCTATCCCTCCCCACAACGACACCGACGTCTACGCGCACGATATTGGTCTGATTGCCATCAAGGGTGAGGACGGTAACCTGATTGGCTTCAACGTGCTAGCTGGTGGTGGCATGGGCGCCACGCACAACAACAAGAAGACTTATCCCCAGGTTGGCCGTATGTTTGGCTACTGCAAGACTGAGGATGTGCACATTGCCTGCGAGAAGATAATGCTCGTTCAGCGTGACCACGGTGACCGCAAGAACCGCAAGCACGCCCGCCTCAAGTACACTATTGATGATATGGGCGTCGACGTTTTCCGCAGTAAGGTTGAGGAGCTCTGGGGCAAGAAATTCGAAGCTGAGCGGCCGTTCGAATTCAAGTCCAACGTCGACACCTTTGGTTGGGTCAAGGACGAGACGGGCCTGAACCACTTTACCTTCTTCATCGAGAACGGACGTATTGAGGATACACCCGAGTTCCAGATGAAGACAGGTCTGCGCGAGATTGCCAAGGTCCACAAGGGCGAGTTCCGCCTCACTGGCAACCAGCATCTCATCCTCAGCAATGTCGCAGACGAGGACCTCGACACCCTCAAAGCACTGATGAAGAATTACAAGCTCGACAACGTCCAGTTCTCGGGCCTGCGACTGAGCTCCTCGGCATGCGTTGCGTTCCCGACCTGTGGCCTGGCTATGGCCGAGTCGGAACGGTACCTTCCAGTGCTGATCACCAAGCTCGAGTCGTGCCTCGAGGAGGCTGGGCTCCGCCGCGACTCCATCGTCATGCGCATGACGGGCTGCCCCAACGGCTGTGCGCGCCCCTGGCTCGCCGAGGTCGCCTTCGTCGGCAAGGCCTACGGCGCGTACAACATGTACCTCGGCGGCGGCTACCACGGTCAGCGCCTCAACAAGCTCTATCGCTCCAGCATCAAGGAGGACGAGATTCTCGCCGTCATGCGGCCTCTCTTGAAGCGCTACGCCGCCGAGCGCGAGGACGCCGAGCGGTTCGGCGACTTTTGCATCCGCGTCGGCGTCATCAAGGCGACGACTGATGGTCAAAACTTTCACGAGGGCGTGGCCGAGGAGGATGAGGAGGATGAGTAGCTGTTTTTTGCGGATTTTTGAATACAAGCGCATGCTTACCATGGTAATGACGCCTCACATGATTTGGTTATTTCGGTTGTTTATATATAGAGATTGAGATTTTGAAAAAGAATGACTGTACTGTCGGGCGAATGTACGTATACATGATAGGGCCTTCTCCTAGTTCATATCCTTGTTCTACGTGGTGTTTATTATTAGTAAGAAAAGCAAATCGATAATGAATAAAAAAAGCTTCAAAATCGCCATCAACCTCTCATGCGAATCAGTCGAAAAGAATTTAATAACGCAGTATTTACACTTCATTGAAAATCCCATTTCCTACATTAAAAACTTCCTGAGATCTCCTGTGCATCATGACTCCTCCTCATCTTCATGAGGCTTTTCGTAATCCAACATGTACAGCATACGCAACGCAAAGAAAATCAAGATACTAATGAGCAAAAAGTCTCAAAAACACCAACCCTGAAATCACACAAACAAGTCCTTCAAAGCATGGTCGGCGACTGATGCAGAAAATGCAAACAAAAAGATCCACCCATGAAACACTACAGGCAGCGGTACAACGCTGCTGGAAGTTCTAGCATCAACGCTTCAGGCTACTACCAACGCTGCTGGCGGCCTCGCTCATCTTCTCGCCCCAGCCACCCATCCACTTGGGCGCTTTGAGGCTCATTCGTATGCGGCCCTCGACAATGGTGTTGACGAGGTTGATAATGGCAAAGGTGGTGGAGCCGAGGGCGCGGAAAACGGCGAGGGCGGCAACGCTCCAAAGAATGAAGCGCAGGTAGAAGTTGTCGCCGATGCCCTTGTTGCTGTAAATCTCGGACACGGCCATGGCAAGGATGCCGTTGGCCACCATCCATGTGACGACCATGTAGGTACGGACGCTCTTGTAGTAGTCTTCCTGGAGCTGCGACTCGCTGATGCCGGCCTTGGGGACGGCGACACGGTCGCGGAGGTTGCGGAGCGCCTCGTCATAGCCGCTATCAATGTCCAGCTGCTCGCTGGGCATCTCCAGCTCGACCGTCTGGCCCTTACCGACGGCACCACCGAGATCCGTTTTGATGACGTTGTCGCCCTTGGTACCCCAGGTGATGTCGTGAGTATTGCAAAAGGCGTACACCTGCAGTGTGCAAATGTAGCTAGGCAGAAGCATGAAATATTGAAGCGACGAGGTAATCATGTGCCAGGGGTCAAGGTACACCAGTGACATGATTATGTACAGACCAACAGTAGAGGTGAGCGACACGATCAAATTAGTAAAGACATTGTTGCCAATGCTGAACTTGTGCAGGTTGGTCTTATCCGTCAGCTGTCGTACCACGATGTAGATAACTGCAAACGTGGTGTATGCCATGATAATAGCGTAGATGACCATGCTGGCCAGGTACATCTTCTTTGCGCCCTGGGGTCGATTACCCAGGGACAAGATGAATTGTGTTGCAATCAGCAAAACGCAGGTGTACCGTAAGATAATGAAGATGACTGTCCCTATGTTGTGGCCAAATGGGTCAACGGTTTTGTCAGTTAAACCTCCGGCAACGAAGAAAAAGGTCAGGTAAAAGTTGGCGAGAGAGAAGTAGGTAAATAGAAGCTGGCAGGCCTGATAGACGAATTCCATGTAGAGAAGAATTTTGCGCGCAAGGGTGTGATCTGTCGTAATAATCTGTCTGAAGTTGACGAGGGAGTACACGGCGGCGAAAAATGCACCGTTAAGCCATCGGCGACGTTGCGAGATGAATTCAGGAACGGCATCTGTGCTAGATTAGTAAAGAGATCTTGATTTCAATATTTTGCAGCGTACCTGGAACATCGGTTTCACCAGTGCAGCCCTTGACATATTTCAAAACCCAACGCTCGCCTCGCTTGGCAACCAACTCCCAGCAGAGAATACGATCTTCGGCAAGATACATGTTGGCAGTAAACACATCCGCATGCTGTCCATGAAGGGTCTCGCCCTTGAAGTATTGGCTAAGGGGCCCGTGTCCGTGCTCGTCATTCTGCAGGGCGTGGTATCGGTAGGCACTGAGCGCGCCAGGAAGCACAGTAATGTAGCCGAAAACAGATTCGAGGGGTTTGTCGAGAATGTTGGACATCTTGTACTCAAAATTTTGAGAAGCCACAAGAGGGTTGAGAAGACTGGAGCCGTATTTACCCTTCATGGCCTTGATCTCACCACAGGCGCCGGCCACGTTAGAGTCGGTGTCGAAGGCCTTCCAAAGATGATATAGCGAATTGCCACCAGGTCGGGTACCAACATCAAGAAGGATGCAAATATTCGGATTAAGTGCACGGCCGAATGCGTTGAAGAACCACCTGTGCGAGTTGAGCTTGCCACGGTTCTTCTCCTTGAGACAGAAAATCATCTGGCATGGGACGATGCCCTTCTCGGCACCCTTGAACTTGAGATCCGAGTCAAGGGAGACTTGGGTTGTGTATTCGTACACATGTGCTTGAACAGCGCGGTTGTTGACAAAGTTCTTGGCGATACCGTGCTGGAAGACACCCATTGCGGCAAGGGCATCAAGTGTACGCGGGTGAATCTTGGGTCGACCATCGCAAATGACGCAAACCACAATCTTATGCCAGCCAGTCTCGCCCCAGGTTCGGGAACGAGAACGCGAACAAAAGTGAGAGATATTCTTCATGACGGCGTGCATTGTACGTGTGAAGCAAATCTCGTCTTCGTTGTACATGGTGATGCAAATGAACAGTTCCGTCTCGCGCGTCGTTCGGCCAATTGACTGTCTGAGCTTGTATCCTCTCTCAACAAAGTCATCCGGGTCACAAGTGACGGCGGTATATCTCATATGGGTAAATTCAACCTCGTCACGGCGCGGCAGAAAACTGTAGAGAATCGTGGGGATTTTGCACTCAAGAACCAGTTCACCGTTGATGAGCTGGACTTCCTTTCGCGACATCTGAGGGGCGCGTACACCTCGTCGCTCTTGGGCGCCATCAGGTGCAGGTCCATAGCGCTCGACTTTTTCATAGAACTCTTCACTCTCTTCGTTGAGAGTATCCTGAGACTCCGAGTGAAACGAGTCACGCTTGGTTGGCAGAGGCCGCGACTCGCTGAGATCAGAGCCTGGGCCGAAGACATCGTCGTCGCCCTCGAGAGGAATATTGACAGTGGCATCGTCTGCAAAAGCCTGTGACTCGCGAGAGGGATTGGAGAAGAGAGGTGCGGGAGGAAGTGGGCGTCTAGGACTACCGCCATATCTCGAGGACGGCGTGCCTGGTCGTGGGCTACCATTTAATTCTGAAGGCTCGAAGGAGAGATTAGTCGGTGGAGGGCGGGAAAACTCGGAGACTCTGGAAGAGGGAGTCCATGGTCTCTGGGGTGAGCCGCCATCTCTATTCGCAAAGGGCACGTATGTCGAGTCTGGGGGAGGCATGGCTCGCGTGTCGTCTCTGATGGAGCTTGCCCGAGAGGGGGACGACGTGACGCTGGGCTGATATGGTTGATATGGTTTCCGAGTCGAGGCTTCGCTGAAGGTACTAGAATCAATATAGAGTGAGCGCCAGTTCGCAGCTGATGAAGAATTGGGTAGTGGCTCTACGGTGTAACTGTTTGTGGTCGGGGAAGCTGGTCGTCGCTCGCTCTCCGCTCGCTGGAGCTTTGACGGCAACCTGGTAACTGACGATCCTTTGATATTCGGTGAAGCATTTGACGGAGGTGTTGCGTCACTTCCGGCTCGCTGAAGCTGGAAGCGTTGGCTTGGCCCATCCGGCAGCTTCGGGAGAGCGTGCGGCAGCTGTGAAATGGGCAGTCTTGTATTGTGTTTGGGAGGTTGATTATCATGCAGCTTTGCAACTCTTGGTGTGACGGAAATCTTGGAAAAGGAGGGGATGCGGGTGTTGTAATGTGATTGTAGAAATGGCTGGATTGCGAGAGTTGGGAATCGAGCATCTTGAGGTTGACGTTGGAGGGAATTGGACGGAACTGTGACTGCTTTCTGCCTCGTTGCCGGCCAAAACTGCAACGGGCAACGCGGCACTTGTAATGAAGGTTGAATTGAGCGGTTCTTGGGTACGTACGGTAGGGGCTCGTCATCAATGGGAGATTCCACCGAGGTCAATAGTCTCACGGCTGCTGAGTTGGTGCCGCTGGGAGTATCATGGCCGTCGTCGTAAGTGTGCAGACTGTAGTCAGGAGGCCTGGAAGGGGTATTTGGACGATCCATGGTGTTGACTGAACAGGAGCTTGTTGAGCTCGTTGTGTCTGGAATGCTGCTGCGGCTCGACCAAGACCGGTGGGTGGTGGAGGGGCCGTGGAATGTGCAAACGGTGGTAAGATTGGAGGATCAACGAGAAACGCAGCGAGAACCAGTCTCGCGGGCGAGAAGTGGTAAAATCAAAATGAATTATCATGTAAACAGCAAGATTGGAGCTTGCAAGCGACGAGGTGAGAGTTGGAAGTAAAAGTAGTTACATGCAGACTTGCGCTCCCAAGCACTGCCTGTTTGCTTCATCTCTGTTTGGTTTGCGCCAGCCGACAGCGAGGTGGGGCCGTTGCGGTTGACCGGGCAACAAGCGCTAGGACACGCGCAAACGCCAAGGCTCAAGACGTCAAGGACTCATCAGAAGACCGGTTTCAAGCTAATCCGAACGCTCCGATGGAGTTTTTCGGATAGGACAATAGAATTGGCGCCGTTGAGCTTATCCGCCGGTCATTGTGGCCATTGTTTGCAGTGTCTGGGTTCGCTGGTGATAGCTGACTAGGTAACCACCCTAGGGTAAGTTATGGTGCTTCGACTTTGGAGCATGGCTGTAGAGCAAGCAACAGAAACGGGTTTTGTTCTGAGAATATGACGACAATGCCTGGGTTTGCTGAGTATTTTGATTTAATCTTTTTTTCTTTTTCTTGCTAGGTACTATGTGGGTGGCCTCTTTCCTACGAAACTGCTATTTTCCCTAATTAGAGTCACTGGTCTGGCAAACGGCCCAACAGCATCAGACGGCTTTCACATTATGTGCACATCTCAACCTACAATCACCATAGAAAAATCTCTATCGACTCCATATGAGCCCCCGCAAAACCATTGGCGTTTTTTCCAATGACTGCACCGTCTAACTAGCCATCACGCAACACCTCCCAAATTTTGTCGGTCCGGCATCAACTACCTAGCTCCGCCGGCGGAGACGATCGTGGGGCAGCCTGGTCGAGCTAATAATACCCCAGCTAGTCTTTAGGTTTTGTCCTCCGCCTATTTACCTATTGCCAGAACTGTTACCTGGAGTACTTTGAGCGATAAAACTTCTCGAAGCGCACCTTCTCTTCGATAATGTGCCCTCCCATTCAACATTCGCATCCGGCTCGCCGCGTCTCGCCCGACTTCCACCATGTACTGGCTACAGCCTATCTCGCTGGCTGGCACCTTGATCCTGGCTAATACTTGTATGGCTGCCAATACTACATCACCTTCTGGAAGCTCCTCCATCTTGACATACGTCGATCCGAATGTGCCTACTGGAGTGCCAATTGCGGGAGACTATGACGGCCGTTATCGCCCACAGATTCACTTCTCTCCTCCCAAGCACTTTATGAATGATCCCAATGGCATGTTCAGAGATGATCAAGGTACGTGGCATCTATACTATCAGTACAATCCTACTGGAGTCGTTGCTGGAAATCAGCATTGGGGCCATGCCACCTCCAAGGACCTTTATCACTGGGTAAACCAGCCCATTGCCCTGTTTCCTCCAAAGAAGAACCAGTACATCTTTTCTGGCAGTGCCATCACAGATCCGAACAACACCTCGGGATTTTTTCCCAGCCAAGGGAATGGCATCGTTGCTATTTATGTAAGTTTTAACGAGCAGCAGCATGTATGTTGATCGCGGCCTCTAATATTAGCAGACTCTCGCCGAGTATGATGAGGACGGAGCCCCTGGACCGCAAACCCAGGCCATTGCATACTCGCACGACGGAGGATACACATTCACGCCATACCATGAAAACCCCGTCATACCAAGCAACTCTTCCCAGTTTCGCGATCCCAAAGTCATCTGGTACAAGGACCACTGGGTGATGGTCGTGGCTTATGCCCAGGAATTCGAGATTGGCATCTTCACCTCTCCCAACCTCAAGGAATGGAAGCACGCGAGCAATTTTTCCCACACCGGCCTCTTGACGCTACAGTGGGAATGCCCCAATCTAGTGCCAATACCCTACCTGGACGCGGACGGCACGAAGCAGGACGACATGTGGCTGCTCGCCATCAGCGTCAACCCCGGCGCGCCGCTCGGCGGCTCCACCACTCAGTACTATCCCGGACAATTCAACGGCACGCACTTTGACGCCGTGGACAATGCCGCCCGGATCGCGGACTTCGGGAAGGACAACTACGCGGGGCAGTTCTTCTACGGTACCGCGGAAGATGAGCCCCCGATCTACCTGGGCTGGGCGTCGAACTGGCAGTACACGCAAGTCGTGCCTACAGGCGAGGAAGGCTGGCGCAGCGCCATGACGGTGCCGCGCCGCTCCTGGTTGACCAAGGCGAAACGAATCGGCTGGAAGCTTGTGACTGAGCCGTACGACCTGGCACCCGTCATGGGCCCGCAACTGGCCAGCAACAACAGCCTAGTCAACGGCAGCCTCACCGTCGACTTTGCCAACGTCGCTTCCAATGCGCTCTACTGGGAGGCCAACATCACAGGACTCCCCCCGACCGGCATCGCCGAGTCGGCGACGCTTAACTTTGCTTTCCTGGCACCCCAGACGGGCGAGTCCGTGCGCGGCGGCTACTACCTCGGCGGGGACACGCCCTTCTTCATCGACCGCGGCGGCGCCCGGGGCTTCGACAATGTCTTCTTCACCGACAAGTTCTCGACCAACAGCCTGATTGACAGCGGCTCGTGGCGCATGAGCGGCATCGTCGACCGCTCCATCCTTGAGGTGTTCCTCGACGGTGGGGTCGAGAGCGCGACGGTCAACTACTTCTCGACGCAGCCGCTGACGCTGATGGTGCTGGGCACGGCGGACATGCCCGACGGCACCGACGTCAGCATCGCCGTCTACGCGCTGGAGAGTGCGTGGGCGAGGATGGCGGACGGAGGGGACGGGTTGGTGCATGGGAACCAAACGAGAAACGGCACGGCGAGTGAGAGTGAAACTCGGCTACTCGGTGTCACTTTCTGAAAGACTGGACGATGGATTTTGTACATTAAGACGACGGCATGCGCTTGCTGACGGGTCTCTAGCATGATACATACATACTTTCCCGCTTTATGAAAACGCACAGATTCACTCTTGTTTGCCGGGGCGCGGATTGTTCTTGGTATATGACATCAGCATCTACCTCGGTCGTAGGCAATAGCACCAGTAAAAGACGTCTGGATCCGTTTCCCTCGCCTTTGGCGTGGGGACCTTGGCGAGGACCTCGACGTCGAACGGCAGCCCACTCAGCCGGAACCTATCCGCGGAGAAGCTCAGCGCTATCCACGCGCCGTCCGGCGCGATGCAGCCGCGCACGCTGTCGCACATCCTCCGCAGCGCCTCGTCGCCGCCGCACGCCACCGCGTCAGAGGTGCTCTTGTCCAAGACCAGCCGGAAGCCGCCGGCGGCGGCGCCGGCCAGGTCCCGGGTCGCGTCCGCCACGGTGTACTGCATGCGCACGTCGCCAAAGGCGCGGCGCTCGAGCTCGCGGCCGCGGTCCGCGGCCAGCGGCTCGTAGTCGACGTTGGTGACGTCGAGGAAGCCGCGCCGCCGCAGGTGGTTGTGCAGGTCGCTGGTGCCGGCGCCGACGTGCAGGATGGGCGCGGACCGGGGGAGGGTGGCGAGGACGGGCCGGTCGATGAGCTGGAGGAAGTCGACGGACGAGAGGAGCCACTCAAAGGCCGTCTCGGAGCGGAAGCGGTAATGCCAGTAGGATTGCTGCTCAAAGTCTGCTGCCATTTTGCGGTTCTTTGCGCAGTATTTTTGGTGGTTTAAGAAGGGGCATTAGAGAGACGTGGGAAACTACTTGGTATTTCTGGGATTCCCCCCCAAAAAAAGCTTTTCCTCCGCGAATGTAAACATGAAGTAAGGCGTTACATCATTTTCTCCACATTAGTGTGGGTGAATAAATCGGGGAACTTCTAACTATAATAATTATACCAAAGGAATTAAACTTGTGACTATTTTCATATATTTTAGTTTCATCGTAATGTCGCTAGGTTTTGTTTTGAATAGCGGCAGTCGTGCCGCTGTTGGCTGTCTGAGGGTATTCGCAGAACCAATGAGCAAGTGGGCCACAGTCGGACTGAAGAAATCTGTATCTCATTGTGCGAGAATAAAGTGAAAAGGCTTTGATTTTCTTCTAATAATAATACGTGAAAGAATATGTCTATTATGCGATTATTTGTATTAGATCACGACACTACCTCAAACCTTCATGTCCTTCTCCGTCGAGGCGTTGTTTGTCGTGGGCAGGGTCAGCTTCGCCTTTTCACTCTGCACCACCTTTGCCCACGCATACACGATGCCGCTGACAAAGGCGATGAAGACAGCCGAGACGCTGCCCAGGGTGACGGGGGCGCCGAAGAAGATGAAGCCGGTGACGGCCATGGGTAGCTTGTTGAGCGCGCCGACCATGGAGTACGTCGTCGAGGAGGTGACGCGGATGCACCAGGCGGTCGTGTAGGAGATGAAGATGGTGCCGAGACCGGAGTAGATCATGCTGATGATGAGGACGGTCCGCGTCTCCGGCGGAAAGTTGCGAGTGACGTTTTCGCTTGACCAGTCCTCGAGGAACACGGACGCCAGAACGAGAACAGGGATGGAAAGCAAATTGTTGTAGAACATGGCTTTGCAGTTGGTCAGCGTACGGATTAGAGCATAACAAGTTGGATGTTGGCTTACTGTCGACGTCGCTAAAGTTAAACGCCTTCATGACTTTCCGCGAGCCGATCAGAAAGGCGGAGGTGCAGAAGACGTTGATACCCATCCATGTGTAGCCAGCTGTGAGCTGCGCCGTGGCAGCGGCCGTGTCGACAGAGTGCAGCCCGTTGATCGCCGCTTGGATGTCCGCCCAAGCAGCAATTACCGAACTCAGGACCATCAGGCCAAACGAGACCAGGATGAGGCGCGAGACCTTGGTGCCGAAGAAGACGTTTTCGCCATATGCAATGACAATGATGGTCAAGTTTTTAAAGATTGTGTACACCGGCACGCTGAGATACTGGAGCGACTTGGCGCCCGAGTAAATCATCCCGACCAGCAGGACGGACAGCGGAAACCCTGCACCGGGTTAGCATATCGGCGCATGCCATGCTCAGAGTTGCCTTTGGAAAAAAGGGACGTACATTTTCTGGCCTTGAGAGAGTCGTATGCCCCCAAGGTGGTGACCATGCCAAAGTGCTTGCCGATGAGAACGGCAATGAGGCAGACGACGGACTAAGCAATCGACATTTTTAGTCAACGAAGGACGCCTCGCGAGTCAATAACTGAGTTAGCCTACCTGGACAGTGAGGCAGAAGAATGTGAGGTTCCACGATCCTCCAGAAAAGATGTACTTGTTGACCGCGGTCATGCTGATGGAGGCGACGCAGTACGCCAAGATGGAGGCATTGGCGTCGCTGATCAGCCCTGCGGCGGCGGGCGGACTGTTGTTGACAGTCATGACGGTTCCTGTTTCCTGCTGGGGCAAATATATTGCACGATCGCCTGCGAAATGAATGCAGCTGTATCACGGAGTTGCAAAACACACTGCCAAGTTGTCTATCTCACAAGGCGACTCTACCGAGCAGCGTCCTGGGGAAGGGGAAAAGGAGTACTGCTTCCGGGGTGAGAAACAGAACTGCTCTCGCGACTTAAAATTTGATCCCATGCTGGCCGAAGACTAACTACTTGGTAGGTAAGGCTTGTGGAGAAGGATAAGAATAATAAGGGGGTGGTTTAACTCGCGTGCCACAAAACGGTCCAATCATGTCTTTGCCCCTTGTGAAAAGGGCTGAGAGAGGCAACTAACTATTATCCCTGTATGCCAGTTAAAAATAGAAGGGTCAGCTGTATGTATGTACATACGTACGGGTTGTTAATGGGCTAACTTAACTGTACCAAACTAGCATACTCACTGTAACGAATTACTTGATGAAGAATAACGCAGGTCGCCTTTTTCTAGTATTGATAAAACTTGTCTTTCTAAATAATATTCTAATATACAGGCAATTACTATGGGAATTTCTATCACTCAACCTCGCCGTACTCCTCATACTGCATTCGGAATACGTTCCATTTTTCCAGAAGCGCAGCATAGCCCATCTCTGCAGCGTACTCACGGTCGTGATCCAGCTCAGAGGCTAATTCCAAGTCCAGAAAGACAATCCTGCCATCAACGAGGTTAAAGTTGTCTAGCTTCCAGTCCTCATGTACGATATTCAGGTTGAGCATGGGGCGATATGCCGCGAGTAGCATGACCTTTATTTGACTCTCTGACGTCTCGACCAACGCCGACCTGTGATAGAGAGACACGCCGCCCACGTCCTCTGGCACGAGGGCGCGGGTGCCATGACAGTACGCCTCTCCGTAGCAGATCGGTATCTGCTTACCCTGAAGCGTTTTGAGCCTGCCATAAATGTCCAGCTCATTGTGAACTCGCTCTTCATCGTCTCAGGGGAAGTCGATATCGTGAGGGAGAGAGGGCAGCTTCAAAAGAAAACCAAGGCGATCCTATTCCCGTCATCAACGAAGAAGAAGAATCAGGAAATGGGATCTTTGACTTAGCTCCACAAAATGCCTCATCACATGAGTTTGGGCGAGTCGTCGCGTAGGTAACCTCATACGCAAATGAGAGGCAGGAAGAAAGGAATAGCAGGAGGAGACCATGTGAAATGGAACTGGCCAAGGCCAGTATCTGAGCAGGGATGGTGGTTGGCTGGAAATGCCTGAAGTAAAGCGAGGACTGCAATGTGAGCTCAGATCTCAGATAAGAACTTTAGTTAGTGGAGAGGTTATAAGATGTAATAGAGCAGAACTCAAGATAACAGAGAATTCGGGGTTAGTAGTTGGGTCGGTGACGACCAGCGAACACCGGCTGTTGTATGTTCATACTTTTTTATTTCTAGTTTTTATTTTGACTTCGTTGATAGAAAAATTTGAGCCGCCTTCTGGGCTTTCTGTTTTATACACGATCTGTAGCAAAGTGGATGGATTATGCACGTGGTTCCTTAGCGGAAGTTGGCATGTGAGCAGCCCAACTCTCCTCGTAAGCCATTAGTGGCACAAATTGCTGGCGTCACATACCATCTCTTATCAATTCACACGGTCGCTCGACCGAGCCTGTTACTTGTCTCGTTTGACCGAGCTTCCTTCCGCTGCTTGCTGCTGCCGCCTGATCGAAACAGTCGAGTTATCCTTGTGTCACTAGTTAGTTGGTGGTGTTGTGCCATCCATCGCCAGTGCGTTTGCGGCCACCCACCTATACTCTAGCTACCTACATACTAATATTGCTTCCTACACGGAAGTCCTCCCAACATCGCGCGACTCCCCGCTCGGCGTTTAAACGAGCTGCGGAGATCATCTCTCATCTCTCTCGCGTAGACAAAATGGCGCGACCTCCGCGGCCGGGGTTTGCCAAGGCCTCTCTTCCCAGAGGCGTGACCCGACAAAAGGACTTTTGGCGTACTGGCTGGTCCTTCTGCTGCTGCAGGATTCAAAATGGCCTGACAGGGCTTTTGGCAGTCTTGCTGGTTCTTGAGGCAAGGCAACGAGACAACACCGTACGAAAGGCGGAAACCGATGTGCCAATGGCGGTTCGATGTACTCGGTAGGCGACGACGAGAGTAGGCTACTAGGGAAACTCGGTATAAAGACGTAGACAATTGGCTGTATATAAACTCTTTGACCGATAGACATATTATAGCTTCCAGCGTACACAGCTATTCCGCACGCAATTACAGGGGGGATGCAGCACGAGACTGCTTCCAAGAAGTGGCATCTCATAATAAAAGTAGAGCTGCAGTAAGTTGGAATGCTGAAATGCAGTTGCTAGTTGGAGGAGCAATTGATACACGGCTTTTTCCGCGGAGCTGAATTTGGAGCAACTGTGCTTCACCTGCTGATCGCGATTCGCAGCCCAGTCCGCGGGCGCTGGACAAGGACAGGGCCGTTTTCTCATCGCTGGCAGGTCGCTGCAGTGCGTTCCTGAACGGGGTTATTGTTGCCAGCTAATGCATCATTCACTTGTCAATGGCAGCTATCGACAGCAAAAGTCCCTCGTTTGCTTCGTCGTGGTGTCTTCGCACCAAGCTGAGATCCGCCCGAGATCCGCCAAGCCGCATAGTGCGGAACAAGACTACTTTAGCACGAGCCCCCAAACCAGTGAGTGAGCCTTGTCAGATTTCTACATCTTGCTTGACCAGGCCAGCATGAGACACTTGCTCGGCAGTTGGATGGTCCTGCAAAGGTGCCTGCAGGCCTTGACCCAGCACTGCTGTACAGCAATGGACCGGAGGCTGGGGTCAACCCTTGATGATGCGAACCAGCGGTCCGGGCGACAAAATGCTTTGCAACAACAGCTGGCATCGGTCGTGGAATTGGTGAAGAGCCTGCTGACCCCGAGATCCTGAGAACGGCGCCAGCCCGGCACCACGGGAGCCAAGGAGGGAGAGTCCCACCCCCCACCCAGCTGTCATCATCGTGTGGCGTTCTTCCGAGGACTTTTTGCTGTCCCCGAGCCTTGGCCTAAACATGGGGGTGTGGCGAGCTCCGACGGCAGCGCAGCCGGTCAATTGCCAGTAATATGGCTGCTGGCCGACTCCTCGGTCTTGCCCGGAAGGAGACCTGTGGCTGGCGCCGAGGCCAGAGTGGAAACAACAAGCATCGAAAGTGTCGGCAGTCGCAGGCAATATCTAACCACTTTAGAAAATAGTCTTGGAATTTTTGTTACGACAACATCGGCCAGTTGATTCCGTGGGGAGGGACGGGCAGCTTGTGCAACTCTGGAGACTGAATACATGGGTGGATGGATGGATGAATGACTGGAAAAATCCTGTGTGTGCATGGCATTGCAGAGAGTTCGCAGCTGGTCTCATTTCTCATCCACAGGGAAGAGACATGCAGCTGGACGACCGACGATGCTTACACACAGCTCCTGCCGGACTTGCTCTTGATGAATTGAAGGGAGCCATATTGCAGACGTTGGGTGGCGGAATCAATTGGTGGTCCAATTTTAAGCATCAATGGGCAAAAGTCCCTGCAACCAGTAAAAAAAAGGTGGTGGTTGGTTGGTTGGTTGCTCTGGCCCCCGGATAGAGCAAGAGGGGGTCCCGTAAGTACCAGTAGGCAACGCAAAGCGACTCAACTCTTATAATTAGGGTTCTTATAATTGATACCACCTTGGTCCACCACCCTGTCCAAACTAGCATGATTCGTCAAGATGCAATGGATCAGCGACTCAGCTGAGCGACTTATTCATCTCCATTTGGGTCAAGCCAGGCGGTCCAAGGCGAAATCGGTGGGCTCCTGTGTCCCCCCCCCCGGATATCTGCATGGCCAATATTGAGTTTGTTATGTCACTCACTGTACGTATATCCGTGCCAGTATGATAAGTCAACCCTGGTAGCTACTTATGGTACGGAGTACAGTACTTTCCACAACTGCGCTGCCATGGGTCTGTCTTGCCTTGCAGCATGCATCATCATGTGGGCAAGGTACCGCGACTGAGACCATCTCGCCAATGCATATGCATGCCAGGGCCTTTTAGCGACCTTGTCTTGATGTTGCATCTTCCTGTGCATTCTACATCTCCATATCCATACTTCCCCCATACTCACCTACCTACCTGCTACCTAATATTCCCCATCTTGACAGCCTTATCAACAAAGTCCCACGTCCCATCTCTACCTTCCTAACAATCAACTTCCATTAAAGAGCCGTCTATCCCTCCACCCTCTCTCCCCAGGGGTGCTCCTTGCTCCAGAATCGTCTCCAAGTTCTCGCGAATACCAGTTCTGTATACTGGGGCGCCGACGAAATCACCTTCAATGGCCGAAAAGATAGACCACAGCAACACCACCGTGTACCCGGAAGTGGTCACAGAGAAAGATGTATGTCATCGCTCTTGGGTCGCTCGTCTAGGAGCGCCGCATGGCCTCGCTTGATCGCTAACTAAAGCTGTCCCTTGCGCTACAGCATCAAGACCGGCACAGCGATCATGGCGTCGAGCTCAGCGAAGATGGCATTGAAAAGACGGAACGCCATCTCGACGTCACCGAGGACGATCTCCTCGAGGCCAAGGAGCTCGCAGCGACATATTCGCTCGACGACTTGCGAAACGTTAGTATTGCGACCGAGTCAAAGACAAAAGTATGCCATCTAACGTACCCTGCTTGTAGATGATGCAACGGGTACTCAAGCTCCATGGCCGTGACCCCAACTTCCCCCTCAACATTATCCGCGAGATTGAGGAGTTTCTCAGTAAGCACCTATCTACCTTCCCCGCCTGCACACATACATATCTGTAAACCATCTTGAGACCGACAACTGTGACACAACTAACCACCACCACCCCTCCACAGACAATGAAGACGTCTTCGCCAACCCGCACAAACACGAAGAGCTCATCAACGAGATGAAGATCGAAGCTGCTCTCATCACCAACAACTCGCCCTACGCCGAAGTTCGGGCCGTTGTCGACAACCAGGATGATCCGACGACTCCCGTCTCCACCATCCGAGCCTGGGTAATTGGCATCCTTCTGTCGGTCGCCTGCGCCTTTGTCAACATCTTCTTCGGCATTCGCATGCCTGCTATTTCCGTCACTTCAAACGTTCCCCAGCTTCTGGCCTACCCGCTGGGCAAGTTCTGCGAGACGGTTCTGCCCGACGCCGGGTTCACCCTCTTCGGGGTCCGACATAGCCTCAATCCTGGCCCCTTCAATAAAAAGGAACACATGCTCATTACCATCATGGCCAGCATCTCAATCGGTGGTACTTACACTAGCAGCATCATCTGGATCCAGGCACTGCCAAAGTTCTTCAACCAGCCCTGGGCCATCAACTTTGGCTACCAGACGCTCATTGCTCTGTCCACCAACTTTATCGGCTACAGCCTGGCAGGTATTACTCGCCGCTTCCTCGTCTACCCGGCTTTCTGCGTGTGGCCGGAAGCGCTCGTCACTATTGCTCTCAATGCTTCGTTCCATAACGATATGAACCCTGCTGTTGCAGGTCCCTTCAAAACCTTGTGGAAGATCAGTCGTCTCAAGTTCTTCCTCATCGCCTGCAGCCTCATGTTCGTTTACTTCTGGGTCCCTAATACTCTTTTCGCTGCTTTGTCCTTTTTTTCGTGGATGACTTGGATTGCCCCCGACAACCATTTGCTGACGACTATTACTGGCTCCCGAAACGGCCTTGGTCTCAACCCTATTCCGACGTTCGACTGGAATATTGCAACCTTCTTCAATGACCCCCTGGTCATCCCCTTCTTCAGTACATTCAATCTCTTCGTCGGCATGTTCTTCAGCATGTTCATTGTCATTGGAATCTATTTCAGCAACGCATGGAATACCGGATACCTCCCCATCATCTCGAACTCTCCCTGGGACCATTTCGCAAAGCGATACAATGTGACGCGCGTTCTTGATCACAGAGGAATCATGGACATTGAGAAATACCAAGACTATTCGCCTCCTTACCTGTCATCAGGGAACATTGTGGTATACATGTTCTTCTTCAGCGTGTACACTGCGTCCATTACCCATGCCATTCTATACCACCGCCTAGAAATTTCGATGGGCCTGAAGGAGCTGTGGAACACAATACGCCAGAGAAAGAACACCGAAGAAGACCGTGTCTTGGATGTGCATAATCGTCTCATGAAGTCGTACAAGGAAGTCCCCGAGTGGTGGTACGCGATTTGCCTCGTCTTTGCTGTCGCCGTCGGAGTTGCCGGCATCGTTCACTACCCTACCAATACCAGCCCCGGAACCATCTTCTTCGGGATTGCTCTGACTCTCATCTTCATCGTACCCACGGGTATCATTTACGCCATGACTGGTGTACAGGTCAGCTTGAACGTTCTGGCAGAGTTTATTGGTGGTTCTTGGGTGGAAGGCAATGCCTTGGCTATGTGCTTCTTCAAAACCTATGGCGTAATTACGTGTCTGCAAGCGCAAGCCTTTTCCAGGGACCTCAAGCTTGCACATTACCTGAAAATCCCTCCTCGTATTACCTTCTTTGCCCAGATGGTGCCAACACTCGCGACTACCTTTGTGGCCGTCGGCGTGCTGACCTATCAAATCACGCTCAAGGACGTTTGCACGGAAGATGCCCCCTTCCGTTTCTACTGCCCCAACGAGACGACATTCTTCACAGCTGCCGTTCTTTGGGGCACTGTTGGTCCGAAGAGACTCTGGGGTGTCGGCGGTCAGTATGCGGCAACGCTGCTCGGCTTCCCCCTCGGTGTTATCGTCGTTTTGGTTTTCTGGGCCTTGGGCAAGAGATTTCCCAACAACGCAGTTCTGCGTAAGACGCATCCTGTGATCTTGCTTTTTGGTGGCATTCAATGGGCTCCCTACAACATTAGCTACATGTGGGCGGAAATTCCGCCTGCGGCTCTGTCGTGGCTGTACATGCGCAAGCGATTCTTGGGATGGTGGTCCAAGTACAACTTTGTTTTGTCGGCCGCTCTTTCCTGCGGTATCGCTATTTCGGGCATCATCCAATTCTTTGCAGTCGCATACAGCGGCTACGAGGTTTCCTGGTGGGGGAACAATGTTGTTCAGAGTCACTGCGAGGATCCCACCAACGTTGCTTGTCGCCTGAAACAGCTTGCCAAAGGTGAATTCTTTGGTCCTGCTCCGGGTACATATAATACCTGAGAGTGATGGTGTGCTGGCGTGTGTTGGTTATACTAAGGGTGAAGTTCTACGAGAGCCCATATTGTGCGTCTTTGGGAATGAGCATATTGTATTTAAGAGTTACGAGAGCGTAATTATGTAAAATTGACAAATTGCATCAGAGCCGACTCTCATCGAGAAACGACTGATATATAGTGACGGGGGTGCATTCACCGGAGCATCTGATCAGCATATGGTGTGCTAAGCATCTATTTGTTTTCTAAAAATGCAAAGTCCAATCATACGAATTCTAGCTGACAAAGGAAATTAAATCATAAAAAGAGTGTACGCCAATACTCCGACCTGACGCGACCCATGCGAACTATCCCAACCAAAACTCCTTCTTCATAAAACCAACCGACAACTCCCACGCCCTCCCCACGACACAAAGCTCAGATGCGCATCCTGTCCGCCATGCGGTTCCAAAACGTGCAGCCCCAGCGGAGGGACTTTGTCGTCTTCTCCTCCGTCTCGCCGCCGTTGCGCAAGACCAGACGCCTGCGCTGCCGCACGAACCAGACGCGCCAGACGCGCAGCCGCACCTTCTTGCCTCCCGCGTCCATCTCCGCCTCGAAGTCGCGGAACCGCTGGCGGCGGTTCGGGTTGCGGGAGCGCACAAAGTTGGCCCAGTACCGCTGCTTGACCATCACGGACGGGTGGTTCTCGCCGCCCGGCCGGAAGCTGGCCGGCAGGTGGCCGTGCTCGGGCCCCCAGAGCAGCGCGGTCTCGACGTTTTGCCGGGCGCCGAGGTGCGAGTAGTCGTCAAGGCCGTCACCGGCGTCCCACAGGTACATGTAGGTGTGTTCGACGCCGGCCTTCTTGAAGCCCTCGGCGGCGGCGAGCAACGGGCACGTGTAGCGCGACTCCTGGTGCAGCTGGTGGATGACGCGCTGCGCGCAGCCCCTGGGGTCGACGCAGGTGCCGTTGACGTGGGGGTACGCGGTGGTGATTTCCTCGACGTCGGCGGCGGTGAGGTGCGGGTACAGATCCCGGATGTAGTCGGCGACGGTCTCGGTGCTGGAGGCGTTGCGGTGGAGGAAGGCGGTGCCGGCGTTGGCGGCGAGGTTGCCCATGAGGAACGGGACCTGTGCGATGTGCCCAGATTTGAAGCTTTCCGAGGTGCTGTTCATGATCAGCTCAAAGTCGATAACGGGCAGCCACTGGTCCCACGGCGGCGTGTTGGGGTTGGACATGACGGCCTTGTAGTTGGCCTTCTGGATGTCGTCTGCGGAGAGAGCAAGTAGACACTCGGGCGTGTTCTTCCCGGCGGTAGTTTCCTCGCCAGTCTCCTGCTCGGGGATATTTTCGGGGTCCAGTTCGGGGGTCTGCCCCGGGTTTTGCTCCGGGTTTTGCTCCGAGTTCTGTTCCGGGTTCTGTTCGGGGCTCTGTTCGGGGCTCTGTTGAGGAGGGTTCTGTTCCGAGGCATTCTGGGTCGAAGAATTTTCACCGGAGGGATTTTCACCGAAGGGATTTTCGCCGAAGGGACTCTCGCCGAAGGAGTTCTGGCCAGACGGATTTTCACCAGACGGATTTTCACCAGACGGGTTCTTCCCAAAGGAATTCTGTTCTGGTGAATTCTTTTCGCAGTCGTCTTTGCCTCCGGGGGCATACTTTGAGCTCCTAGAGGAGCCGCTGTTGTCATTCGTCGGCTCGTCCGTGGACCGACGAGCCCGAGTCGAGTTCCCGCGCGAGCTGCACCCCATCTGCTCCGCGAACCGGTGGTACTGCGCCTCCGCCTCGTCCAGGGTCAGCATTGGCGCGAACGAGGGCGACTCGGCGATGACGCCCCTGAAGCTCGCGCGGAAGCCCGTGTACATGGTGATGTGGACCAGGACGTTCTGCGCGCCGATGCCCGACCCGCCGAGCACCATCTGCTCCGGGTCGCCGCCAAAGTTGCGGATGAAGCGCGACACCCACTCCACGGCCTTCGTCTGGTCGCGGATGCCGTTGTTGGTCGTCATGCCGTCCACGCGCGAGAGGAAGCCGTACGGCCCGAGTCGGCTGTTGAACGTGACCACCACCATGTCGTGGCCGTTGCGCGCGATGAAGTCCGTGGCGTTGACCTCGGCGTACGATTGCGGGTCGCCGAAGCCGTCGCCGCGCAGCCACATGAGCACGGGGAGACGGGACTTGGGCGTGGCGCGGGTCGGCGCCTGCACGTTCACGAACAGGCAGTCCTCGCCGAAGCCGGTCGCGTTGGGCGGCTGGCCGGTGACGAGGCATCGGGTGCCGTGGGAGGCGGCGGACTGGACGTCGTGCTTGGGAAAGGGCTCCTCGGGAGGGCGGAAGCGGCGGTCACCGGTGGGCGGCGCGGCGTACCGCATGCCCAGCCACTGCGTGACGCCGTTCTCGAGCGCGACGCCTTGATATTGTGCGTAGGGGAGTTTCACTAGCTCGGGGACGGCCACGACAGACGGCGAGAAGAGGAGCGCCGTGGCGGCGACGAGGCAGGCGGGACGGAACTGCATGTTGGTGACAGACACGTTGGAAGGAGGGATGGATGGGTTTGAAAGAGTGGGTGAGAGGCAGAGGAGGAGAAAAAGGCAATGGCTGCAGGGAGTATGGTGTCTTTATTTTCATTAAGATTTGAAAACATTAACTTTGGACTTTTCCCCGCGGCGGAAGTTATTTTGGTGGCATGTTCTCGATGGCGCCTCGCTTGGCTATCATCGCTTGGCGGCTAGTGATAGTTACAAGAATTCAAGTATGACGATAAACTTATTCGAGCAGTTTGATAAAAAGAATGCCAAAGTCAAAGATATCTGTCAAAGTGTATCTATCAGTGAGTTGAAAAGTGTGTGCTGATGGAGGAGGTTGACATTGAAACGCTACATGGGATGATCAGTCCAGTCTCCAAGCCAAGAGAGCGTAAGATTTTATTTTAATTCCCAAAACCAATTCCGAGAGATTCTTGAAAGAATATAGACTCTCGAACTCGGTTGCTTTTGACTTTGGCCTCTACAAATGTCGTGACTACTGTGACATGTTATGCTGGACGGTAACCTTGTAGCTAGGATTTATTCACAAAACTATACATAACCAACGCTATGGACAAACTTCAGAGCTTAAGTACACCGACTGTCTAGCAGCCACAATAACCACAATAACAGCTTAGTTGCTTCCATCCTACTTCAATTCAAACGCCTGCTTAGCACGCGTCAGGTACTTGGTCCTGTCCTCGTCGATAGTCACGCCGACGCAGCCCATGTACGCCGTGAAGCCCGTGTCGATGTTGACCGCGAGCGCGTCGCGCACCGACTGCGGGCACTGCGTCGCCAAGAACCACGCGCCGCTCGCAAAGTTGTGCCCGTCCACCGTCAGCAGCGCCAGCATCTCGTTCAGCGTGTCCTTGCTCGCGCCGTCCACCGACTTGATGCCCGCCACCTTGTCGCGGACGCCCGGCAGCGACTGCGCGTACAGGAGGTTGTAGTTGGGCATCTGCATGTTGACGGTGCCCTGGCCGGCGCGGCCGGGGTAGACGTTGTGCTTGTAGCGGAACTGGACCGACTCGAACGCGACCAGGGCGAGCACTGCGGCCATCTGCTTGTAGTCGCACAGGCCGTACGCGTTCATGGCGTCGAAGAGGTGCGGCGCGGCCTGCTCGGCGGTGCGGCACTCGGAGTCGCCGGCGGCGCAGGTGGCCGACTTGGGCGCGATGGTCTTGATGATGTCCACGGCGGAGAGCTTGAGCCCGGGCATCGGCGTGGCGGAGCTGGCGGGCGCGGCCAGGGCGGCGGCCGGCAGCACGACGGCGGGCAGAAGAGTGGTGAGCTTCATGATTTTAGATGCTTTAGAGGTGTAGAGCAGTAAGGAATAAAGCCCGGGTCTTTGTAGCAAGAGGTTGGTGTGTCTGACGGCTCGTGGCAAATGAATTGTCAGTAGAGGCAATATGTGTAAGTCGTGCGCTAAAAGTGAGCCCTTACCCAGCTACTGTATGTATGTAAGTAGCTACAACATAGCACCGGCAATGTAGTACCGGAAAAATGAGCGAAAAAGAAGTTGAGCCTACGGGGAAAAGACGGAAAATAACTGAGGATATTTCCTGCAGTTTAAATACCACTTTGCAGCTGATCTACCTCGCGCAAACGAAATACCTTCACAAGTATTATAGCTAACCGCTGGCTTTGTCCATGGTTTCAGGCGAGCGCCTGTGAGCGAATCACCAGGCCTTGTCCAATTGAGTCTCGAAACGCAGCGCCTCTGCAGGTGCCACTACACGGGCACCGGGGATGCACAAGGGGCATCCAGATGGCTTGAATCAAGTAATAGCGTCGAGGTAACGTATGTACGGAGTAATGCTGGTAGGTTTCGTGATGGTTCTGGTGTCCGTATGAGTCCCTCTAACTTAACTAGTCAATAAATGCACAACGCAATTTAATCAATCACTTTCCAGATTACAGCGCTAATAAACCAACTCTCCACTCCTCCACACATGTAAATACATACAACTAATGCTATAATACAGAAAAAATCATCGCCTAGTACAATTAATTATGCTTGAGTTAAACTAGGTAATAAACTTCCCATTCCCCCTTGTTAGGCACAACTCTTTCCTACCCTATCCGCGAGTTTTGTTGGAGAGTGCTTATTTCAGCTCGCACCTCCCATGGCAACCCTACCTTCCATGTTTTTGTCCCCGGGCTGCAGACTTCCTCGCTGCCGAGTGTCATAAACGCGGTTCATTCCAGTACTCGGCGAATGCCAGCTGTTTGTTTTCTTCATCTCTCCCCCATGGCGATGGGTGTACATGGGTTGATCACCCGGGTTTATTATTCCCAGCTTCAGCTACACAGTGAAGAGACCGGGGCGCGTGACGATGAAGAGGTACACGAAGAACATTGCTGCCGCGAGTCAGTGTTGGATTTGACAAACACGATAAAATGACCCAGGAATCGTGGTAGAACAGGCTTTGCGTGCAAAAACTACCGATCTCTGCAAAGCCTCTCAGTGGCTCAACGTGATGTATCTACGGAGCCTCTGACAGTGCCTTCTCACTTGCAGGAAATTGGGATATAGAATCGCTTTCTAAGATAATTTAAACGCTAATCAAAGCCCTCTTCCCCTTGGTGAGAGCAAGGCTATTTTATACATTTTCCTCTTATCCGCTTAATCCCTTTTGAGCTGTGCTAGCTGTGTCACTATGCCACCTGTTGCCCTGATAATTTCTGGAGATACAAAGACGACTGGGAGCAAGAAACCTGATGCTATCAAGGGCGAGGTGTCGCGCGATTCACAGGAGCAGCCAGGCACAAGAGCCCCCTTACTCCCGCCCTGTCCTTCACCGCCCCTGGGCATAATATCTTTGAGGCAAGCGAGCGGGAACACTCGAACGAAAAACTAGGCACGGGGCGAGTTGCTGTACGAAATAATAAAAGGAGAAGAAGCTCAAGCGTACACTGGCAAGAAAATTCAAGTACATCCTTGTATGTAAGACGCCAGTCGTCACGAAATGTCGAGCGAAAGATTTGTGCGCCTGCACGACGGATGAGGCTCGGAGAGACTTGCTTCCTCCATTCCTTCAAAGATTCTCGTTTGTGTTGCTTTAAATTATACTTTTTTTCTCTTCAAAAACAAGCTATCACCCTGCTTGTTCACGACTCAAGACTCCACGATGACAGCGGGCAAATTACTTCTTTTGAACGAAGTGCCGCTGGTCGGGCCCCCAAGATCGTATAGATGCGGCCTTACACCAGCACCACGTGCCCAAAGTCACCGGTCTCCCTGACAAAAAAAAAGAGACGTTTCGACAAAGGGGAAAGGCGTGACCCTGTGGGGTAACGTGGCAAGCGACGGTGGAAGCAATTTATACAAGGGGCTGTATACCCCCGCTAGTCCGCGCCTGTCATTTGGCGGTTGTCATTATTCTTCATGCTAGGGTCAAGCAAAAACTAGGTCGTTGACGAAGTCATTTATTCGCAAATCCTGACGCTGCGGCCAGCAGATTCATTCATCAAGTCATAGTCGGACAACCATGAAAGCTTCGGACGCTCCTCGCACTTCACTCCAGCCGATTTCCAGATGGGTATCAAACAAGGCTATGCAATTGTGACATCTACTTCTGCTTATCTCCCGACGTTCTGAGATCCTGCACATAAAATGGCAGCTTGTCACTTTCGTAAACGTGTCCGGTCGGATGCTCCGTCTCACAGTACAGGTTGTCAACTGAGTGTGGGTGAAATGTGCTCGTCTGCTTGCAGTCGAGAATATGATTCAGCCCAGGCGGGTGCGTCAATCGGAAAATACCATATCTGGTACGCGTTAGTAAAAGAATATCCAAGCAAAAGAAAATAAAAAAGGCTTCGCAGTACACATACGAGGGGTTGAACTTTGGCGCGCACACAATGGCCACGCTTTCCGGCATCATAATCTGATAACCGGCATGCGTATGCAAGTCCCGCGAGCTCATGAAGCAAGTTTGCGTCGGGTGCGTGTGAATCCACCCCAGCACCAGCAAATCCTCATTCATGCAATACTCGGCTAGCGTACCCTCGTTGACGGTCTCTACGGTGTCCGAGGTGCATATTTGGTCCGGTATAATGAGGCAACGTACAAACAGCGCATTGTTCACCGGACTACCGCAGAGGATTCCGCACATCTCGAGCCCTGCGGCCGTGTTCTTTGCTGCAATCTCCAAAAACGTCCTTCGAAGCTTGCTGGGTATGAACATGGACCGGATAGGATCTCCATTCTCCAGATAAGCGCCGGGCTTAAATGTAAGTCGCTCCTTCTTGGGCACCGTTGGTGCGGAAAGGGGTGCCTTTGGAGGCACGGTCGGTCTGGATGATTGATTGTAGCTCGGTGGAGGTATTGGTGGCTTGTCGCCTGCGTCCCACGTCTGTGGCGACTCTTTGGGTGGCCGTTCCGGGACCAAGGCAGGGAACTTGGGTGGCACTGCAGGCTGCTGCTCACGAAGGACCTCTATCGGGCGCGATTTGGAGACCGACGGATAATAGTATTGTCTTGTGTCTGAACGGCCCTGGCCATGCGCATCGACATCATTCGCTGCCTCCGCACTGCGATCCAGGTTGTTGCGAACCGCGGCCATTTGCTGCTGCAAGTCCACATCCTCCGAGCTGCCAAGATAATTGTTCCGCCAACTATCGAAGTAAGGTCGAAGCGAAGTGGTTCTCGCGTTGTAACTGTCCTGCTTGGTGCGTCGCACACGAGTCCGGCGGTCGAGTTCCTCCTGGGCAAGGTCCACCGCCAAGTCCTGGTGCTCTGCGGCGTCAAGAATAGTCGTCTGACGTTGAAGAGTAGGGTCCTGCGCTGCGAACCCAGCATACGAGGGTGCCGCGCCGTCAGTTGATATGTGATATTGTCGCTTCTCTGGCTGCATCCGCTCCCATTCTTGACGGCTACCCTCGATCGCCGGTTTGAGCATTTCCAACTCTTGAATGACATCGCCGATCCGGGCTTGCAGGGCTTTGACGGATTTACGCGCGAGGGTATCTTTGTACTCTGGATGCGTAGACAAGTAATTCAGAACGAGAACGGAGTGTCGGTACAGCATCATGTAGGCTCGGCCGTAATCGCTGTCGGACATGGCAAACGCCGCCTGATAGTCAATATTAGTCTGGTGGCAGAAAAGTCGCATGATCAGGCAGCCTACCTCCTGGCATAGCGTCTCTGCTGTTCGTATCCAGTGTCGGAGCGGTATGTTGACGTTGAAGGCGAAGTTCTCGGCTTGCGCCACAAGCTCTTGGACACTCGGCGGCTTGCCGGGCCGCATTGCGGAAGAGGCATTCATCCTCAGAATGAGCTGGCGGGTAAATCGAGCTCCGGTAGTTCTCCCTATCGGAAGACAGTAGAGGAAGAGAGCATCGCAGTTTGGTCGTCAGTCCGTGGCAAAAGTTGTGGTGCCACGGCAGGGCAAAATGTTTGCCGATGATGGAGTTGGAGGGGTAGCTGCAAGAGCTGGTGCCTGGGAAGTGGTTCAGAATGACGCGCCATCCACACATGCAAGGTATGCATTTGACGGGGCCGGCAATGATGTCTGCGGTCGGCCAAGAAAATGCACATGAAATGCATAGAAATAAAAGCAACTCTTAATTTAATTCTGACACTGGATCGAAATATATGGTCCGTGGCGAGTATACGTTTGGGCTGTCAAAGTTGTTCACCGCGCTTCTTAATCTACCCAGATGACGCTCTAGTTTGCCTGTGCTCGAGCGGCGGCATACAATACACAATGATTCCTTATCCAGAATTATGGATCAGGAAAATACAGGCATTGGCGCAATACTGGGCTTGTAAATCTAATTGAAAATATTCTCCATCGCCAAGCTTACCACATGGCTGCCTACTGTCCGCCAGCGTTTCCAGCCGCTTGCTGAGCGGCTGTTTGGACCTGGATAATTTCTGTTCTCTTCTTTTCAATCTTTCCTTGCGTTTCCTTGATTTGTGTCTCGAGACGCGACCTGTGCATGTCAGCTGCTGGAAAACGTCGCCAATGGAAGCCAGGTAACCTACATCTCGTTGCTGATATAGTCCAGTCTTCCTTTAACCGTGCTTTCAGCCTCAAACTTTTCTTGTTTTAATAGAACCGGGCCAGAAAGCTTGTAGATGGTTTCATCCTCCGCCAAAGTCTCAAATTCCTACAGAGTGTGAGCTGAGGTGTACATGAACGCATCCCTGCTGACGGTCGTACCTTTTGCACGCTGAGGTTTTCTTGGCGCTGTCCGTCAAGTTTTTGTCTTGATTCGACAGATGATTGAAGGTCTACAACTTGCTGTTAGAAGGAGTTGTGACCGTTGGGTTGATATCGAACTGACCCAGCTGAAGTTTTTGATACTCCTCCGAGAGGGCCTGGAGACGAGCTCGTGCCTCAGCCATGACGGCAAATATTGATGCAGTTAGATTTGACTCGACGATAGAATTATCTTCCACGAGAAATGAACATTTGGGAAAGTTAAATGGTCGTCGAATTATTGCGCGTTTCTGTAGTCTCTGGTGCTTTCGCGGTCTTCGAGGACTGCCCCGCTATGGGTGTGCCCCGATAGGTACATGTTAGTTACCCCGCCAATGTTTGACTTGCTGTCGACAGACGCAGCCACAGATTAGTGACGACTCGAGGACTCCAGGCAGACGCCCAAAGTCAAAACCACCAAGACTGAGCTCTCGTACTCACGCAGACGCGAGTCGACCTTGCGCCGGTTCCCATTCGCCGTCCCTCCTGCGTGGCGCAACCCGAATTCATCCCCTGCTCGACACACGCGGTGACAATCCGCTCGCGCAGACAAAAATGTCGACGAACTTCCGAGACCGCGCCATCGCCGAGGTGCAAAAGGCCATCGCGGCCGACCACAACAAGGAGTACCAAAAGGCCTTTGATCTATACATGTCCTCCATGGAGCTGTGGGTCAAGGCGCTCAAGTGGGAGAAGAACAAGGCGCTCAAGGCTACTATGCAAGAAAAGATGGCGACGTACCTCGACCGCGCCGAGAAACTCAAGCAGTTCTTGCAATCCGAGGCCGACAACAACACCAACGGCGGCAAGGGCTTGATGGGTGCTAATGGCTCCAGCGCGGGCGGCAAAAGCAAGGGCTCGGCCGACGACGATGACAACAAGAAGCTAAGAAACGCCTTGTCGGGCGCGATTCTGCAAGAGCGGCCGAATGTGCGGTGGGAGGACATTGCTGGTCTGGAAGCCGCCAAGGAAACCCTCAAAGAGGCTGTCGTGCTTCCGATCAAGTTCCCCAGTCTCTTCCAGGGCAAGCGACAAGCGTGGAAGGGTATTTTGTTATACGGCCCGCCTGGTACTGGTAAGAGTTATCTCGCCAAGGCTGTCGCCACGGAGGCAAACAGTACCTTTTTCAGTATAAGCAGTTCGGACCTGGTCAGCAAGTGGATGGGTGAAAGTGAAAGGTGAGCCAGGCCACGGCATTCGTACCGCGGGTAGTTGCTAACATTCCACTCCCAGACTCGTCAAGCTGCTGTTCTCGATGGCGAGAGAGAACAAGCCCTCCGTCATTTTCATCGATGAGATCGACGCTCTCTGTGGACCGCGCGGCGAAGGTGAGTCGGAAGCCTCGCGACGTATCAAGACGGAGATCCTCGTGCAGATGGACGGCGTCGGCAACGACAGCAAGGGCATCCTAGTCCTCGGCGCCACCAACATCCCCTGGCAGCTCGACGCCGCCATCCGTCGACGGTTCCAGCGGCGCGTGCACATTGGCCTGCCCGACACCAACGGCCGCGCGCGCATGTTCAGGCTCGCCATCGGCGACACGGACACGGCGCTGCAGGCCAGCGACTACAACACCCTCGCCGCCAAGTCAGACGGCTTCTCGGGCAGCGATATCTCCAACGTCGTCCAGCACGCGCTGATGCGCCCCGTCCGCAAGATCTTGCAGGCAACACACTTCAAAGCAGTACGTGCATTGCCAGACTAGGCCCATGTTCACGGGAAACGAGAGTGGTGCTAACCAGTTCGTCATCAGGTCATAAAGGACGGCAACCGCATGCTGACGCCATGCTCACCGGGCGACCCCGAAAAAATTGAAATGACCTACGACGACGTCAAGTCCGACGAGCTTCTCGCCCCTGACGTTGCCTTGCAAGACTTTGAGGTGGCCCTCGACGACTCGCACCCGACCGTGTCGAAAGACGACATTGAGAAACAGGTCGATTGGACCAACGAGTTTGGCAGCGAAGGTGCCTAGTGTTCTGGAATGTTGCGTAGCCTACTTCAATCGGTTGTATACAGCATAGCGGCGTCTTTCGGAGTTTTCAGAGATATTTTGCATCTAGTTCGGGACCCGTCGTTTTGGTTTGTACCTGCGAGCACTGCAGCGAGCAGAAGCGCTTTGGTGATATGCACGCCACGGTAATTACGAGCATGAGTATTTGTTCTTATATTAAGGAGATGGCCATCTCTTTCACTAGCAAAGAGAAGCTACTTGTCAGACTCTGCGAGTATTCTTTTCTGATGTTGTATTGGTCGAGGTGCTTCTTCTGGCGGCACGGTTGCTGCTACTGCTGGTACTTGCGACAAGTGTAGTCGCGGCCAAATTTTGAGAGACGGAGTGTGCAATACACAATGGCAAGAAGCCATAGATTATTCAACTTCGAAGTAATTATCAGCTTGATCTTTCCACCCATTACTACACTACCAGTCAAACATCTCTCAAGTACATACATGCCCCGTTCTTGCGACAATGTGGTAGGCTCCACCAAAAAGTCGTGGCGAGCTTGCTGCTGCTGGTCTAGAGTCCAGAGCTCGACCTTTCATCTCAACAAGGTATTCTGAGAAAAAATTCCTCCACCGCTTGATGATCGGCTGCTCGCCATACAAACGGGTTGTCGCGCGCCGACTACTTGACAGCTTGACATGCCCTCATAGTCAGTCCGTCAAAGGCGTGGCCTCTAAGGCTAGAGGCCGCTCGCCGCCTGTCGACTGGCTCGCGGCCGAGACGGACCTTGCACAACAGCTTTTGAGCACTGGTCTCTGGGGAAGCGCGCGATCGCGCGCTTCGAAGAATTCGCCTGTGGATACTCGTAGGGTCAACATTGTGAGCGAGGAGCTCTGCTGTAAGTCCCGACAGTCGCGGTGCGCTGCGCGGTATTGCGGCCGCCCGGTCAGCATATACTTGCCTGCTAACAACGATCCCTTTTCCGCAGCCGATATCATAAAGTACATTGGACACTCTCTCGAGCGACATAACGGATGCGACCTGCTCGATCTAAACCCGGGGGCTGGCCTCTGGAGCAAAGCCCTGCATGAAGCCCTGCAGCCGCGCAAGCATGTTCTTCTCGACCTCGACGCCGACTTTTACCGGCCGTTCCTGAGCGACCTCTTGTCCAAAAAGAACGTCGAATTGATCAAAAAGTCGGGTATCATTTGGGAGGATCTCGAAAATGTTGTGGCGTCCCGCTTTACTGAGCAGACAAAGGTCGCGCCGCACGCAGAAACACCCCCGTCACGCAACGACACTCTGCTCGTGACGGCGAACCTGTCAATGTGCCCAAAGCGTGCATATCGAGGGTTCGATAATGTCGGGACCATGGTTCTGTACCAGTTCCTGTCGAGCATCCGGCAAAGTAGTCTGCTGCAACAGTACGGGCTGGTACGCTTTCTGATATGGACCAACGACGAGGACAAGCACCGAATCCTGCCACGCAGCATCCTACGCCGCCGCCGCAGCGCCTTCGAGGCCGAGCTTTCGTGTGACTGGCTCCACGAGGTCTGCGGCGCCGCCGTGGACGTCCACGCCCGCATGGCTCTGCGCGACGAGTGGCTGAATGTGGAATCATGCGCGGGCGCCATGGCCAGGATGGAGGCGCTCGGGATCGAGATGCCGGCACATCGACAGACGGAGACGTATAAGCGCATTCGCGAGAGTCCAGAGCTCTTGACGGCCCGGAATCTCGCGGATACGGAAACGCCGCAACTCGCGCGGCCCTACATCGAGGAACTCGACCGCCTACGGCACACGGTCGGCCTGGACAGCCCCGAGGAGGAGCAGCCACGCTTGCGGCAGCTTGAATACCGCGACAGACACGAGCAGAAGCTGGCCGGTCGGTTCGGCGCCCTCCTTCAGCAGCGCATCGCGACCATCGCCCTCGCCGGCACCGCAGACTTTGCCGCGCACGATGCCGCCTACGCCGCGGCCGCGGCACGGCTCCCCAAGAACAAGGCCGCCGAGTACCAACGGCTCGTCGACAACCACCACCTCTTCCGGCAAGCGCCGCCGGCGCTGCTCTGGGACCGGCGCGCGTACGAGCCGCTGGTCGCCCGACCCGCCGAGTTCTTCCCCAACGCGCCGACAACGCTCCTCGATATGCAGCCCAAGGCCACGGACCTGATCCTGCGGCAGTACGGCCCGCGGACGTCGCGCTCCGGCGAGATGTCAGACGTGCTGCTTCACCTGTGGTTCGCCAACACGCTGGGACCGCTCGAGGACGGGCCGGGCCGGCTCTGGGGCGGCTTCGGGAGTGAGGTCGGGCGCTGCCCGAGCTTCGGCGACGCGTGGAGGGGCGGCTCGCCGCTGTCCGGGGCGGGCCGCGTGCCGGCAAGGTGCGTCAACGAGGAGCAGTGGCTCGAGGTGATGCGCGCGTGGATGGACTGGCCGTTTCGCCCGGCGTACAGGCAGCTCCTGAGCCGGTGGTCGGAGGAGGGCGGCGCGGCGGACGAGGAGGACATCAAGTCTGGCGCGCAGGGTCTGGGTTTCTAAAGAGAGCATCGAAATGTGCTTTGTATAGTACTTGTATTCTAGACGGCATGATAGAGGCGTTTATTTGGTTCACTTAGAAGGGTGTCAAATATATTTCACGATGACTTTTTTGATCAATGATTTGAATAGCTTTTTTGTGGCTACTCTAGAAACAGTCGAGCATGACTTTTTGCTGCTTCGCTGCTAGGAACAAGGCTAGGATATAGAAGCCTAATAAGGAAAGTTGACAAAGAGCAATGTTGTAGGGAAACAGGAGCCAGCAAGCATTTATCTCCCATGTGCGAGACAGGTGATAACAACCGTCAAAAAGGGACATTAACCGGTTCTAGAGAACGAGGAAGTGAAGAACAAGGGAAAACAACAAATCCAGGCACCGTGAAAAGCCAGCCAAACGCCGTACAAGGAAATGCGAAGAAGAGGTAGGGAGCCGGTGCCCGCCGGCTCCGCCGGTATAAGAGGCAGTCAGTGGTGGAGGAGGAAGACGGGAACGGGGAAAGGGGGGTTTGAAACATTAATACTCGAGATCCATGCCATGCAATGTCCATCCCTGATGTACTACTTCAGGAAAGACGGAAAGTTCGAAGAAAACGTTTCGGTTCATATCAGTACAGGGGGGGTCAAGACGGGATGGGTGGGGGGGCCAACACCGAATTTACCACTGCCTCCATTTGCGCATCAGTGCGGGCTTGGCCAGGACGTCCTGGACCCAGCCCATCGACTCCCTGCGATCGTCGAGCAGCCGCGCATACTCGAGCAGTAGACGGAGAACGTACACCTCCATGTCCTCCTTCCGCAGCACGCGCTCCGCCCATTCCTTGCCGTCCATGGCGATGCGCTCCGCCGCCGCGTCGTGCGCGCCGCGGCCGCCGGGCCCGCCGAGGAAGTAGTCGAGGATGCCGTAGTAGTCGGTGAAGCGGTTGTCCATGGGAACGAAGTGCTTCCAGGCGACGAGGCGGCTGTCGTGCCACTCGCGCCAGAGCGTGGCCTTAACGGGCAGCGAGGTCGAGCGCAGGAAGCCGAGGTAGCGGCCGGAGAAGGAGTTGCCGTCGATGTCGGGCAGGATAGTGCGCTGGAACTGCTCCTCGAGGACGATGCCACGCACGGTGTCGAACGCATGGTCTGTGTACGCGCAGCGGAGGTCGTCCTGCCCGGGCATGCAGACGAGGTCCGTGAGGCCGACGTCGGTCACGCCGCCAATCCACTCCCCGAGGCGGCCCTCGCCTTGCGCGCGCACGCGGTACACTGAGGGGTCGGGCAGCGCGAAGTTCTCCGGCTGATCAGATTCACCGCCAGCCTCGGCGCGGCGCAGCGTAGTGCCATTGTTCATCGCGACGAAGCGGTGGCGCTGGAAGCCCTTCCAGGTGTCGGGCCGGTTGCGTCCACCGGTCGCGACGCCACGCCAGACGACGCCGGGCGTCTTGTCTGGCCACGCCGCACCGTGGTCATCGCCACCAGTGAAGCGCCGGTCGCCCTCGTAGTACATGGCGGCGGGAATCAGGATCTCGTTGTTGACGGCCAGCTTGGAGCCGCCAAAGAGCGGGAAGAGCACCTTGGTCGTGCTAGTCGACAGCGGTTCGATGAAAGCGCCTGATAGTCCCTGCAGGTCCGGCTGATGGCACACATCACGCGAGAGCGTACTGTTGGCGACAAAGCCGTGGTATGTGTGGGGTCTGGTGTTGCTCGCGTTGAAGACAGGCGTACCGGAGAAGTCGGTCTGTACAGGCGTCGTCCGCGCAAGGCTCTGCGGCGGGCAGCCGCGGCGAACGAGGTTCCAAAAAGGGTCTGTCGCGCACATCGCTGGTCAGTCCTATCCTCTACAAGTGCACCGGTGCCGAAATCGGCAAATGGCGTTTCGTCACTTACTGGTCTCCTCGCCCTCCCACTTCTTGTCGCGCACTTCGCCGTCTTCCTTGTTTTCGCCCGTCGAGAGAGATTGGAATTTGCTTACGACTCTGTCAGGATCCGTGAGCCCAGTCGTTGAAGCTGCCTTGGCCATGCAGTGTTGAATGTCCTCGTACGGTGTGATGATGCGGGGTTCGTCCATCGCGTTGAGGGGAATGTCCATGTCGGGCAGCAGGTGCTCGATGTTCTTAACCAGGCGTAGCCAGATCTGCGTCCAGAACCAGTCGGATCCCGCGGTGGCACGGCCATCGCGCACATTGATGGTCATTTCGAAGGCCCGTGACTCTCGGCGCATCGCAGCAGCGTCAACACCCCAGAAAGGCTCGATGTCGTGGTGAATTTGGTCAAAGAAGTCCTCGACGATGAGGGCATTTTTGGACTGTGCAAACTCGAACCATTCGTGGAAGCCGGGTGGCGGGTGGCGACCCCGGCGTTGGCGGTATGCTTGGGCGGCGTCCTCGACGGTTTTCGTTTCCTTGCGAAGAAGCTCGGTGAACTTATGTTGGGCGTCAGATATTAGACTGTCAATAGGGTGAGACTTGCTGTTCCTAAATAGAAGATGTGTCAGGGCAAAAGTACTTTGCAACTCTTGTTTTCTTTCAAGATAAAGGGCATGGTGGTAGGTACCCTTTGTACGAACGGCCGCCTGTCGACAAGCCACCTTGGCCATGTAGGTTGGCGACTGAGATTTCGTAGGCATTGTTGTTAAAGGCGTAGAGCGCAAACACCATGATAAAGGCAATACCAAGATAGCGGACAACTCCCGACGGTCGAGGCATCATGATGAGCTGAATTTGTCAAGATGTAGTTGTGGAAACAGTCGTGCCGGTGGTGACGGGCGAGGCGTCATGAGCGTCGTCAGCCTGCAGCAGTCGGCGAGGAAGCGCGGGCACTAAGAGCAGGTGGTCGTCGGCAGCAGAGCTGAGACCATCTGCATCACACAATAGGCAATTCGGCTCGAGAAACAAAGAGAGGGGCCGGAGGACACGTTGGTTCCCTTATGAACAACACTTGAAATGCTGCCTTAGTACGCCAGGCAAACGAGGAGCGACGGTCGTGAGGCGGTCGTGAAGCGGTCGATGTTAGGTGGCTGTTGGTGGTTTTTCTTGAGGCACGAGGGCAGCGACTACTCGTTGTCCAGCGCCACCAAGGGAATCGGCGGAGAGGAGGAGAAGAGATGAAGGAAATGCGAAAGTCTTAGGACAGCGAAACAGAAAAAGGAGTTTGACCAAGAAGCGCGAGGGGATGACGAGACGAAAACTATCAAAGCCGCCAAGTGTGTTGCAGTCGCGCCAAGACAAGCTACGGACTGGTAAGGTTTGGAGAAGAATGGCAAACGCGGAGGAAAGGAAGAAAAAGGCGAGGAAACGAAACGTGGCGTTGAAAAGGAAAAGGGCGAGTGCAGGAAAGAAGAGACGAATTCGAAACAGACCGCAGGCCTGGAACTATCAGGACACAGTGAGGATCCAACCGCCAGCATGATAGAGTGACAGTGGGCGGCTATGCAGAGTGATGCGGGCTTCCTGGAAGACAAGCGGGAATTACGGGCACATAACTGATCTGTACCTGTTAGGTACTAAGGTAGCCAATAGTTACCGTATGGGTTGCACATCCAGGGGGCCGTCAAACCAGGAACAAACGGCGCAGAGCGTGCAGACAGGTCAGAGATCGGCGGATGCTGCGCAAGCTTTTGCCCCATTGCATTGCCGTTATCAAGAGTTGGCACAGGGAAGAGCCTCGTAATATTACCAAATTGTTGGTGGCGTCGACATTAAATAAAAAAAAAGGACGAAAAAAATACCATGGGTTTGACTAACATTATTTATTTCTGCGACGACGGTTTCCTCGGGCCGCACCCAACTTGATACAGGCATGGGTTGAATGAAACTCGTCACCCACGCGATGGCAGCCAAGCTTGTGACTGGTCGGAGCCAAGCTTTTTATCCCCAAACGCTAGACCAGGGAGGCATGCGAACATGGAGAGACAAGATGCCTGCAAATGAAATTTATTACTCCAGCAAAATATATCCGCACCGTTTTATTACCCGATGGGTATGTTTCTAGAGTTTTTTTTGTGTCTGGTCCCCTAGCGCTAATGAGTTCCATGGCCGGGTGCCTTGTGCTAGCAGAGAGGCTAGAGATTTGCATCGAAAGACGAGTGACGCTGGCCTTTCCCTTTCTGAAGCATTGCCCCTGGCGCTAGTGTAACAATGGAATGGGGTTGATTGTTCTTGGTTTGAATCATTGACGAACAGACTTATTGCAAAGCTCGCCTCTCTTCTGCAGAGCTTTTCTCTCTTCATCATGGTAATAGACAGTTAGCAGCTGGCAGTTGGCAGCTTGGCAATCCTACGAGCTTTATCAAGTCAAAACGTGTCCGTTCCCCACTGCCGACCGTCACTCTCCCCTTCTGCCAATCCGTCAATCAATGCCTTGATCGACCATGGCCTGTGGTGCGGGTCTCAGTCTCGCCGCTGATATTTTACCTTTTTCGTGAGCATGATTGCGTGTTCTGGCCCCTTTCGCTTTTTGTCCGCTCGGCCATGGCGCTGTCCCTCCAGTTCTTCGTAGTTGGTTAGCCCCAACACGGGCTTGATGGTACAAGCAAAATTGTGATCGCCACCTGAAACAGGTACACTGTCCTGTACCCGCCCTGCAAAAGATCATTCTTCCAGCACGTCATGTCTAGCCAGCGTGGTTGTGTAGCGTGTTTGATTGCGCGGTTAAGCTTTGAGGCTCTGCCCCTCCCCGCCATCATCTTTCCGTTTGCTGGTGTGCGATTTCATCACATCAGTCGTCCGAACCGCTGTCGAGCTGGTCGCGTGCCCTGGATCTCAACATTAAGGAAACCCCTAAGATCGTGCCGCTCAGGCTGTGATCGTGCCGCTGTTGGTTACACCGATAGTTACAGGTGTTTGCCATACGGCTCTTCTTGGGGCCTATTCGCTTTTTTCCCATCGAACCATCCCCAGTTCCCCAGCTACTATCAGTATGCATTGTGACAGTTTTATATGAACTAGATTATTATTCATCATGGCGATCGTGATTGAAATTTAGGCTGTGTGATGGGACTTTCGGAATTTTTTTTTCAGCCCAATGTGACAGCAGCCTAGGAACAATTTTGGTTGGGTGGATGCTAGCCATACCGCTAGCCGACCACAAGGAGCAGCATGTCAACACAACAGCAGAAGAAAACCATTATGCCCTAATCATGGCCATTATCTTGCCGCCGCAATGATGTAGCTTCTTCTTTATCTAGTTCCTAACCGGCCTTCTCATCAATCAACTGATCAGTCTTCGGCGGCAGTTGTTTTTCCCCAGTATGCATCACCATGTCATAGAAAGTACTCCTCTTGGCCATTAGATCGTTCGGACTGCCGACCTCCAGAATCCTGCCTGAACCCATGACCACTACCCTGTCATAGTCCATGATCGTCTGCAGCCGGTGAGCCACAGTTATAAGGACCCTGTTTTCACTGCCTGCACGAGAGAGCTCGGTGCGAAGTACTTCTTGCACACCAGCGTCGGTGCGTGCATCCATGCTTGACGTTGCCTCGTCTAGAAGAACAAGCTTGGAGCGGCGGATCAGCACGCGACATAGCGAGAGTACCTGCCGCTGGCCGTGGGAAAAGTTCTCTCCCTTGGTCTTCACCATGGTTGACAGTGTGAGTCTCTCTGTAAACGCATCATTGGTCGTAGAATCAGCGAGGCCTGTTGCTGTCGCCCCCTCCTCGTCAGCTGATCGAAGAATGCGCTGGCACACATCTAAGGCGTCCTGAAGTTCTACTTCTGGAACAGTTTCGGAAGGGTCGAGGTTAGAGGCAAGAGTTCCTTGAAACAGTTGTGCCTCTTGTGGAATCGTGGAAATGCAATGTCGCAGGCGCTTGTATGAAATCGCTTGAAGATCCACTCCGTCGTGAAGTATTTGGCCAGATACGACCTTGGTAAACCCGAGGAGAGATGAAATTAGCTATCGTTAAGTTAGCTTCTTGAATTACGTTGTTCTAGCTAACAGTACTGACCGTGCTTTTCCCGCTGCCGGTTCTGCCAACAATGGCAACGCGCGAGCCAGGCTCAATTCTCAAAGAGATGTTCTTTAGGATGTCTTGTCCATTAGGATTGTATCGAACTGTGACATTCCGCAATTCTACGGTGCCAGTTTTTGGCCAACTCGCTGGCACGTTCTCACTGCTCTTGGTAACGCAGTCTTTCTCTGGTGCCAGCTGGGCGTACTCTCGAACGCGCTGGAACTGCACGTCACTTAGCATTAGCAGATGGTAAAGGACTCGCCATATTCTTCGAGACGTACCGTTTGCATAACAACGCTTAGATTGTTAAAACTGAAGATCAGCGCTAATACCTTGTCGCTAAGTTGGGTTGCCTGCGACAAGCAGAAGCCCGCAAAGCCAGCCGACATTTTGCCACTCTGCGACAATACAAGTGACGCTGCAAAGACATTGATTACCGTAGCCAAAATGCTCATTCTGAATTTCAGCCACTGGCTGGCGTTTGGCTGAGCATGCTGTGCCCGGGACGATGCACAGAGCAAGCGGTTCATCTTTGCATGGAAAATTGCAGACGTGGACGACGTCGCACGAATCACCATAGAACCAGTCAGCCCCTCAGAGAACGCTGAAAGGACAGGAGACCGGCTGGAGGACACGAGCTCTGTGAGAAGGAGGCTCACACCCTCGTGCATCCGCGCAATCAAGCAGCCAAGGACCAACAGAGCAAGGGCTAGCAGAATGAAAATGGGGAGTTGGAGGCAACAGCACCCATCATGAGCATACATTTAAGAATGTCGCTGATGACTGGGACAGTGTAATGATAGATAGACTGATCCAGAGTTGACATGTCTCCCGACAAACTATTCAGGACCGTTGATATAGCCTGCTCACTGAACCACGACAGAGGTGCAGCCATGAGAGCATTAATCATGTCCATGTGCAGCTTGTTGGCAGCCACCGAGATACCCCTGCTGAGAGTCATCATACGTACACCATCAATAGCCTCAGTCAGGTAGCTCAAGCCAATGTACCGCATCAAAAAGTATGAAGTGCTGCTTCCGCAGTCGCCGGAGTGTTCAACCCAGCGCGACATCCAGTAGTTGGTGTAAATGCCAGCGCCGGTGTGAAAGAAGCAGGTAGCCACAGTCAGTGTTGCAAAAAGTGGCCCTCCAAAGTACATTAAATAAGTGAACACTGTTTTGTCAAGTTAGCTAGAGTAACTTGACTCTAAGAGGAAGTATAACTTGCCTAATAGCGGGCCTGCAGTACCTACTTTTGACCGTTCTTGGCCAGCAACCAATTCCACTGTTTCTCCAACATCTGCATCCTTGCCCGCAGACAAGATGGTGTGTATCTGATTTGAATGCTCCTTATTCACATTCACATTCGATAGGATGGCCTTAGGTTTACGCACATGTCCTTTCTTTTACGCGACGGATTGAACACGACCGTTGTCCATAACAATAGTCATATTGGCTTCATGTGCAACCCAGGCGTGTTGGGTCACAAGGATAACGGTTCTGTTTTGCAGAAGAATTGAACAGAATACACCATTCCATAATTCGAAAGATGTCTTGGTGTCCAGTGCGGAAAAAATATCGTCAAGGAGAAGCAACGACGCGCGGGAAAACAAGGTTCTTGCAAGTGCAACTCTTGCGCGTTGTCCGCCTGCAATCCATTAGAATATGATATCAAGTGCAACAAAGTGCTCTTACGCATACCTGACAATGCAAAACCACCATCTCCAATCACTGTCTGATCCCCCTGCTGCAGTTCTGCGAAGTCGACGTCCAAGCGGCAGGCGTCAACAACATTTCTGTATCGCGTCTTGTTATATGTATTGTGAACCAGAATATTGTCTTGGATTGTACCAGCTTGTAGCCAAGCAGTCTGTGGAGCGTATGCTGTATCTTGTTGGCGAGTGACACTCCCGCTCTTCTTGACAATTTCTCCCAGTAGCGCTAGTAGCAGTGAGGACTTGCCACTACCACTATCGCCTGTCACCACATTCAGACCACCTTGGATGAATTTGATGTTGATGTCACGCGGATAGAAAGCAGCTCCGGCAGCACGCTGGAAGGTCGCATTCTGAATCTCGGCAGGCCTATTGGGATAGGTATCGAGCGGCGTCAGACTCTTAAAGAACTTGTCAAGTCGGCGCAGAGATACCACTGCCTTGGAGAAATCGACACTGACTAGAGCCAGAAAGACCAAGCAGTCTTTGACAATCTCCAGTAATTGGATGGTCATGTACGCAGTGGATGCTGTCAGTGGCAATTTCCGAACACTGACATGAAGACCAAATATTGTGACCAGTGACAAGATTGGAAAAAACTCGGCTATAAGTGACAGAGCTGTGCTGAAAATGTCGATTGCCGTTATATGCTTCTGTTCTGTTGCTCGAGCTCGTGTGATATTTTTTGCGGCCGATTCTTCCCATCCAAAGTACTTGATGATCTTGATAGATCTGAGGTATTCAGATGCCAGGGAAATGCGTAAATCTTGCGCCGTCATCATTAAGCTTGAATACACAGTGGGCAAGAACGGAGGTGTAGGGCTAAAACTAGGATGCAGTTTAGAATAGCTTACACGAGAAGATAGTAACGCAGTAAAGTATAATAAAAATATGTGCATTATAGATGTAGAATCTTTAGATGATAGAGTCTCCATCTCCGTTTTGAACTTAGAAGGTCTCTGTATCGCCACCGGCGGAAATTTGGTTAAACTGGAAATACAAAGTTGAAGCGTGCTAGGCCATAAGTAAGAAAAATAGTCTGCAGAACCTCCGCTGCTTCTACTCTCACTGTTTCCCGTTCTTTGCTTATTGTATCGTTCCCAGTCGCTTATTAGTCATCCTCGTGGCGCTGCTAGCGATGCGGGCGGACCTGGCGCCGCGTGGGGGCGGCGCCGGCGCTCGACTTAGGCGATCCGGTCACAGTGCTGAATCCGAAGCGGGATGCGCCGGTCAGGGTGGTGCGCCGGCCAGAGTGGGAGGGGGAATGGAGCGTCGCCATGTCGGAGAGTACGCTTCGTGTGCCTCTGGCCTCGGCCTAGTCTTCGACATGTTTCGTAACACCTTTTTTGCTTGTATTCGTCGCAGACGGACCTCGTTGGTGAAATCATAAATGAATTTCTTGTAAATGCCTTTGTATATCACCTCTGCACAGGCTAGCTTCCTCCACTACAGAGCAGGAAGTGAGGTGACAAACTATTCTATAACTAAGGAGAAAACACGTGGTAAGGCTTTAAAATAAAGCTACACCTTTTCCATTCCGGTCTATCTTTTCCTTAGAGACTACACTCCCAGCTCACCCAGCCCCCCAGCAGCGCCCTGCCCGATAGTAGGTCCTGCACTGTAGGTCTCGCCCAGGGCATGTGTATCTCAAGATTCTGCGTGTAGTCTGCTAAGAGCATCAGCACTGTGGCGGTATTGGTCCTCTGGAAACTGATTACTTACCCTTCCAAAGTCTAGCCTTGGCCCGAGGGATCACCGTTGAATCCTCCACCTTGCGCAAAGGGGTCAGCGCCGACGCCTCCACCAAAGCCATCATCTCCGAATTATCCACCGAATACTTCGCCAAATCCTTGGTCAAAGTCGCCCTCGCCGCCGAAGAACTGCGGGTCGCGTTTCTCGGTAGCTCTCTAGTCCAGCTGGCCAGAAAAGAACCCCGCGGGGTGGCTCTGGATCTGCTCATCGGTAGCAAACGGATTAGGCTGACCGACGCCGCCAAAGGTATCCTCAGGCGAGCCGGCCTGAATCGGCAAGCCCTGTGGGCTGCGCTTCTCAGCAGCTCTCTTGCCCAGCTGGCCAGAAAAGAACCCCGCGGGGTGGCTCTGGATCTGCTCATCGGTAGCAAACGGATTGGGCTGGCCGACGCCACCAAAGGTATCCTGAGGCGAACCAGCCTGGATGGGGAGGCCCTGCGGGCTTCGCTTCTCTGGCGCATCCGCGACCGGCGCGGCAAGTGCTGTGGGCAGGAGAGATAAAAGCACAACGGAGAAATGCATCTTGATAACTAGCAAGAAAAAGTGTAGTTTAAAAAATGTAAAAAGGAAGACTGTGTTGAAATAAATGCGATGATGGAAGCTGCTGACTGTATTCTTGTTGATATAACGAGCGGACGCAGTCAGCTTAAATACACATCTCATGTTACCCGTCTCTACCTCGTCTGTAAATAGCCGGCGCATTTCGACTGCATGTCTCGGCATACCCGATCTGCTTGGAGCATGAAATGGCTCTGACTGTACTATTCATGGCTATCTTCTAAAACTTTTACCGAATATTCCACACGGTCTGGTTTGGCCTCGTCGTTGGATCTATCTACTGTAACGTTAGCTTCGGCTCATGCAATGCATCTGCCCATGGGCGACCGCGCGCTACCCCATAAAAACTCCCGGGGGCTACACGAGCATAACTTAATAGAGTTTCATCGCGATGTTGAAATTCAAGCCGTTCGTATTCGTTATGCTGTCACATTCCCGCCCATTGGTGTTCTTTCTTATACGTCAGGATATAAAGTTGCACCACAACAGCAGGTCTGTACATATCTCTTGCAGTAGGGGTAGGGAGACTGTACAATTCATCATGGGTAGCAAATTTGACAGCAGTGAATACCCGAGCACCAGCGAGCTGTGCTGAAGCTACTACTGCATTGCATCCGAAGCAAATATTGCATACTAGAATCAGACCAGCGATTGAAACAAGCGCGATTAATGGCAGCTACTAATTCGGACATCTTCGTCGCATATGCATAGGTTAGCTTTCTTCGCTAGACTCCGCTAGAGCGCATGGTTGTTGGGTTGAGACGAAGCACAACCAGCATTCCCCAAAACATTGTGCAGCTCTTGTTGGAGCATCTGCTTCCTGCCCATCAAGCTGCAGCACTTCACGGCACATACTATCATGGGTAGACTGTTGAGTCGGAAAAAGACTACTCGCCCGTCTCCTCCCACCGGCACCTTTCATAGTCGCACGTAAAGTGGAAGAATCACGCTAGTAACTCCCTACGGGCCTCGAGTGAGGATCTCTCCACGAGGTCAAAATACGTAATACAGCACTCCTACCCTGTGGTGATATTCTGCATTGTATGCATAACCATACGCGAAACATGGTCTAGCCCATGCATCACGTTCGGGAGGCACGAGTGGTTAAAACAGCTCCCTCGCGTGTGTAGCGCCAGGCCGTACGGAATCCCACACCGCCCAGGCTTCAGGCTTTCCAGACACAGGTGTATACTAGTCCTCTTTAGAAACATAGCTAAGGAGTTAGTCTCTTCCTTACTTATTAGGCTTATAAGATTAACTACTACTAGACTATTAGTAAAAGGCTAGTTATATAGGTATACTTTAGTAAGATCTAACTAGTAAACGCGTTTAGTAGTAGAGAAGAGCTTTTAATTAGCTTAAAGGGTAACTACACTCTCCTAAGAATCTATATCCTTTTAGTATAATTTATCTTTAGTTAATATAGTCTCTAATCTTACTATTATATTATAAGGAGAGGCTTAGCTAAAGATTAAGCTAGCACTAGTATAATACACACACGTTGATCTATAGTATATTAAAATCGTATGTTCTATACTGTGAGAGCTTGGGCCACAGCCCAGCTAGAGTGATAGCCTGGTGGCCTGAGGCACGGACCCGATAGGGGGAGCTCCCCCTTATGTATAGTAGCCACTTCGTAACACCCTCCCTATCTCTTCCCTCCGTAAGAGATTCAATTCAACCTCATATTGACGCCTACTCGCAGTAGCCGTAGGGCCAGTCCTTAACATATACCTAGATAAAACCTCGTTTTAGAACTTCTGAATCTAGGCACACTTAAGCGTATGCCTTTGTGGATCTTACTCGTAACACTCTACGTCGCATTATATAACGTCTCGTATGCAGACGCACGCGACGAGGCCTGCCGTCGACTTTTTCCAATCTCATGTGCATGTAAAACAGCGCTTGGACTGGCCGCGACAAATGAGCCCAACTTTTTGCTCAGCCTTCACTCTTGACGATGTGCAATGTGTCAAAGTAGCTAACTTACCACTCACTCACCTTGTTTATCAGTACTCGCCGGCGTCGGGACAGAGGGCGATTGCTATCACACATCAACCACCAGTTAGACAAGGACGGTCGCTTCGTCATCTACATAGGCATTTGTGTTGGCTGCAGAGTCGACGACGTGCCACAGATTGATAAGTATGTGTGGGTGTGGTCAAGGGTGGTTACACCTATTTATGTTGGCTCTTTGGATAAGTTTTTCCGCTCACGAAAAGCAGACTGGATTACCCAAGTAAAATGCTTATTTAACATCTTATCTCGCGTCAACTATAGCATCTTATTGCCGCTTCGTGGACAGAACGAATTACGTCCGTTAGATCCGACAACCACAGGCACAGCAACCGCCCCAATTGCCTCAATAGTACCCCAAGGAGGCGACTGACATCTGACAATCTCCGCGATGTGAAAACGGAGAGGAAGTAGACACTTCATGATAATTATTCTACAGATTAATCCTCACCGAATTAACTAACGTTACCTGTTCATCCTTGTCAAAGGTGATTGGAGACAACTCCGAGAGTTGGCCAGTGCGCGATTCGCCCGCGCGGGCCACTTGTCTTGACGGCTTGGCACAAATCCTCCATCGCCCAGCTCAGCTGGTCGCCTTCATGATGGCGCCAAGACGAGCGTTGGCCCCCAAGGGGACAAAACCTCTGGGTACTGCCGGCTTTACCTACCTACATAGGTAGGGCACGACCAAGCCCGCTCTCGCTTGCTTCCGCCATTTTTTGACTCGAGCCTCTTGGCCCGCCGCACCCTACGGCGCGCACACAGACTCACCAGCCACACACATACTCGGCCCTCCGTCGCTGTTGTCGTCATTGTTCGTGTTTTTGGAGGGGCGACGGACATGACAGCGCCTTACTCGCGCACGGCGTGACAGGCTGATGGATGCAGGACACAAGGCGGCCGACACTGGGGAAACCCTTCGCCAGAGAAGGGGGTCTGGGCCAGCTATATGCTACGAATATCAAATCATGGCCCAATTCATTGCTGCGTCTACGGTGATGGTTCGGATAGGAGCTCTCTCCAAGACCTTAAATCTTGCGCCGACGCCGCCTTGATCGGATGGAGGCGCCGGGCGCTGTCCGGACATTGCGGGGCTAGCAGCTACAGGCATAGAAGCGAGACGCGCGCTGAACGGAGTAGTTGAATACTGGGCGAGTTTAGCAGAGGCGCTCGGAGTAGAAACACCGTTTTGCATTTCATCAATGCCTATAAATTATTCTCTTTATATCTTACCTCGAGCACTTATATACATATAGCGTTCAAAAGCACTGTTACGCTCCGCTCAGGTAATACCGCCACCGTGGCCATGGCTCACGGGTCTGCTGATCATGACGGGCCCCATGAGCAGGGCGGGCGTCGCAAACGGCGCAGCGCCGGCGCAAACGCGGGCTCGCATATCGACGTCGTCACATCGAAAACATGTGTACATGTTCGTAAGAAACCACCTTGGGCAGACATTTCCGGTACCGAATCAGTAGAATTGACAAATCATGCACCGTTTCACTTACCTTTTGCTGCCGTCAATTTTCTTTGCTTCTTCATCCTCCCTCCGTCGCGCTCTCGCTGTGCACCTTTAACGGCATAGCCTCACCCACATCCCTCCTGTGGGCATCCTCTTTCACTTAACTTTAGAGGTATAGCTTCATTCCCTTGCTCGTCACGTTGGGTGTGAAGCTGGGGGTCTAGCCACTTTTTTCTTGCGGTTTCTGCTCCCTTTTTGCACGGATTCCGCGTCCCCCGCCGAAACGCCGTGCTGTATTGTCAGAGAAGCACCGAGCAGGGACCACTTCCTCCCCTCCTTCCTCAGTCGAGCTTTTCCGCCTCTTGGCTCGCGCCCACTTCCGAAGAGCCCTTGAATAAAAAGCCAGCTTGCGGCCCCCCTCCAGCCTCTTCCCGTGTTTCGCTGTTTTCGGAGAATCAAGATCATCTTTCTTTTCCCTTCTTCTTTTTTTATTGTACTTCGTTCTTCACCCGAGCGTTGTAGATTTTGTTCAAAGATCCAATCCAGCGTTTGGCCATCTCTTCCTCGTCTTGGCGCATCGACACCCACCAACACCGCAATCATGAACGTTCCTAGCAAGTTCCTCAGCAACCCTCAGGACCTCGGCGTCGTCGCCGTTGGCTTCTCTGGTGGCCAGGTACGGCGCATCTCCACCCTTGCTTTGCCGCGCAATTGAACAGGCACCAAAAGCCCAATAACAAAAAAAGCTCTCCTGGACTAACATACCTTTCCCACGCGAAACAGCCCAAAGCCGGTGTCGACAACGGCCCGTCCGCCCTCATCGAGTCTGGCCTCCTCACCCAAATTAAGGAGGAGCTCGAGTACACCCTTCACGGCGACTCGGAGGTGCAGTTTTACAAGGATCTGGCCCCGGCCGCCGATCCCGACTACCGTGGCATGAAGAACCCACTGCTCGTCTCAGCAGTCAACCGCAAGATCGCCGAGGCCACCTACAACCACTCCTCGCAAGGCCGTCTGACCTTAACCCTCGGCGGCGACCACTCGGTCGCCATCGGCACTATTGCTGGCACTGCCAAGGCCACCCGCGAGCGCCTCGGCCGCGAGATTGCGGTCATCTGGGTCGACGCCCACTCCGACATCAACACCCCCGAGGGCTCCGATTCGGGCAACATCCACGGCATGCCTCTCGCCTTCCTCACAGGCCTTGCCAAGGACGACAAGGAGGAGTACTTCGGCTGGCTTAAGGAGGACATGCGCCTTAACATTGCCAAGCTCGTCTACATCGGCCTCCGCGACGTCGACAAGGACGAGAAGAAGATTCTACGCGAGAACAATGTCAAGGCCTTTTCTATGTTTGACGTTGACCGGTATGCCCACAGTTCCTGACGATTCAGTGTGAGCTACATCGCTAACAAACGCCCCATAGCTATGGCATCGGTCGCGTCGTCGAAATGGCCCTCGCTCACATCGGCAACGACACCCCCATCCATCTGTCTTTTGACGTCGACGCCCTGGACCCCATGTGGGCGCCCAGCACCGGTACCCCAGTCCGCGGCGGCCTGACGCTCCGCGAGGGTGACTACATTTGCGAGTCCGTTCACCAGACCGGCAGCCTCGTCGCGATAGATCTCGTCGAGGTCAACCCCGAGCTCGCCGCCACCGAGGAAGGTGCCAAGGCCACCATCGGCGCCGGCTGCTCCCTAGTCCGTTGCGCTCTCGGCGAGACTCTGTTGTAAAATCTATTACGGAACGCTTCCCATTGGAAGCAATCGACAGGAAATGGAGAAAAACGAAAAACGAAAAAAAATCGCACAAGAGCGCAAGCGATGCTATTTCCTATGTCAAAGAGGGCATTGACGTTTTTTTCACTTGGTCTGGCGTACTAGGTGGCATATGAAAAGAATGCATTTAATGAGATGGAAACTCCCTAGTAACGAAAATAGGTAGAAAGCCAACGTCTGTCACGATATATATACATATACACAAAATGATTGAGAATTTTCTTGATTGCCTTTTTGGGTGGAATCGTGAAAAAAACAATACTGTGCATGACGTAAATGTGCATGTTGGAAATGTCACGCCGCGTGGCTGGGATGCGCCGCAGACTAAACCCAGCCACCCCTGCAGCCCGCCGTTCGGTTCTCCTCGCCCTGCATTGTTCATTTTCTTTGTTCTTTTTGATCCTCGCTTTGACGTACTTGGTGCTTTCCACGTCCCCCGTTTCTTGCAAGCGTCGGCTTCATCTTGCAGCGTTTGAGCGAAACATTGCCCGAGTGGCCATTCCCCCCCCTGTACCCCGCCGCCAGCCCCTGCGACCGAGTTACACAAACAAATCGACCAGACCGGAGAAGAAGCGGACAGGATCGGCGCAGCGCTCGGAAAATTTTGCTATATCGAGTCTTGAACAAGGAGATGGGAAGAGAGAGTGCGAGTGCTTGAAACTGGATCGCGCATCTCGTGTCGAAGAAAGCGCCCGCATCATCTCGTGCGGCGCAAAAGCGCTCTCAGCGCCGATTACCACTTCTTCCGCCCGCCCCCGACCTCTGCGCGCCCGCGAATCTCTACCCTGTCGCGACTCCTGAAGGCCACAAAAGGCATCGTCGCCGCACATTGAATCAACCGCTCTCATCCGGCCGACATGCTCCCACCACCCCCACCACCACCACCACAACCACCACAACCACCACAACCACCGGCATGCCTCCGCGCGGCGCGTCGTCCACGTGCGGACGTACGACTGGCCGCCATACCAGGTCAACATCTGGCTCTTCATCATGCTCCTCGCGGCCTCATCGATGCTGGGGGTGACTGCCACGTTCATGCAGACGCAGGCGCAGATGGGCCTGCCGGTGCCGTGGTACCTGCCGTACGACGTGACGGTCGCGGCGGTGGCGCTCGCGTTCCTGCTGGGCGTGGCGTGGCTGATCTGGTACCGGCGGCTGCTGCCGGCGATCGTGATGATTGGCGCGTTCGCGCTATTCGTGCTGTGGACGGTCGGGCTGGCGGCGGGCGCGGTGGCGCTCTGGGGGAGCGGCGGCGTGCAGAGCGTGTGCAACTTGCAGGTCTGGAACCAGAGCCCGCACGCGCCGGACGTGGAGACGCTGGCGTGGTTGCAGCAGCGGAACATCTGTAAGTCTCTTTGTTTTCCTGGAAGGTGAGATGATAAGTGCTAATGAGATGGCAGGTCAGTCATGGTATTTGGTGTTTGCGATGGGTTTGACTGGTGACATCTTTTTGATATGGGTCATGTGGATATCGTATCAAGTCTTTGTTCGTTCATGAAATTACATTGACTCATTTACTGCCGCGCTGCACATAAATACCACCTAATATAACAAGTCGCGAGGAATGCTTTCCCTATATCCAAATGTCTCGTTGAAAGATTCCACATCCAATGTATATTGTTGAAAGACTCTTCCTTGGTCCTCTCCGCAAATTTTCCTTGCAAGTGTCAGTTGCATCTTGTATTCTGAAATCCAGGGACAGCAAGCATAGCGAGGCGTGGTCTTAGAAACTAGCAACAACAAGCTGAGGCATGCTTTCAATGTCCTCTATAGCGGTAATGTCAATATCTTCATTCTTGGATCCGGCGCCAGGGCAGTTGTGTACACCACCAGCGGTGGTGTTCAGCCAACTACTGCAAACGGAGCAGCGAGTCGCCATGACTGCGATTGACAGCAGGTGTATTTGAGCTATGAACGCACGGTCATGAATTTCTGGAAGTACAGTATCAATGTGTGGTGCGAAACTAAGAAGCAACGGAGAAAGAGGAAGAAGGCGGCCGTCGACCGCGTCTTATAGAGGTTTTCCCTCCATACTTCTTGCCGCAAGCTCCTTACAGATACATCATTTCTTACAAGTTTGAGGACGCCTTTTGCAAATGGAAAAAGCCGCGAGCATGTCTGCCTAGAATTCCAAAAGCTTGGCCAATATTTGGGTATGAATGGTGTAGGTCAATTGGCTAATACCTCACGCATAACAGGTCGCCGTGGCGCAAACATCATCATTCCAAAGACCTGCCTCCCCAGGCTCAGTGCATGCATTTATAGAAAAATCAGCAGAAACACGCAAATTCATATCTGCAATCGCGCAGGGAAGATACCCACGACGACCTTGAACGCATTCTAGCTTGGGGGCGAGAGTGGTCGCGCGTGGTTGTTGCGTAAAGAACGGATACGGCGGAAAGCGCCAACCCAGCTAAGCGCCGAGGCTCTCAAGTGATGGTGACTTGCATATATAGGGTTCATTGGTCTTGTGGCATAATCTAGGGCCAAGGCTGATCTCAAGGCGTTCTGCTGGGCGGTTAGTGATTGGGCAGGTGGTCATCATGCTGCAGCTGGAACAGCTATGCAGGTTGTAAATCCCTGTGGTGCGCGAACCGTTTGTTGACCACGAAACCGCACCAGGCAACAACGGCCAGATTCAAAAATCACCTTGTTCCCCCGACGCAAAGTTGGCCCTCAACTTTATCGCAAGCACATATCAGCCTATTACAAACATGTCGCCGCCAAACCCTTACGAAGCCGATCCTCAAAAAATCCCGCCGTCAGACCCCTACCGTGAGGAGCCCTTGTACGGCCGGTACCTCCCGGAGCCCACCGATTTCACGCCTGACTCCCAGCACATCAACTCGACCACCCCAGATTCTCTTGCGTATTGACTTTCCGTCTTATCCATGTGCACCCCTAGCAATCGTATTTACGATAATGAGACGGGCGGCCGCGATGTCTTTGCGTTGGGAAGTGTCATCATCAAGTCTACTCACCTGAAGGGCGCTGGCCCAATGCGAGACTATACATTGGCAGATGAAAATGAGGTAGCCGCCACCAGACTTGCAAGCAAGCCTGGTTCTTAGAAGAATGGCAATTAAGACCCCAAAAATTTACTTTGCCGGAAAGGTGAGCTACTTTCGCCGAAAAAGGCTTCATGAAGTTGCAGTTCTAATAACGGTCGTAGATCCAGGGTAAGACCGTGTTGGTGCAAGAGAGGATTGCGGGCGTAGGATTGAACGTCGCGTGGCGTTATCTTTCGGCGTCCGACAAGCAGAGCTTCAAAGAGGCAGGCGCGTAACGTCTTGAAGGCGCTGTCGACCATCAACGCGTCCGACTGCGGCGGACGCCCCGGCTACGTCGTGGCCGATCCCGACCCGGTGGCCAACCGTGGTGTCCTACAGCTTGAGCGGGAGATCCTGTCGGGTGGCGACGACGATGTCCCCCAGAGCTCATGTGTGCTGATGCACAATGACTTGTCGCAGTCGAATCTGATCGTCGATCGAGGCAGGATTCTCGCGGTGGTGGATTGGGAGATGGCGGGCTGGTTTAGCTGGGAGAAGGCGAGGGAGGTGCATCGGCGCAGCCGGAGCCCGTCCGAAAAGTCGTATGCTCATCTGAACCTGCCACAGGAGGTTTTGGACGATATTTATTTTTGGAATGACTTGTACGGGTAGATTGTCTCATTCTCCGGGTTTTTTTTTTGGCGTATTTTGGGGGAGCCAGCCAGTTGTAGAATGGGGGCGCGGCTCTTTGGATAACGAGGGCGCGCGGGGCAGATTTCTGTAGCACACAGTCTTGCACTCAATGCCAATGATGAACCGGCAATCGACGGATCAGTCAGGCCAGTCTGCCTCAGAACACATTTCTGCACCTGTTTCGGGGCAGCCGGCGCTGCCGTCTTCATCTCACCCGTCCGCATCTCCTACACCTCCACGATATTCCCCGAAACGAAAGCTAGATGCCCCGCCATCACAGCTCGACTGGCCTGCTTCTCACATATCCATATTTCATTATTGGTGGCGGTGCAAGGCTAGCTCACCTCCCCTGTTCAGCTGTGATGGCAAGCAGCCACACCAGGCTGGCGCTGGCCCAGACCTCCCTCCACGACCCCTCCAAGAACAACCCCTCATCTCAATTCAATTCCCTCTTTTTTTGTGATCCTCTTCCAGTGCCTTCGAGTTGAAACAAGTAGGTGAGAATTACGATGCTGGTCGAGGAGGACGAAGTCGCTTTGCCAACCAGACTTGTCGGTGTTGTAGGCAGCCTGCCTGACGTTGTTTCCAACATTTATGAAGTTATGGAGGGGTGGTTGAGTGTGTTTCCGGAACTTGGCGAGCTTTGATCCCACATTGCTTTTTCCACTGACTGACCGTGCTATTTTCCGAATCAATTGAGAACTGAGAATCTACCAAGATATAGCTCCACCACCCACATTACCACGCAGGCACACGGCATTCGGTGCCTCCGAAGCGGCCTGCTTAACACGGTCCTCCCTCTCTTAGCATGATAGCCATCATGAGATCTGGCCCGGCCTCGGATATCTTGAAGCTGCTCCAAGTGCACCGTCGGCAAAAGAAGGTACTTGTACTTCTAAGACCATGCCGGACCTGCCGTGCTTGCCGTTCGAGTTAGTTAGTCTCATAGACCGTCCACAAATTCACGTCTAGCGCCACCCGTACGACCAAACTGTTTCTGTCTAGGATAGCTGTCCCGGTAAGCTGAGTTGTTGGGAGCTTTCCAGCTGCGGACCCCTGCTGCCATGTAGCTTTCCAGAGAGGAGGGGGAGCTTTCCTGCATGACGTATCGCGCACATGCAGACGAGGGGCGTGTCTGGTGGCATAACTGGGATGGCTGGTGGCCTCCAGTTTTAGCCTCCCCTCCTCACCGGTGTTAGTGAGCTCATTTGGGGTTGGGGGTTTCCTGGGCTTGGCTGGATGGAGGGGGGATGGATAGGATTTGCGCTCCCGTCTAGATCGAAGAGGGGAAGCTGCTGCCGGATATGAGTGCGGGCAGTTGAAAAGGTATAAGATGGGCAGACACTGCACCCCTTTCGTTGGCGCTGGTCAGATCCCACATACCTGTCTCATACTATTTCCTCTACCTTTTACACCCTACCTCAAAATCGCAATGGATTTCATCAAGAAGGCCGCCGGCGAGGCTCTTAACAAGGGCAACTCGAGCAGCAACAACAACCAGGGTGGCGACAACCAGCAGCAGAACCAAAACCAGGGCGGCGACAACCAGCAGCAGCAGCAGGGTGGTGACAACCAGCAGCAGGGCAGCAGCAGCAGCAACAACAACAACGTCGGCCAGGAGGACTACCTCGACAAGGGTAAGCACTCACCAATGTGGCCCGCGGGCAGCAAGCAGTGCGCTCAGCGCCTTGTTTGAACTGTTACTAACATGATATCTTGGACGTAGGCATCGGCTTCGTCTCCAAGAAGGCCGGCTACAACGTGGACCGCAACACCGAGGAGAAGATTGGCGATGGCATGCGCAACGCCTATGAGAAGTACTCTGGGTAAGTCTCCGACGGCGGCGGCGGGAGTCGTCGATTCATGATTGGGGTCCAGACTAACAAGGCGTGCGCCGTCTATAGCAACAAGGTTCCCGAGAAGTTCTCTAACTAAAGAGGCTTATCGCGCATGAATTGAAAACACAAGGCGAAGAGACTTGGCCGCCGTTTGCTGTGGCGATAGACTAGTCGCTGTAAACTTTAGTTAATATACCACTTGATTTTTTCCTAAGCAGCAGTTTTGATACGGACGTGCATGTGAAAGCAGCATTGTCTGCTGAGGAGGTGATGAGTGCTGTATCTGTTCGATGGCGTTCGCTTGGATTGAGCATGATACAAGCATTGATCGGCCTGCGCCAGTGTGGAGAGTTCCAAAGTTTAAAAAAGACAACGGCTCTTGCGAATGGAGCTCGTCGCTGACGGCATTGGCGGCTTCCTTGATTCTACCCATCGCTTTTGAGCTGTGGCATCATGCCTTTGAGTTGCGGCAGCAGGCCTTTGTAATAGTTTTGTTCCTGGCGAGGCGAAGACGTGTCCCTGATCGAGTGGGAGATGCAACGGTTTGGGTACGGGGAAGCGACAAGCGTTCGCTACGAGGGTGCGGCTTGGATCCCGTCCTTGCCGGTTTCGAACTGGGCGATCATACGGCATCTGATATGATGCACGGTGCTCGCAGGGGTATTGGGGCCTTCAGAGCCTGATCAAGATGCCAACATGGTACAGCGCCACCGAGAACGAGGACGGAAGAGTGGTGGCGGTGGATGCGACGGTGCAACGTTGAGTCGGGAGGAAGATTGACATTTGTTCGGATAAAGGGGGTTCGGCTGTTGATGACCGGGCATTTTTTTTTTGGGGTATATTTGTTAATATAATCCAATCCATGGGCTGTTCGCGTGGACTTGCGCGGCCGACATGGATAGAGCAAGCAGGTCCTGGACCAGAAATACAGGGGCGGAACGAGCTCCTCCTACGGCGCCTGTAGGGGTTTGCTGCACCTTCAAACCGATCTAGTATCATGGACTCTAGAAAATTGTCACAAACACTAGGTAGCTAGGGAGTATTTCTTCAACATCATTCTGGTCTTGTTGAAACCAGTGTAGAAATAAATAAAAAATCGAAGAAAAACAGTAGTTCCAGGGCACTCCAAGGCGCCAGGCGCTATCAAGACCTACCTGTGCTTGAGAGGCGGCGCCAGCGAATCCACCATGATGCGCGGCAGAGATAAAAATGCCCCTCCACTTCGGTACCTGGCTTTGGCTGTGACACCGTGAGTACCTGACGGGACTGCGTGTCGCGTCGTCTCGAGAAAAAAGAAAAAAGCCTGTCCACAACGACCCCATGCTCTCTCCAGCACCGCAACAACTTGCACCAGCTTGCATCCCTGCATCTACGAATATTTTAACGGCCATCAATGGCCTTTTCCCCCTCTCGTTTGCCCGACAGTTACGCGCTCCGACTTTACGATTCCACGCCTTCTCACCGACCACCGCCCTGTTTCCAAACAAGTACCTGTGACGCCGTTTCGCGCGCGCCTCAGACGCCCTAGTAACTCTTACCTGCGACTGCGCGCGAAAATAGCCAGCCCTTCTCCCAGCGCTCTATTTTTCGCAAAGACTCTTCCCCTTCCGAACTCTACTGCCAGTCTCCAGCAAGATGCAGCATGGCTGATTCCACGGACACTCCTGGCGGCCCATTGTTCCGCCCCTCGACCGCCACGCGCGACGCAAACCAACGGAATGACGATGCCGGCGCCTCCTCCCCCGCTACCGTCGCTGCGCCGGCCAAAGATACGTCCACGCCCAAAGGCCCGTCGCGGCGAGGCCCGGGACCTGATCACAGCTTGTTTGATGCGGCGCCCATCGATAATACCATGGCCCCCGAGGACAACGTCTCCGAGGCTGCCGTGAGGCAGCACTTCAAGGACGTCGAGTCGAGCTTTCTCCCTGTCCTGTCTCCTATACCGACTGCGCCCGCCATTGGAGAGCCGGCCACTGACGATACCTTCCTCTTTGACTCGCCGCAAAAGATTGACAGAGCGCCCTTACCGCCTGTTCACCACGCCCAGGAACCCGACACCACCGCAGTCAGCACCACCACCTCCAACCTTGAGGCCTTTGACTCGTCTCCTACGGCGGCGGCGGCGGCGCGCACCGTGTCGCGCGCCGTAAGCATGGCCAGCAATGCCACGCGACATGCCACTGATGCCGACGAAGACAACGGCGCCGCCGCCGACGAGTCCTTTGCGTCCAGCCTCGACCACAACGACAGCCGCTGGTCCCAGTCGCAGCGCTCCGATCGCCACGATGCCGGTAGCACACCGGGTTTTGGGTTGCGCAAACAGCGGCCGAAGTACCTGCGCAGCCGTTTCGGCAGTCAACGATCTTCGACTTCGTCATTCATCACCAACGCCGAGTCCTTTGACGACGGTGACCTCACCTCCAATCAGGACATTGACATGGCCCTACAGTCCGGCGGTGTCATGCCAGCCATGGGCATGCCACGCTTTCCGAGCGGTGTGATGCCGCGCCCAGTCAGCATTGGCAGCATCGTTTCCGGTGTTGGCATGGATGACTTTGGCGACACCTCCCAGCAACTGGAGCCTCTACCCGAAGTTGACAGTCCTGCCCGAGCCAATTTTCGTTTCGATCCACTCAAGACTCCCAAGCCCTCCAGAGAGAATCTCAATGCCACACCGACAGACACAGTCATTGCGCAACACGTCAAGAATGTCCACGTCCCTGAGTCCCTGGCGAAGGAGTACAAGTTTCGATCTGGACTCGAAACACCGTTCAGACCAACAAACAGCAATGCAGGCGCCGGTACCGTGTCACGCACCGGCAAAAGCCTCACACTGAAAGAGCAAAGTAGCACGATCGAGAAGCTTTCCAAAGAAAACTTTGATTTGAAACTCAAGGTCATGTTCCTGAGCGATCGCTTAGACAAACTGTCGGAAGAAGGCATCAAGGAGATGATTTCGGAAAACGTTGAGCTAAAAACTAACTTGGCGATACTGCAAAGAGACAACAAAGTTCTGCGGAAACGGGTCAAGGAGCTCGAGAAGCGCATTCAGGAAGACGAGGAGCGACCTAGCACCGGCGGATCCAGCAACGACCAAGCGAACCGCCTCAACGACCAAGAAGCTTGGGAGCGCGAGCAGGAGCTAATTTTTCTCCGTGAACGCGTCGAAGAGTACGCTGTTGAGATCGAGAAGCTTCGAACTGAACGCGTGAGCAAAGAGTCAGAGAAGAAGAAGCTCGCCGATATTGTTAAAAGCCTTGGCGAGCGCGCTGGCGAACAGGTTGATCGCCAAGAGGAAGCAGATGTCTGGAGGGATCTGCTAGAGCAAGAAACCGCCCATCGCGAACAGACAGAGGACGACAATGTAAGACTACGCGACGAAGTTTTCAAACTAAAGAAGGAAATGGCTGCCATGCAAAGCGGCCACACTACCAACATCTACAACATTGCAAAACGCCAGCGAGATCATGCTTTCTCACCGAACAAGCCGGCTGATTTGGAGAGCTCGAATGCTGGTTTCAGCGCCGCCAGCACTCTTGTTGATGAGCTTCGACGCGAAAGCGAGAAGTTGCGGCACGAGAATGCTGAGCTGCGTCGCGAAGTTGGGGCGCAGACCTCTATGCTTACATCGCGCAATCGCGAAAAGGATCGCCTGCAGCAGGAAATTGAGGATCTCAAAATCTCCCAAGGCCGCGGCGGTGCCGCCTCAACAGCCGACAGCATCCTCGAGCGCTCCGCATCTAGGGCCGGGGCGCGCTATGAGTCGCCTTCTCGCGCCAGTGCACCTACGCTGCCCACTGCAGTCGAAGATGCAGAGCGCGAAGAGTTGGAAAACAGATTGGCAGAAGCTCGAGATCGCATGAACGAAGCCAAGATGGCCAATCAAGAGTTACAACGCGAGCTGCAGACTTGCATGGCTGATTTCGAGATGGCTGTGACTGGAAAGCAAGAGGCTGAAAACGCAGTCGTGTCTCTTCAGGAGGAGCTCGATACTGCTATGCATGACCTCATGGCGCTACAGGCCGAGCGAAATGCGACGCTTGAGGACAACAGTCGACTCGAAGAGGACTTCGAGACTCTACGCTTGGAAGCACAATCTGAAGTGCAGTCATTAGACACAGAAATTGAACGGTGCCACAGAGAAATCGAAATACTACAGGCTGATCTTGCTGATCGAGCAGAAAACTTCGACGCCCTGCAAAATGCCATGCGCGAAATGAGCCAATCAGTCGTCGGCTTGGAGGACGAACAAAACAAAAAATTGCGACGAATCCAGCAACTTGAGGCTGAGATTGAGTCTTCCAACCGCGAACTCGAGGCGTTTGAGCTGAAGCTCAGCGAAGAATCAGAAAAGAACCGCCGCTTGTCGGTGCAGCAAGAATCTTCACAGGGCGAGATTGCCTTCTTGCGCGAAGAGCAGGAAGCCGACAAGATTCGCATCGGCGATCTCGAAGCCGCGATTGCCAACGCCGAGCAAAGCTTGCGTGATGAAAAGGACAGAGCCAAGGAACTCGACGAGCGGCTGCAGCAGGAACGCGCCCAGCGAGAAATGGTGGCGAACCAGGAGAAGGAAGAAGTGCAGCAGTTTGTCAATGAGCTCAACCGCGAGGCGTCTGCCGCAAAGGACGAAGCTCGGAGACTGCGTAAGAGCTTGTCTTCACGCGAAGTCGAGGCAACTGCCTGGAAGGAGCGCCTGCAAGAGCTTGAGAATAATCTTCGCGTCACGCTGGGTGATTTGAACGGCACAAGGTCATCTCTCCTCGGGTCGATTGCTAGAATCCAACGTGACCTGGAGAACACTGTCCGGGAACTTGACGTCGCCAAGGCTTCTGTTGTTGAGAAAGATCGCCTCATCAAGCAGCGCGATGCACTGCTTGAATCGCTAGGCCTGGAAAGCCAGAAGGCCAACGAATTGCTGGAGAAGGAGAGGCTCGCTCATCGACACACAAAATCCGACTACGAGACCTTCCAAAGGACACACCAGCACCTGTCCCGCACAGCCAGCACGCAAGATGTCCGCATTGCCGAGCTGGAGAACACGCGGGGTCAGGAGCGCCGCAAGCTTGCCATGCTGGAGCAGAGCGCGCGAGAGCAGCTGATGGAGCGCAACGAGCTCCTGCTGCAGCTCTGGAAGCGCCTGAGCGTGTTGTGCGGCCGGGAGTGGGCGCACAGCCATACCCTGGTCGACAAGCAGGCCGTGCCGAGCATCGAGGTCATCTCGAGCCGCCTGCCGGGCTTTACCAAGAACCTGATGGCCGCCATCAAGATGATTGAGAACATGCTCAAGTCGTTTGAGGGCAAGATCAACTCTGTCGAGCGCGACCTCACACGGGAGTACCAGGCTCTGGAGAACAACCTTGACATGCGCGCGAAGCGGCTCGACCGCGTCGAGACGCTGGTCCGCAACCAGATCGCGTCTGGCGCCATGGGTTCCATGACATCCCAGGAGCTGCGCGGCCGCCTGTCGCGTGTCGAGCACGCGTATCAGAAGCTCAAGGTTGAGTACGAGACGCTCAAGACGGCGACCAGTGTCCGCGCGCGGGCGGCGGCGCAGCACGGCGGCGATTCGCCGCGCTCTGGCAGCGCTGGGGGTTCCCCTTCGCCTGCCGTCCACCGCGGGCCCGGCGAGCGTGATAAGGAGCGGGCCGGATCGTCGCGCGGTTCTAGGGAGAGCCGCATCCCGTCGTCGGTGCATCGCGGCAACCAGGCAGCCACCGGGTCGGACGCCGGCGGGAGCCTCGGCCTGGAGGTCGCTAAGAGTGGCGACGTGGCCGCGGGTGCGGGCAACGGCAGCAGCTACAAGAACATGCCGCTGATGCTGCGCCTCAAGAACCTCGAGGAGAAGCTGAGCACGGAGCGCGAGAGGAGGTCGCAAGAGCGCGAGGCGGCGCGACAGCGCCTGGGCGACCTGGAGGAGGAGAACAAGGGCCTCCGCAGCAAGATCCAACGGAGGCAGCTGGCGGAGTAGCGCAGCGGCCACTGCGTCGCGCTGCGGTAGTTGTGAGAGAGCGCATGCGTAGCACTCTGTGGGTGACATCGTTTGGAGGAAGAGCTGATGTGTTGCTGTGTGTCTTTTTATTTCACTGCATCTTTACGTTGAATCGTTTTTGTCAGGAATTGCGTAAGGAAAGGAGCTCTTTCGGCCGGTTTTCTTCCTTGGTCCTCCACGCGGCCGCCTCTGTATTGCATTTATCATTACGACTACATGCGCGGCATGGATTATTGCACACAAAAATCCAAACCAAACTTATTGTTTTTCATGGGAAAGCGAGTTTTTCTTTTCTTCTTTTTCTGTCTTCAATATCTTGTTGTTTTCTTTTTCTATTTACTTTTTTGAATTGATGCTTTTCCATATATCCGGTTCTGGCTATTGACTTATAAACTTGCTTGCCATCATCTTCTACTTTGCCGTTTGACTCGTATCTTATCAATCCTTCCGCGATGACGCCCTTTCCCGTCACCAGGTGCCATGTACGTGTACATAGCAGCAGGCTTTTTTGTTGGGCGGGAATGCAGCAAGCTTGGGCCGCGACGTGCCATGGTGGCCTCCTACCGGCCCGCACGGGTCGGGAAGAGAGTTGCCGGCTTTTGCAATGCCCAGGCAACGAGCCGATTGATGATTGCTCTCAAGGAGCTTCTGAATGCGGAACTTTGTTCCTTGTCTTGCGACTTGGCGTGCGGAAGTGTAAGTCGATCGTGTCTGGGGGCGGACTTCCTAATCGGGAACTCCCGCACCAGAACCCTATTTGTACAAGAGCAACTCCGACGACGTTTGACCGTCACGACTCTCCGCTCCATCTTCTCTAGCATCTAATCAATTCATGGCTTGAGGAATTCTCACTCATATCATCTCCTATCGGATTCTTTTCTCTCTTGTCATTCTCAGCCATGTTACGATCTTGTGTAAGCAAGTCCCAACGCCGCAGCCTGGCCACCGTCGCGGCCGGCGCGGGCGCGGGCGTCCAAAAGTCCTCCAAGAAGGAGGGCGATATCTCGGACGCCTTCGTGTCCCTGTCCGGCGCCAAGCGTGATCCGCTGCCCGACCGGTTCCGCGAGCTCAAGTGCGAGCTGGTCCGCGGCCGGGAGAAGCAGATCACGGACAGCTGGAACCGCCTGCTGCGGGACCTTCGGAAGGAGAATGAAATCATTGCGCAGAAGGGATCGGACGTCGTCCCGCAAGTCGAGTTTGCGAATCTGGAGAGCGGACTAAGGAGTCTCAAGGATGAGATCAAGAAGCGAGGTGCCGTGGTTGTACGGGGCGTGGTGCCCGAGGCCGAGGCCAGGGCTTACAAGGAAGAGGTGGAGGACTACGTGAAGAGGAATCCATGGACCAGAGGTACGGGAGCTGCTCTCTTGAAGCCTATAGTTTATGGCTTCTACGCATGGACTTGCTGTTATGATCATTTGCTGACTTGTGACTTGCGCGCTCGCGGCAGCCTTCCCGGCCGATAACCCCCAAGTGTACGAGCTCTACTGGTCGGCGCCGCAGCTCAAGGCCCGCTCGCACCCCAACTTCATGCGCGTGCAGCGGCGACTCATGGGCGACGGCCTCCTCTGGCACGCCTCGGACCCGACCAGCCCCATCTCCCTGGCCGAGCCGCTGTCCTACGCGGACCGTCTACGCATCCGGCAGCCCGGCGACGCCACCTTCGCGCTCGGCCCGCACATCGACGGCGGCAGCGTGGAGCGGTGGGAGCCGACCGGCTACGGCCTCGGTGGCGCGTACGACGCCGTCTTCGCGGGCGCGTGGGAGGCGTACGACCCGTGGGACGCGAGCGGGCGCGTCGGCGCCGTCAACAACCTGTACGACGGGCTCGGCGCGTGCTCCATGTTCCGCGCGTGGCAGGGGTGGCTGAGCATGAGCGGCACGCGGCCGGGCGAGGGCACGCTGCTGGTGAACCCGCTGATGCACCGCGCGACGGCGTACGTGCTGCTCCGGCCGTTCTTCGAGGCCAAGGATACGGACAGGGAGGGGAGGGCGTACTTGGAGGGGGACAACTGGGCGCTGGTGGGCGAGGGGCGGATGACGAGCGAGTTGCAGGGCGCGAGCCCGGGACACGGCCAGGAGCTGACGGAGGAGCTGCACCCGCACCTGGAGCTCGAGCGGACCATGGTGCACGTCCCGGAGATTAAACCGGGCGATTTCGTCGCCTGGCACTGCGACAGTAAGTGAAACCCTCTGCGTGTTTTTTTTTTCTCCGCACCTCCCGCGATGGGATATCGTCGTCGCTGACCAAGGGCAGCCATCCACGCGGTCGACAAGCAGCACCGGGGCGCGTCCGACTCGAGCGTGCTGTACATTCCCGTGTGCCCGCTGACGGCCATCAACGCGCGGTACGTGGCGCGGCAGCGTGAGGCCTGGCGGCGCGGCACGCCGGGCCCGGACTTTCCCGGCGGCGAGGGCGAGGCGAGGCACGCGGGAAGGCCGGCCGAGGCGGCGCTGCGGGGGTGGGCCGGCACGGAGGCGCTCCGGTCGATGGGGCTGGAGAAGCTGGTTCCGGCGCCGGGGGCGACGGCTGGTCAGAGGGAGGTTCTCGCGGACGCGAATGCGATTCTTGGATTCTGAGAAGAAGGGGGCCATTCTTGGATTCTGGGAAGAAAAGGGGGAAAAGGGAAACGAGGCAAAAATGACGCTGGCCAAGTCGGGCGGTCGGTGGTTGGGGGCAGCTGTGCAATGGGTAGGTGAGCGAGGGGTATTGGACAAGCCGCCCCGTTGTCGTAAATGAGCAATCTGTATCCGTTGCAGATCGAGATTGATTCCAAACTAGTACCTGGTCAAATTTTCTTTTCAGCTCTTGCAACGTGTCACTGTTCGTGTTGACCGTCATTTTGCATTTGTCAGCCGAAAAGCAACACAGTAAGATTCCCCTCTCTTCGCCTGGTGGAGGGAGCCTGAAACTCTGCAGTGTAACACCAGCTGCAAGCCTTGCAGCCGTTCGTGATGAAAGTATACCGATGTGAGTGAAAAGAGTTATTTTCTGGGACAGAGCCTAGTGATAGTGTATAGTGTTATTGTGTACAGTGTACTCGTCTGTCGACTAAGCATTGGAGGTGAAGACGTCATAGCCGTGAGCTCGTCAACAAAGTATACACTTCCTGTACAGCTCATTATTTCCAGGATGATTAAGACCAAAACGAGTTTGTCTTTCGGTATGGCGATCTCAGAGCTCGTCAACAAAGTATACACTTCCCTGTACAGCTCATTATTTCCAGGATGATTAAGACTAAAACGAGTTTGTCTTTCGGTAAGGCGATCTCAGGGCTCAGAAGTTTCACAGTTAAATTCAGATTGCTCTACGGCCAATCAGCGCTGCACCTGTACGGTACGCGACAAATCCAAAAGCCCTCCAAGAAAGACGGCGACAAGGCTGGCCGACGACAGACCGACCCCCCGACCGGCCGTCGCTTCCTCACCCCACCCCCTCCCCTGACGTCCCTCCTGTGGGGAAACCCTCCTCGACTTTCCTTCTCTTTCGAATTAGTCAACTTGTTGCCGGATGCCACATGGATAATTAGTAAACAAGTTCGTGTCACTGCTGCCCGCCCAATAGCGATGCTAGCCATGCAATGTGGGCTGCGCTGTGGAGTTGGACGGAGGCATCTTACACGGTGACAAGTTGCGGTGATGTGGATTCACAACCATGGTGGACTTGGGCGCATCAAACCGTGCAGCTAAGCAGCTTAGGGTAACCACCGCAGGTCACTTAGACAAGCGTCTGGTATCAAGGAAAGAGCCATGTCCTCCGAGGAAGAGGGGTCGTTGGGAAGGACCTGTGTATGACATGAAAATATGTATATAAGTCTGAGCTTGCCCTCTTGCATCATCTCGAAGTTTTATCACATCAACCTCCACAACACTTCCATTCTTCTTCACTTACACACTATATACAAACACCCCTTCACAACTCACCACCATGAGCTTCTACGACGTCTCCATTGGCCAGGCCCTCGAGGTCCTCGACAGCCTGACTGCCATCCTCAACAAGGCCGAGTCCGCCTCCAACGCCGCCGTCCTCCCCGAGGCCCGCATCCACGAGGACATGCTCCCGCTCTCCTTCCAGATCTACATCGTCACCGACTTGGGCACCAAGCTCGCCGCCCGCCTCACCGGCCAGGAGCCCCCCTCCAACGAGAACAACATGAAGACCTTTGCCGACTTCCACGCGCGCATCGCCGAGTCGCGTGCCGCGTTGGAGAAGGCTAGCAAGGAGACGGTCAACAGCCGCGCCGCCGAGGCGGTCACGGTCGGCCTCGGCCCCGGCAAGACGGCGCAGATGAACGGCCTCACGTACAACGCCGGCTACGTGACCCCCAACCTTTACTTCCACCTGGCCACCGCGTACAACATCCTGCGCAAGGAGGGCGTTGCCCTAGGCAAGATGGACTACCTCACCTCGTTCCTCGGCAAGCACGTTGACCTGTAAACGGGCTGATGGGTGTGAGAAGAAAGGATCAGATAGTGTGGGACTGGACAGGAATAGCTGCGCAGGTCGCTCTTAAAAGTTAGTGATGAAGAATAAATTCCCTCGATTGAAATGTTGAAGATTGTCATGGCTTTCATGAAACGTAACTGCGTAAACTGGCGCTTCCTCGCTCGCGTCTGTGGGCACAGACTTCACCTGGTCTCTTTTTTTTCTTTGAAAAGCTCTTCGATCGTCTCTCAACGGCCCGGATAGGTCGTTACTTTCTGCCTGGGGGATGAATGTCGTCGGGTTTTGCTCATCTCTGGGGACCATAGCACCTCTCCCTTCACGAAACCCCCCTTGTTTTCTCGTCTCGCATAATTAGTAAATTGCGTAGCTGGAATTCTGGATGACTAGAATCCTCCGGGGTTGGGAACCTGCATACTCATGTAGGCTCATTGGCTCGCATTGTGCATGGTTAGACGCCAGAATGGCCGCGCCCAATGTGCATTGAGGGACAGCTTGCATACAACTGAACCGAAGGAACATGCAATCGAAGAGGCCTACCAAGAGCACCCCTAAGTGGCGGATTGAGGCCAGTCCGTACCCTTTCTAGCAGCGTGCATATTTGAGCCTGGCGCCTACACCTTCTTACATCTGTTGCCAAGACACTCGCGAGCACAAAGGCGCTGGTGTTGCTCCATTGTCATCTCCTTCTCGCTGCTCTATTACTCTTCTGAAACTCATTCTAGGCCTCGAGTCTAAAAATTAGTACCGTTTGCTTGCAGAATCCTTTGTGGAGGGGCCCTTGAACCCAGTTCAGAGATTTTGGAAGATGAAAATGCTTCTGCTTGGTTGCCTATGAAGGAGGGAAGAATCTATGGAGGCCCTTGCCACCTTGTGCGCAAGTGGGTCCGCTCCAACAGAGTACCAAGTTAGTAAGCTAATTACGATTAACGACCTAAAGCTGGATAATTGACGTTTCAACAAAAACGCGTTCACTCGCCAGTGCAAATTCAATAAATCCATCATGGCACACCCATTTGTCTGGGCTATGCGCATCATTCACGCGTTCGAGGTACAACGTTGCCCCCATGACAAGCCGAATTCCGCGGCCGTTTGCTAACCCCATCTCCAGGATCGCATCGTCGCAGCTGTGCGTTTGCCGTCATTGCCGCAAAGCTTCCTCATACAATGACTTTGTATTTTCTAACCGATTTTTTGCTAGATTCTTCGACGTCCGGGTTTTCATCGCGGCGTCGGCCGCATCCACAAGTTCATCGACGAGAAGCAAAACGGCCGCCTGCCGCACGAGCCCCTGGCCCCTGGCGAAGCTACCGGTATGCAGAAGATCTTGTTTTGGACTCAAGACTGTTTCCGTCGCATTATACGGCTACTAATGACTTGTTTGCAGCGGATCCGGACGCACCCGACCGAGCTCGCAGCTTCGTCAAGCACTTCTTCGACGAACTTCGCAATCAAGCACGGGGCAAGCCGACTGACATTGACAAACCACCGTACAAATGAGGCAGCGCCGGATCTATTAGCAAGGCCACAATGCGATCTACTCCTACAGTTCATAATCCCGAATCTTGTCTGCACGGACTGGCACACCGACGATGGCCAGCCAATGCCCCGATCCCTCGTGGTTGCGAGCCACACTCCCGTCCGTGTTTATCCCCCAAGAATACTGCCGACTACGTTGAGACCGTCCAGTATATCATCCGTCGACACCGAAGGCTTGCCGACCCGGCGCAGCTGGACTTTGCCTTGGCCTGCGTGCTTGCAGCGCTTGTCGCGCCGCCTCCAGCAGTCTGCGCAGAAGTTGGGGTCGAAGCAGCGCTTGCAGTGCCAGCAGATCGCGCCGTCCTTGAGCTTGGCTCTGCATCCGTCGCACTTGAGGCCGAAGCCAAAGTCGCCGTCCTTGTCCTCATTCTTGAGCTTCTCGCCAGCTTCCAACTTTGCGGGTGCAACCTCATGGTAGCATTTCCCGCCCACGCGGTGGCACGACTCGCAAAAGGTGCTCACTCCAGCCTCGCAGGCGTCACAGCAGTACGCAATGTCCCCGGGGACTAAACCGGCATCGCAGCTCTGGCAGATCATGGGCTCGAGCATCTCGCGTTTCTCGATAGCTTGCGGGGTGTATAAATCACTCCCAGGCGCATGGGTTGCCGTCGCCTGTGGCAGCGGCCCAGCAGACTGCAGGCCTCCATATGGGGGATAGCTGGGTTCGGGATTATGATGTGGCTGTTGGGTATAGGCTGGCGGCTGTGTCCAGGAATTCATGTCTTGGTGGGTTGCGGTAGGTACATTCTGAGCCGGATGTTGAGGCCGTGACGCTGAAGGATACCCTGCCCGCTCCTGATCTATTAGCCACATGGCAAGACAAAATTCATCGCAAGAAAATCTGCCATCGCGTGTGACGTCTGCCTGTTCCCATATATTCGAGAGCACATCTTTGTGCAACTGACTGGCAAGAAAAGTGATGGCCGCCTCAATGCCCGTCAAGTAAGGCTTGCCCCGACATTCTTGCAGAAAGAGTTTCACGTAGCGAGCTCTGTTCTCTGCAGGCATGCTCCGTTCCGATGCGGCCCCATGCGGTGACGGAGACGTGGGCCGCATCGACAGGCGGCCTAGACTGCCCAGCAACCCTGGCGAAGCATCGTGGGTCTGTTGACTTTTCATTCTGAGTGTCGCTGTGAGGAATCTTTTGCGCTCAGTATGGGAAAGGGTGATGATGTGGATGAGAAGCTATGGTGGGCGCAACCCGATTTCCAAAAGCTCAAATACTTGCTGGCGTCCGTCGTGGCTCGTGGCGGCCGCAATAACTCATGATGATGCTATTCCCGTCCTGGGCCTTTCCAGGTCGGGCAGTTTGTGAGCAGGCCAAGTGCGGCTGAAAAATTAATGGGCTGTAACTAGCCGAATCAGGCCACACCAGAGGAACTGCTGCGCCTCGCAACCAACGTGTACATAAGTGGCCTCTACGTTGACGTGTGCAAGGGAAAGTTGGTTAAGGGTTAAAATATTTCTTGTATAGCTTCTATCAAAGTTACTATCTTGTTCGCGTTAATAATAATTGCCCTATTTCGGCAACCCAGGAAATGGGAGTAGGGCGGCGGCCTGGTATATGTCCGTCAATATACCCTGGTGGTATTGGTCATGAACCCCATCCATCCATCCAAATCACTTGGTTGTTGGCGTCCAAGGCGCTTAGGCAGCCTTGGCGAAGCCGATGCGGGCGTTGGTGGTGTCGTAGACGGAGTAGTAGTTCTCCAGGAACTTTTGTCCGATGATGGTGTTGACGCCGCTGCTGCCGCCGTCGTTGATCCACGCGTAGTACTTGCCGGACGACAGCCCGAAGAAGCTGTACTGCGCGGTGGGCACCAGGTACTGCGCCGGGGTCAGGGTGTAGGTGGTCGAGCCGAGGGTGATGGAGAAGTTGGCCGTCGGCTTCTTGGTGTAAACGGCGAGGCCCGAGCTGGAGTCGGTCTTGCCGCCGGATGCGCTCAGGAACTTGGAGTACGCGGCGGACGGGATGTAGATGAGCGTGGTGCCGGTGTCGACGATGCCGGTGGCGCCGGACGCGAGCGTCGTCGAGCCGTACGCGAAGCTCGCGATGCTGACGCCCCAGTACGGCGCGGCCGCGCCCGACTTGAGCGTCGGCACGTAGGTGAGCGCGCCCGTGTACTTGGAGCTGTCCACGCCGCCGAGGGTGAGCTCGCCGTTGTTGTCGCTGGTGTCGGAGCCGGCTTCGGGGCTGAAGTAGACGCCGAGGACCTCGGTGGGGATGGAGCCCTGGGCGTAGAGGTTGTCGAGGAAGGTGGGCACGGTGGCGGCGTTGGAGACGGTGTTCTTGGTGAGGCCGACGGGGCCGAGGCCGAAGATGCCGTCGACGCCGTTGAAGCCGGAGGCGCTGGTGGCGGAGCCGATGGACTGCGAGGCGACGGTGAGCCCGCCGAAGCTGACCTTGTCGACGTACTCCTTGCCGGAGAACTGGCCGGAGCCGTAGCTGACGGAGACGGAGCCGCCGGTGGCGTTGCCGGTGGAGTGGGGGACGTAGGAGCTCTGGGCGCCGGTCCAGGTGTTGGAGGCTGGCCGGGGGATGTTAGTGACAGGATTTCTGGATGGATGTGTGCGACGAGCGTGCTTTAATGGATGGTTCACTTACACCCGGTGTCGACAATCAGGTTCCAGTTGGCGTTGCCGATGGCGACGGAGGCAATGTAGCTGACGTCGTCGTTCTCGGCGGGGCCAGAGGAGGCGTCGACGTGGCCGACGGTAGTCTTGGCGGCGTCGCCGCCGTTGATGTGGTTGAGGCGGGCCTGGCCGCGCTGGATCAGGCTACTCGCGGAGCTGACATTGATGACATGCTTCAACGGCAGGGTCGCGGGCTTGGCAGCGCGCTCGACGGGCGATGCCAAGATGGCATCGGCCGCCACGATGATGGACAGGGAAGTGAAGCGCATGATTCTTCTAGCTCAAGATGAGATGGTTTGTTGGGGAGAGTTCGTTTTTGTGGTGTCTGATGTCTTTCTACAATTCTTGGATTTCACGGGGCGAAGCTCGACCATTTTATAGACGAAGCCATCGTCGCCAGAGTTCAGTTTCCGTCTTCATGATGATGCAAGCTTATCAGCGTCAAGCTCCAAGCTTCTTCATTCTCATCGTCCCGCGATGCCGTCCTATCCGGGAAAAGACGAAGCTTCGCTGTGAGAAAGTTGGTTGCGTGCTCCTCGGTGCAAATGGCTGGCGTGTCATCGTGCCCAATCGTTTCCAGCGTCGGCCCAATCGTTTCCAGCATCGCTTCTCCCACCTGCCAAATCGGGTAACTCAGCTCTTCTCCTAGGCCCCCACGGCATCTGCTGACAGGAATCTGGCCGGTGGTGGCGTTCGCGGTGCCGGCCGTGCTCAGGAACCCCCTCTCCCTCTTGTGGCTTGAGATATGGTGCAAGACGGCTGATGGTTTGAGCAACGAGAGCAAAAAATGCGTGAGCTTGCTTGAAAGAGGCAGGTAAGTTTTGCCAGAGAGAGAGGCATCGCGTCCTTGTCAAAACGTAAGCTTTTGCCATGCGACTCCGTTATAGCGAGCGCAGCTGCCTGTCACGTCGACAAGTTCCGAAATGGCGTTGCCAAGAGCGCCCCGGTCGGAATGGTAGTCTGTATCAATGCGTAGCGGCGAGTCCCGGCAAGTTGCTTTATAAGCTTACAGGCTGTGAAGGAGGACTTAACACCACTTTCTAGGTCTGTTGAGACTAGGTAATGAAGGGGGATTTAATTCCTTGTCAGTGTGTATTCGGCGCCGTATCGAAGAGTTTTTGCCACTGTTGTAAGCCCAACTACAAGATCGAGTCCCTATCTTCATCTTACAAAGTTAAACGCTAGGTTTGTCTAGCTTGCCTGTCAGACATCTCTCTTTGGTTGCTCCGCTCCACCGATGCCAGCAGTCATATCGACATCAGAGAACGACAAGTCAATATCTGCATAGATTGCGTGAGCCTATCCTTGTGCAATCGATATCGTCAACGATAAGCCGAGACAATTCACTCTGCGCCCAACAGCAGCACAACCCTTCACTAGCCGGTTCAACCCATCTCCCCACCCGGCACTTATGTTGAAAGCATCAATAGTTCCGAGGAGTTGAGTTAGTTCCTGGCGGCTGAATTTAGGTTTATGGCTCTACATGAGCTCAACTTCTAAATAGAGGCTGGCAAGTCACCCACCGACTGAATGAACGAGGTGTCAAACCAATGCCGAGAGCGAGATAGATTGTAACTGCCTGATTCGGCAATTCTGTGGTTTCCAGGTTTCATATTTTAGACTATGGCTAGACCCGAAAAGCCAATAGAACAAGGGGGGGGGGGGGGGGGGGGGGCATCGGGTCGAACCCTCGGTCTCGGCCCCGCAACCTCGTGGCTGTTGATGCAGTAAGTAGGTGCTTAAAAAGGTAGAAACTTGAGAGAAATTGAGAAATATAAATTGACGAGGTATCAAAAGATTCCATTATTCGTTTAAGACATCCAACTCAAACAACCATCAAGGCCAATACAAAAAGGCCAGGTACAAAGAAGACCAACAACTAGTAAGTGTATCGGAAGTCCGGCGCACCGTCATCCTCGTGACTCTCGGGGACCTTGCCTCCCTTGTCCGCCCTGTCGTTGGCATACTTGAAGCCCAAGTCGCAAGCAATGACGAGGATGATGTTGAGGGCCGCGCAGGCAATGCACGCGTACATGCCCGGCTTGTAGCCCGTCTTCTTGTCCTGGTCGCGGAAGATGAGACTCCCCGCGATGCCGCCGATGCCGCCGAAGCCGACCAGCGTGGCGCTGCAGAAGGCGCGCTTCCACTGGCCGCGGAGGTTGTTGGCCTGGAAGGACATGATGGTCGGCACGTTGCAGTTGGCGCCCGCTGTGACCAGGAAGACGCCAAAGTAGCGAACGCCCGAGCTCTGCGCCCAGCCCATGATGGGCAGGCCGACCAGGCACAGCAGCATGTTGAAGATGATCAGCGGCCCGCGGACGCGGAAGCGGTCGCCGAGCACGGCACTGGCGTACATGACGAAGCCGGCGAAGACGTACGGCGGCGCGACGAGGCACTGCGCCTGGCCGACGGAGAAGCCCATGTTGCCGATGAGGATGAGCGGGAGGGTGTAGGCGAGCGCGTAGGTGATGGTGGTGGTGTTGAAGAAGATCACGGCAAAGGCCCAGATCTTGAGGTCGAGGGCGTTGCCGAAGAACTTCTTCATCTCGAACTTGGAGATGGCGGAGTCGCCGCGGTCCTGCTGGATGCGCGAGACCACCCACTTGAGCTCGGGCTTGGTGAGGAACTTCCACGTCGGGCGGTCCGAGTCGGGGAAGTCGACGAGGAGCCAGTAGGCGGCGGTGGCGAGGGTGACGGTGATGAGGCCCTGGACGAGGAAGATCCATCGCCAGCCGGTGAGGCCGGCACGGCCGTTGAGTTGCATGAGCTGGGGGGATGTTAGTGCATGGACACGGGTAATGAAAGGTACAAGGACAGGTATAAGGACAGGTATAAGGACAGGTATAAGGACAGGTATAAGGACGGGTAAGGGTGGGGGATATTGCAAGTCAAACATACACCGTAGCAGAGAATACCGGAAAAGGCGGCGGCGAGACAGCCGACAATGTAAAAGACAGAGTACCGCTTGCCGACGTCATCTGTGTGGTTGTGAGGTAGTAGAGTCAGTATTGTGTCTGTCTGGGGACGGGATGGGAATGGATGGGGAAGGGGACAACGTACATCGCGTGTACCAGGTACTCAGCAGGTACACGGCACTGGGGAAGAAGCCGGCCTCGAAGATGCCGAGGACGGCGCGGAGGGCGGAGAGTTGCTCGTGGTTCTTGGTGAAGCCCATGCCGAGGGTGACGACGCCCCAGAGGAAGGTGATGATGGAGAGGTGCACACGGGGGCCGATGCCGCGGATGAGGATGGTGGAGGGGGGCTGGAAGACGATGTATGTGATGAAGAAGACGAGGTTTGCAATGGCCTGCGTTATCAACCATGGTTAGTATAGGTGATGAGTGGACACGGGGAAGACAATGCAGTCGGTATCGGAGAGGATAGAGAAGGGAGGTATGGTCTCACATATCGGTATCCGGTCAGCTCGAGCTCCTTGGCCATGCCGGCAATGTTGGCGGCGCTCATGTTGACGCGGTCCATGAGGGAGACGCAGTAGAGGGCGCCGACGGTGAGGACGAGGCGGCGATCGATGCGCTTCATGATGCTGCGCTGCTGCTGCTCGGTGAAGACGATCTGCTCATCGCCCGAATCGCCATCGGCGAGCACCTTGGCGCTGCCGGCATCCTTTTCGAGGTGGACGATGTCACAGGCTTCCTTTTCAACGGCACCGACGGGCCTGGCTTCAGCGGACATGGTGATGTTTTTCGCCCTTTTCTTTTCTTTTGTTGTGTTGATAAATTTAGAAACCCAGCACGGTTCTGTGTGTAACCAGCACAGCAGCAGCAGCAGCAGGGGGGAGGAGGGGGGAGGAGGAGCAAGGACGCAAAAAGACAAGGCAAAGTCAACTGGTCTGTCTATGCGGTAGACGAGGGAGGGTTGGGCAAGCAGCACATCTATATATACTTGTTTTTCTTATTTTCCCGTTTGTCTCGGGAATGGGGTTAGGTTGGACAATCAGCTACCATCCAAGACAAGCCTCTGCGCAACTCTGGCTGCTTCCCCACACACCTGGTGAGGAGAAGAACTCAATCACACATCAGACCGTCTCGTCTGAGATGGAGGTGGAGGGGAATGGAAAGGGCAAGGGTGGGAAGGAGAAGCAGGGAGGCGTGCATGCAGATGGATAGTCCCACCAACTCTGCCCATCTACAACCGCCAAGATTGCGGGGAAGAAGAGTATGCTTAATTCTCGCCCGCTGGCCCCAACTGTTTGCGCGCTATTATTCAGACTAGTTACCGAGTTGAACTAGCTGGATGAGTTCCAAGTCGAAAGTTGGGTCTAGAGTTGTCCTCGGCATTGCAAACAATTGCCACATCCATCCATCTGTTAGCTAGTTTAGTAGTTGGCTGATTCGTGTTCAAGTGAATAGTTAGTTACTGTAGTTGGCACTGCTTTGTCCCAGTGGGAAGGGTATTTTATTCAAATGGCCGCTCAGCCCGTTACACGGTGCCTTGCCCACAACCTGACCAACGCCATAGATTTATTTACACAAGCAAATGAAGAGGATAATACGGAGTAAGGAAGCTGCATAATAAGGCCACACCACATACTCACTCACCACATACTCACTCTCTCGCCACACACACACACACACATGGGACCCGTCGATGATGAGCCGAGGTGGAACAAAGAAGGTAGTCAAAGAAGCGGCGTCTGGGGAGGACCATCTGGCTGAAGATGGCTTGCAAGCTAGTGGAAGCCACCATCCGTCTGGGCAATCCAGAAAACCAGGTAGTTGTTTCCCAGTAAACATTTTGCGTGTCTGAAGATGAGGGCGCCCGCAGCCCGCACCACAGCTTGCAACTTCAATAAGGCTCAGACGCCCGCAAACATCAGATCTGGCTTGATGCAGCTAGACACCCTTTTTTTTTTTAACTTTTTTTTTTTTCGAGACAAATAAGAGGGGACTCTGCAAAACAAGATAGAGCGACACAAGTTTGGACTAGATTTTCGTCTACACACTCAACCCTTGTCCGGTCATCGGCAGGTCGTCTCCGAGAATCACTGCCGGGTCGAGAAGCTGTGGCGGCGCCAGCAGGAGGGAGCTTGTTTGCCAAGAACTCAAGACACGATGGGTCCGGTGCGACACGGAGCCGAGGCTGGCGAAGACAATCTGAGCCTCTCTATTGGTCGGTTGACGGAAATCCTTCTTTGTTTACCTTGGGTATTTGCTTGCCTTCAAAATGAAACTCCCGGTTCCATCCCTTCTTTGTCCGAACTCATTTCCTCTCTCTCTTGGTTCAATGTTAACTCGTTGCAGCAATTCGTGGCGCGGCCAAGCCCGATTTCAACCCGCGTCGTGGCTCGCGTCCAAACCCTTCCAGGCCCGTCTTTGCGAGCCGCGACATTGGCAAAAGGTGGTGGGCTCGACTGAGCCACCTCCTTGGCCTGGGGAGGATGAGTTGGACAACTAAACCCAAGCCGGGGGAGAGAGGTGCCAGCTGATAAGAATAAAAGATGCAGGCAGACATGAGAAACTGGCGAAACAGTTTCAGAAGAGAGTGGTGGGAGGGATCACAAGTATATTCCTACAGGATCATAGATTGACTCGTACAACAACAGCCTATGGACAAGCGACGCCCGCCAAACACAGGCCACTGTCTCACCTGCCACCCTGTCGGCGGTGTACGGATATTTGGCAAGATTCTGCTTTGCATGCATGCAACGGCAAGCCAATCTGTCGCTTGGGTCTTGGCATGCAAGGAAATCTCGACAATGACGTGTGATGTGTGTGTCGCGGCTCAATCTCGTGGTGTGGTGAGACACTCGGCATCAAGATAGCCAGACAGGGATGGGTTGCCGAAGTGGCGAGCGATATTCTTCATTCACCTTACAATTCAACGTAATACTGAACTGATGCTACGACGGGACATTACGATACCCCGCAGTTGTGTTGAGTCTTTATCGTTGAAGTGTATCGATATGCGACTCGTCTTGTCCGGTTGCCGAATTACTCACGACACATGCCATTGACACCAGCAACTACCCGTATTGTACAAGTTCAACACGTATCGTACAGGTCAACCCGGCCCGTTGTGTGTTTCGTAGCACCATCAAGTACCGATTTTTTTGCTGTTTGCTATTCTTAGTCTCGTAGTGAACGAGACGGGCGTAAAAGGCTGCACACCCCTTCCCATCCCATTCATGCACGTACACACCGCCAGAACAAACATTCCATCGACTCCTGCAGGCGGTCTCTTGTTTGAGACTCTGCACACCCTGTACGCATCCCGCTCCTGTCTCGGTGCATCTATAGATGGGCTTGCATTTTGGGGGTACGCCGTGTTAGTTTGGCTGAGGCTTTTCGGGGTCAGTTTCGGCGCAGCGGCTGCCCGGGGCTGAAAGGCTGCGTCAATCGCAAACCGCGCGAGCCGACTTTGGAAATCGAGGTCGCCGAATAACTGATCAGTGGCATGAAATCGGCTATCGGGGAGGCTCCTTTGGTGTGGTGCAGTCCTCTTTACGAGCTGTGTGCTGCGTCGAGGGGAGATGATTGCAGCAGCCATCCATCACTATGGGTAGTGTCCATCTGAAATAATCTGTAGAATTTTGTTATCAATCCTTGATCCCTCTCCGATATTCAGAAAGGCTTAAGAAAGCGAGTGAAAAGTCGTACCGTACTTGCGGTCATGTCTATTAGACAATTTCTTAATACGATACACAAGAAGCCGACTTATCCTTCGTCTCGAGCGCCACAACTTGACAGTACGAAAGCGTCTTTCATCTCTTTTTGCTTTTTTTGTTCAAGGAATACAAAATAATGGTAAAATACCGTATATGCTATATTTCCTAGGCCATAATATTCTACCCGTGAATAAAATAAAGACACACCTATTGATACATCTCAATAGCCGCTAGAAGCCAGCTTTGTCCGCAGGCACGCCTGACACTCAACTCAACCACTGTCCTCTCTTTCCCCTCCGCTTCTCTCTCCCCTCCTCTTCTCTCTTCCCTCTTCCTCTCTCTCCCCCCTCTCTTCTTCTCTTTCTTCATCATCACAACACACCAGCTTCTTCGCACTCGTTCTAGAATCCAGGCTGGGGGATTCCCTTCTCCTCGTAAAATTCTCCTACCCACTTGGCAATGATATCAATGACCTGGTGAGCAATCTCACCCAGCGGTCCGTTGGTGTTAACGTTCTTCATGACAAGATCAGAGCAGTGAGCGGCCTTGGGCACAACAAAGATGGGCGCATCAACGGTCGACTCCATCGGGCCGCCCGGTCGGAGCGGCGACGAGACCGTCTGTGTAAGCCACGGGTCGTACTCGCCGTTGACCTGCACCAACCGCGTCGAGGCGTAGTTGTTCCAGCCCAGCGTCTTGGCGACGATTTCTTCGGTGGTGCGGCCCTGCTTGAGGCCGTAGGTGTAGCCGTCCTCGTCGGGGAAGAAACGCTCGCACTGGTCGCGGAAGTACTGCGTGGGCGCATAGCGAGAGACGAGGCCGGTGTCACCGGGGAAGGATCCCTGCCAAAGCTGGAAGCTATCAAAGGAAACTCATGTTAGCTGCGTGTGCCGCTTGAAAAGGACTCGGGAAAGACTTACGGCTCGTTGCAAAGCATCCACTGCCACTGCAGGTTCCACGAGTTGCGGGTGCTGCGATCGGTAAAGTACGGGCTGGTCTTGTTGTGCGTGTCCCAGCATGCGACACTGTCTTTGCCGACGCCCGCCCAGTAGGTGGTGCTGTTGCAATTCCACGGGACATGGACCTCGCGATACCACCGAGCGAGGTTCGCCGTGGCGGCGCACTTGCCGACGCCCTTCTCATCCGGAACCGGGTTGCCAGTACCGTTGCTGCCACCGACGCCCTCGATCCAGTCGCACATCTCGTACAGCTCGACGTTCTTGGGCCCCGTGTAGAACTGGGTGCCCTGCCAGCTCTGCAGGCCGTCGGAAAGAGCGTAGCCAAAGTCGTCGTCGGCGAGGCCGGCGAGGCCAAACTTGGCCTTGAGCGCCGTCTTAGCCGCCTCGTCGCCCTTGTCCAGCTGCTCGTCCACGTTCTTGATGATCTTTTTCAAGTCGCTGCTGCAGTTGCGCGGCATCGCCGACTCAATGGGCACGTAGTACTGCCAGTAGTCGGCGATGGACTCCACGACGGCCGACGTAGCGTGGTACGCCCAGAAGGTGCCGGGGTACAAGAAGTTGATCCAAGCCGTGAGGGCGCCGGGGTAGGAGCCGCCGGAGAGAACCCACGGCGCATTGTCCGGGTGCGTCGAGCCGTCCTTGTCAAACGACAGCTTGACGTTGCGCGCAAAGTAGATGATGTCGCGCATGGCGTTGTCCAGCGTGAGGTACCGCAGGTTCTTGGTCGTCATCTTGTCGAACGGCAGGCTGTCGCCCCAGTAGCGGTGCTCCATGACAATGGCCGCACCCTTGATCTTCTGTGCAAAGGTGCCGGGGAGGGTCCAGTTGGTACCGTACCAGACCATGTAGTCGGCGGCGTTCTCGCCGGGGGCGTTGACCACGATGGGCGCGCCCTGGCCAGCGTAGAACTCGTTGTTGACCCAGTAACGCTGCTTGAAGGTGCCCAGAGACGGGTCGTCGTGGTCGATGAGCTGGTCAAAGGTGGCGGCCTCGATCGGGCAGGGCACGCCCACGGGGTACAGCCAGTAGCAGTCCGGGTTATACGCGACAGCCGCGGATGACGTCGGCTCGAGCGAGAAGGCCCGTTCGCCCCGGGGGCCTTCCAAGACGGCCGCCGAGGCGGTCGCGGCCAGTCCCGCGAGCACGGACGCGAGAGAGGTACGCATTTCCGAGGCAGGCAGCGAGTGTTGTCACGGCAAAGAGGTGCAGGCCAAGTGGGAGAGAGTCCTGGCTGAAGCGAGGAGAACCAACCCCATTTTCTCAAGCTACTGAGAAGACATTAATATATAAAGACAGGTCAGGCGAGTATACGTTGTATTCGGAGCGTTATCGTCAAGTTTACAAATGAAGAAGGTCGACTCACAAGGTCGATATTATCTACATCCTTAATTAGGAAGGTGGCACGCCGAGAGTCGATTTCAATTGCAAATAGTTTCGGAGCGTGCGGCGCCTGGTGATCCGCTTGGCGTCGGAGCTTGTCCTATGGCGAACCCTAGCCTTATGGATTTTGCCCATTTAATCGTCCCTGTGTGTGAATATCTGACGCCCAGCTGATATTGGGCCAGACGGAAAATAATGAGGCGGTCGGGGCCCATGGGGTACCAGAGCCGCGCCCATGGGGAAATTTCTTAACGTGGAGCGCCTCGTAGCATTTCGATTTTAAACAATTACTGGATCGAGTGCTTCGATCCAGCCAATCGGCACCGCTGCAGGAGAGGTCGGACGATGTGATCCTTGCAACGGTTTGGTAATGTAAATGGAAGAGCTGAAGCAGTGGCGGGTTGGCCGCTAGCATGAAAGGGAAGTCTCTTGCGAGGACCCAAACAATGCAAATCCCGCCATAATAGTAGCGATAACAGCGGATAAAAAAAAATGCTGCAGATTAATCAATACATTGGAGTACCTGGGAAAAGCCTTGTTCCTGACGTAGTATTCCTCAGCTGCGATACGAAGCCAGGCACTTTTGGTTCCGTGGCGTTTTTGGCGAAACTAACCTGTACTCGGCAATGATGTTCAGGGTCCCGACGACAAAGTTCCCGTTGACGAGAGCCCATCAAGGCCCGATTATGGCATAGATTTCTTTAGCGAGGCTATTTGTTCATCAACCCGTCCCAGCACTGCCACCGTGTCGCTGTGCGAAGTCGCCGCCGCAACGGTCGACCGGAACAACCTCGCCGTTTCCAGGTGCATCTCCAGCAAGCCCTTTGTAGAGCGGTCGTGCACCTGATACGTAGAATTGTCAACCTGCCGCACGCCGTGCAGGCACGTCCAGACGCCAAGACCGGCGCTGATGTCCCGCAAGATGTTCGGGGCGAGGTCGACCACGGCAAAGTCCCCCACGTGGCGGTCCTCCCCGAGCCACGCGGCCACGTCCGCGCCGTCCTGCACCGCCCGGAGGCTCTCGTACTCTACGCGCGCGCCGGTCGCGAGGTCAGCGACGCTCGCCACGCTCAAGCCGTGCTCGTCTACCCAGTTCTCGATCTGCAGGTAGCAGTTGACGCGCAGCAGGTGCAGCACAGCCCGCTGGACATCAAGGTGAGCCGACTCGCCATCGTCACGTCGCCAGCTCCGTAAATGAGGCGGGCACGACACGGCCCGCCAGTGCTCAAGTTGGGTGTAGAGCGCGTCCACGTCGGCGTGCGTGATGCCGCGGTGGGAAGACCCGCTGAGCGTCTGCAGGATGGCGCGCGCGACGAGCGCGAGGGACAGCATCGCGTCCAGGTACCCGAAGCCCGCGTGCTGCGTGAGCTGCGGCCGAGCCGCTTCCGCCTCGGGGATGCGCGACGGAGTCTTGGCGTCGAGGCAGGAGAAGGCGTCGAGCCCGTAGACGTGCCAAAAAAGCAGGGAGTGCCGCTCCGGAGCCCGAGAGAGCAGCGGGGTCGTGGTCGTCGAACCCATCTCCAGCGTCACAAGTACCAGGGACTTTTTGGACAGGAACAGCCGCTCCAGGCCGGACACCTCGCCGTAGGGGAAGTCGACCATGAGCGCCAGCGCCTCCACGTCGTCCAGCGACGGCGGCGCGCTGCTGCTCTGCTGCCGCTGCAGGAACAGGTCCTTGAAGTGGTGGGCCAGTCGCCGCTGCAGCGGCCACTGCTCGGGGTGCCGGGTGAACGGCATGCCGCGACAGGCGACGGCGCAGAGGAAGGCAGGGCTGGCGGCCTTGGCGCGCACGTCGCGCCAGAAGGCGTCCTCAAACGTAATGGGCAGCGCCATGGCGGCGTGGTCAAAGTACGCCTGGACGGCCTGTCGGAAGAGGTCGGCGGAGGGTAGGGCGCAGTCGCGCCATAGGTCCTGGTAGTGCGCCAGGTCGTCGTCGGAGGGCACATCCGACGAGGTCGGCACTGCTAGGGGGTCGTCCATGGCCAGCCCCCCCGTATACGTATCGTTTGTTGTCGTCCACTCGGATGCGAGGTTTCCCATGAATATCTGATCCAGAAAGAAGGCGCTTTCCGCGTTGAGGTCAAGCAGGAACTCCGTAAGGAGCCTCTGCGGTGACCGTTGGCGTTTGACCTGCCGCCCGGACCGGAGACGGCAAGGCAGCGGATGAACTCGGTTGCGTAGTGGCTGGCGGCTTCGGGTTGCTTCTTTGCACGGAGTCGAGACGCCGGCGTCTCTGGAGGCGCACGTCGCCGGAGTCGTCGACGAGGCAGGCAAGGTCGCGCCTCTCACATGCCGAGCAGCCATCGATCCCCCTCGCGGCGCGCGGCGCGCGGTCGCATTTTATCTTCCTGCCGTGGCAAAAGTCGCATGATTCGCGCTCCACGCCGCGTTTGAGCCGCATTGTTGCCGCCGGAAAAAACCAAAAGACAGAAAAAAGAGGCCCTATTGGTAGAAGTCGGTTTCGTTTGGGTGATGCGGTGGTGAAGCGGGGCGGCGATTGTGCGGAGGTTTCGCGGGGGTTTCGCGGGGGTTTAGCGGGAGTTGAGTAGCAGTTCAACGGGTTGTTGCGTGGCAGCCAGCATCAGCTGAGTTACTGTTAAAAGGTGAATTTTCCTTCATGATTTTCTTCTAAAAGAATTATCTATTCTTTTTTTTTTTCGTCGATATTCTGTGAACTGGCCTCATTATGGATTCCACCTACAACGAAACCAACATGCCACCGAATGGTATCGGCGCCCTACCCTTCACGCCACTCCTAGCACCCAGCGCCGTGTTCACCACCGCATTTGTCATATTTTTCCTAGTACACTTGGTTTTGGCAGTTCTATTTAGAAGGTATTATGGATATGCCATTGGCATGGTATGCGGGCTACTTTTGGAGATGCTTGGTTACATTGCCAAAGTTCAGCTCTCTTACAGCCGTACTAACAAGAATGCCTACATCATGTACAGCCACCCCTTCTCTCCAACTGACAGTTAATGCATGCTAACTCGACAAGGTACATTATTGGGCTGACCCTTGGCCCTACATTTCTTTCCTCGTCTCTCTATCTCGGCATCAGCAGTCTGCAACGCCAATACCAACAGGCGCGGTTTGGGAGCGTCAGCCCGCGTTGGTTTGCCACCCTGTTTATCCTTGGTGATTTCATGTGTCTATGCTTCATAGGCTGCGGCGGCTCGCTCGCCGCCATCTTTGCTGAGAGCCCTGTCGGCGTCGACCTGATGATTGCGGGTCTGGCAACGCAGGTGCTCTTCACTGCAATCTTCTGTCTCCTGCTCTACTTTATTTACCGGCGCATCGGCTGGCCCCTCAACATGAGGGATAGACGCTGGTATCTTGTTGGTGAGTCGACGCTATCGATGCAAGGCTCACGTATTAAGCTCCCACTAATCTGAAATGTAGGCGCGGCGGTTGCGGCCAGTTGCCTGTTCGTGCGGTCTTGTTGGCGAGTGGCGGAGTTGAGCGACGGGTTCAACGGTCGGCTGGCCTCGGAAGAAGGGGTTTTCATTGCACTGGATAGTGTTCCTATGGTCATCATGTGTTTTTGCTTGACCCTGCTGCATCCCCAGTATTGGTTTGGTCAAGTCGATAGTTGCAAATACGAAGCCAGGTGCAGATTTGTGCAATGGTGACGATTCTTACTGGCCAATCGCCCTGTTATTCGGACACTCCCGGTGGACATCTGTGCTGCACGCCCCTCCAGCCCATCAAGGGCAAACAAACGAAATGCAGTCGATAAATCCTTTATTTTCCAGGCTGCGATTATGTAACTAACGATAAGGCTCTTTCGTAAAGTCGACTCGGTCAGCCTGAATATTTCTTGGCATCTTGTTCCCAGCTCTCGCTGCTTGCCAACCTCCAACCCTCGCTCAACACCAATGGCCAGCACACAACCCAGCCAATCATGCGCAGTCTGCTGGGAGTTGTCGCGTCGATATCTATGCCTAGCCGCCGACGGCTCTTGCCTTTCATTCTTTTCTGATTTTCTCTGGCTTCTGGCTTCTCCACTTGGCCTTTGCGAGCGTGCCGTATCCTGGCATCACCAAGATCCGCCCCAACGCAGCTTCGCCGACCCCCGACACGCACCCCATCACCCAGCTGATTTCCAACGCGACCGCTCATTTTGAAGATGTTCTTAGGCAACGATCATTTAACTTGCACGAAGCCGCTCAAAGATACCGACAGCGGCGTGGCCGACATCCTCCTCCCGGCTTCGACTTGTGGTTCAAGCAGGCCGTCAAAGACTACGCCATCGTGATAGAAAGTTTTTTTGACAGAATACACCATGACATCAATCTACTGTGGGCGCTGAAGCCTCACGAAATGAGGATACAAGCTGCGTCGCTACATCAAGTTATTAAAATTCGCAACAAACGGGTCATCATGGTCACCAACGACCCGGACCGACAGCCATGGATCCAGCACTGGACGGCGCTTGTTGAAAAGGGGTCGAACTTGCCTGACTTGGATATGGCTTTGAACATTATGGACGAAACACAAATATTAACGCCCTGGGAAACAATTAATAAATACGTCGAGGTGGAGCAGCAGCAGTGAGGGCTTATTGCACCAGAACTCGCGATCAGTACGTACAGCGGCGTCAAGACGTCGACAACAATCAAAAGCAAAAATTTTCGACCCTAGCTGGATATCAGACGATGCGAACCGTTATTGGGATTATTTCCGAGAAACCTGCCCACCCGATGGTCCAGCCCGCAACGTCAGCGCCCTCGCTTCCTTGAACGTGCCCATCGAGTACCCACGAGAGCAGCGGCAGACGCCGCCGCTATACAACGCCCAGCACGGCTTCGTGCACAACTTTGCGCAGGCGCAGAACCCGTGCCTGCAGCCGTACCTGCGTGGCCTCCACGGCACCTTTGTCGAGGAGCGTGAGCATGTCGACGACGACGACGCTGTTCCCGCTCTTCGCGGGCTCCAAGCTGCCGACGAACAACGAGATCCTCATTCCCGGCGCCATGTACCTCTCCTCGCGCGCACTGTACAGCGGCGGCTGGAGCAGCGGCGTCAAGCGGTTGGACAAGAAGGACGCACTTATCTGGCACGGCACCGCGTCGGGCGGGGCGCAACAAGGCGGGCAACTGGTGGCACTTTCACCAGCACCGCTGGGTGCAGATGATGAACGGTACGACGGCGGCGCGCGTCGAGGCCGGCGATGCGGCGGCTGCGCCGACGTTTGACTTGCTGTCGGCGGAGGAGTATGGCCTCGCGCGGGCGATGGATGGCCGCGTAGGGTCGTGGCTCGCCAACGTCTCGGACGTCTCGTTTGTCTGCCTCGAGTGCTTCCCCGAGCCACCCAAGACGCAAAGGGGCACCTGCTCGTACACCGGGCCGTACATGAGTATTGCCAAGCCTATGCCCATGAAGCAGCAGTACCGCTACAAGTACCTGCCTGACGTTGACGGCAACTCGTTTAGCGACCGCTGGCGGGCATTTCTTAGATCAACAAGCATGCCGCTCAAGGCCACGATCTACGCCGAGTGGCACGATAACCGTATGATTCCGTGGGTGCACTTTGTGCCCTTCAATATGGCATATACGGATTCATGCGGTCATGGAGTACCTCCTTAGTCACGATGAATACACCGAGGTCATTGCGACGGAGAGCAGGAACTGGGCGAATGCGGTGTTTAGGAAGGAGGACATGAAGCTATACGTCTTGGCGGCTGTTGTTGGAGTACGCGCGTGTGGTGGATGATAATCGCGATCGTCTTGCTTTTGCGGGCGACTTGCAGACAGAGGGTTGACGAAAGCAAAATGCAGGGGAGAAGATGCACGGCTAGAATTTGCCTTGTCTGACTAACTGGTGGTTGGGGAAGCCAGTCACACGCGGATGACGACTAACTTATTTCTTGGAGATGTTGGGATGCAAGAACATTGTTTGGGATGAATTGATAGAAATGATAGCGGTTTTTCTATTTGATCGAGACGGCTCTTGCATTTAGAGGGCGTTGCTGTGATGGATGCCTTTCAGGCGGTTGTCGAGTCACTTGACGACGATGAGACTCAAGTTGCGGCTTGCAATCATGTCAGTAGTCTTCTGCAGACTCCGCTCAACTATAACAATCCTCTTCTCTCCTCGTCCAGGTGAGCATGAGCGAGTGGAATTACAGTACCTAAGCTCCCTTCCGAGAAAACAGAAAATGTGGTTCCCGCCGAGGCACTACCGTGTGAGGTTGTCCTTGGTATACAAGCCTCAGCTCTTGGCCACCGTCTCATCACATCACCGTGCTATTTGCGCCAAGTCATGGCAGCCAATTCTATAATATGCCAAGCGCATCTCTAATAACTGCCAGGCAGACTAGGAGAAATACTGCGGTATGCCTTTCCGACCGTTGTCCTGCAGATGGCTATGAAAAGGGCGAGAATAGTGCGATGCGGCGCAGCGGTTTCGCCAAGTAACGGAGCAAAAGTTCCCACGATGAGATTTTGTTGGATTATAAATGAAGAACTTGGGACTGGAAAGCGCAGTTGATATCCGACTGTGGGCATCTCAGTAGCGCAGCCGCCGGCGAGACCATGCCCTTGGCGGCTACGGCTGTTCAAAGGCAGCGAGAAATACGAGAAAAAGAAGAAGAAAATAGTAACAGAATCAAGCCTCTCGTCACACTTGCACGTCTCGAAACAGGCACCGCGAGTATATCTCCGGAAATGCCTGGCTCTCATCCCCGTGGCGAAACCCGGGGTAGAGCTTGGCGGGCTTGGGTGCTTGCTTGGTGCTTGGCTATGCCACCTGAGAAGGCTCGCCAGTACTCAGGACAGGTCCTGGGCGCTTTCTCGGTACTTTTGCTGCTGTCGGAAATAATTGCACCCTGGTCAAGATGGTGTTCCCGGGCGACTCTATCCCAACGTCGAATGATCGACTTACACGCGACTCATTGCCGACCTTACCACTACCGCCACTACCAACACAGAAAATATGAAGATCGACTCCAAGACTCGAGCCTTGCAACATATCGAAAGATCACGTTTCCACCTTTTATTATTTTTCTCCTATTCACCAGTGGCGGAGCCTTCAGCCGCTGCTTGGCCGCTCCTCTGGGTCGCTCCAGCTCCGTCTTGGGCAGCCCACCCTCCAGCACGGTCCCAGGGCTGGGCATTTCTGGGCGGGCAGTCCGAAAGGTGACCTGCCAAGAGCCATTCGCCATCGGCCTACTGCGAACTCTGTCTTTCAAGAATCACATCGTAGAGATGGTTGGCCGAGATGTGCCTCTGACCGCGCGTTGTCTTGTCTCAGAGAGAAAATGCGCTTTGAGAGAGAACTGTTGCAAACATGGCGTGCGTCACCATCGCGGCACGTCTCTTTTTCTAGACTTGGCCAAAACATGAATCTTTTTGTCTGCTTGCTCATTCTCTTTGCATTCTCTGTATCTGTGAGTTGTCCATTGTGTTCTTGGGCAGTCAAGTCCACGGGGTTAACCTTGTAGAGGCGGCGTAGAGAGCCAAGAGCTGAATGCTCTGTATTACGTTGAGATCAGCAACGGTCAGACAAAGAATCAAGATTAAATCTCGTCTTAATAAGAATATTTGACGGCTAATATACGAGATGATCGAAGAACTAGAGCCAAATACAGTGCAACCGTACTCCACAAACCCCTGTTGTGAGCTCCCGGGACCCCTTGGGCTGGGAACTGCTCTATCCTGACAGCAACTCTGATTCCCTGCTTCTTTGAGACAATCTGAATCTCAGATATCCTCAGAACTGATATATTGGCGCGCTGAAAGTTTCCAAATACATTCCAACCCCTGCTGATCGGACATACATCACCAACGCCAACCATGTATAACTCGAGTGCTTTGCCCTGTTCGCCCATTCATTGTTCAGAATCAATCTCCCAGAGAGAACAGGGGAGAGATTTCCTTGACACGTACAAGTTATCATTGCACCTAAATGATTCGTGGTGTCAAGCTCGACGAACTGTTAGTCCTGCCTGATATTGCTGTCTCTGCATCGGCATCTCCCTCTTTTCCCTCTTGCGTTCCCTATCAGGTCTCTTGTCTCTTTTTATCATTTCATATTTCAAGTTCTACCAATATATCATCTTCTTGCCGGACAAGAAGAGCATCGACGATCCAACATAATTTCTTCAGCAAAATTGCCACAGCCAGTTGGTGCACGCCAAGATGCCGACCCTCGACGTTAGCGAGCTCAACATTGTCCTGGGCGTCCTAGGTCAGTGTCGATGGAGCTGAGCCTCTAGGATTCCTTGCTCATAAAACTTAGGCGCGTTCATCATTCTTGCTGGCGTCATCTCTGTGAAGCTCAAGCAAGTGTGGTACCTGGGAGAGGCCCGTAAGTATTACCACCCACCAATCGCGTAAAGCTCAAGAGAAACTCACAGTTTTGTTGCTGCATAGTTCCCGCGGTGATTCTAGGGATCATCCTAGGGCCTATCGCTGCCAAGTTCCTCGACAGCGACCGATGGGGGTCTGCGGAAAAGGGGCAGACTCCCGAGATCACGCTCGTTCGTCGCCCACCCTCCCCTCTGACACGCACGACTGACTGACCGACCCCCCTCCCATCGCTGCAGGGCATCATGCGCGTCATGATCGGAATCCAGCTTGTTATCGCCGGGTACCAGCTTCCGGCGCAGTACACCCGACACCGGTGGCGGGAGATGGCCCTTTGCCTGCTCCCCATCATGACCATTATGTGGTTGTGCACCAGCCTATGCGTGCTCGCCGCCGTGCCGCGCGTCACGCTGCTGGCCGCGCTCGTCATCGCCTCGTGCGTCACCACTACGGACCCGATCCTGTCGCAGGCCGTCGCCAAAGGGCCCTTTGCCGACAAGTACGTCGCCCGCCCGCTGCGCGAGCTCATCTCCGCCGAGGCCGGCGCCAACGACGGCTTCGGCTTCCTCTTCCTGATGCTGGCCGTCTACCTCATTCGCCACGCCGACATCCCTCCCAGCGTCGAAGGCGCGGAGGATGTCGCCGGTGCGGCCGTGGGGGCCGGCACGGCGGCCAAGATGCTCGTGGCTCGCGCGGGGGATGAGGTGGGCAGGTTGGGGGGCGGTGTCGGCGTGGCCTTGATGAACTGGTTTGTCGAGACCTGGCTGTACATTGTTCTCCTATCCGTCGCGTACGGCGCGGTGGTTGGCTTTGGCTCCTGCTGGATCGTCAAGTACGCCCTCAAGCGGTAGGTACCCCTCGAACGATGACCTCGGCGACTCCAATCGCAAAGAAGCTAATACTGGCGGCAACAGCAAATGGATCGACACCGAGTCGTATCTCCTCTTCCCCGCCGCTCTCGGGCTGTTCCTCGTCGGCACCTGTGGCGCCATCGGGACCGACGACCTGCTCGCGTGCTTCGTCGCCGGAAGCGCGCTCAACTGGGACGGCGCGTACCTCGCCGAGACGCAGCGGCGGCACGACGAGGTCAACTCGTGCATCGACGTGCTGCTCAACTTTGGCGGCTTCCTCTACGTCGGCACCGTCATCCCCTGGTCCGCCTTCCACGACCCGGACGGTACCGGCCTGACCTACCCGCGCCTCCTCCTCCTCGGCGTCCTGGTCCTACTCTTCCGCCGCATCCCCGCCATCTTCCTCACCTACAAGCTGATGCCCGCGAGCTGCGCCAACTGGAAGGACGCGCTCTTCATGGGCTACTTTGGCCCGATCGGCGTCGGCGCCGTCTTCTACGTCGAGCACAGCCGCCACCTGTTCCCGAAGCTGGGCGAGGGCGACGCGGAGGAGACGGACCTGGCGCGCGCGATCGTGCCGGCGGTGTACTGGCTGGTCATCTTCTCCATCGTTATCCACGGCCTGTCGATCCCCGCGCTCAACCTTGTCTACACATACATGGGCATCAAGCCCATCACAGAGGACTCGGTCGCGATTCGCCGCATATCGATGCATGTCGCGACGCCGGTGAACGCGGTCCCAGGCAATCGGGACACGTTCATCGCGTACAACCGGTTCAGTCGCCCTGTGTTTGACGCCTCGCAGCTGCCGGTGATACGCGACCCGCCTGCGAAGGAGCTGTACGATATGGATGGTTACGACGATGAAAAGGAAAGGGGACGTGTTCGCACAGTCCGGTACGCGGCGGAAGACAGGGTGTAATCCAGGGCACTAATACATAATGTTAGGTGCGAGAGTGTGTATGCTTTGTAACCGTCTTGTACCGTTGTGTGAACGCGGGTTTAGACACATGAGCTTTAGAGAACTAGAATCCGCTAAGAAATCCAACTTGAGTCGTTCTTTACTCTTTCCCGGGCCCGATGCTGCGCGGGCGAGTAAGATGTAGCTGCATAAATATCTGGGTAAATGCCTTTGTAAATATGAAAGCATCATAACCCAGTGGTTCCCGGGGCAGTTTAGAGTATTATAAGGGTTCGAGGCAAGAGTTGCAATGGCGGGCAGCCCTCAAGACGGCGATTCGACGCCGACATTCGATTCAACCGCAGAGCTGAGGACATGGAGTCAGCCAAGCGCGACAGCTTGGCAAGAGAGAATCAACACGGTGCGGCTGAAGTTTCAGGTTGCGTAATGACCCCAATCGCCCCAAGTAAATGGCAGGCCTATGTCCAAATTCGCCTCCAGAGCGTCCTCTACAGCGTCGAGATTGAAGCTTGGATCAATGTGGCCGAAGACGTCCTGGCCTGACACAGGGTCCACAAGGGAAAAGTTGACAGTGTTGTCCATGCCAATAGCCGAATCAATTGCTGCATTCACGCCGTCCGGATCGTGCAGAGGCAACTCCGTGATCCCTGGCGTCGGCATTGTCTGGGCGCTGGTAATTAAGGTGGACTCGGCGGCGGCAACAGGAGGCGTGTGGTCCTTGTTGAGCGTGGTCGCTGCCCTTTCCATCTCTTTCAGCACTCGCTCCCCAAGCCCTGCGACGACATTTGCATTCCAAAAATGGTTGCTGTAGCGCCGCAGCAGCTCGCAGTTTCGCTTGAAGGAACTCATGGCCCTGGCACGGAACATGGGCAGTCGACTATGCCGCATCTTCCGATACTCAACACTCAAGGCGAGCGAGACGGCGTAAGGAACAAACGGCGCCGGGCTGAGACAGTCTCGCGGAACTGCGCAAGCAATTCTGTCAGCTGCCAGAGACCGGCGGGCGTTGGCTGAAGGAGGAGGGAGAGTGGAAGCAGCGGGTGCTGTGCCTGGCCTGGGTAGTCGGCAAGACAGGATGATGACGGCATGGTAAAATGTTTCGATTGTAGCTAAAGGTAGTGTTAATTCTGAGAAGAGAGAGGATGATGAAGCAGAGGCGCTTACCTATTAATGAGGAAGATACCTTGAGAGCGTCCGCGTTGACAATCATTGCTTCCAGGACTGGCAAGTCGATGTAGGCCACCTTGTCGACACCAGAAGCTTCTTCGCTTGGTCCTGGTCGATAGAGCTCCACGACCTGATCGAGCCACTGGATGACGAATAGTAAAAGTCGAAAGCAAGGCGGTCGCTTGCGAATACAGGCGTCTAGGTCGGCACCGATGTCTCTCTCATGCATCAGGCAGGGGCGGCCATACATTGCGGCATTGATGCGATCTAGCGCCCAGACTGCACAGAATAAATTGTTGAGATCATCGCAATTAGGTGCGTCATAGCGGAGCAGATGAAGGCCCAGAGTTTGGATATGGTGAATAGCCCTGCCGCCCAATTGCGCGGGCAAATCTGCCTCCTCGGCGCATGTTGGTTGAACATAGAACGAGAGCATTGCCAGCGCTTGAATATGCGCCACACGGTCGGTAATGAGGGACGTTTCCAGAATAGCTCTGACGGACGAGGACAGCGCTTGCGAATAATCCTGCGGAGACAACAAGACGCCGCCCTTGTTCTGCAGTCGCAGGAATTGTGTCATGTCTGGGTCGCTTCCAGCGGCTAGACATACTAGTTGACGTTGAATGATGCTTGTGGGGTTAATTGCAGGCTCGTTGAGAGAGGATAGGGGGAGCACAGGAAAGATGGGGTGAATCTTCTGGATGAATGTGGCTTTGAGCTTTGCGTAGTCGTCATCGGGGGGCAGGCATGAGAGGCAGTGCTCTTTGACAAAGGGCAGGAGAAACCTGTCCATTATCGGCGGTGGTCGAGAGGTGATGAACTGCGACGACTGGCTGCCGCCCGCAGGGAGCCATATCCCAACGTCACCCTTTTGAGACGACTCACGCGCAGAGACGGAGGCTGTAGCCTCGATGAACATGCCCTCGGGGTTCAAGTCGCCGACAAAGCGGGAGGAGCGCGTCCGGAATGACCCATCTTGATGTGGACGCTGAAACTTTCCATTTGGGCGATTGGGTGGCTGAAAAGACTGCTCTTGCGGGCGTCCAAGGATGCCATTCGCATTTGCGACTGGCGGCGGCAGTGAGACGCGACTCACTGGCGTGACGCTGCGGCCGATGTTGTTGGGTCTGGTTCGTTAGCACTCCTGTGTCTTCATGTTTATAAGTTTATCGATTGATCCGAGCAAGGTAAGACTCACGAGGCGTGGGACGGCGACGAATCCGCGCCACGGCTGTCCTCTGGCGAAGCGTCATCGGGCGCATCTTCTGCATGGATACATCTCCGCTACCATGACGCGTCAGTCAGGCGTCAGTCAGCCGAGCGACGGGAGATGCAAGATCGTAGGACACAATTGACGAACCTTTTTGCGGCGACAAGACTCGCAGGCGTGCTGGACCTGTTTGCGCTTCAAAGGCAGGCCGCCGCGAGATGGATCAGTGGCGACAAACTTGACTTTTCGGCCGCTGGCAGGTGTGGACATGGTTCCAGACGGCGGCTGGCACTGAGCGCGTGACGGTTCGACAATTTTATAAAGAGATCATTCCCATAATTGATGCAAATCGTCCGTATGAGATGACGGTCTTCTCAATCGTTGATTTTTTCTTCTTCTCGCGTTTGCCTTGAGAGTCATTGGCAAGCCATCATAATGGGGCTGGTGATGGAACTTTGGGGCTGGTAACCCGTTAAAAACGGCGCTACACTAGCCACAGTTGAGGGTGGATTATTCAGCGCTTTTTATTGCAGGCTGGAAAATTAGCAGCAACGTTCTTCTCCGTCCTTGACTTCTGCAAGCCCATCTTTTAAAAATCGCAAAGAAAGAAAAGAGACGTCAGCTTGTTCAGCCGTCCGTACGCATGTAGGCATCTGAAAGTATTCGTGCCGCTGTACATCAAATCGGGTGGCTTCTAGTTTTGCCCCTCCTGTTGCGATGGCAGCTCAACCTCTGTCGTTGGTCACCCCTTGGCCCTTTTCCAACCGGTGCAACGAGCGTCTTGCCAATGACCCTTTTAGCCACGGACGAGCTGTCAAAGTACTTGGAGATTTTGCTCATCTCATCATCTGGCAAGCGCTGACAAGTATTGAGCATACTGCTATTAATAGTTGGTCGCCCACCTCAGCACTGTGCTACCACGCAGTTGCTATTTTCGGTGCATCTCAAGGCGGCAAAGCAGTCCTTCCCTTGGGTACGTAATCTGAGGTAGGATGGGTGGATGAAGCTCAGAAATGACGTTCTTCTGTGAGCGGGGTCCGAACCTGGTGATACTTGGATTGAGACTTGAGACTGCAACGCCAGCTATCCTTCAGTTTTGGTGTGCTACCGCGCGCGCAATAGGTAAATTTAGAGATATATTCGCGCAGCCTTGCTTGACGCCCGCAGGGCGATTCAATCTGCTGTGTCATGAAAGATGACCGGCTCGGCTAAGATAGCATATGTGTCTGTGGCTCATAGTACAATGGTGGGTGTAGTCAAGTTCTATAGTAGCACCATGAAGGCAGCAACAACACGGTTCCCTCCAGAATGGGCTGAGTGAGCGTTTCCCAGCGTCGATGGGACGTCGCATTTGACGCCCGGATTCCCTTGTCGTCCAGCTATGTTCCCCTTCCACTCACGACTACTCCTTGATGCCGCTCAGAAGGTACTTCTAGTAGCCCGCTTTCCACATCGTCGACAGCCCTTGCACTGCAGCCGGGCCCTCCGAGTTGGAAATGAAGTGTTGCGCCTTGAAAAGGCCAGTCAAGTATCGACCTGGCCCTCACGCACCCTTTCCCTAGTGCCAGGAGATGGCTTACACCAACCTCAGCCATTGTAATCGCGATCGCGATCGCGGCCCCCATCTTCGCAGACCGGTTAACCGTCTGTCGCACTCGAAAGTGGCCAGCATTCTGGGGGTCACAGAATGGGCGAGGTCTCTTCTAAAGAGGCATTTGCCACTCGATTATGCATCCTTCAAACAAGGTAGAGCTCGTAGGTACCTGAACAAAATCTTAGCTCATGTTACACGGTTAGATGCGAGGCAACAACACCTTGTGAGCCTCTGGAGCACTTCATGTATAAAATGCAGAGAGCTGCCGGCCAGAGATAGACTCTCTGCTTCCTACTTTCCCCAATATCCTCACAATTACCACACTGACCGAAAGACTCTCACTCCCTGCACACTCTTGACAACTTCTTTTCGAGACTCTCGCAGACGCTGCGCCCGCCTCGTCGCCTCAAGATGGCCGCGGAACCTTTTCCTTGCAAGATGTGCAATGCGCTCCTCATGAGCAACGAATGCCTTACATGCCATGCGTATGGTTCCATCATGCCAAAAGCGTGCCGGATCTAACACCGTGAACAGCAGAGAGCAAAAGGACGGTCATCAAAACCAGTTCAGCATTGACATGTATAACTTCGAGCAGAATGCCCTCAACACATCGATTAAAAATGAATATGCCCAGCCTAGGAGACCTCTTGAATCTAAACCTATCTCCATCCCGGGCAGGTGAGAATTTCCACCGTGTCAAAGTTCAGCCGAAACTAATACCTTACATAGCATGCCGCAACCGCAAAACGCCGTCAAGCCTGAAAGCAATGAGGAAAACTACGTAAGCGGTTGCGGCACCAAGTCGATCCCTATCCCAAAGAGGAAGAAAAAGGGGACGGATCAGCAGCGTTGACCGGCCTTTTTCATTGCTATCTTCAACTCCTGAATCCTCAGGGTCGATGGGGGCATTACGGTAAGACCGTTCCATTTCTCCATCTGCCTTTGCCGCATTGCCACCTTCGAGCATGTCTTTTGTTAAGCAGGATGTTAGCATGCGGATGTATTAGACGCCTGAGGTATGGCTATTAATAGAATAATTATTTTTGAGTTCCCCAGAAAAACATCAGCAAACATCCAGGTGTGCTTGCTATTGCTTGGTTACCATCAAGCCTGCCGAGGTTCGAGCCAGACGAATGACCCAGCCCGTGACCAATACACTGTTTGAGAAGGAGAATTAAGTTTTGATAAATTTATAATTTATTTGACCTTCTAAAGATACTGACCCTATTTTAGTATGGTGTACTATTTTTTTAATTTTCCTCGTCTTTGATGTGGCGCTTGGCTCACTTGCCGACAACATCATTCAGCTCCGTCTTGGGCAGGACAATCGGGCGCACCTTTTCGCGAACCAACGTCTGCTGCTCCAGCGCATACGCCATGCCGATGAGAGCCTCCTCCGTAAAGTGATCCCCCGCGAACGCCACCCCGAACGGCTGGTTCGGGGCCGTCGCGTTCAAGTTGCCGAAGCCGTTCTGCGTAACCTTCGTGTCGTTCGGCATGCGGCCCATCGGTACCGTAACGACCGGGTGGCCCAGCAGCGCCGCCAGGCCGGACGCGTAGCCCGACGGCGCGAACACGGCGTCCAGCGTGCGATTCTTCAGCGCGCCCGCCAGGCCTCCCTCCCCGCCCAACGTGAGCTGCTCCTGGTAAGCCTCCCGGAACTGCGGCGAGTCGTTGCCGAAGCCCAGCGCGAGGGCCGAGTCCCAGATGCCCGTGTCGCGCTCCGGCCAGCCCTCCCGGGGGTCCCGGTGGGTGAAGGCCTGCAGGTCGGCGAGCGAGGTCACGTTGTGCGGGTTCGTCTTCAGGTGCTTCAGGTACAGCTCGCGCACGCCGGTGACGAAGTCGGCCTTGAGCACCACATCGTTGGCGCTTCCGAGCTGCTCGTAGCCGGGGAAGTCGACGTCCTCGACGAGGACGGCGCCACTGGCGCGCAGGAGCCCCAGCGCGTGGCGGAACGCCGTCGCGACGGCCGCGGGGAAGCCCGAGTCCTCGCCGCCGGTGGCCAGCCCGCGCGGCACGCCAATGCGCTTGCCCTGCAGGCCGGAGGTCTTGCAGGCAGCGACGTAGTCCGGGACATCCTTGTCGGCGAAGGGGATGGCGGACGTGTAGTTGTCGTGGCAATCCTTGCCGACGATGGCGCGCAGAAGGTGCGCAGCGTCCTTGACGGTGCGCGCCATCGGGCCGACAGTGTCCTGGTGCTCGGAGATGGGCACCACCAGGTAGCGCGAGGTGAGGCCGACCGAGGGCTTGATGCCGACGAGGTTGTTCTCCTCGGAGGGCGAGATGATGGAGCCGGCGGTCTCGGTGCCGAGGCACGCCCAGGCCAGGCCGACCGAGGACGCGACGCCGCTGCCGGACGACGAGCCGGACGGGTCCTGGCCGGGGAAGTAGGCGCCGATGGCCTGCCCGCCGACGGAGGACCAGCCGGAGCTGCCGTTGTCGCTGCGGAAGTTGGCCCACTGCGACAGATTCGCCTTGCCGAGGATGACGGCGCCGGCCTTGCGCAGCTTCGCGGCGACGGTGCTGTCCCGCGGCGGCCGGGCGCCGACCAGGGCGAAGGAGCCGGCCGTGTTGTTCATCTTGTCGTCCGTGGCGATGTTGTCCTTGATGAGGATGGGGATCCCGTGCAGGGGACCGACGGTGCCGTTGTAGCGCTCCTTGTCCCGCTCGGCGGCGATCTTCAGCGCGTCGGGGTTGATCTCGTTGACGGCGTGCAGCTGGCCATTGACTTCGTTTATGCGGGCGATGTAGGCCTTGGTCAGGTCGACGCTGGAGAAGGCGCCTGAGTCGAGGCCCTGCCGCAGCTCGTCCAGCGTAGCATCGAGGAGCAGGGGGAAGCTGCCGTTAGCAGCGTTAGCTACACAGAGAGCAAGTTGTAGGATGAAGCAGCATGCGCTCAGCACGCGCCCAGTCATTAATCGGCCCATCATACTATCGACTAACGAGATAGTACTTGCAGAAACCAAAACAACAGAACGACTGCGTCCCAGGGCTGGGAGGCGTGTCTCTCTTTAAGTAGTTCTGCAGGCACAAGGTTGCGCTAGGAACTTGGCGTCAATGGTAGCGAGGCTCAAGAACTTCTGTGGACCAGTACTCAGACACATCATCGCTATAGTTGGCAGGAGGTTATCTAGTTGGACTGCGGAAAGGTTCCTGGAGGAGCTTATGCATGTCGATACCCCTCGCTGTCATTCATGCCAATTTCCTAGTGCAATCTTGTACCTCGAGAACTACTTCCGTAGTTCTCGACCTGGCCTTTAGTCGTTAGGGTATTCGACGGGCCGAACTTGTCAACGTTGATCGTCTTACAATGTTACCTACTGTACTGGTAACGCGAAGTAGCAAGTGACGAAACGGGCGAGAGCCGCGCAGTTCCGTCGTCTCTTCTCCCCCGTCAAGGTAGTATTAATGACTCCAATATTGATCGACCCGGGCAAGGGTGGCTCAGTCAGGGGGGCGATGCAGACTTGGGCCTTGTCTCTCGGACCCGCTGATGGTCAACAATCAGGTAGGTACTTTTAATGCCGCTACTGCGGCAAATGTTAAGATTGTCAATGCATCTGTATAAACTCAAGCAGTGTTCCATATTAACTTCTGTGACAGCTCTGGCGGGTCCCTCGAAAAGTACCATCCCATCCTAATGAGGCTTCTTTAAAGAGGCTCTGAAATCTTATTAGGATGCACAGTTATCAGTCCATCGCAAAAGGATGAGCCACAGTGGGACGATGGGTCTAATATCGAAAATCTCCATTAAAAAGTTTGCCGACAAGGCAATTGATAACTAAACCGGCTCGGAAAACTGCTTATTAGAAACTCTCTGTCGATTTTAAGCTCACACATGAAACGGGCGCGACTCAGGGCTGAACAGGCCTAGCCTAAACCTGGTACACTACTCGTGTGACATCATCTAGAAGAGAAGCGCGACGAGCATTGAAACACCAACGCAGAGGGCAATTGAGCGACTGGTCGTGGTAGCCGCGCCGGTCACGGGTGCAGTGGTATGGGCGCTGCGGGACGGAGCGGCGCTGGACGGCGCCGACTGTGAGAGAGAGGTCTTGGCGGCGGGTGCGGTGCTGTTTCCACCGGTAATAGTGCTGGTGTAGGTGCGAGTGCAGGGGCAGTCAGTCACGGTCAAGGTGGTGGCCTGTTCATTTCATTAATACGTTTTATTCCCAAGGGAGAGCGGTATGAGGAGAGTAGTACCTTGGGGACAACGTAAGTATGCGTGCCCTCGGTGATGGTGGTAGGGCCGGGACAGTACGTCGTGTAGGAGTCGACGGTTTTGGTGATGACAGTGACACCGGCTGTCGGTGCGGACGTGGTCGTGGACGAAGTCGCAGTGTGGTTCGCCGCTTTGCGGATCAGCGTGAAGTCGTCGCCGGAGGAGCCGTCAGCGCCCTTGACAAAGGACCAGGTAAGGACAGTCTCGTTGACAACAGTCAGCTTGCTGAAGCCGTAGTGCGTCTGGTCAAAGATGGCGGTGATGTCGAGCGCCTTCTTATCCTTGGCCAGCTCCGAGTGGCTTTCAATGTTGCCTGCCATGCCGTTGATGATGTGGGTCATGGAAACGCCCTCATTGGCATAAAATGTGTTGTTGTTGACGATGGAGGCCTTGTCAACCGTACCGTTGCGGCCGAGGGGAAAGGTACGCTCGTACCAATGGATATGGCTATGAGGCGAATTAGCACTTGGTGACTCTACGCATTTCTACTCCAGCCAAAGACTTACCCAGAGAGGTAGGCATCAACCCCATACTTAAGGAAGAGGTCCTCAAAGGCAGTGCGCATGTTCTGCTGGTAGGCGGCGACCTGCGAGCTATACATGGGACGGTGGCTCATGGCAATGACCCAGGGCGTCTTGCTGCGGTCTACCTTGGCCAGATCCTGCTCCAGCCACTTGTACTGCTCGTACGACTCCTTCTTGGTGATGTTGCCGTTGACGGCACCGAACGGGCCGCTGTCGGTGGCGTAGGTTTCGTTCGCCTTGGGCTTCCTGTCGGCGCCCTTGACATCACTGGCAAAGGACCACTCCGGGCTGTTAGGGTAGTCTGTCTCGCCGTTGAAGGAGATGAAATGCGCGAGGCCGTAGTCAAAAGAGTACCAGAAATTGCTGACGCCGCCGGACTCGCCACCAGGCATGCGGAAGCGGTGCTGATAAGCCGTGTAGTTGCTATAGCCGAGTGGTTGGTGTTCGTGCTCGCAATGAGAGGTCTAAGGGAGGGAACGTACCGCTGAGAAGGGGGGCAGCTGTAGTAGGTGAGCTTGTCAGACTTGGGAGCGGTGCTGTTCAGGCGGTTGTGGTTGAGGTACGCGGCCAGGACCTGACCAGGGCCGTCAAACTCGGCGCAGGCGGCCTCGTGGTTGCCAGGCAGGACCATGTAGGGCACCTTGGACGTGATCGGGGTCATCCACTGCTGCCAGAGATCCCAGTTGGACTCGTACAGGGTAGACATGTCGCCGCCTCTGGGCGTGCCCTCGGTGGGGATCTCGCCCTCAGGCAGCGGCGTCTCGTACTCGGGCGTGATGCCGCCGGGCAGTTGGGTGCTGGTGCCGTTGTAGCAGACGGGCCAGCTGCTCGCGCAGGGGATGATGCCGCTGTACCAGTCGTCGGCGTAGCTGATGTCGCCGCCGTGCCAGGCAAAGGCCATACCTTCGTCAATAGCCTTGTTCAGCTGCTTATAGGTACCGGCGGCGTTGGTGTAGCCCATGTCGTTGAGGACGCCGATGCTGAAGCCTTGCTTGCTACCGGCGGGGCGGGCCGTCTTGAAGCTCAGGACGTCGGAGGCAGTCGTGCCGTTGGCGGCCGCAATCTTATAGTAGTAGGTCGTATCGGGCTTCAGGTCCTTGATCTGGACGTCGTGGTAGTACTGGCTGCACTGGGTGACGGCGACCTCGGAGCAAGGCGGCGTGCGGGCATAGCTGACAGGCGGAGTTAGTCCAGCAGGTAGGCTACTATATCGCCACTTCAGAAGCAACGTACGAGTGGCTTGCGCCGTTTGCAGTCTTGTCCAGGGCGTCATGGCTAGTACCCCAGCTTACAGACGGCGCGCTGCCCAGACCAAAGGGCGTCTGGTAATGAATGTTGACACCAGTGCTGCCGGCGTAGGACAGAGAGATGACATTGATGTTGTTGGACGGGTTCGAGGACGCGGGCTTCACAGCAGGCGGCTCGACAAGGCGCAAGTAGCCCTTGCCATTGCCCTTGACGGTAGGGTTCACCCAGTCGCCAATTGGGGTCTCCGGTCCGGTGTAGGGGTAAGTCTCGTCGACGGTCGGCACGGCGTTGGCCAGGGCAGAGAGCAGACCAACAGCGACGGTAACGGTGGCCTTGACGGAAGCCATTGTGCGTGCAGAGTACGGGTATAAACGAATGGATTGCAGATGTCTTGGCACGATTGGGTCACATTGAGATCTTCCAAGACACTAGAACAGCGGCCGTGGCATTCTTAAAAGGAACCTTGCAAGGCCACGTTCCATCGGCCTCATCCGCAAACTCGCGTGTGGCGTAAACTTCAAGCCTCTGAACGGTCATCAATTAGGAAAGGTCACAGAAGGCAGCAAGTTTCTGCACAACAGCGGACGAGCCTCGCTGTAGGGGCCTATGGCGGCTAGGAGGTTGAGCACATGGTGCTTGCGTTCCTGTTGCCACAATGCCGATTATCCGGGTAGTCAGGATTTCCCCAGACCGGCTTACGACCGGCAGCCAGTCGGACGACATGACGAGCTGATGATATTGCAAATTTGACCGCGTTTATTCGCTGATGTGCTGCAGTGGTGGAGATTGCGCGAGAACACGTGGGTGGAGCGAGCTTCGCTAACAGGCAGGAGATGTCAGTGGGCTACTGTGAGGAACCTGGATTGCATAATATTGCAGCATTCAGACGGGTTCCTATTCGGCTGCCTTACAGGTTAGCTGATTGTCAAATACTGGTAGATGAAGCCATCGGCCAGCGCCGGCCGGCGACAAAATAGATGTCTTTGCATCAAGCCGGTCAACTGAGTCGTCCCGAGTTGGATCGCCGCAGCCGGTCATCCGGCACAGAAATCGATATGGACAATCTTGAGGCTGTGGTTAAAATCTCCATCGGAGCAAGCACAGCGTATTCCGGAGCAACGAGGAGATCTTCCGACCAGAATCCGTCGTTTTGGTGGCAATGCTTGATTGAGATTTTTCAAAGAACAGGGAATTGGGAATTGGAACTGAAAAGCGGGACTCATGATATTCTGGCCAATCATCGATGAGAAAACAACCAGCCTATTCGCAGAGGCGTTGAGCCCAAGAACCAAAAATCAAAGAAAATTTCCAAATAACGGTGCACCGCTAAAACGTATTACCTGATCGGTAACGGTGGTTTTCAGCCACTTAGACGAACATGAGATCTCACTACCGAGTCACAATCTGTAACTCCAGGGGCGCTAATTCGTACTCGGCAAGCATCGCCCAGTGGACACTCCGCGTCGAGGACCAGATAGAAACCACAACAACATTGGTCTCCCTGTCTCACGACAGCGACGCGTTCGAGCCCTGCCAAGGGTCCAGTTGACGTGCCGCGATGTCGCGAATCCTTGCAACTTGGCCCAAAGGCTGGCTGTTGATTCACGGGATGCGTGGGGCCGGCCCGGTGCAACGACGCGGGAGCTATGCCTAAACAGGAAACAAGTAAACAAAGAGACAGACAACAAGACGTACAAGCCTAATATACTCGTGTTAGTGGGCATTGTCATGCATGCGTGACACGTCTCCGTGGAAGAAGAGAGCGAGCTTCAGCACAGTATACTTGCTTTGTTTGTATTCCTCATTGCCAGCAAAAAAAGCATCTCTTCTTTTTGCTATTTGGGCCGCCGTCCGCCTCCAATCTTCCCTGTGCTTTACTCCTGCATCCCTTCCCAATTCTTTCTTTTTATACGCGCTGGGAGGATTTGCGTGGGGTTCAATGGCAAATATGTCGGACGCAAACATGGAGGATCTTGATCTGCCTATCGCCATCCGGCGCTCTCGTCGGAGCACCCCAGCCGTCTCAGTCAAGACCGAGGAGACCACCGAGGCTACCACCATCCCCAAAACGCCCGCCCGAAGGAAGCGCACAGTCCGCTTCTCCGACCCGGGCCCTTCGTCCGGCTTGACGCCCATGATGCGCCGCACAGTGTTCGCGACGCCCAGCCGCAGACGCTCGGGAACCCCGCTGCGCAACTCCAGCCCCGTCGCCGCTCCCGCGTCAACCAGCAGCGGCCCGTCCCGGCGAAGCGAAGCGAACCCGTTCCTGGCGCCTCTCCGTCAGACGATGGACGGCCGCGTCGAGAGGCAGGCGAGGCGCAGCAGCTTCCGTGCCATGCTCAATAAGATGGAGTTGCAGAAGAAGAAGCTGCTGCGCTTTTCGCGGACCGAGATTGAGAAGCTCAAGAGCCAGGTCAAGTCCAAGGACGCCGAGATTTACGAGCTGCAAAATGCGACCATTGTCATCGACACGGAACGCGTCTGGGATCTTGAGAGGCAGGTTGAGCAGCTCCAGTACGAGCTGGATCGTCGCGCACCGACAGAACTGAATGAGGACCGCACATATGACTGGACGCTGGCTGCCAGAGACCCGTTTACGCAAGATGACGACTACTTCGACATGGATCTCGACGGCGAGCACTTTGGCGATGCTACCCAGGCCCAACTTCAAGTCAGCACTCCGTCGAGAGCCCGGTCCTCGTTCCCCACGCCACCGGCGACGAGCCCAATGATTCCCGGCACACCCTCCTCGCACTTTTGCCGCCAGCCGCAGACGCCAAAGTCCCATGCCGCCGTCCAGGCATGCTTCCCAGACCCTGAGCGTGAAGTCCTGGAGGAGCAAGTATGCTCGCTGCAGCTCGAGGTGTCCAAGCTCACCAGTACGTTGGAATCGTACAAAGGCTTCCAGTCGCGCCTCAAAGACCGCCTGGCCGCCGCTGTCCCGGAGGCGATGGACGTCGCCGTCTCGGATGCAAACTTGGAGAGCATCGAGAAGCAGATTCTCCGCCTGCTGGAAGATATGACAGACCGCTCCGCTGCTCTCGAGCAGCTTTCCGCCCGCATCAGCGATATTGGGTTCACAGGAAAAGACGCTGAAGAGATGCTCGCCTCGATAGTCTCGGGGTTCCGCGCAGCCCGGCTCGAGCTCGAATATCTCACCCCGGGCGAAATCACCCTACCCCTCACCTCCCACGGCGCCGAGGTCCTCGACCTGTTGCTAACTAACCTACGCGACCTCGCCCGGCGCGTCAAGGAGGGCGAGGACAGCATCGACGAGTACCACTCCATCGAGCAGTCCCTACGCAAGCAGCTCGACGGCCGCGTGACCGCCATGGACCAGCTCAAGGCGGAGATGAGCAAGGGGGAGACGATCATCTGCGCAGCCGACGTCCGCATCCACGAGCTCGAGGTCGCCAACCAGCGGCTCAAGGGCGCCATCGACACCTACGACCGCGACATGAAGGAGCTGGAGCGGCTCGTCCAGAAGACGGACCAGGAGAAGACGCAGGCCGTCGAGGACCACGACGCCGACAAGGAGCGGGACGTCGAGGCGCTCGAGGCCAAGGACCGGACCATCGCCGAGCTCGAGGACAAGATCAAGGAGGCGGTCCGGCAGGCGGAGCAGCTGCTGCGGGACATGTCGGACGAACAGGACAGGCACACGCGGCACGTGGTGAAACTCAATCAGGCGCACGGGCGGGGCCTGGCGCTGCGCGACGCGCGCGTCATGGAGCTGCGCGTCGAGATTGACCGCGTCAACGAGTCGCTGCGCGAGTCGCACGAGACCATCCGCGCGCTGCGCGTGCAGAACGGCGGCCTGCTCGCGGAGCAGGACAAGGCCAAGAAAGCCATGGACGCCATGCAGGAGGAGTTGCAGCGCGTGCTGCGGATGAGCCAGGCGTTCCTGCGCAGCGCGCCGAAGAGGAAGCGCGGCAACGAGGGCGAGGAGCGGGGTGAGGCTGAGGGTGACGGCGAGGGCGCCGCGCCGGTGGTCCGTCCAGGAAGGCTTCTGAGCGGCGAGCTGGCGCGCCGCGCCTCGCGGACAAAGAGGCCCAGGGACAGTGGCCTTGGCTTTCTGGACGAGGATGAGTGTGAAATGTTTTGAAGATCTCGTATGGTAAACGGCGTCTGGGCGAAACTGGGCTCTCTATTTGAGAATTGCATTGGCATGTACACTATATACCAAGCCTTCGAGTTTGGGTCACTCTCTCATTTATATTTTCTTTGTCACAATCTACATTCAAGTTCAATACTTCTCACTGTCCATCATTAAAACTCGCTTTTTACGGCTATTTCTTGTAGAATCGCCAGTGGGGTTTATAATCCGGCGACAGTGGCAGGTCTAGCAGAAGGGCACGCACCATCTCGACAGCCATGCTGCCGCCACGCAAGATGGCGTCGTGGAACTGCTTCTCCGAGACACTGCCCTCGCGCAGGACCTCGCCGCGCAGGGCGTCAAACTGCAGCGCGCCGAGCAGGTAGCCGGCCTGGTACAGCGGCGGGTAGTCGCCCGCGAACGAGCGGCGGACCTCAGCCTCAGCCGTGGCCCGCTCGTGCCCGACGCCGTCCACCAGCAGGTCGACGCACCGCTGCGGCGACCACTCGCCCAGGTGAAAGCGGAGCGAGAAGACGATGCGCGCGCAGCGGTGCATGCGCCAGAAGAGCGTGCCGACGCGGTCCTCGGGCGACGCGAAGAAGTCGCCGCGGTCCCAGAGCCGCAGCTCCCAGTAGAGCGCCCAGCCCTCGATCCAGAACGGCGTCGAGAACAGGCGGCGGTGGCTGTTGTACCTGCCGTTGTAGTAGTACTGCAGGCGGTGGCCGGGCACCAGCTCGTGGAAGACGGTGGCGCGCGCAAAGTGGCGGTTGTTGCCGCGGAGCACCATCCGCTTCAGGTCGTGGTCCATGTCCGCGAGCGGGTACGCGATCAGGATGCCGGAGCCGCCGAGGAAGAATGGCGCCGTCTTCTGCAGCGCGGCAGGCATCATGTTGGCGCGGTACGTTTCGTCGGCGACGCGCGGCACCGTGACGAGGTCGTGCTTCTTGACGTACGCGGCACCCTCGAGCGCGAGCGCCTTGGCGAGCGCCGGCTGCTCGCCCGGAGCGACGTGCTGCGTCTTGACGTAGTCGAGCGCCCGCTTCCAGTCGTCGCCGAAGCCGAGCTCGCACGAGGCAGTCTTCATCTGCGTCTCACACCACCGGAAGACCTCGTCGGCGAGGTTGAGTAGCTCCTCGGGGCTGTAGGCAATCATCTCGGCCTCGAGTTCGACGAGCAGCGCCTCCCGTCCAATCGGCTGGCCAATGATTTCATCCTCGCCATCAGGCCCAATGCCGACAAGGTGTCGCTCAACAGCAACCTTGTGTTCGCGCAATGCGGCGACGGCTTGCTTGAGTGGCGCTGTAACCCACCAATCAAAGGATGGGTCATAGGAGCCGAAGAACCTTCGTATTTCTTCGAGATGTTTCTGAAGCTCATTAATGATTTTGGAGGCCTTGAATGCGTCCGTCTTTGTAGCGTGCAGCTTCCCATCCACGACACCGTGCTGCGTCTGCTGCGCCAGTTTTGCGACGGCATTAACTTGGTCAGCGAAGTAGGCGTTTTCAAGCGGCTTCACGGCCTCACGCGCTTCGGATAACTCGACGACAATATCTGAGAAGGGGAAGAGGTGCTCGATCCGAGAGATGAGCTCTCGTTCCGCCTGGAGCTGCTGCGTTGTTCGATCAAGGTGGTTGCGGAGCTGCAAAAAGTCGACTTGGTCCTGCTTGGACAGCTGTTGGAAGTCGAGGTCGAAGAGGGAGTCAAGCTCGTCGCTGAGGAATTGACGCAGTCGTGCATGCCTTTGCGGCGAGACGGAGACACGATAATAGTTTTCTAGTTCTTCAATGTCCAGACCGACACGTCGGACGCGGTCGGGCATGGACTCGTGGAAGTCATCACCCGCGTTTGCGACAGGACGAGCTACCCAGACAGCATCCATTTGATGTGATTTGACGGTGGTGTTTTTTGCAGATACGATGTTTGAGTTCCGTTTCCGATGCGATGTACCGTGATGGTGATGTTGACGTTGAAGTGAAATCTAAAGGCGAGGGTACACGACCCGACCCCCGCCCGCTGGCATGTCTGTCGTCAAGAAACAGGCCTCGCCTCACCATCGGTGATGGTACGCGACAGCATTGAAGCGAGGGATCTAGCTGTTTCCTCATAACGTTAGTAGACTATTGTGGGATTTCCGCCCGGTAAAAGCCGACTTGGTGCTGATGGTCAGCCAGGCTAAAAGCCAAAACATGTACGAAGTACCCGTATGGGTCACACCTTTCGGGTTCTGACTGGTCGCTCGGATCCGAGGGCGCAATCGCGAATCTTAATAATCCAGATTGTCAAGGGTTCACACGGCGCTTTCTGGGAAATTCTCCTTAAACATCAACCAGCATTCAGACATTCGCTTTTTCTTTTGTGCAGTGCAGCGCGTAGCTGTGCACGCAATGCGCTCCCCTCTGCTACAGACATCGCTGCGACAGCGCCTGCTAGTGTCGCGACGCAACCCCCGGCCTCAGTTCAGAGCAAACTCGTCCTCATCGCAGCCCAAACCTTCCGCCGGGGCAGCAGATCCTCCCAGTACAAGCACAAACAGCGCAAGCGCTGCCGCTACCGAGGCAGCAGCAAAGAATGCCGCTCCCACCTCGATATGGATGCGCCTGGGACCTCTCACCCAGGTTGCGACGGCGTTTGGCCGGGCCCAGCAGAAGCGGCCATACGTTGTCCAGACCCTGAGCGCCATGGTCATCTTCATAGCCGCCGACGTCAGCGCTCAGAACATTAGCGGCTCGGAGTACGACCCCGTCCGGACGACGCGGACCACCTTTATCGGTGCCCTCTTCGCCATCCCACAGTACCGCTGGTAAGCGCCAAGTCCTTCCCTCGGAAACACCGGAACGGAGAACTAATGCAAGTCCTGTCGGCCAGGTTCCATGTGCTGGCCCGTTACTTCAACTACAAGTCCAAGGCCTTGTCCATCGCCGCCAAGGTCGCCTTCAACCAGGTCACCTTTGCAGTCGCCTTCCCCACGTACTTTTTCGGCATGCAGGCACTGCTGTCCGGCGAGAGCCTGTCGGGCACCCTCAGACGCCTCCAGGACACCGTCCCGCGCAGTTGGCAAAACTCTTGGAAGGTCTGGCCGGCCGCCATGGCCTTTAATCTTTCCTTTGTTCCTCTCGAGTACCGGGCGCTCTTCAGCGGCATGATTGCAATCGGCTGGCAGACATATTTGAGCTGGATGAATCGCCAGGCAGAGCTCAAAGAGAAGGCTGAAGTCCAAGTGGCGGAGGGGGATAAAATACAGGCGTTGCCTATTCAGGCTGCTGTGGCGGTCTAGAGAAACCATAAATCTCTCTTACCTCGTTGTTTTCTGTTCGTACTTTATAACGTCTTTGTGTTGTGTACTTTGCGGCGTTTGGGTTGGCTCAGTAGTATAGAGGTAGAAATACGGACTAGATGAACAACAATTTTACATAGACAGACAATAACGGCAATTACTCTGCCGTATCCTTACATCCAGCACAGCATAAAGATAGCCTAACTTATCAGCGTGTTGCATCTGCAACCAAAGTCAACGGGGGTTTGCATAGGTATCTATCGACTCTCACGGACGTAACCCTTAAAAGCCGGTATCGCCTGACAGCAGTTCTACGAGAAGCCATTTCGAAGATTGCCTATTCTTTTTTTGTTGGTTACCCCTTTTCTTCTTATTATTATTATTTATCCTTTTGCTTTCTTTTTTGTTATTCTTTTTGCCTCAGAAGCATTACTTTAAGATTCGCTGCGGAACAGCGGGTTCTACAACATCCGCCACCATGAGACAGAGGTCCTCGATTCCGAGGTGCAATACTTTGATTGTAGGTACTGGTAGCCAACTCTTAGAACTTAGGTTGATTCCAAAAACATGTTGCCCATCAAGGCCTCCCTCCTTCGCGTCCGTCATCCCCTCCTGGCTGTTTGGCAGCTCTAGTTGTTGGCCTCGACATACGAATACGTATGTAGGTAGACAAGCTTAGCAGCTGCAGCGCCCTCCGCATTCGTGATTTTCAGTGCAGTGCTCGTCGCGAAAGCATTCCCTCCAAGAAGTACTCGGGCCGTCCCAAGTGGTCCAGCACCAGCCACCTTTGCCATTGCAGATCTTGTAGCACCAGCCCGAATTGGAGCAGCCAGCCTTGGGAGTGCTCCAACACCTGCGCTTGTCCAGCGTCTTCTCGACTTCCTCGAGGACGGTGGGATGCTCCCTGCACATGCGGACAGTACCGGGGTCAACGCCCGCGGGGACTTCCATGACGCCGAGGGCACCACAGATTTCCGCCGCCTCTGTCTCGGTGACGTCCGCGCGAGACTGTGCAGTTGCCAGGGAGGCCACCTGGATAATAAGGGCAATTGAAAACTTCATTCTGGGAAAGGTAGGGAGAAGGCAGAACGGGTGGCGTTTGTGTGTTGTGATTGGAGTGCAGCGCAGTGCAAGAGAGAAGAGCGATCAAGGTTGTTGGCAAGAGGGCACTGGGAGTTGAAATCACAGTCCCTTTATAGCCAGGCGACATAAAGCAAAGACCTGCCTTCTACGCCTTCCTTTCGACTACTTCTTGCGCATTTACAATTTACAATTGTTGGTGCGTCGCTGCAGTTGGTTCTTCCATCACGCAGGGTGGAGCGAGGGCCGAGAGCGCTCTCCGATATCACAAGGAATCGCAGATAGCCTAATTCGTACAGATTGCTTCCATCTCACTGGGTTCTTGTCTGAAAGCACTATAAAAATACACTATTGCCGTTTTGGTTAACTTGCAGCCGTAGGGTGGAGGGGTCTCGGCTCAATCTGTCCCTACCTTCTATTGACTCTCCGATTCCTACAGCCAAAATGGGCATAAATGGTCATTACAAGTAAATATTAAAAGCGACCAAGACATATGGTCATGAGGTTACGGCTGAGACTCGCGGGCGGGGAACGTGGCAGTGGCGCTCCTGATGCCAGTATGCGGCCATAGCCAGCCTTCTCTACTGCAAACTGTTTGTCTTTGGGAAATTTCGATGCATGAAGCAACTCGCCTAAGATGACATAAAATTCATCATTATAAGTGAAGGGATGTACATGGTTGGTCAGAGCCTCGCCGAGCCTGCCTAGTGATGCTGTAGCACCGTCGAAGGCATTCATGAGCCCCGAAAGTGACGTCGAGGGCACTCAAGAGACCCGAAAGTGGCGTCGAAGGTCTGTGGCAAGGAGATTTCCGCATGCAAACTTTCCCATAGAGAACAGCCTACGAGAGCAGCCCCTAGAAGTCCGGCATTTCACGCCCACGGGCCATCGTCGAAAGCCCTGCGCAGGTAGTTGGTAAAGGCCCCTTTCACCAAAAATTGCAATTCCTGTGGCTAATTCGGGCGCCTGCCAGAGATTTTGCTGGCTAGAAGTTTCCGCGCCCACTTGTGAGCGACGGTTATAACTACTGAGTTTAGAACCCAAGACAAGTACAGTTTTGGGCAGAGATCAGACTGAGATTGCAACCCAATTGCGCGTCAACTCACTCAATTTCTTCAGCCGGTAAGTGGCGGGCGTGGATGTGAGGGTTGATCGTGATTCAAAGTAACCTGAGAGCTTGCGCCGAGTGCAAGGTTATAAGTCCGCTTTCCTGTACATGAGATTTGTTTCTGACGGCATCGCATGCAATTGAGTCCGACCGACGAAATCTTGCTCGAGATTTCGATTTGCCGCGTTGATGCGGTACGGTGCATTATTATAGAACCTGTTACCCGTGACCAAGGCTGGTCAAGTCACGATGGGTTGAGAGGATGCCATGTCCATCAATCCAGAGTATCACGCAGTCGATCCCACCTCCATAGCAAGTGCAACTTGACAGTAGCAGGTGTGTAAAGAGACATACATTTTTCCTGCTTCGCTAGTAGAGTCTAGAAGTCCAGAGATTGAGATTCACATGGTCAACTGTCTTAGTTATTGTACAGGTGATGAATCACCCGCTCCTTGGCATGCGCCCACCACAAAGAGGGGACCCCGCCACGTAGTTGGCTGCACCTGCAAGCACTGCCTCTTCGCGCTTGACTTGCCCATGGCCTGTTTGCACCTTATATCCATAACAGCTCTCATCATCTCGATTTTGTTTACTTTCAACTCTATCCCGCGCTTCAAGCCACCCGTCAAGATGAGCTATCGATCCGTAGCCTACTACGTCAACTGGTATGGTTGTCAAGCACTTCGCGCCGCGAGCCACCAACTAGCTGGCTGACGATGCTAACGACTTGGACGTTGCAGGGCCATTTATGCGCGCAAACATTTGCCGCAGGATCTCCCCGTTGAGAACCTAACCCACGTCTTGTATTCGTTTGCGAATGTACGCAGCGAAAGCGGCGAGGTGTAAGTCTCGCTCCTCGAAACCCGTGGAACCCCGCGCTTGCTGACCACTCATGCTGGATCAACAGCTTCATGACCGATAACTGGGCGGACACCGACATCCACTGGGAGGGAGACTCATGGAACGACCCCGGCACAAACATGTACGGCTGCCTCAAGCAGCTCAATATTTTGAAAAAACGCAACCGGAACTTCAAGGTGCTGCTCTCCATTGGTGGCTGGACCTACAGCTCCAACTTCCCCGCTCCAGCTAGCACACCCCAGGGCCGTGACACCTTCGCCAAATCTTGTGTCGAGCTGGTCAAGAACCTTGGTTTTGATGGCATCGATATTGATTGGGAGTATCCCAAGACTGAAGAGGAGGCTGGCCACTTTGTTGAGCTCCTCGCTGAGGTCCGCAAGCAACTCGACGAATACTCTGCAAGAGCTGCCAACAACTACCACTTTGAGCTATCAGTGGCTTGCCCAGCCGGGCCCGACAACTTCCAGAAGCTCAAGATCTCAGAAATGGATGCATACCTGGACTTTTGGAACTTGATGGCCTACGATTACGCCGGGTCTTGGGACAAGATCAGTGGACACCAGGCAAACCTCTATCCCAGCAAAGACACTCCCGCCTGCACGCCATTCTCTACCGTCGCAGCCGTTGATCATTACACGCAGAATGGTGTTGCGCCGGATAAGCTGGTCCTTGGCATGCCGCTGTATGGTCGTGCATTTGAAAATTGTGACGGCATGGGCCAGCCTTTCCAAGGCGTCGGGCAGGGCACCTGGGAGCAAGGTGTATACGACTACAAGAAGCTCCCTCTGGAGGGTGCAGAGGAGCACAAGGATGATGATGCCTGTGCCACTTACTGCTACAATTCAGCATCTCGTACTCTTGTCACATACGACACTCCGGAGCTGGCAAGGATCAAAGCCGGGTTCATCAAAGAACGCGGACTGGGTGGAGGTATGTGGTGGGAAAGCAGTGCCGACAAGGCAGGTGCCGACTCCCTTATACAAACCGTCACTGGCGAGTTTGGTGGCCCTGGAGCACTCAAGCAACAGGAAAACTGCATTCGTTATCCTGAAACCAAATATGATAACTTGAGGGAGGGATTGCCGAACAACTGAGCGCCCTTGCAGGCAGGGTGGCTGTGAAGTCGCGCTCATTTTCCGTGGCCGCTCTACCACAACACCTACCCTTTTCCTCACAGCTGAACTAAAGGCATTGAGATTGATTTCCGGGAAATCGCAAATAGAATCATATTTTATCAGGCAGTGCAACCATAGATAATAATCCGGGTTTATCAAACATGGAGAACCTAAAATTGATCTAAGAGCTCAAGTCGGCCAGTTTTCAGGATGCGATATGGCTAACTGGCTATCTCCACGTGATTCTACCCCACTTTCCTGCCTCTGCCAAACGCCATTGGGTCGAGGCTTGAGCTCCAGAAATTTTTCCTCTGAAGAAAAAGTGCAAAAAAATCGTCCAGCGAATTTCCGCCTACACCAAAACTATAGTCAGGACGTCTGTTTTTCGACTCAATTGCGGCGCAACCAGCGACGGATCAAGATGTCGCACATTGATTACGCTTTATACGAGTCCCCGGTGGGCTATGCCCTCTTTCAGGTGGTGCATCAGGCGGATGCTGTGGGTTTGAAGTTGAAGGAAACCCAGGCCGCTGTCAACGATCTGTCCAAGTTTGGCAAAATGGTGAAATTGGTCAACTTCAGCCCTTTCCGGTAATGCTACTCTTACGCGAGCCCGTGTTCGCCATTTTCTAGCCGCTGAGGCGATTTTACTAACATGTTCCCTCGTAAAGTGGTCATGTCGAAGCTCTCGAGAACATCAATCTCGTCTCCGAGGGTATCTGCTCCGAGTACCTCAAGTCCGTCTTGGAACTCAACCTCCCCAAGAGCGGCAAGAAGAGCAAGGTTACTCTCGGAGTTTCTGAGAAGAACCTTGCCGGTGCCATCAAGGGCGAATTCTCCGGCCTCGAGTGCGAGACCGCCGATACCTCTGAGGTCGTCTCCGACATTATTCGCGGCATCCGCCAGCATGCCGACAAGCTCCTGAGCGATCTCAAGACTGGCGATATCGAGAAGGCCGGTCTTGGTATGGGTCACGCCTACTCCCGCGCCAAGGTTAAATTCAGCGTCACCAAGAATGACAACCACATCATCCAGGCCAGCGCCACCCTGGACTTCCAGGACAAGGGCGTGAACCAGTTCTTCATGCGCGTCCGCGAATGGTACGGCTGGCACTTCCCCGAGCTGATCAAGATTGTCTCGGACAACTTGACCTATGCCAAGCTCGTTCTCGCCATCGGCGACAAGAAGACCCTGACCGACGACAAGCGCGACGACCTGGCTCAGTACCTCGAGGAGGACGGCGAGAAGGCCCAGGCTATCATTGACGCCGCCAAGGTCTCCATGGGCTTCGACGTCCTGCCCGCTGATCTCGAAATCATCACCCAGCTCGCCACCGCCGTCGTCAAGCAGGCCAACAACCGCAAGACCACCGGTGGCTACCTCGAGAGCAAGATGAACCAGGTCGCCCCCAACTTGCAGGCTCTCATCGGCACCCCCGTCGCCGCCCGTCTCATCTCGCACGCTGGTTCGCTCACCAACCTGTCCAAATACCCCGCCTCCACCCTGCAAATCCTCGGCGCCGAGAAGGCCCTCTTCCGTGCACTCAAGAGCAAGAGCAACACGCCCAAGTACGGCCTGATCTACCACAGCAGCTTCATCGGCAAGGCCGGTGCGCGCAACAAGGGCCGCATCTCCAGATACCTTGCCAACAAGTGCAGTATCGCCACCCGCATCGACAGTTTCTCCGAGAACCCCTCCACCCGCTGGGGTGAGGCTCTGCGCCAGCAAGTTGAGGATCGCCTGGAGTTTTACGCCTCTGGCAAGCGTCCGACCAAGAACGCTGATGTCATGGTAAGGCTTTTTTCCTCCCCTCCCCTTGGTTATCCTATGAGATTTGTATTTTGCTAACTGGTTGAATTAGAAATCGGTCATGGCTTCCCTCGGCGATGCTGACGAAGACGAGGAGATGGTCGATGCTGATCCCACCCCCAAGAAGGCGAAGAAGGATAAGAAGGATAAGAAAGAGAAGAAGGACAAGAAGGAGAGGAAGCGTAAGCATGAGGAGGAGGAAGCCGCCCCCAAGGATGACGGCGAGAAGAAGAAGAAGAAGAAGAAGAGAAAGTCCGAGGCTGCCGATGATGAGTAAGTCTTGACCTCGAACGGATGAGCATTCTCGTTTGGCGTGGATTCACGGTCCGCGCGAGACGGCGCATGATTGTATATGACGAGTGGCAAGGAAGGCCGATGTGAACGTTCATCCGTTCACTTCCGCGTCTTATTGTTCATTGTCAAGGACTCGATACGCTTCACTAGATGGCTTATTTGCGTTGCTTGGTTGGGAGTTTTCGGTCTTTTTTGTCTGTTCTACTTTATTCTTCTCTGTTTGATCTATCTCGGCATACGGCGTTTAGGGCATAATGGCTGTCTTTTTTTGTATCCCATTCTACATTTCGAAAATTCTTGCTGTGGGTGGTGTACGAGCCATTGCTGGTTCGCACCAGAACATGAACGGTTGTAATACTACAACTTGAATAGATCCAAGGCTTCCAAAGGATGAAAAATGCTGTTCTTGAAAATCATGCGACTGTCAATTGAGCTGCACTGCTGACGCCGACTTGGCGTCAGGGTGGTGGCGGAGAACGGCGATTGTCCACCAGCTAGAAATTTTTTACAGACAGGGCGCCTAGGGGCCGCAACGCATGGCAGGACCACGACAAACACTTTGGCAGATGAGAACGCAATCAATCACAGTGGAACAGCGGCCATTGGGGTCATCAAGTATTTTGTTCTTTTTTTGTCTTAAATCAAGCATTTCATTACCCTGAGCCGGATGTACTATATGCTACATCAACGCCATTTTAACTCTCTGGTCGTCCCAAGCGCCGGAAAGAGGACGCCTCAAAGTCATTCCATAAACATTTCCATGGCAAAGGTGTAATTTATTGCTTGTCAAAGACGTAGGTAAGGTGGCAACGGCCACAGTACTGGCGGTCGGCCATGGCGGCCATGAAGACACCGGCACCGCACTGTGAGTAAATAGTCAGTCAATCATGTTCAGGAAGCGGAGGGAAGATGAAAACATACAGTGTCAGCAGGGCACTCGCGGCGGAGGCGCTCGATGCCACCGTCCTTGTCGACCTTGTAGTACTTGAGGACGGCCAACTTGGTCTTCTTGCGCTTGTGCTTGATCTTCTTGGGGGTGGTGTAGACCTTCTTCTTGCGCTTCTTGCCACCACCACGCAGGCGGAGAACAAGGTGGAGGGTAGACTCCTTCTGGATGTTGTAGTCGCTCAGGGTGCGGCCATCCTCGAGCTGCTTGCCAGCAAAGATCAGGCGCTGCTGGTCGGGGGGGATGCCCTCCTTGTCCTGGATCTTCGACTTGACGTTGTCGATGGTGTCGGAAGACTCCACCTCAAGGGTGATAGTCTTGCCCGTGAGGGTCTTGACGAAAATCTGCATCTTGCCTGCATCATGAAATGTTAGACGTCAATGTCTTTTGAGACTTTGGCAGGAAAAGCTGCGAATCGCTACTGGTCTTTCCCTAGTCATCGGCCGGCGCAGGGCTGGGTACGCCAGAGAAGCAAAGCATCCTTTGTTGATGTTGAAACAATGAAGCACGAGTCGATTGTGTACAGTCGGTCTCGACCTTTGTCTTCTCTGGTGCGTATGCGTGCGCGCGCGCGGCTCGAGAGGACCGACTCAGTTCGATCGAGACAAGAACGCTTTCGTTTCGTTGTCGAGAAGCGAGACTCATGATGGTAACATCTCTGTTCCCATCACGAAGGGAAGACGGTCGCGATGCAGCATCTTTCAGACATACCTCGACAAAATGTTCTTTGCCGTCCTAAGCAATCCTCAGATGTGTTTGCGGGTTGGAGAGAAAAGAAAACCTTCTGGCTGGTGGCGGCCCGCAAATGCAATATTCGTCAGGGCCCGCCAGCTTTCTCGGGTGGAGTCACCTGACCTAGGGTTCGCTTTGAATCGCCCTTGCCCTTCTTGACTGGGCCGTCAACCCAGAGAGAGTGGGTCTTCGCCTCAAAGCCCTCCCTTCGCTTGGGCTTGTGTGCAGCTTTTTGTGGGCTGCCATTTTGGTGCTTAGCGTGGGCTTGTGCTGGGTGTACTAGCGACTTATTAAATTCCACCAAGGCAGTTTCTTGAATTTCTTGCTTCCTCAATCACAACGGCATTATAACAATTCAGTATGTTGACCCCGCCGCCGCGCAACCTCGCAAGCATTGCATCGCAAGACTTTTCCTAACGATCCGTTACTAGATACCGTCAAGATGGTCAAGAAGAGAAAGAATAAGTACGAATCTCCTCCATCCCCAAGCGCCAACACCTCGCGACGTTTCGAGCTCGACACATCGAACTCCACGACGCCTAGCCACCTCCCGGCCTTTTTTGCTACCTAAAGCACAGTTATGCTAACAATCATCCAGCGGCCGCAACAAGAAGGGCCGCGGCCACGTCAACCCTATCCGCTGCAGCAACTGCGCTCGCTGCACGCCCAAGGACAAGGCCATCAAGCGCTTCACCATCCGCAACATGGTTGAGTCTGCTGCTATTCGTACGTGTTTTCCTCCCTTCGCGCGCTCGCCCAACCGCATCGAGCGTTTTCCCGTGCGCGCTCGAATTTCGAGCTCGACATCGCTAACAACAATTCCGCAGGTGACATCTCCGATGCCTCGGTCTTCGCCGAGTACACCGTGCCCAAGATGTACCTTAAGCTGCAGTACTGCGTCTCTTGCGCCATCCACGGCAAGATTGTCCGGTACGTTGTCTTCTCCAGGAGTGTGACAACTGCGCCCAGCCCTGTTTCCCCAGGCGGGCGTATGTGCTTCAGATGAACCTTGGCGCATTTGAAAACGCTCCTCAGAGTATCGCCCTTGACATAAAAGAACTATGCTAACAGAAATACCCTGCAGTGTCCGATCCCGCGTCGGCCGCCGCAACCGTGCCCCCCCTCCTCGTGTCCGCTTCAACCGCGACGCCAAGAAGGTCACCCCTTCTGCCCCTAAGGCTTAAGCCAAGGCGGAATGACCAAGAAAAATGAAGCAAGAAACTTTTTTTGATGTGATCTTTGGCTGGGCAAAAAAGGAGTCTGGGCTGTGTTTATACGACGTCTGCATATGATTAGATGAACTAGGATTGTGAAGCTGTAAAGTAGTTTTCACGTTCAAAATTCCAGGACCTTTTCAGGCATTGATCATTGATGAGCAAACATGGGAAAAACTTGTGTCTTTTATGCTAGTGACGTGTTCTACCCTCTCATGACATTGTCTTTTGTTCACGTCATGCAGTAAGACTAGCCAATCTGAGGAGCATACAAACCAAGCAGGCACAACGTCCAAAAACACTTCAATCTCGTCTACAGCACCCCCCGCCGCCGAGGCGAGTCCCAGCTTCCGCACTTATTCGAGCGCGTTACCCGGGAGCAAGGCAACGTCCTTACGAGAGCACTCGTACGGGTCAAAGCAGACGCCCGTACCGCAGCAGCTTCCAATGAGACACTGGTAGTTCGCGTAACCCGCGGCGGCGCAGTCCGAGTCCGCCCGGCACTGGCTGACGAAGTTGTCGCACTGCCTGTATCTGAACGCCACCGACGCCTGTGTCACCGTCCTTCCGCAGACGCACCCCGTGCCCGTCACGAACGCCTCGGGAGGGTACGCGCACTTCCCCGTGACCTCGTCCGTCACCGAGACGGCACCGTTCGGGCAGCAGGCCACCTTTGCAGGATCCTGGACCGCCGCGGCCAGCGGGACGGTCCCCCCGACGGGAACGTCGACTAGGCGGGCCAGCGCCGGGATGGTGCTGCTGCCGGCGCGCAGGCTCAGGACGGCCGGGTCGCGCGCGACGGAGCCGTTGTTGACGCTCGCGCAGGCGTCGACGGCAAAGTTGCGGAAGCGGTCGTACGTGTCGAGGTACTGCTTGAGGTTGCTGCCGCGGCCCGGGTTGAGGCCGCGCATCCGGGAGAGCGTGCTCTTGAGCGTCTCCCACAGCTGCAGGTAGTACATGACGGTGTCGTCGGCCTTGTAGAAGCGGTCCGTGTCGTTGCCGCCGATTTGCCCGTGGAGCTCCGCCTGCAGGGCCGCCGTGCTGAGCATGTCCTGCGCCGACGCCTCGAGCAGCGTCACGACGCTGGAGACGTCGGCGCAGCCGCCGTTGAACGGGTCGTAGAGCAGAAAGTTCACGGCGTGCCGCTTGAGCGACGCGACGCACCGCTGCGCGGCGGCGGGACCGACGCCGACGCCCTCCCACGGGCAGTCAAACGTCCACGTGCCATTGGAGTGGTCGCCGGGCACGGGGATGCACGGCTCGTCGTCGACGCGCAGGTCGGGATACCGCCGGACGCGAGGGCTGACCGGGTCACCGCACTGGTCGCTCAGGAGAAGCGTTTGCATAAACGATGGCTCATCGTCGCCGGCCAGCAGTGCTTTGGCACCCTTGGAACACACGTCGAGCGACTGCCGAGCGAGCTGGCCGTACATGTCGTCAACGAAGAACGACACGGTCAGGTTGCAGTGCCCAGTGACGAAGTGGATGCCCGTGGCGTCCAGCCGCATCGAGTTGTTGCGCGAGTCGAATATGGTCACGGCCGTCGGATCCGAGACGTCGATGACGTGCGAGCCCTTGGCGGCGTCCCGGACGGACAGGGAGAGCGGCGTGACGCTGTCGCTGTCAAAGTTGACGAAGCCCACGTACGGAAATGCGAGTGTGAGGTTCTTCCGGCGGATATCTTCGTTTTCCAGGTTCGCGACGTGCGCGGCGCCGTCCTTGGCCACGGGCCGGGAGTGGCACGCCTGCGAAGACGGGGCTGGTCCGCGCAGGACACCGGTGAGGTTGGCGGCGGGGAAAGGCGTTGGCGTTGCTGCTGGCGTCGTGGTATTCACCACCGGGATCGTGTTGGGCAGCGGGAAAGATGTAAAATCCGTAGGGGGGGTAATCACAGGAACTGGCATGGGCGTGATCACCGTAGAGGTATTTGAATACAGAGTAGTTGTGGCGTTCACAGTGAGAGTGGTAGTAGATGTGACTCCCGTGGAAGAGGACGTCGCGTTCGAGACCTGAGTAGAAGTGGCGTTACCAGGGATAACATTGATTGAAGAGACTTCCGTCTCAGGAGCTGCTGAGGATGTAGCATTTGAGGCCTGAGTGGGGGTGGTTGTGTTTCCAGGTAAGACTGTCACCGAAGTAACTGGTGATAGGGCGGTAGTTTCATTGTTCCACGTCGAGGTCGATACTGACGACGTAGCATTTGACGCCGGAGTGGAAGTGGTATTTCCAGGCAAAACTGTCACAGAAGTAACTGGTGCTGGGGTAATAGTAGTCTCATTGTCCCACGTTGAGGTCGAGCCTGTCAGCGAAGTCGTGTTGGTGGTTGGCCAAGGCGGTCGTACAGTTGGAGCATGGGTCGATGAGCTGTTCGTTTCCGTAGACGACGTTGTCTCCCAGGAGTGGGTGCGAGTACGAGACCTGCTTGTCATCATGTTAGTTCTGACATTGTGCCTCCGCTCAAGGCATACGTACGTGTGAGTGTAGGAAGGAAGTGATCTCTCTGATGAGCTGGTAGCATCAGGCTGACATGGTTCATAAACACACGAGCACTGAGTTCAATTGTCAGTCGTGGGTTTATGTCTCCTGGAGATTTGTGACTTTTTTTCACTTACGTAGGAGGACAGCTTGTCAGAGCCGTAGGTGGCATACTCAGCCGGTGTACTGATGGAGGTGTAACAGTCAGGGTCGAGGAGCATGCTGCAAAACTCCTCTCCGTCCCATTGCAAAGACTTGAAGAGGTCATCGCGTGTACATCCGTCATAATCCTGCACAGCCGGAAGCGCTGCAGCACCGAGGGCAGCGAGCAGAAGAAGAATTGGGCGCCACATGATGATGGTTAAATCGCTAGAAAACGCTGGGCAGTCCGTTTAAACTCTCTCGTCTCGACCATCGAATTCCAGGGAGCAGTCGCCTGGAATTTATAATTTGCAAGCCTGCCCGCTCCCTCACCAGCTGAAAAGATTGTTTGCATTCGGCGCAAGGCAATCTCGCCAGAGACTCGGCTTGGGCTATCTCGCGAATGCGGTAGCACATGGCACAGCCGAGGCCAAGCAAGGTCCTGTCAAACTATAGAGGCCCCAGGGGCAGGACGCGGAAGAGGTCCTGTCAGCTCGAGTGCACAGCATATGTCTCTGTCGGAAACGGTAGTTCGAGGAACAGGAGCGTGCCTTGTCCTACACGGGTCTCGCGTTGACAATATCACAGTGTCGCAAAGGAAGTGACAGATTTCCATGTGAATATAGCAATTAGCAAGCAAGCAAGCAAATCGTACCCAGCAAACTTCTCCCGCACAGGAACCATGAATATTTCCAAATCCCACGCACGTAATCTATATGTGCAACGTTCTATACCAAAAAAAAAGATGCGACACGAAAAAGAAGACGTCGTTCCTCAGCGCTCTCTTCTCATTAAAAAATTAAAAAGCAGGTAGTCGTAAACATCAACATATGTACGAAATTATAGAAAGAAGCGACTCTAGACAACGCCAACGAGTTTCATCATCTCATCATCTCAGCGCCAGTGTTGTCGTATGGCCACCCATAGTCGGCCGTGGTGGTGGCTGTGGGCGGGCAATGTAGTCTTGGTTCTCAATTGTCACACTCTTTGTCATATGGTTGACCTTGTACACGCCGACTAGACGAGCAGCAAGCTCAAACATGTTGTTTCGGAGTGAAATGACAATGAACTGGGCGTTCTTAGTCCGCTCCTTAATATAGTTTGCAACGATGGAAACCTGTAAAGGGTCAGTGATCAAGAAGAAGATGATAAAGAAGGAAATATTTGGCGAGCACAATTGAGTCTCTGTCAGATGGAGACGGTCAGAGTAGGTAAACTTACGTTTCGGAAATCCAAAGCAGCATCGATCTCGTCCATGACGTACAATGGCGTGGGCTTGTAGTGATGCAAAGCAAACACAAGCGCAAGACTGCTCAGCGTCTTCTCGCCACCAGAGAGATTGCCAATGTTCTTCCAGCTCTTCTTCGGAGGCATGACACTGAACAGAATGCCTTCACTGAAGGGATCCAGGCTGTCGACCAGTTCCAGCTCAGCGTTACCGCCCATGGTAATCATCTGATACATCTCCTTGAGGCGTAGGGATATAGCACTGAAGCCGGCCATAAAGCCCTCCAGTCGCATGCGTCTCAAGTCATCGCAGCGCTTCTTGGCAGAGTCACGCTGATCAAGAGCTGTCTGAAGATCGGAAGACCTTGCGGCATGTTCCTCGACACGGCGACGGTATTCGGCAAGAACGCCCAGGTCAACAGCCACGTTTTGCGTCTTCTCCTCTAAAACGGCAATTTCCCCTTTCAGGGTTTCCTTGCTCATCTCAGCCAGCTCATCAGGGGTGTATTCAGGTAGCTCCTGTGGTTGGTGTATTGAGCGCTCAGGCTGCTCGGCTTGGGAGGCCTCTGTGCCCTCCATGCTAACGTCGCCCTTGTCTGCGTGCTCATCCTCCTCCATGTCAACGTCTTCGGAGTCGACCTGAGACTTGTCTGCGCGGGTCTCGGGAGCAGGTGTTGCACGCTTCGGCGCGGACTCGCTAATAAGGTCGTTGATGTCCTGGAGAACCAACTTGGAGAGCTTGTCGTCCCAGTAACGATGACGCTTCTGGTTCTCTGCAAGAGCCTTTTGGTTCTCTTCTAGCTTATTTCGCATCTCAATCTCAATAGCACGGGTTTCGTTGAGCTCAGAGGTTTTGACATCCAGCTCCTCCTTCAATTCTTGAAGCTGAGCTTTCTTGGTAGCGAGCGCCGCCCGTGCTTCGTCAACACTTTGGCGAAGCTCATCCGCCCTGCTGCCCTGGTTTCCGATGTCGTCTTCGAGTTTCTCAAGTTCTGCAACAGCAGCATCACGTTCCTTGGCGGCCTTGGCCACGTCCTTTTCCAGCTTAACTTTTTGCTTCTCGGCCTTGGCCTTGCGAACCTCGGCGAAGGAAAGTTCTTCGTTGTGTGACGCGATTTGATCCTTCAAACCATCCACAAGCGCACGCTGCATGCGAAGTTTCTCGCCACCGACTTCCATGATTTTGTCCTGTAGCGCCTTGATCTCCTCCTCGACGCTGGAAGTCTCACCACGTAGCTTCTCGATTCCAGAGTTGAGTGAGACAATCTCCTTTTGCAGCTCCTTGATTCTTGAAGCATCCGTGGCAGATGGCCGATACTCTTGGCTGACGGACTTGGTGTGGCGCTGCAGATCAGCGATGTTGCGAGTCGCGCTCTCCACTTCGAGTCCAATCTTCTGGATCTTGGTCTCGAGGGCGGGGATTTCTTCGTTGTTTTCCCTCATGCGATTCTCGCACTCTCGCTGGTACTCTTGAAACTCCTGAAACTTCGCTTCCCATGTATCTCTGTCTTGCTCCAGCTTGGAAACCTGCTCCTTGGTGACGTCGCTACTGAGCTTGGATGACATGAGCCCCTTCTTGACAGTTGTGCCACCACCGGACATGGTACCAGACTTGTCAATGAGCTCGCCGGCAAGAGTAACAACTCGCCAGCGCTTGGCACCATAAGCAATTCGGTTGGCCTGGGCCAGGTCAACTGCTACAAGTGTGTCTTGCATAGCATGGTAAAATGCAGGTCGGAAGCGGTCATGCTGGGGCTTGACCAGATCAAACAGACGGGGAGCGTTCTCGGGGGTCTGAATTGGAGCAAGGCTTCGGTCCTTGAGCTTGTCCAGGCAGATAAAGTTACCGCGGCCGAGATTGTTCTTGCGAAGATATTCGATGCATTGTTGGCCAGATTCAACAGTTTCAGTGACGAAGTTGTCCAACGATCCGCAAGCGGTAGAGACAGCGACATCGTACTTTTCATCAATCGTACCAAGATTGCCGAGGCGGCCATGGAATCCTTCTATACGCCCGGATTCGCGCATGCGCATGAGAGCGGCAAGAACATTGCCTCGCGTCTGCGTGCTTGCTAGGCTTGAGCGGGCCTCGTCAGCTTTCTGTCTGGTGCTGGAGATCTTGGCTCGCATCTTGGGCTCCTGCTCGGAGAGGATGTCGAGTTCTGACTGCATCTTCTCGGCCTCTTTGGCCAGCTTTGACTTTTGAGCTTCACATGCCTTGAGCTCCTTGGCCTTCTCCGCCTTTGTAGTTTCAATCGTCTTGATCTTGGTTTCAAGCTCCTGCAGAGCAACGGCACCCGCACTCTCTTTGTCTTGGAGAATGGTCAGCTCACTCTCGGCAACGGCAATGGCTGACTGCTTTTCGTTGATCTTCTCTAACCAAGGCTCCAAAGTCTTTTGCTTGACGGCGATTTGGTCCGAGAACTTTTGCGTTTTGCCCTGAAGGCCCTCTCGAATCTTGATGAGCTGGGCCTCCTCGGCCTCAACTTGGCTCTCGAGATCTGCGACGTCCTTGGTGCTTTTCTCCATGGTCTTTGAGCTCTCAGCTACAGTTTCGTCGGCTGTCGTAGAATCCTTCTCGGCGTTGGATATGGTGCGCTCGAATTTCTTGCGTTTGTCGTCGAGGAACTTTTTCTTCTCGTCAAACTTGACGCGTTCCTGGTCAAACTGTGCCATCTCTTTTGCAAGAGCCTGGGTTTCCTTGTCTTGCGCATCAAGCTCCTTGCTTACTTGCTTATACTGCTTTTGGAGATCCTTGATCAGGGTCTCGCTGCCTTGATGCTTTTCGAGTTCCTCATCGAGCTGCGCCTGCATCTGGTTGATGGCTTCTTCCGTAACGCTGATATTTTCGTTGCATTCGTGTAGAAAGAGTTGGTACAGGGCCGACTGCTTGATTGTGAGTTCATTTTCATCGCGGATAAAGGCAAGGGCAATATCTTTCTTGCCCTCCAGACTACTCTTCTCTTTTTCGACGTGTTGCACACGACTACTCTTCTCAACACAGATGTCGTTGAGAGACTCAACCTCGGCAGCTGATTCTTCGATGGGCGTCTTATACTTGGAGGTGCCAATGATGTCCTCGAGATATTCTAGAAGTCCATCTTCGTGTTCGTTTGCGGCTTTGGACTTCATCTGAGCAATGGACTCGACCTCACCCTGGAGGATCAGGAAACGCTTGTGGTCCAAGTCTACACCTTTGTCCTTCAAGAGGGTAGTGACAGTTGTAAAGTCGGAACCCTTGTTATTGATATAGTATTTGCTCGAATTGTTTCGGAACGCCTTGCGGGAGATGATTAATTCCGAGTCGGGAATAACAACATGGCCACCGCCAGGCTAGGCTACTGTTAGTATTGACGAGGTGACTGGACGCAGCGACAGCACGACGAACCTGATCCATGACTTCTTGGAAATGAACGGCGACCTCGCAGTGGTCGAGGTCAGGGTATTGCGCCGAATTGTGAATAAGAGCCGAGATCTTGCCTTGTCGCATCTTGCTGGCACGGAAACCAAATACGAAGAGGAGCGAATCAATAACGTTAGACTTTCCGGATCCATTGGGCCCGACTACGGACGAGAAGGTAGCGTGGAAAGGTCCGACTTCTTGCCGTCCGGCGTAACTCTTGAAGTTTGTGAGGATCAGGTAGGTAATAACGATACGCGATTTCGGTGTGGTATCCTCGACGAACGGGATCGCCATGGTGCGCTGCTTCACGACGATATCGAGCGGCTTATCAAGAAACGTATCCATGGACCTCATTGGCTTCACCGTCTGGGTAACATCCGGGAGGCGTGTGTTCATGCCGGTGATATCGCCAAGCGGTGATGCGCCAGGCCCACCGAGATGCGGCGACAAAGGCTTGTTGCTGGGTGTTTGAGGCGCGAGCTTGGGATTCTCAGCGAGGGATGTTCGCGGTGTGCCACTTCGGCGGGGACGCTTTGGTGACTCCAAGGGCGACGGTTCGGTCTTGACCTCGGTCTTGACCAGGTGGCCAGCGGGGTCGCGAGCAGCGTTTTCATCTCGGTCAGGTTCTGCTGCAGGCGCGAGTGTCTCCTCAGGTTCCGGTGTCGGTTCAGGCTCTACCTTTGATCTCTGCACGGGAGCTGATGTTTTGCGCGCGGCCCTCGTCGCTTTAGGCTTGGCGGTTGTGGTAGAGGCAATCGAGGCGCGACCGCTTCGCGTTCGGCGCTGCGGCAGCTGGGAGATGTCTTGGTCGAGCTCATCGGGCTCGTCGTCTAGGCTCTTGCTGATGCCCGACAGTTCATCGTCAGAGTCAACAACGGCCTTGCGGCGGCTGGCAACGCGTCTTGACGACCGTGTTGGCGCGGCCGACATTGTGGATGTGAATATGGCTGTCGCAGCCGTGCGCGTCTGTCAATCGAAAATATGAAGTATCGGACAGAAATTCAACAGAAATACAGCGTTTCCAATTGTAGGTCGCTTCTTCTTGAGACAATCTGTGGTGTTAGTGATGAAATCAGGCGTGATCACCCCGCGCGTGTTGTGCCCTGTGCCAACCAAGGCTAAGTGGCTTTTGTTTGGAATTGCCCAAAATGGGGATTTGTAAACAATGGCCCCAGCGCGGCCACTCACAAGGCGCTGATGTGAGAGAGGTGGGCCAAGCAGTTTGAGGGTCGTAGGGCTCTGGGTATTTCCTTCTCAACAATTGAATACAAGCCCTTCTATTGATTCATATTTCATTCTCTATTTGTTTTGTCTTTCGTTCGTAAACGTGGCCAAGCCGCTGCATTATAAGTTCTGGTTCAACAGCGTCTAGCAGTTAGAGAACAGGATAGCAAATGCAAAAGCCCTTCTACCAGAATTACGAATAAGCCACCTCCCTCAAATATGTACATTCATGCTATAAATTTTGGCTGCATCGTAGCTACGAAAAAAAAATTCCAATTTAAATGAATATTTCCATTCATTTCTTGGGCGTTTCCCGCCTCATCACAGTAGCTGTTTAGTGGGGCATCGCGGTCACTAGTTACACCCCGATTTTGTTCATACAAAACCTCGAGCTTGCGACAAGCTCCCCTCGACCAAACCAGCACCCAAGCATTTTGACTTCGCTTGCTTATCCTTTCTACACATATTCATCACTATGCTAGACTACACGCAGTATCAGCAGGTCTTCCCTGCCGACCTACACATGCCGTACGACCGCAAACTGCAGCAAGATATTGAAGCCCATCGCAAAACATTGTCCGGCGTCCTCTTCATCGATCGCGTCCTGCGCACTCTTGGCATCGCCAAAGGTTTGTGCCATCTTGTTCGTTCTCCACGTCCAGAAGACTGATCCGCCGTCCCCAGCCAAGGCGTACCCTCCCAAGACCGATAGCGCGCTCAAACAGCTTCACCAGAGCGTCTGCGATGCCTCCATGCCGACTCACCACAAGCTCTCGCTCTTTTACTACATACTTCTTGATTTCGACGGCCCCAACGGCCCCCCGTATATCTCGCAAGACTTCATCACCGCCTCTGGGCTTCCCGCCAACTACCAGATCTTCATGCAAGGCTTATGGTACATGGACCAACTAGAATTCGCGGTAGGTCGTCCCCTTCCTCTACTCTCCGCTACTGAGCTAACATGCGTTTCTCCCAGAGCGCGCTCGAATATGTCTCGCATCCGTCGCTCGGTCCCGACTTTTCTGACGAAATCATCATCGCCCTTGTCCAGCATGCCCCCAACGACGACTACACTCTCCCGCTCGCGTACTATACATCGGTGCGGCCCGTCCTCAAGTCGTCAATCGCCGTCGAGCTCCTCTTCGACGCCATGGCGAGGACAAACGTCACCGAGGCGCTACTGTACTCGCGCACGTTCCCCGACCACGCGCGGGAGCAGCTCTTCCAGCGGCTGGTTGCGTCGGTGTTGGATGGAAGCCATGACGACAAGATCACGAGCCAGGCGAGGGAGCTCGTGTTTCTCCCGTTTGATACTACCGAGGATGCTTGGTTTCAGGATTTCTTGTCCCACGGGGAAGGTCGCTCATTGAAGCGGGCCAAGGACATGCTACTAGTGCGCCGCATCGCGTGCGACAGGTTCGAGGAGCTGACCAAATACAAGGCCAACAACGAGTGGGCGGCTGTGCTGGAAGGGATAAAGAGCGGCGTAGAGGGTCATTTGGAATAGTCTATCGACCACACGGTTCACGTATCTAGGGCATAGCGCAGGCGTTGACAATGGATTTCTTTCCTCTTTAGACAACATGTGCGATGAGGTGCTTACCCTATATCGATATTGAGACGTTGACATGTCTTGTTTGGCTGTTTGTGCGGTCCGGAGCTGCTGAATAACTCTCTTGATTTTCTTTCGGTGTGATTAATTCGCTAAACCTGCTCCTATTTCTTGGCCCGACCAAGCTCTCAGCCTACGTGCTAATTCGGTCGATAGGACGAGCTCAAACCTTCGGTGTTGCGCCATGAGGGTATACCAGACACCTAGTTACGATGGGAAGACACACTTGCACACCGCAGCATTACCCAAAACGCGCATTTAATGCAAATTATAGTTGAACATAATTTTCAAAATCAACCCTCCCCCCCAACCCCCAAAGTGATGACGTGGTGGGATGTCGCGGCAAATAGTCTTACATCGGCCAACCGTCAACGCCCCCACCCAACTGCTCATCACCAAACGCGTCCCACGGAATCTTGTCCAAGTCCTGCCATCCCACCCCCCCCGTTGACCACATGTCGTGCAGCATCGGAAGCATATCCGGCATGTCAGGATCCGTCGACAGCGCCGGCGTCTCGCCCAGGCCTACATCCCACTGCGCAATCGCCACGCCACCGCTGCCGCCCATCACGGGGCATCCCGCGCTCCTGCCCCAGCGCGCCGCCGCCGCAGCCTCATCTGCAAGGGTACCCAGACGCTGGTTATACTTTGATTGGAGGACGCCCAGGACGACGCGGTTCGCTGCCAGGATGCCACTGGCGCCCTCGGCTGGTCCGCCGCGCGAGACCTTGGACAGGAACTGGTCGAGGCGCATCGCGCGCCGCGCGGAGAGCCAGTCAAAGTCCGGCGAGAGCGCGACGGGGAAGGAGAGGCGGAAGGCGAGCGTCAGGACGATGATGAGATGCGTCCAGTCGTTTACGGTGAACGCGAGCATGGCGGCGTCCTCGAGCTCCGCGACGACGTCCAGGAAAGCCTCGAGCTTCTTGACTGCACTGTTCATTCGCGCTATTGGAGGCGCGAAGCGCGCTCTCCGAGCTGACAGCGCCGTCTTTGCAACGGGGAAGGAAAGAAGGCTGCCAGTCTCGAGATATATTTCAAGGTACATTGTGTGCATACGAATTACCGCTTCGTCTGCTCTTTCGTTAGCCAAAATTGATGGTGGCGACTGTGACACTCACTCAAAATGCCCGGAAACCGGAACGAGAGACTATCTCGAACCTGCTGGTACTGTTGTGAGAGGCCGACCAGAATGAGCTGGCTATCTCGTACTTCCATGCCATCTCTGCCGTTGACGGCACTGGAAGCTTCTGAGAATAGGGTCGATAAGCGCGCCAAGATGGCCAGTCTGCGATCGTCATCATCCTCACCATATTTCTCCAAGATGTCGATGGCGGTAGTTGTCCACGGAGGCTGCCGAGTGCTCACGAATCGGTCACCTTTCCAGACAACAATATACCTGCGGCACGGCGGATGCGTCAGCCATCTTTCCAGCGTCTGGCAGCTATAGAACTTACGTGGATACAAGGTAGACATAGGCAAGGTATGTCCGAATCTTGTCCAGGTCATCCGCACGTACTCCTTGCTCCCAAGGTTCAAAAGCGAGGCAATTCTCGTCCAAGTTCAAATCATGCACGATATCCGAACCCATGCGCATACATCGAGCCAATTGAGAGTTCTTCGGCTTGAGGTGGAACGGATACCTGCCATCGCGGTTGTCAGCTTGAACTTGGGCACTTTTCGTGTCTCTGCAACCATACCATGCACAGTAAATGAGGAGGCCGCGCAGTAACTCTAGGCTCCCATCTCTCCCGGACACGTATTTCAGCCCGAGGATCTTGAGAAACTCGTCGTCGTACAGCGAGTGCTTGTGAACCGATCCCGAGCCGGACGTGACCGTCAATATGGCGAGTAGAACGAACGGCTGCGTCGCTGCCAGCTGCGGGATCGTGCAATCGCGGGAGAGCCTGACAAAGGGAAGATTCTGCGAAATGCTGGCGAATCTCTCGAGGAGCTCCTGCGCGGAGGCCGTGTTGAACTGGGGCTTGCGCCAGATGTCCGCGGCGGCTCGCGATGTGCTTGAGGCCACCGACGGCGTGGTCGTTGAGTGAGTTAGGGTTGGCGTCTCTTGCGCAAGACCGTCGTCGTCAAAGGCGTTGACGAACGCCTGATCGTGCAGATCTCGCAAGCCTTCATAGCCGTCATCCCGACGTGACCTTGCCGGCACCAAAGTCTCAATGGTAAAAGTCGTAGGCTGGCCAGGCGGCGGCGGTGGCGGCTGGGACGCGAACTCTGCCTGTGCGATACTGAACAAAACGCTTGAGCTCAACTACCCAGGATACGCGGAGATGCTGCTGGCAGGGCAGGGCGACTAACTTGGAAGACGGCCGCGCTCTGCGTGGGCGAGCCTTTGTCCGAGAGATGCACTCTCTCCTCGCGATGAAACATCTACGACCGCATTTTAGCGCACGAACTCGACGCTGATGATCCGGAGGGGCTCAGATTACTTTTGGCACACGCCGGGCTGCTCGCTAGGCTGGCATTTCGCCTTGGCCGTGCGACAGTGTTCGCAGGCCGTCGCGTTTCGCTTTACAGTGCGGCTGTGAGGGTCGGCGGTTCTATCCATGGCCGGCGTCTGCATCAACAAGACGGATGCGAGACGCCGTCATTGATTCCGAGGCAGTCGTGTGGCTGGCCTCGTCGCGCTTTGAAACAAGTTGAAAAAAAAAAAAATCCTAATTGATGAATTGAAAACCGAGGTGAGTACGCCAGTGGCAGACGTATTTTTTAACCAGCCACTTGATGAAGGATCTTTTAGGAGATGATGCTATTCGCTGTGCTGATAAATGCAGGAGCTCTATATCCGGAGGCCGCACGGATATCGACGCTAGTAAACACATCAAACATCTGGATTTTACAGCTGCGCATATTACTTCGAGATCTTTTTAGCTGGATATGTATGGGATGCTGCTGCAATTGTAGGAGCCAAAGAGGTTTTGATTTTGTTTTGATCGCAGCGGAGCTTGCCTCTGGGAGGTACGCGTTGGAGGCAACAAAAGGTATGCTGTCGTCGTGTTGTTATTAGGCCTGGGCCTGTGCCAGGCTAACTACGGCCCACACAACTTAGCCACTTCACAACCAAAGATCCATTACAACTGGTAGCAACACCATCAGATTCAGGGCCTTGAGAGCCAAAATTTACGCACCGATAGATCAGCGCGTGTCTCAGGCAAATACGCATTGAAATCCAATGACAATTTGCTCCTTTTCAACTTGGAGTCTCACTCAAAAGCCAACTATCAATCTTCTGGGATATTGTCCAGGCTTACGTACACGCCTCGGGGGCAGCCTACTACCTGCCCAAGCCCACCCTTGCGCCTGCCAAGATCTGGGCTTATTTAGCAGCAATTCCAGAAGATGCCGGACTGCCACCATCTCAATTTTTCGCTACGTGGCGTTCAACTTTATTCGGCACAGCCGGGACGACAATCAAAACGTCATTGAGGAATGTGGAGCGCGTGACATGCGCAGACGAAGCATTCTCGCATGTCTACTCTCCAGAAGAACAGGGCCCGTCGGGTCACGCGCCCGTGTTTTCTCGTTTTCGCGGGGATTTTTCGGCCCCCCAAGACCAGGAACATGACATGAACACTCGGATTTGCAAATAATGAGGGGACCCCAAACCGGAGAATGACCTGGGGCCCCGTGGTGGTGGCGAAGAGAAACGACAACACCTCCGTCTCCATTGTGGAGGGACAAGGTGGGAAAAATGCCTCCCCCTTCCAGTTGCGATGCCAGCAATTTGAATACAACGTGAGTGGCCCACAGTCCTCTTGGCTGTACCGTCGCTGCCCGACTTAAACGTTACAGCTAGTGCGGGTATCGGGGAAGAAATCGGCTTTTGACAGTAGTTGAGCCGCATCTCCTCTCGCCCGATATAGTACCCTTGCGCGATTCAGTCACAGCCACACACGAACACACAAACGCTCCTATCCCGACCAGGGGGACGCGACCAACGCCAAAAGGCTAGTTACGAGACAAGTCAGAAAAAGCAAGCTTCTTGTTTAAACTTTATAGGCCTTAAATGGTGCCTGCTTCTGGCCGTTTGACGGGCAGTGTGATGTTATACGACTCCAACTGTCCTGTCTGAGTTGTTGAAACCCATCAAAGTTGATCTGTCGATTTGCGATAATAGGAACCTCGCTCCGTTCATGGCTGGATGGTGCACCGCCTGGACCTGCTGAAACTTGTAACCTGCCCTCTCGACGGAGCCGACCACCCGCCCGCGATACCCCTCGTCCTGCATGAGGCCGCCCGCCAGAACCAGGCTGGTTCTAGACGGCTCGATCCCCTGGCCAGACACCAGCAGGGCGGCGAGCTCTGCCAGGCTGCCAGCGCCGGCGGCCACGATGCGGTCCGCGTCCTCATTCGTCCCCGCCATGGACAACACGGTCTTGGCCACCCCGGCGATGCGACTAGTCCTATCCATTACGGCGTGATGCTGCTGTGGAGCGGTGGCGGACACCATGATGGCGCTGAGCAGCTCCTCCGGCCTCGTCGTCTCGAAGTGGTCAACTATCGCGGCGGCGAGTGGTGGCATGGGCTGCTGCTGCGACCCCGCGTCTCTGCGTACGCGGCACGCATCGCTTGCTCGCAGCGCCAGCCGGAGGGCCTCGCGCCCGATGCCGTATCCGGAACCATCGTCGCCGAGCAGGTAGCCCCAGCCGCCCGCGCGCCCTGTGCGGGCGAAGCGCCCGTCCTCCTCTCTGCGAAAGCTCATGCCGATGGACCCGGTCCCCGCGACCAGCACGACGACCGCCTCCGAGGAAGCGGACGACGCGACTGGTAGGAGGTCAACGTCGGTCGTCACGACGAGGCCGTCGCCGACGCCGAGGTTGAGCAGCTTGGACAGTCCCGCGTTGATGGAGGGCTGCGTAGCGGGCGCGTCGTATCCGGCGATGCCGACCCAGGCCGCCGCGAACGTGACGGACGAGAACTTGCGCCCGCGTGTCGCCGAGCATGAATCCGTGGCTTGCTGGATGGCGTCAGATATAGCTGACAGGCAGGCGTCCAGCCCGACGCTGGCTCTGCAAGCCACATGACATAGTCAGCGAAATGAAACAAGTAAGCAGGGTGAGACGAGGAAAAGGTCTCGGCGCGGGCAACCAAGACTTACACGTTACATGGGCCTCCGACGCCTGCCCCGACAGCCCCGTTCTTGGAGAGGATCACAGCCTTGCAGCTGGTGCCCCCCGCATCGACGCAAAGCACGAGGCCACCATCGTCGCCATTGGTCGCCGTAGCGTCGGGTTTGGGCTCTGCAGCTTCGGCAAATACGTGGGCGAGGACGCCGTTGTTGCGCTCGAGGTGCAGCTCGGCTTCCACTGGGGTGACTCCGAGGACGATGACTACGGCGGCGAGCTTGGTGCTGCCGCGGCTGGCTGCGAGTATTTCATCTAACTCTTCATCAGATTGATGACAGCGCTGACCACCAATGGCCCGTAAAATGTTCCTAGCGCGCTGCTGCAACTTGATGTTCGTTGCCTTGAGATCTACCATCTTCATCCCACGCGTTAGTCCATTGCTGACCTCGCACACGGGAGGCAGTTGGTTGAGCTTACCAAGTTGCCATACGTCTTGCCCAACCTAATCATGATGCCCGTGCTGATCATGTTCAGCACCAGCTTCGTCGCGGTGCCGGCCTTCATGCGCGTGCTGCCCGTGACGGACTCGGGCCCGGTGACGGCGCTGATGAGGTGGTCGGCGTTGCCCTCGGATTCCACCGCGGATGGCCGCACGCAGACGACGCCGACGGTGACGCAGCCTAGGGCCCGGGCGTGGGCCAGGCCACCGAGGACGTACGGGGTGCGGCCGGAGGAGGCGATGCCGATTAGGCAGTCCAGGCCGGGCTGGAAGTCGCGGGCGTCAAGGTCGGCCTTGGCAGAGGACCTGTCGTCCTCGGCGCCCTCCTTGGCGCTGCGCAGGGCGTCGTCGCCGCCTGCAATCAGCGCGACGAACTGACTCGGGGGCGCCGAGTAGGTCGGCGGGATCTCAGAGGCGTCTAGCACGCCGAGCCTGGGAATTGGTCAGCCGAGCGCTTATCCATGTTGGTAGCGGTAGTTGGAACGGACCTCCCACTTGTTCCGGCGCCAATGTAGAAGACGCGACCGCCGCGGCGGACGCTCTCCGTCAGGGCGTCAATGGCCCTGGCAATCTCTGGCAGGCATGGCGTGATGGCGGCAGGGACGCGGCAGTCCTCCTCGTGAAGTATGCGACACAGCTGCTCCGTGGAAACCTGGTCGATGGTGGTGGTTCTTGGGTTCCGGTTCTCGGTCTGGAGGCCACCCAGGTCAATGGTAGTGGGTGCCATATTGGACCGGGATAGCCTTGCTTGTGGCCAAGATAAGGAGAAGAAAATAATAATTGAGAAAAGGGGAGAGGGCTGAGATGAGAAGGAGTGCTCACGAGCGCGGCATAGAACAGGTAAAATCACCGAGTATAATACGGTGCAGCTATCAGTAGGCGACGCCACGAACTCGTCGCGAGGAAGCAGTAACAACGGTAACTGGCCGGCGCCGGCCAACTTTGTTCACTTGACAGCGCTAGCAGTGCCGTTATTTCCAGGTAAGACCCATAGACAGGCTCAAGTAGGCTGGCAAGAGAGACGCCTTTGCGGCGAGTCATGCCTGATTGAGCCCCGAAGACAGGCAGACTCCGACTCCCCAAGACAGGCAGGGAGTGTGTCGGGACTTGGTAGTTAACTAGCGATGGCCTTCTGCAGGCAGGCTATACGGGCTTGTGTTTCCCCAGATGCGAGCCGTGTAATGTACTGTACTTCCCCCGAGATTCCGAAAGCAGCGGGTGTCTCGGCTTGTAACAATCGTCAAGTGACGCGACCCAGCTGAGCTGAGCTGGTCTCTTGCTTATCTGGGACCCCCACGACTCCCACTCCCTTCCCCCCATTCAAAATCTTCTCTTTCCATTGGAGATTGGGATTCCCCTTTTATCCCCACCTCCCAGGCAAAGGGAAAAAAAAAAAAAAGAGGAAACAAGCCCAGCATTTCCCACTCTGCTGGGACTCGACTCGACTTGTGGGGAGACACGCTAAAGATGTAACGTGTGAAGCTGAGTTGCCTTGTCGTTCCCTCGACACTGACACTAGCAACCTTCAACTCAAATTCCAACGCCTGTTCTGGAACTTTGGGGAGGGCAGGGCAAAAGACGGGCTCGGCTTTGTTGCTAGGATACACCTGGTTCATATCACGGCAGTCCCGACCTTGGCGGGGGAAGAAGAATTGTTTTATAACAAAAAGTCGCCCCCCAGCTTTTCGACCTTGCAACGAAACGTTAATTCCCCAGATTCTCTGATCTATCTTTTGTGTGACGGGCAGTCCATCTTTTCCCCCGGATAATCCAAAAAAGGACAGACACAAAAGAGGAAACTTGTATAGTCTGCAATGGCGCAGCCGGCGCAAGAACTTGAGAAGATGCCGTCTCCTGATCACCACATCGAGGACAGCGCCACTGGCGGCGCTGGCCAACAACAAACGCCCCCGATCGCATCGGACCTCGAGCAGGGCCGGGGCGAGGCCCAGAGCAAGCTGATGCGCTTCTATGCCCATCCTTGGACGCAGATTATGCTCATCTCTGTGATTTGCTTTTGTCTTCCTGGAGTATGTCATGAGTGGGAGATGCGATGAGATGAGAGAAGACGAGATGATGAGACAGAAAAGACAAGTAGAAGCTAATACAAGCCCCCCCTTCCTCCAGATGTACAACGCCCTCACCGGCATCGGAGGCTCCGGCCAAGTCGACCCGACCGTCGCCGCCAACGCCACCGTCGCGCTCCTCGCCACCACGGCCGCCACCTCGCTCCTCATCGTCGGCCCCGTCTTCACGCTCACCGGCCCGCGCGTGTGCTTCCTCCTCGGCGGCTGGGCCTACGCGCTCTACAGCGGCAGCCTCCTGCACTTCAACCACTCCGCCAACGGCGCCTTCGTCATCGCCGCCGGCGCCGTGCTCGGCGTCGGCGCCGCGCTCCTCTGGATCGTCCAGGGCGCCATCATGACCACCTACGTCGACGAGTCGCAAAAGGGCCGCGCCATCGCCGTCTTCTGGGTCGTCTTCAACTTTGGCGGCGGCATCGGCTCGCTCGTCTCCTTTGGCCTCAACTACCACTCCGCCGCCGGCACCGTCGGCGACTCCACCTACATCGCCCTCATGGTCATCATGATCTTTGGCTGGTGCTTGGGGTTCTTGATCTGCTCGCCCAAGCACATCCGCCTGGCGCAGCTGCACGCGGCGGTGGAAAAGGAAAAGACGACCATTGCGGGCATGTTCAGGATGACGCTGGACACGCTGATGCGGTGGCGCGTGGCGTGCATGATTCCGCTGTTCTTCTCGGCCAACGTGTTTTACAGCTACCAGCAGAACAACGTCAACGGGTTCACGTTCAACCTGCGCACGCGCTCGCTCAACGGCGCGCTCTACTGGTTCTCCCAGATGGCCGGCGGCCTGCTCATCGGGCTGCTCCTCGACCTGCCCATGCTGAGCCGCCCGGCCCGCGCGCGCCTCGGCTGGGCGTTCGTCTTCGTCACCGGCATGGTCATCTGGGGCGGCGGGTACCAGTTCCAGCTCTGGCAGGACGGCTTCTTCGCCGCCGGCGGCAAGCAGACGCTCGACTTCAAGGACAGCAAGACGGCGGTCGGGCCGATGTTCCTGTACATCTTTTACGGCTGCTACGACGCGCTGTGGCAGGGGTTCGCGTACTGGCTGATCGGCACGGAGAGTAACAGCACGTCGCGCGCGGCGGTGCTGGTGGGCCTGTACAAGGGCCTGCAGGCGGCGGGCGCGGCGATGGCGTGGCGCCTGAACGCGCTGCAGCTGGCGCCGATGAAGCAGCTGGCGATGGATTGGGGCTTGTGTATTGGGTCGCTGATCGTGGTGCTGCCGATGGTCCTGACCATCTCGGAGAAGACGGTGGCGGAGGGCGAGGGCGGCGCGGCGGCGGCGGAGCAGCGGCAGGAGGAGAAGCTAGCGGAAGAGTAACTGGAGCGTGAGAGCATCTACCATCATAGCCTGTATTTATGAGAATTGTTTAGTAATTTATTGTATTGTATTGAGAGTTGTGGTGATGGGCCAGTGCAGTGACAAGATGGTTTTGGGAGTGACACGGTGGTCTTGGTACTGGAATGATGGCCTTGCACCGGCTAGCTACCACGATCTCGAGTGAATTTAATCATCATTCACCATAAAAAGAGATATAAATAGGCATATTTTATATATTTTCTAGAAAAGGACAAGATTCATCGTAAACACTACTCCTGGCGTGATACCCCAGGTCCACTGTCAGATCAGCCAACGACTGACCAGGCTAGCTCGACGAGAAGGAAATCCAGAAATTGGCGGGAAATAAACAAAGTACTAAAAGAATCTTGAGCAATACTGACGCTTGTGAAGATAAGGCTGCCAGCCTCGAATTTAGCCTGCAGCTGCCCTGCATCTCTCTCGTATTACATAGCGTCCATCTCAACCCCCGGCGTTCGTACTAAGATCCTTTGCAAAAGCCCCCAACATTGATTAAACCTAACAGGATGCCTCTTGACCCGAGTACAGTTTGGTGAATGTCTTTGTCCTCTGCCTGTTCTCTGACCGCACATTCGCCATGGAGTGCATCAAGCCAATGGACCCTGCGGTCCAGTCAATCACACTCTCATCCGTCCTTCTCCTTTTCTTCCCCAATGCGTGGGCTGCGACGCGTCGATCCAATGTCAAAGTGCGACCCGGTGGTTTCCTGCGAACGGCCAAGCCTGTACGTGATGCCTCGCTCCCGCTGAGGACCGATTGTTGACTGACGCGTGGTTTGCAGATTACAGGATGCGCAGTCATCGCGGCGGCCCTGTCGCATCTGGTCGTGACTCTCGCGCGACCCGACAAGACGCTGGCATCCGTATTCGCCGTCTCCATGTCCCTCGCTGCGGCAGTTGACGTCGTCTTGCTATCATCCGCATGTCATAAGAGGGCTCTCAAGTCATCGAGCTTACTCGTCCTTTACCTCCTGGTAGTAGGATGTTGGAACCTCTCGACGGTCTCGAAACTGACAGTCGCACGCCATCTTGACTACCGGGAATGCATCCTGCCAGTAATAGGCATCATCCAGCTTGTGCAGCTTCTCCTCGAATGCACCTCCAAACGAGACATCTTCCTGCCACGGTACAAATCGCTGGCGCCTGCGGAGACGGCCAATTTCTTCAGCGTCGTGTCGTTCTGGTGGATGAACGACCTCCTGGTCCGAGGAAACAAGCACATCCTGCAAGACGAGGACCTCCCGCCCTTGGACTCTCGTCTTCAAGCAGCTGGCCTGAGCAAAACCATCAAGCAGACATGGAGCACTAGGGGTACTTGCCAATGACCAACACACTCCAAGCACAGATTGCTAACCCGGCTCAGCAAACCCCGAAACCAAAACGACCTTGTTCAAGGTCCTGCTCAAGACGCACACGCGGCAGTTCATCACCACGCTGATCCCGAGGCTCTTCATGGTCCTCTTCGACTGCAGCCAGCCGCTGCTCATCAAGGCCGTCATCCGCCACGTCGAGTCCCCCACCTCCCCCCCCTGCCGCCAGCGCACCCTCATCCTGGGCGCCGCCGCCGTCTACCTCGGCTCGACCCTCTCCAGCTCGCAGTACCTGTACCGCACCGCCCGGCTGCAACTCGCCGTCAAGAGCGGCCTCACCTCCCTCATCCACCACAAGACGCTCGCCACCGCCGCGCACGCCGCCGACACGGGCAAGGCCACCACCGTCATGGGCGCCGACCTCGACGCCGTCGCCGAGGCGCCCGCCATGCTGCACGACCTCGTCGGGCGCGTCCTCGAGGTCGGCCTCGGGCTCGCCATCCTCGGCGGCCAGGTGAAGTGGCTCTGGCCGGTCCCGCTGGTTATTATCTTCCTGTGCTCGCGGGTGAGCAGGTTCGTGGCCAGGAACGTGGGGGGCCGCCAGAGGAGGTGGAACGAGGCGACGGAGCGTCGAGTAGGGGCGCTGGCGGCGGTGCTGGGCGCGATGAGGAGCGTCAAGGCGCTGGGCGTGACGGAGGCTGTGCTGAAGTACGTGGACGGGTTGAGGGGGGAGGAGCTCGCGCGGGCCGGGGAGAAGCGGTTCCTGGACTGTCAGTACAATTCCAGCGCGAACGCGCTTGGGGTCTTCTCGCCGGCACTTACGGTGGCGCTCTTTGCGATCGTGTCGCACTTCAAGAACGTACCGCTGGACACGGCGGTCCTGTTTACGACTGTGGCGGCGCTGTCCATCGTGACGCACCCGGCGAACATGATCATGACCATCTATCCGCGGATCGTCTCTGTCGCCGCGAGCTTTGAGCGCTTCCAGGAGTTTCTCCTGGCTTCTCCCCTGGAGGACACCCGGAAAGTTGAAGAGGAGGAGGTGCTAGCCAGCAGTCGCAGTGGCATTGCAGCCTCGCTCACAGACCTCACGATCCACAGCAAGAATGGCCAGCCCATTCTGGACAACATCGATCTGAAGCTACCATATGGTTCCGTCACCGTATGCTGCGGCCCTGTCGGTAGTGGCAAGTCCGTCCTCGGCAAGGCCATCCTCGGCGAGCTACCCGCAGCAATGGGTCTGGTCGAGGTATCCTCGAAGCGAATCGGCTTCTGCGACCAGGCACCCTGGGTCATGGCGGGCACGGTAAAGGAGGTTATCTGCGCATTCGCCTCGCCCGTCGACGAAGCCAGGTACAGGGCTGTCGTTCAGGCATGCTGTCTGGACCACGACCTCAGCCGGCTCGCGGAAGGCGACGACCTGCGAATCGGGAGCCGAGGCGTCAACCTGTCCGGCGGGCAGAAGCAGCGCATCGCCCTGGCCCGACTACTCTACACCGGCGGCGCGGCAATCGTTGTGCTCGACGACAGCTTCGCGGCCCTCGACGGCACCACCGAGAGCTCGGTCGTCCAGAACCTTCTCGGGCCTGCCGGGCTGCTCCGCCAAAGCGGCGCCGCGATCTTCTGGATCACCAACTCCGCGCAGTATTTCCACCTCGCCGACCACATCCTCCTGCTGGACGCGGGGCGGATCTCGCGCCGGGGCACCGCCGTGGAGATGAGCCCGTACGTCGACGAGCTGCGCAAGTTCCACGCGGAGGACGCCTCACCGGGCCCCGAGGCACCCACACGCAGAGCCAAGACGCAGGCCAAGAAGGACGCGCAAAGCGACCTGTATCGGCAGACCGGCGACCTGTCCCTCTACGGGTTCTACCTCCGGTCCACCGGCGCGCTGCCGCCTCTCGCCGTGGTGGGCACGACCGCCACGTACGCCGTCTGCAACACCGTCCCGACATACTGGATCAAGTTCTGGGCGGACCGCCCCGGCGCCTCCACCGCCGTCTTTGCCCTCGGATACCTTCTCATCGCGCTCTTCGCCTGGGCCGCCACCACCGTGCACATGTGGACCACCGTGTGCCTTCTGGCCCCTCGCTCCGGCTTGCGCCTGCACCGCGCCCTCGCCGGCCGGATCCTCGGCGCGCCGTTGTCGTACTTTGTGGCGACGGACGTCGGGGTGACGCTGAACCGCTTCGGGCAGGACGTTGACTTGGTGGACAGGCAGCTGCCGGGCGCGTTTGCGCGGTTCGCGACGCAGTGCTGCAAGATGACGGCGCAGGTGGTGGTCATGTCACTGGTGCAGCCCGAGTTTGCGATGGCGGTGCCAGTGTGCGCGCTGGTTGTGTACGTGGTGCAGAGGGTGTATCTGCGGACGTCGAGGCAGCTTCGCGTGCTGGATCTCGAGGCCAAGGCGAGTCTGTATTCGGGCTTCCACGAAACGGCAAGTGCATTGGCTTGAGACTTGTGTGACTGGTTTATGCTGACCTTTGAGGTGGTAGATTGACGGACTGGCCACGATTCGTGCCTTTGGATGGCAGCGCGCTGTCGAGCAGCGCAACATCGACGCCATCGACCTCTCCATGCGCCCTGTTTTCCTCATGCGCTGCCTCAACAGGTGGCTTTTGATCGTGCTGGAGCTAATTGTCAGTACTGTTGCCGTTGCCATTGTCGCATCCGCCGTCATGGGTGGTAGTGGCACAGGCACAGGCACAGCCGTTGGCGTTGCGTTGAACTTGGTCATCTTGACAAACACGACTCTCATAGCGCTCGTCATCAGCTTCACCGACTTGGAAGTCTCTCTCGGTGCTATTTCGCGCCTCAAAGAGGTCGAAGAGATGACGCCACAAGAGGACCTTCCACATGAGATAGTAGTGCCCGATGCGCACTGGCCGACACGTGGTGAATTGGTGCTCAAGGATCTCGCCACAGGATACAGGTACGCTCTTCTACAGCCACGAGAAGAACGCTGAGAATAAAAGTAACCACGTCTAACCACTGATGGCAGGATAAACAACAATGTACTCAGCCACGTTGACCTGGTTGCTAGTGCAGGACAGAAACTCATCGTCTGCGGTCGCACCGGCAGGTAAGACATCATCCTACTGTCTGGCTGACCAGAGCTGACAAAAGGGAATAGCGGCAAGAGTACCATATTCGTGTCTCTCCTCAGACTGATCGAAAGCACCGGAGCCATCACAGTGGACGGAACAAATATCCTGAACATGCCGCGCTCCATCGTCCGCAGCCGCTGCTTCATCGCCGTGCCGCAAGACGGCATCGTGTTCAAAGACGCCTCGCTGCGATTTAACCTTGATCCTACCGGCACAGTCGGCGACGACATCCTCCGAGACGCCCTCAAGTCCACCCATCTCTGGACCGTTCTTTCCGACGATGAGACCACCGACATCCTAGACCTGAAGCTCTCCAGCCTGCCGCCACTATCTGCCGGCCAGCAGCAGCTCTTCGCCCTCGCGCGCGCCGTGGCGCAGAAGCATCGCGCCGCCCCCTACTCCGACCGCGAAGAAGAGGGGACCGCCAAGCCCATCGTGCTGCTGGACGAGCTCACGGCGTTCATGGACTCCGCGACCGAGGCCAAGGTGTACGACGTGGTGGAGGAGGAGTTCGTCGCGGAGGGCCATACGGTGATCATCGTGTCGCATAGGCTCGGGGGCCTGCTCGGGAGGCTGCGGGAGGGCGTGGATGCCGTGGCCGTGCTCAAGGATGGGCGGTTGACGGTCGAGAAGGACTTGGGCAAGCTCGCCAACGTCGAGAGCGGCGATGAAGAGAGTAGCCAAGGAGGCGATGGGGAGCCATTGGCCAGTCAGTGTCCGCGGTTGTGGTGACGCGGGTAGGGCATTCCGAAAACTGATACAGCAGGGACGGGTGGTAATAATCAACTCTTACTATGACATGGTAAGCAAAATGACAGAATCAGAAAAGTAAAGAAGCAACAGTGTGTGTCTCGTAGGTTCCATCCAACAAATGAAGGTATCAAATTCCTCTCCAGCCGAGCCCTTGTATCGCAGCTCGCAGCTCTGCCTTGTCTGGTTTCGCGCCGCAGAAATAGCCGCCGCCTTACAACCGATTGTTTTTACAGGTGTTGCATGCCGTTATGTGGCAAACTTTGCATTCAAAAAGGTAGTGAGGCAAATGCCCGAGACAATTTTCACATTGACCCCCCCCAGGACGATAGCGCCAGCGTCTGTGGGTGCATTCGTGCGTTTCCTGAATGTGACGTTGCGCTTCCGTTACTGCCGCTGCATTGTTGCGCCCGCCAAACATGCCTCTGCCGATGAGCCGTTCTGCTCGTTCAAGGAGACGCTCTTCGTTCCATTGATCGCATTGACAGGAACGCCACTTCTCTCCGCATACGTAGCAGAATTCACATCCACATCGGCAGGCTATAATGATGGACCATCTGTCAGAACGATGTAAGGGACGGGATGGATGGAAATAGAATGCGGTTCAGCTTACTCATATGATTGCAACCATGGTTCAGTTCGACAAGATTCTTACACCCAAAACACTGCTGCCAGCCGTTTTCCTTGGCAAATGCCAGAACTTCCTTGGTAGAAGGGTCGTCAGGACAGAGACCATCATGCGAAGCGCTCTTGCAGACCGTGCAGGTCGACTCCTTGCATGCTTGGCAGTAGCCGACAGTTGAAGTAATTTCCACCGGTGGGATGAACGTTGAGCATTGGATGTTGTAACAATATGTTCGATTTGGCGTGGTAAACTCGACCTTCTTCTCCTCAAATTTCGCGATGAGGTCAGTAGGAAGCCATTTCTGTGCAGCGTTCAGTGAAATCGGCTGCTTGCAACACCTAGGAGGGTAGAGGGACTCATCCTTCGTCGCAGTCTCGAAGAGACTAGTCAGGCAGTCTGGACAGTAGACATGACCACATGGTACGTGGACGGCGAGGTTCTCCTCTTGTACCTCGCCACAAGCCGCACATGCCTGAGGGTCATCTGCCAGCCTCCGTTCATGATAACTGCGAGTTCTAAATCTTTCCGGCTGCCCGCTAGCCACTTCTTCGACCGCAGAAATCTCGGTCAATTCTGCAGCCGTCCCAACCGGGATTGAACATTCGGGATGTTGAATCGGGTCAACATTGACTTCTGTAAAGGGAAGGTCTTGTTCAGTGTCAGGAGAAGCTTCTTGCTCAGTATCGGGCTGGGGATAAGCACGGCGGCAGTATTCTTCATCATCGAGAAGCTGAATGTGGTTGATGATCTGCAGTGCTTCCAACTGCAGCGCCAAGGTAAAGTCGTCAAGCTCGTCCGTGTCATCTTCTTTAATTTGCGCAGCTCGGATCTCCTCCAAGTCCTGCTGCATGAGCTGCAGTGCCAGGCGCTGAGAAGGATCAACGGTTTCAGCCATTTTCATCAAATGTAGGCAAGAGTGAGCGGAATGGAACGTGGGAAAGAAACCAAAGCAAGTTAATATAGAAAATTGGAAACAATGCTCGCTGTCGGAGAAAGACAAGAGCAGATCGGTTGAAGAAATAAAAGGAAGTTCAGAAGTTGCCTGGCAATGTTGCGAGACAACAACAAACGAGTGCCTTGCCTGCCCGCTGGTGATCTCCCCGAGCCCGCCGAAATCGGTGGTGTTTCGATCCAGGCAGCTATTAAGTTACTCGCGACTTGCGCCGAAAATGAGCATGGGCTCAGTACTGCCAATAGGTTTGTTTCTAGCGAGGCAAAGTAAAGTGAATGAGGCAATCGTGAGTTGGGGCTGTGACAGAAATCACTGGGCGAAACAAACGGACCAGGGTAATGAGGTAGAAGAATTGCGCTAGAGATATGTAGAGGACGATACTCACAATGTAGAATGAATTAGAATCACCTGTTCTCAAGCCGTCCAAAGCAATCAAGCAAAAGCAAGACCAATCCATATGGAATAGACTACAGATCAATGGAGACCCAAACGACTTCTATGACTTTGCTCGCATCCATTTTCAGGGGGCGCTACCGTGGCTTACGATTTTACCCAGCCCTTCAGCTGAACACCTGAAGAGGCTGTTGGTCTACCCCCAGAAACCCTCGGCATGATGCCCCCAATCTCTGCCACATCGGTAGCAGAACTCCCGTCCGCATCAGCAATCTAGAGGCGTGCGCGTCAGTCAACAATTTCCAAGCACGGGATATACGGAAGGGAATGGCGGCAACTTACACATATGCAGGCAGCCCGCGGTCTTCTCCCACGTAACGTCCGCAGCGGGTGCAGGGCTGCCAGCCCTTCTGGCGTGCCAGCTTCCCGCACCGCGTTCTGCGTAGGGTCGCCCGGGCATATCCCGTCGTGCTTCGCGGTTCTGCAAAGTATGCACGTCTGCTGCCCGTACGCGGCACACGTGCCGTAATCGTCCGTGAAGTTGGACGGCGGGATGAACTTGCCGCAGTTCGCGTTGTGGCAGTATCGCGGGTTTGGCGTGCTCATCTCCAGCTGCTTCTCTTCGAACCGGGTCCTCAGATTGGGCTGGCAGCAGCTCGAGAGCAACGCCGAGGATCGGGATGGGCACCGAGCAGCACTCGGGAGGGAACTCGGGCCCGCCGTCAACTTTATCAGCAATGGAAGCGGTGACGTGCCCGATGAGGCACGTCGCGCAATACAAGCGGTTGCATGGTGCGCGGAAAGTCGGGTTCTCGTTCAGCACTTCCATGCAGACTGAGCATCGCAAGGCCTCCGCAGACGCAATCGCTGGTGCGCTCGTTTCCTGCTTGGCCTCTGTATCTGTAGCCTGCGCTAAGGCTGTCGTTTGCTCCGTCGGGGCTTTGGCCTTTCGTGGTTGCCGAGTTCTCGTTCGAGGGGCAGCCACCGTTCTCTTCCCGGTAGCCACACGCTTCCTGGGCCGGGAAGAAGATGCCTTGGCAGTTGCCGCCGACAAAGCCGATTTCCGCCGCGAGATGCTCTTGGTAGACCGTGAGGGCAGCATCGAAGTCGTTCGCTTTCCTCTTACGTGCGTCCGCTCGCAGCCGTCTGGAACCCCTCCACGTCCCGAAGCTCCAAGGCGAGGCGCAGCGACTCGGTATCGAAAGTCGCCATCTTGAGAGTCGAGAAAAGCAGTATCAAGATGGGCAAGGGAAACGGGAAATTTGGAAGAGAAGGAGAAAAGACGCAAATAGGAAGACTTGAAGGGATGCCACCAACAATGAGGTCACTCGCATCGTTTTGCTTACGAGCTGGCTGGTGCCTGCAAGGCTGCTTGGAGGATAGTGAATTGACCTGGACGACAATACGTCGGTTACCAAGCCAAGTGACATGGGGAGAATGAAGCGGCAAGTTGGTATAAATTAATGCTAAACTGTAAACATTACGCTAAAGGTCATTACCCCGTTTCTTCTTCATTCTCGTATAGGCGGCGTGTCGTTTGGTGTGCAATTTGACGTCGTCAGGGTATAATGGGTTCCACACTGTATTGCACTCCTTGCATTCGCAAAACGCAGCTCGGTTCGAAATATTGAGCGTCGTTTGTACCTCTGCAGGTGAATGCTTCCGCCTGACGCGCCTGGAGTCGGAGCTGGCTGAGCCGCCGCCGGCGCCCTCTAGCCGCCGTTTGCGCCTGGAACGTCGTTCGCTGGCTGTCTTTATACTCGGTTCGTCTTGCTCGCACTCACGGTGGTGTCCATAATTTCCACACTCATCATCACCGGAGCCGATAGACTGGTTCGACCGAATTCGCAACACTCGCTTCTTGGGCCGTGATGGCGGTTGCACCTTCCTTTCCACCTGCTTTTCCTCGGCCGGCTCTGCGTCTGGTAGGGTGTTTGTCTTGGCGGGCTTTATTGGCGTGAGATGAGTCGTGACGGGCTTGAAGTAATTCAGAATCGATCGCTTCGCAGGAACGTTGGGCTCAGGCTTGGACGGTGGCTGGTTCTCCTGGTCTTCCTTGGCCGGTGGCGGGTTTGCTTTGAAGATCGGGACCACTGTAGGTGCATCGTCTTTGGCCACGACAATGTCGAGCGGCTTTACGTTCTTGTTATCATCATCATGGATGGCATATGCCGTTCGGGCCCTCTTGGCTAGAGGTTCTGATCGAGGCTCTGGTGTCGCTGTTGCCTGTCTGCCGTATGTGCGCAGCTTGTCACGCTTGCGCGACAGAGGCCGTACACCTGGTTTTGTTCTGCGGGTATGAGTTTTCTGCACAGCGCGGGTAATCGTGAATAGGCTAATGGGCTTCTTACATGGTGTAGTCTGGTGATGAGTTGATCATGATCTAATGCGTCGATTGCTGGGCGGGACGAAGTTGAGAGAGGAACGATTGTGGAGGAGCGAAGTTGGAGGGTTGGGGGGGAGAGGGGGGGCCGGGACTGTAGAAGGACTTCCAGCGCTTCTTAGTTGTACAAGATCTGCGAATGAGACCAACAGCAGATTATCCAGAATTGCATGTAAAAATATTGTTTGGGAGCTGTATCTCGAGGGACACAACAGCTTGGTCGGCCCTTGAAATGGTTGACCCACACTAGTTGAACGGCGCGCGGCGCGCGACACGAAAGACGCGACACCACCAGGAAAGCGCGTACCACTTTACGGGCGGCACTAGTTGTGAGTGACCAGGGTACGGCTATCAGTCCAGTCGTTCTGTTCTATCTTTTACTCCAATGGGGTTTCTTTTAGCGTTGCACGAAGATGGCGTCTCGCTTTGTTGGTGATTAGCTTGAGCGCTTGTGCGAATCTGAAAAGTGGGATATCATCTCATTCAATCAATCGCTCGCCAATGGCAGATCTTCAGTCTGCGGTTGTACCTGTTACAACCCGTCTTGTTACTTGATTGTCGGTGGCCTTCGCCTTCCCAGACAATAATACGACCTTTTCCTCGTGGCCGCCACCGCCATCACCATCTTTCCCTATAACCCATGTTTGCACCACCTCTTTCCGCTCTGGCCGGGTATCTTCTTTCCGCTTTGCTTCCCCCAGGCGCCAGACGTAGCCGCCGTACACCGCGACTTCGGCGATAGCGACTAGTATACTGCCACCCATGGTAAGGAACAGACGGGCTGGCAGGCTCCACCATCGGCCAAGTATCCAAAGCGTGGCAGCTACGCCGGCGATGCTGACCAGGAAGTTGATCAGCAGCATGACCTGCCTGTGTATCTCGTTGTATGTAACATCATCGTCGCCAAGGTCCGTGTCGCTCGTTGGTTTGTTTGCGGCGGCGAACGATCGCGCCGCGTCTGGGAATCGATGCTTGAATGTTTCGAGCGGGATGGGAGGGTTGATCATTCGCTCGTAGGCGCGTGCATCTTCCTCTCGGCGAAGCTTGGCCATGAGGGCTAGATACTCGGGTGACTGGGGCTTGATGTAAGAAAATGTGAAACGAGGGATAACTTGTGTCGGGTACAGTGGTTGTGTGCGTACCTTGGCAGGTTTCGGTGCTGGCGGCGCGACGTAGACTTGCGACCCTCTCAGCAGCTCCTCTAAGCGAAATTTTGTTTGACATTTCGAAAGTCGTAGTATTTGGCTATGAAGGATCGGGTTGCCGATTGCAGGACTCGCGACAGATGGATCGCTAGAGTCGCCAGGTAGCATGGCTTCAGTGTGCGCGTTCGCCAGACACTCCACAATGGACTCTGTCATGGTCAAGAGAACCATGGTGTACCTGCACAGCGCAAGGGCGGCGGCAAAGTGAAAGGTGAGAAAATGGATTAGTTACTATACGGCACGCATGCGCACGGGCCCGCGCACAGATGATAAATAAGGCGATGAAGTGGTGATGAATATCGGTCGCAGGCAGCAGCTATCATGGAACAACTGACGTCCCAAAAAGCTCCCAGAAACTGCCCGAGAGCTCCGCTGAAAAGGACAAATGGAAGAGCTGCCACTCACCATGCTGACGCTATCTGGCCAATCGGAGACCTGGATGCACTATAAGAGTGGAGCTCCGGATTGACCCGCCGGACGCGGATGCAAAAGTTTGGCCCATCGGCGTTCTAGCTGTGTGCGAAGCAGAGCATCATCCCGCATTGCACGGTCAATTGGGTTCTCGGCATCCCGGGTACTCTCCAACGGCCGAATCGCGAAACCTATTTACACAAGGACTCGCTCACATTCTCTTTTCCGAGCTTGTGGAGCTCCAGTCCTCCCGCCATGAGTCTACGTCAACGATCCTCATCCGCCCTTACCCAGGCCGCGGCCAGGCGGGCCGCAGCACCGCCCTGTGTGCTCTGCCGCCTGCCACACGAACAATTTCGAGTACAGCGAGCCGGTATTCATTCCACGTCGAGAAAGGATTCAGCCTGGGCGGCTGCGGCGCAGGTTGCCTCCAATGTCGTGGGCAACATGGTCAAGAAGGCCAGCTCGGATACCATGACCATCGACCCCCTCCGGACAGTCGCTAAGGAGATGAAATTCCTCACTGGAAATATTCGGAAGCTTCTTGGCTCTGGCCACCCTTCGCTCGACCGAGTTGCAAAATACTATACCCAAGCTGAGGGCAAGCATGTCCGGCCCTTGATCGTGCTTCTCATGAGCAGGGCCACACACCTGTGTCCCAAGAACCCTCACAGCGACATTCCGCAGACCGCTCGCGGCATCGACTCGTCAATATCACCCCGCCAGGTTCTGGGTGACTTCAACCCCTCGGCCCTGCCGCTTACAGCCCCGGAGACCGACATGGCCAGCTCGGAGCTGGACATCCTTCCCAGCCAGCGACGGTTAGCCGAGGTGGCCGAGCTCATCCATACCGCTTCACTACTTCACGACGATGTCATTGATCATTCAGAGGCGCGCCGCGGAGCTCCGTCTGCCAATCTTGAGTTTGGTAACAAGATGGCCGTGCTTGCCGGAGACTTTCTGCTGGGTCGGGCCTCTGTCGCCTTGGCGCGCCTACGCAACGCCGAAGTAGTTGAGCTCTTGGCTACCGTTATTGCCAACTTGGTGGAGGGCGAATTCATGCAGTTGAAGAATACTGAGCGGGACGAGCGTAATCCCAAGTGGTCCGAAGAGACCCTCACCTACTATCTGCAGAAGACATACCTGAAGACTGCTAGTCTCATCTCCAAGTCTTGCCGCGCCGCCGCGCTGCTTGGCAATACCGACGCTGCCACGGTGGATGCTGCCTACTCCTACGGCAGAAACCTGGGGTTGGCATTCCAGCTGGTTGACGATATGCTCGATTACACTCGTTCGGACAAGGACCTCGGCAAACCTGCTGGCGCTGACCTCGAACTCGGCCTCGCCACCGCGCCACTTCTTTTTGCGTGGAAAGCGAATCCCGAGCTTGGTGCCCTTGTTGGACGCAAGTTTGAGAGGGAGGGTGACGTCCAGCATGTACGTGAATTCTGATCCATCTTGCTGATGAAGCACCAACTAACTTTTCGCAGGCCCGCAAACTTGTCCTCCAGAGCGACGGCATCGAGCAGACCCGCGCCCTTGCGCACGATTACTCGGAAAAGGCCATCGCTGCGATTGCGCACTTTCCCGATAGCGAAGCCAAAGATGGTCTTATCGATATGGCCGAGAAGACTGTCAAGCGCAAGAAATAAGAAACAAACAACCCAAGTCTGAAAACCACCGACTAGGCGACAATGTCAACACTCAGGCTTTGTGCGCCTCCACTCACTTTGTACAAATAGCGTTTTATTTTATCGCACTACAACTAGAAAACGGTTCTACGCATAGCAAGACGGAAGCTGGGGAAGCTGTGCACGAAACTTGTTGGCATGAGAAAGTGTCGTTTTGCATGGAAAATTCTGTATGATTACACCAATACACGGCGCCCCTTTGGATTGGAGCTTTAATAAAACACGGAAAAGATCAAATTCTCTTTCAGGAAATAGGGACTGGCATGAGAGTCATCTCTTTGTTTAATCTAGATACTTTCCATTGGTTGGCTGGCAAACTAGGTCCGGGGCGTTCCTGAGATATCCTTGCAGGATGCTACCCCGCCTTGTCTGCAAACTGACGTTCACATGCGAAACGATATCGAAAACTCGTTCATCATAATATTGATATTCCTCCAAGGCCACTTGAGCCTCTTACCAGTAAAAGCAGGTGGTGGCTTCGATTCGGCCCACTTGGCCATCGAGGTGTCACTGGGTTGGTTGGCGGCCAAGTCCGACACGTTATCGCTCGGTGACGCTGCACGAGGTGTCAGAGGACACACTCGGCGGATGGGGTATTACTCTTTCCGCCAAGCTCCGACAACGCAACAGATTATGAGGAGATAATCAACACAGAGCACTGACCTTTGAGTGGCCACGGCCGGGACTTTTGAGAGGCCCTGGCCGAAAGCTGCACTTCACAAGCCGGCTCCGAAGGTCTCGGTGAGGCTAACTCAACCGGCACCGGCCGACGGCACCACAAGGGCTGGTTCTGGAGAAGATGTTTCCCCAAATAACGGAAACCCAATTCCTTTCCTCAATCATCTTTTGGCTTTAAACATAAGCATATCCAGGGGTTTCCTTTTATTTAATTTCAGATTTTATACCTCAACAGAACAGCTCCGACACAAGCTCAGCCCCTTCTGTGTGTCTGTACCATAGCGGCTACCCCGCCCCCACCATCACCAACTCTGTCGACAAACATCAAACGGTAAGACTCGAAATCATGTCAGAACCTCTTACGGTGCTCCTGTCGTCGCGGGCCATTCTCCCCGACCCCGACGGGTCGTCGCTCCTGGAATCGCCCGCCACGATCGTTATCTCCCCCGCCACCGGCAAGATTGTCTCCGTCGAGCCAAGCATCCGCCCCCGTGGCGACTTTCCAAACGACACCACCTACGTTGACCACTCGCCTCGGGTGCTGCTGCCGGGCCTCGTCGACGCGCACGTGCACCTCAACGAGCCCGGCCGCACCGAGTGGGAGGGCTTCTGGACGGGTACGCGCGCCGCGGCCAGCGGCGGCGTCACCACCGTCGTCGACATGCCGCTCAACGCGATCCCACCGACGACCACGGTGCGCGGGTTCCGGGAGAAGCTGGCGGCCGCGGCCGGCCAGTGCTGGGTCGATGTAGGCTTCTACGGCGGCGTCATCCCGGGCAACGCCGAGGAGCTGCGGCCGCTCGTCGAGGCGGGCGTCCGCGGCTTCAAGGGCTTCCTGATTGAATCTGGTGTAAGCTTTTTACAGAACCCATCCATCCCCCCGTGTGGGCAGCTGACAGTCTGTGATCAAGGTCGACGAGTTCCCCGCAGTCACGGCAAAGGATGTCGCGCTCGCCATGGAGACGCTCAAGGACGTGCCGACGACGCTCATGTTCCACGCCGAGATGGTGCCGCACGAGGGCGGCGGCAGTGCGACGAGCAGCAGCGCCGACGCCACCGCCTACCAATCCTTCCTCGACTCGCGCCCGCCGGTGTTTGAGACGTGCGCCGTCGAGGAGATCCTCTCGCTCGCGCACATCGCGCCGCGGCTGCCGCTGCACATTGTGCACCTGTCCGCCGTGCAGGTCATCCCGCTGCTGCGGGCCGCGCGCGCGCGGGGCGTCCGCATCACCGCCGAGACGTGCTTCCACTACCTGGGGCTCGCCTCCGAGGATATTGACCACGGCGACACGCGGCACAAGTGCTGCCCGCCGATCCGCGAGGGCCGCAACCGCGACGGTCTCTGGGAGGAGCTGGTCGCCGCGGACTCGTGCCTGGCGACCGTCGTCTCCGACCACTCGCCCTGCACGCCCGAGCTGAAACTCCTACCCGCACACCTGCAAAAGGAATCCGCCGGCGCCGCTGAGAAGAGCTCTGGCTCACGCGGCGACTTCTTCGCTGCCTGGGGCGGCATTTCGTCCGTCGGCCTCGGCCTGCCCATCTTCCACTCGTCTGCCAAGGCCCGCGCGGCCGCATCGCCGTCGGCAGCGGTGCCTAGCCTGGTCGACATGGTGCGCCTCTGCTGCCAGGCGACGTCCGAGCAGGTCGGGCTCGAGCACCGCAAGGGCGCGCTGCGCGCGGGCCTGGACGCCGACATCTGCGTCTTTGACGACGCGGAGGTGTGGACGTTTTCGCAGGGCGACATGCGCTGGAAGAACCGCTGCTCGCCGTGGGAGGGCCACGAGTTCACAGGCCGCGTCAAGGAGACGTGGCTGCGCGGCACCAAGATCTTTGAGCACGGTGCGGGCAAGGATGGCTTGGTGACGGAGAAGCCAGTCGGTGAGCCTATTACAGAGAAGAGAAGGTGAAGTTGGCGACATGTCATAGAAAGCATGGGTGGATGCTATAGAAAAGTAACACATAAATAAACATGATATAAATTCTCGTTATCATTCAAACCTTTATTCTTGGGATGAAACAAGGTGTTTTCACAGATTATCCTGACATCTGTGGAAGCTGTTCTTCTACAAACGGCGGCACTCCACCGACTATTGTGCGCTGCGCAAAAAATTGCAGCCCCTCCGAAGAACAGGTTAAAAGAAAACTCACAACTCTCCCCTCACCAAGAAAGACGTGTTTTTTGTTCGAAATTCAAGAATCACCCGCATAGCAAAGAGATAAAATGGCCGACAGCAGTGAGATGGACGAGCTCCAGCCCTCCATCGAATTTCTACGCCTGCGCTGGCAAATCACCGACGGCCTAGCGTTCGCCTGCGTGCATGCCATCGCAGACCCCGAGGACGCCTCCTCCGCACAGCAACCGCTGCAAGCCGCCGACGGCACCTTCCACGAGATCGCCGGCGCGCCGTGCAGCGACCCGCCGACCGCGCGCCTCACGCTCCAGATGGAGGAGGCGACGTACCTCGGCGTCGACGGGGACGTGAGCTCCCCCGACGCCACCGCCGCACGGCTTGAGATCGCCGCCGCGCCGGGGGAGGACCATGTCACGATCCGGCAGTACGTGACGAGCGCGCACGCGTGGCTGCTGGCGCAGCGGCAGAAGCACTTTGAGGGGTACGGGTACTCGGCGGACGGGGGGCAGCAGGCGCTGCCGGCGGAGGCGGAGCTCTGGTTCGACCCGTCGTCGCCCAACGTGATCAACTTCTTCGACTCGGTCGAGTCGGAGCCGCCGTTTGCGTTTGAGTGGGGGCTGGTATCGGATATGGCGACGGGTATCATCCACGGGCACCCGGAGGATGAGTCGGACTATGGGGATGGGGAGGAGGGCCCGATTGATCCGATTGAGGAGCTGAAGTGAAAGCTTCATGGAGAGGCACGGTGAGGGGAGGGGAGGGCTAGCGGGAGTGATACAAGGGACAACAGGGCTCAAAGATACCGAAAAGGAAAATAGCTCGTGGAGTTACAGGTTTTACGCAATGACTATGGGAGGAATGACAGGGTGAAAGGCCTGCATCGGGCAACGATGCTTTCGCCAGCCAAGTATAATGATTTCGAAATACTTTGGCATGGATTTTGGGCAGAGGGAACTGTCGACACTTAACAAGAAGACATCACAGTTTTGATAATTCTTCTACCTCGGGAGGTGCTGTGCATTGATGGACAATTGCATGTAACGTGATTTGATCCGCCACGCGGGCCTTCGGCTATCACAAGCCAACACCTTAGATCGACGACACAAGAACGCAGACACTGGGTAATGAGGTAGATGAAGTCAAAAATTGATATGTGCCTCAATTTCTTGTGAATTGAGGGGCAACTGGACAATCCGAGTCTATCAAATCCCCGAACCCGAAGTCTTTATCCCTGATCTTTCAACATGTCACGACCGGCGGTGGTCTTCAACACCAATATAAAATAAGAAGGAATCGTAACGAGTTCTCAATGACTACCTTGAAACTTGTTCAATAAACGACAGCTATTTTATACCTTATTATTAGCACTCGCGCTTGCGTCGCCAACTCCTTTATGTCCGAGAACCAATATGACTACACCTATTGACATTCGTGTCGTGGACAAAGACACCTGTCCTTACATTTATGAAGAAAATGCCACCATTTCGCTCAATAATTGCGGAATCATTCGATGCAATATCTATCGACCCAAAGTTTCGGACTCCAACCAGAAATGCCCCGTCCTCGTTACGAGTGGACCGTACGGCAAAGATGTGCCCTAGAGAGCCATGTGACAAGGAACTTACAATCAGAGAAATGCTAAACTTTTTCAATTAGCTTCGATCCGGCGAGTTTCTCGGAGCTTGATCCCGAAAATCAAACTGAGCAATCGGCATGAGAAACACCGACACAATAGTACTGGACGTCGCATGGCTACGCAGTTGTGCGGGCTGATGAACCTGGAATTGGCCAATCATCAGGCATCTTGAGCGTCACATCTACTGCAACTGCGGATGCGTTCCGTGATACGATCGAATGGGCTTCACAGAACCCCTGGTCGAGCGGCAAGGCCGGCTTGCTTGGAGTGAGCTGCTATGCCGTCACCCAGTGGATGGTAGCCGCTTTGGAGCCCAAGGGCCTTGCTGCTTGCGTGCCTTGGGAAGGTAGTTCTGACTCGTACAACGAAGCCACACGACACGGAGGGGTTCTATCCAGCACATTCTTCAAGCTGTCGTACCCAAGACAGGTGCTCTCGACCCGGTAAGGCGGCCCGAGGATGGGGTTTGATACTGTGGATGGGGACCTGAGCGAAGCTCAACTTGAAGCAAATAAATCGGGCACTCTTGAATCGATGCACTTGCAGCGTTACCGCGACGACGAGTTCTTTTCCTCAACTGCGATTGACTTTGGCAAGATCAAGGTCCCAATTCTCAGCGCGGCGAACTTGGGCGGCATCATGCTGCATTTGAGAGGGAATGTGTTGGGCTCTTATCGAGCTGCGTCAGAGTTCAAGTACCTCAGGTTCATCGCTGGTCGTCATATCTCCCTTTTACTACCTGGAAGAGGTGGAGGTACAACGCAGTTTTCTGGATGCTTTCTTAAAGGGCGAGGATAGAAAGGGTTGGTCGACCAAGGGCGCAGTTCCTCCTGTCAGCCTGCTCCTACGGAAGGGCAACAAAGGCGTCAACAGCCCAGAGACAGAAGCGACGTTCGAACACAGAGAGGAAGAACAATGGTCCCTGGCGCGAACTCAATACACCAAAGCCTTTCTTACTCCTGACTTTAGGTTTTCCTTCCAAGCTCCCGACATCAAACAAGCCATTAGCGTCAGTTACAAGGCCGAAGGCGAGAAGCCCGGAGAAGAGCTCAAGGCGCTGCAGACGAGGGCTGATATCAGACATTCCACAAATGCGCCTGCGAGTTCGGAGCAATCGGAACCGATGTGGTTCAGTTTCAGACGCAGTCATTTCGCGAGGAGACCGAAATCACCGCCCACATCACCGCCCACATCATCTCGCATCTTAATGGTTCCCTAAGCAGAAACAAAGAGGGAAGCAGACCATCGGATATTGACCTGCTTCTATCCGTTCGACACTTTGCCCCTACCAACGAGGAAATCAACTACACTGGCTCGACGGGAGAGCCCGTTCCCGTCTCCAAGTGGTGGCTGCGCGTGAGTCTTCGGAAGAGCAACCCCGACCACCCCGACCACCGCCAGTGGCTGCCGTGGCGGGATTTTTGCCGATCAGATGTCCAGCCTGTCAAAAAGGAGGAAATTATCCCGGTCGATGTAGAAATCTGGCCAACGAATGTCGTGGTCGAGGCTGGGGGTCGACTGGCGCTGGAGTTAGTTCTCGCGACACGGCAGGGACAGGGATTTGGATTCCAATGACAGGTGAGTGAATGGAAGATCGGAGCCGAGGTGCAAATTTGAGTCGTCTAACTAACTTTCCAAGATCCCCCGCAATCTTCAAGGGCATCGCATTCACTTGGGACCCGCGCACGTTAATTACATTTCCCTCCCAATTATTCCATTCAAATAAGTACATAGTCGCATGGTAACTTTAGTTGCCACGTAGTCAGAGACAATATCGGTCTGTCGAAACAAGTCGCGTTATATTTCAAAAATAAAAAGCGACCGCGAACCACTCTGTCCAAATCTCAAACTGTTGTGCCCAGCATCTCCTCGGTTCTTGGCGCTCCTAGTGCCTCTACTGGTATACCAGTAACAACTGTATTGTGATTAATTAATAAAAGAACTGCCCGAGTCTAACTCGGCCTGAAGGAAGTGGTGCCATCCTTCAGCCTTCAAATACGCGGATCCGGATCCTGGGTGCTGCCGACGGCTTGAGCGTTGAGCCGGCTTCAGCCTTGGCTACCTACCTAGTTATGTGCACGGTCTTTGTGCTTCCGCTTTTGATGACATCCATGTCAATACGCGTATTTATCATGGACTGGGGTCGCGCTTTTGGAAGAGAGTGCAACTTCCAGCCAATGATAACGTGAGCAAACGGGCTGCCACCCAGCTCGGCTATTAATATCGCTCTCGCTCTTTTGACCCCTCCATATCTGTAATTCTGCATGCAAAACCACAACGGATATGTAATATTAAAAAAAAAAATAATGCTCTCCTATTAACAGCTGCAAGACCTCTACCTCGAAGCCTAACTAATCCATATCCAAGAATCCATATCCAAGCCTAAAGTGTCCACTGTAGCTTCCTCGCGTAGCCCTGAATCTCCCCTTCCCCCACCTCTTCCCGAGCCGACTCCACGCTGGCGTTTGCAGTGGAGAAACTCTCCCCGGACAATAAATCATCATCTCGCCCACGATGTCTGGTCTCACCCCTTCACCTTTCAACTGGCAGTCAAAACACTGTCTCTTCCCCATTTTGGTCAGACATGCCGCCTTGTACCAGTTGAGCTGCGCCCAAATCGACATATCACTTGCGCGCCCTGCTGCAGCTGTGCCGCTTGGAAAAAAGATCATCAGCCTTGTCTCGGCCCTGATCTTTGTCGACAAACAATGTCTTAGATTTAGATCCACCCATCACACACCGCACACAGGCCTGATCTACATTGAGTCGTCCAGCAAGCCTATTTGATACTACTAGTATATACCCCTATCTCACTGTCTTGCGCTCTTTTCTCGACGGAGTTAGGTAGTGCTGCTTCTCTACATCATGGAATCCCACGATCCGGAAAAGGCCCAGGGGTCTGTTACTCCTGCGGAAGTTGGTGGTGAAAGCGACCGAACGGATAGAGCTAGCTCTGTTGCTACATCTCTTGAGCAAACCGTGAATCAGAACAAGGACGAAAACATACGGCGTTTCTCAGTATCTGGCGCAGGCCAGCTGTCGCTGGAGGATGTCGCCAGCGTTCAAGTACGGATCCGTGACCTTGAGGTATCCGTCAACACGGCACCGTCTTGGTGGGCTCCCTCTACGTACACTCACCTCGTCAAGTCAAAATTCAACACTGAGCCTGATATGAAGACCCTTCTTCACTCCGTCAATGCCGACTTGGCCGCAGGCAGCCTCACCGCCATCATTGGTGGCAGTGGCTCGGGCAAGACGACCCTTCTCAACACCATGGCCGAGCGCATGGTCAGCTCCAGACTACACCAAGAAGGAATAGTCACGTTCAATGGCGAGATTAGCGTTCATAACGTCCGCCATGCCTACGTCATGCAGCAGGATATCCTGCTCCCGACTCTGACTGTGCGGGAGACCCTGCGATACGCGGCAGATCTTCGTCTGCCATCGACTGCAAAGCGGCAAGATCGGTGGCGCATTGTGGAAGAAGTCATTCGCGAACTAGGCTTGAAAGAATGCGCAGACACAAGGATCGGTAACTCCCAGCACCGCGGATGCTCCGGCGGTGAAAAACGTCGCGTCAGTATCGGCGTTCAGCTGCTCGCTAACCCATCCGTCCTCTTCCTCGACGAACCAACTACAGGGCTGGATGCCACAAGCGCCTATCAGCTGGTTCGAACCTTGAAGGCCTTGGCGAAAAAAGGTCGCACGATTATTACTACTATCCACCAGCCTCGGTCCGAGATTTGGAACCTCTTCGATAACATCGTCATCCTCACCAGAGGCAGCCCCGTCTATTCCGGTGACGCAACTGAGTGCATACCTTGGTTTGAAAGCCAGGGGTTTCCCATCCCCGCATTTGTGAACCCGGCGGAATTCGTCATAGACATTGCTGCTATCGATAACCGCACTCCAGAGCTGGAGACGGAGAGTAGCGTACGCGTCGAAACCCTGAAGCGAAGCTGGGGCCAAGCGAGTGAGAAGCAATTCTTACCCGTGGGCGGCATCTTGAGCCAACCGAATCGCCATCACCGTCGCATATGCTCACATGGCCACGACGAGAGGGCTGGATTTTGGCGCCAGCTGCGAGTTTTGACCAGTCGAACCTTCAAAGTCACCTATCGCGACCCAATGGGCATGACTGCTGCCATTCTAGAGGCCGTGCTTCTCGGCGCAATCACGGGCTATATGTTCTGGAATGTTGGTCGCGACCAAGCCGGCATCAGATCTCGCCAGGGCGGACTATACATCACCGCTGGTCTGCAAGGCTACCTGATCCTCCTGTTCGAAGTGTATAGGCTCACTATTGATATGCCAACATTCGACCGCGAAAATTCCGAAAATTGCGTTGATCCTCTCCCATTTATCTTGTCTCGCCGACTTGCGCGCATGCCGACTGAAGACATCCCTGTGCCATTCATATTCTCCGTTTTGATGTACTTCATGTCAGGGTTTGACCGCGACGTGGGAAAGTTCTTCACCTTTTTCGCAATCACTCTGCTCAACCAATATGTTTCCGTGACATGCGCCATGGCGTGTGTAACGGCTGTGCGACACTTTCCGGGGGCAAGCTTAATGGCCAATTTGGTCTACACTATTCAGAGTATAGCATGTGGCATGTTCGTGCAATCCAGCAGCATCCCAGTTTACGTTCGGTGGATAAAATGGACCGCTTACAATGTACGTTCTCAAAGCTGCAGGCAATCGACTACAACTAAACCACGCTGGTAGTTCTATGCATTCAGCGCTTATTGTGCGAATGAGTTCCAAGGAAGCTTTTACGATTGTCCATTCCCCGGCGGCAGGGATAATCCTGCATGCCAGCAATACACTGGGCAATACATCATGAAGTCTCTGGGCTTCCCAACGAATTGGATAGCGAGACCAATAGTGGCGCTTGCCTCGTTCATCGCCCTCTTTTTGCTTCTATCCACCGTTGGTCTCACATTTCTCAAAGTCGAAATGACAATTGCTCGCGCGCGAACGACTGATACCGACTTGTCTGCTGGCAAGGAAAAGATGACTGCACGCTCAATTGGAGAAGTACGAGCCATCGATGTTGGTCTGGACAAATTTGCGCTTGCCCTGGACAAAAAGGCAGCCACTGGCAAGCGTCTCCCTCGACGCCTGATTGTCAATCCCGTCACGGCGACATTTCAAGCCGGTACTCTCAACGTCATCATGGGCCCGTCCGGTAGTGGCAAAACGTCCCTCCTCAATGCCATGGCGCTCAGACTGCGCAACTCTGTGGGCAACAAATACCGTCCCTCCGGCAAACTGACATTCAATAGCGCGGTCCCGTCAGACTCTGTTATCCGTTCCGTCTGCTCATACGTATGCCAAGATGACGATGCGCTGCTGCCATCCCTGACAGTCCGAGAAACTCTTCGTTTCGCGGCCGGCCTGCGTCTCCCATCATTTATGAGCACCGAAGAGAAATATCGTCGAGCCGAGGAAGTGCTACTCAAGATGGGCCTAAAGGACTGCGCCAACAATCTCGTTGGCAATGACATGATAAAGGGTATCTCGGGCGGTGAGAAGCGGCGAGCTAGTATCGCTGTTCAGGTCTTGACGGACCCTCGGGTGCTACTTCTCGATGAGCCCACCTCTGGACTGGACGCCTTCACGGCCAGCTCTATCATGGAAGTGCTCCAAGGTCTCGCAAACGAGGGACGCACACTGATTCTCACCATCCATCAAGCACGATCAGATCTGTTCAAGCATTTTGGCAATGTTCTCCTGCTCTCCCGTGGCGGCCATCCTGTATACGCAGGCGCCAGCAGAGACATGCTCGGATACTTTGGTAAACATGGATATGACTGCCCCAAAAATACTAATCCCGCCGACTTCGCGCTTGACATGATCACGGTCGACTTGCAAAAAGAAGATATCGAAGCAGAAAGCCGCGAGCGGGTAAAAAGGCTCGTCAAAAGCTGGGAAGAGCATCAAGATCCAACTGGGAATACCCACGAGCCGCGACTGTCGCCCATTCATGAAGAGACTGATGAACCCAACGAGAAGCGAAAGAGCCTAACTACCGGCTTCCAGATCAATGTCTCGGACGAAGGTGAACCCAGTGAAAAGTCACAAACGACCTCTTCCGGAGACAAGGGTGCCCTTGAACCTAGAGGTGCGTTCACGGCCATCCCTCGCCGCTCTTTCAACCGCGCCAACCTGTCCACGCCTGCGGAGCTGGGAGCTCTCGTACGCAAGCGCACCTCCATCGTCAAGGCATTGCCACTTCTCCTGCGCCGCGCCGTCATCAACACTCGCCGCCAGCCGGAGCTCATCCTCGCGCGCACAATGCAGGTAGCTGGCCTGGCCGGCGTCTTCACACTCTTCTTTGCGCCTTTCAAGCACGACTACTTTTCGGTGCAGAACCGCATGGGGTACGTGCAGCAGCTTGGCGCCTTTTACTTTGTCGGTATGCTCCAAAACGTGGCCGTGTACCCGGCCGAGCGCGACGTCTTCTACCGCGAAGACGACGATGGCGTGTACGGCGTCGACGCCTTCCTGCTGTCGTACACTGTCCTCGAGCTGCCCTTTGAGGTGCTCAGCTGCCTCGTCTACGGCCTCTTCTCCACGTTTGCGGTGCGCAACCCGGAAACTGCATCGCTTTACTTTGCCGCGTTCTTCGGCTGCTTCGGCGTCGTCTCGTGCGGCGAGAGCCTGGGCATCATGTTCAACACGCTCTTCGCGCACACCGGCTTCGCCGTCAACATCATGGGCGTCTTCCTCTCCGTCGCCAACGGCATGGCCGGCGTGCTGTCGATCAACATGCCCGGAGCGTTCAACGCCCTCAACTACCTGTCGCCCATTCGCTACGCCACGCGGGCGATGGCCCCGTACGCGCTGCGCGGCGTCGACTTTCACTGCACCGCCGAGCAGGCTCTGCCGGACGGCTCGTGCCCGGTCACCTCAGGCGAGCAGGTGCTAGAGCTGTACAACTTTGATGTGGATCCCAACGTGAATGCTTACTGCCTCTTGGCATGCGTCGTGATTTATAGATTGATTGCGTGGGTGCTGCTGCGAGTGACGAGGGCTCGTTGGAAGGATAGGAAGAGAGTAGAGGTCTGACGACGAAGGGAGCAATGACTAACGAATTCCATAGTTCAAGGCATGTTTATAGCGTATCGAGTTTTCTACGTCGCATTTCCAAACTCGATGCTCATGTGAAAGGAAGGGAAGAAAAACACGCATGGATTGTTTCATTCCAACATGTATGTGAGTACCCCAAAAGAGGCTAATATAGACATAATTCGAAAGCTAACGAGGAAGGTATCAAGTAGAAGAAGCAACTGAACAGCAAAAACAAAAGCACGGGAAATTACATCAATTTAGTAAAAGCGCTTCTCATCATCCTGGCTGGCCAGGGGAGCAATGTAACGACCCTGTTTCTTAGCCTGTTCGACAGCCTCAAAGTGGTACAGTGGAGGTTTTGTGGCGTTCTTTTGGAAGAGCACGTAGCGTCTGAAGAACCACGGCAGGGCAACCGTTACCTGGTAGCGGGCGAACTGACGTACGGGGACGGCAAAGATCCAGTCGAGCTCCTCGAGCGAGCGCTGCATGGTCTCGGGGACGAAGAGGAAGATGAGGATAAAGGCGATGACGTTGAGCCCCGCATACACTCCAAAGGCACCCACAGTCTTGGCCTCGTGCAGCAGGAACGGGAACGAGGTACCCAGGACGGCGGCCCAGAAGAGGCAGGTCGCGACGGCGAAGCCCATGCCCGTCTCGCGGACGGCGAGCGGATAGACCTCGGCGGCGAAGCTGTAGGGCACGACGCCGCAGCCGGGCGAGTAGAAGGCGGCGAAGCAGAAGACGAAGAGGCAGACGAAGCCGGTGCGGACGTCGCCCATGTCGCGGTCCATGAGGGTGCAGAGGCCGGCGGCGAGCAGGGTCCAGAACATCTGGGGAAAGGTGAAGAGCAGCAGGCTGCGGCGGCCATACGAGTCGATGGCCGTCAGGGCCGGGAAGCAGAAGAGCCAGCCGACGACGCCAAAGCCGAAAGAGCCGATCATGGCGCGGAAGTCGGTGAGGCCGGCCTCCTTGAAGATGGAGGTGGAGTAGAAGGCGATGATGTTGATGCCGCACATTTGCTGCGCGAGCATGACGATGACGGCGGCGAGGTTGGCGCGGCGCACGCGCGGCACGGTGAAGAGCTGCGCGAAGCGGCCGACGATGCCGATCGAGCAGCCTCCCTGGCCCCCTCCCCGGCCCCGCGCCAGGGGATCCTCCATCTCGAGCTGCGTGCCGATGTAGAAGACGTCGCGGGCGACCTGGATCTCGCCGTGGCGCAGCAGCGACATGGCGCGCCAGGCGTCGGCGTAGCGGCCCTTCTTCATGTACCAGCGCGGCGACTCGGGGCAGAGGTAGATGCCGACGAGCAGGGGCACGGCGGGGATGAAGGGCGCGCCGAGCATCAGGCGCCAGTTGACGTCGGGCACGTGGAAGACAGCGAGGTTGAAGGCGGTGCCGAGCATGATGCCGAAGGCGGTCCACATCTGCCAGGACATGACGAGGGCGCCGCGGATCGAGGCCGGCGCGTTCTCGGCGGCGTAGACGGGCACGGTCGTCGCCTTGGCGCCCATGCCGACGCCCATGAGCAGCCGGCAGGCGAGCTGCTGCTGCCAGGTGTGGCAGAGGGCGGAGCCGAGGACGGGCCAGATGCAGAAGTGCGCGGAGAACCAGATGGCGCCGCGGCGGCCGAAGCGGTTGTTGAGGGGGTCGGAGAGCCAGCAGCCGATGAAGCTGAGGGAGGCGCCGTTGTCAGCCTGCGAGAGACCACGGAGAATGTGGGAGAGAGAGAGAGAGAGAGAGAGTCTATAGACTTACGCGCTACCAATGTACGGGGCCGCGTTGATGAGGCCGACGAGGATCTGCTCGCGCGCGCTGTCGCCACCGATGCCGTAGTGCCGCGGGAAGAAGATGGTCGCGCCGTTGGCGCCGGTCTGGTCCCAGCCCTGCACGGCCGCGCCGACGGAGCACATGGCGATGGTCCAGAAGAGGCGCGCGGGCATCGCCCACCGGCTGGTGCGCTCGCGGCCCAGCACGGCCGCCTCGGCGGGCGTCAGCGCCTCGTCGGTGCCGTCCATCAGGCGGCCGGCGTCGTCGGGGTTCTGCGCGAGCAGCGCGCCTTTCCGCAGGACGGGGATGTGTCGCTCGAGGCCACGCGCGCGCGCAAAGGCCTCGACGGTGCGCATGAGCTCGTCGCGCGGGATGCCCTCGAGCGGGTTGCGACTGCGCGCCTCGAGGTCGCGCTCGTGGAGAGCGATGGCCTCGACGTCTTCGTCGGCGTACGGGGCGCCCTTTTCGGGGTGCATGTCCGTGATGTCGCGGGACATGATGGGCCAGGGCCGTCTGTGTTGAGAGCTTGTCGTTTTCTGCGTGTAAGTAAAGGGAAGGGGAAAGAGGTATCGATCCCTGGAGGGGAAGCAGGGCCCTCGGGCGGCGGCGTCGAAGGGCTCACGCAGGGTCGCTCGTTTAGATTGTCTAGGACGATGAAGACAAGGCAATGATCAACGACTGGGGGAATGGGGGAGTATAAAAAGAAGAATGTCGAGAGTGAAACTAGAGGACTTGCGAGTCTCTTGACTGGGTCCGGTGTAAGCCGAGACAATGGAAAGTCTGCGGATGGGGAGAGCTGAATGGGCTCTAGATAGACGAGGGGGTAGTTCCAAGGCTCGCCCTGCCAGGTGAAGTAAAGTCTAGATGCAACGTGAGAGCTAAAATGGGCAAACATTTGCGTGCGTCGCATTCCCCTTCCCTGTTGCGAGTGGTGAGCATGCCAGTGAAGAAGGGACTAACACGTAGGGAGAGGAGGTACCGATACAAGCACGGGGGGAGCGTCCTGAAAGGCACCGGCTCCGGTTGAGCGAGGCCGTCCTTGATGTTCTACTCGGTGGAAACAATCACTATAAGATAAAGACCCCTAGCTTTGCAATCTAATAATATTAAGAGGAAAATATCAAGCATGGATGAATGGTTCTTCATCAGTTACTGCTTAAAAAGCCTTGGTTCGGCTGTGCGACAGCGACTGCCAAGTGCAAAGGTATAGACGAAGCCCGAGGCACAACTTTGTTCGTTCATCTCTTCGAAAAATTGAAAAGCTGTTCAAATTGAAATGTGCTGAGAATGGTGCTGTCTCGGCCAGTCAATCTTCCAAATCCCTCACATCCTGCTGGGCTACCTCTGTGTAAGTGAAATGTACATTTGCACTATCACAAATTGTAGCTCTGAATGCCTGGGTGCTGTTAGGCTCTCAAGTCCTTCTGCGACGGCCTCCAGCGCAGTAGTGCCCCCGCCACAGAAAAAAAAAAGGAAACTGCATTCCAGAGCACCGCCTTAAAACCATCACCAGACAACTCTGAGATTGCTCCCACAATCACCTCCCTTGCGTCAAGCCCTGAGGAATATGTACACAGGAAACATTATTCAACTCAAGTCATTTCTCTCACTTCTCTCTACTAGATGAACGTCTTTGAGACGGGAATCTTCTTCTGACAGCTTCTGGTTTGCTTCATCAACTTTCATCAGCCACTTACCTGCAAGCGCCGCCATCTCGAGCTGGCTCCAGCTTTGGCTCGCATCGGGTTCCACCCCTTCGGCACCGTGACGGCATCAGGGCACCTTCCCATGGGCGAGGGTTTCAGGCAACAGAATTCCTCAGACACTGGCTGGATGAACCTGAGAGTTCTCGGGGCCTGAATCATCAGCGAGGTATTCGCCAAGATGTGGTGCTGGCAGCCGGCTCATGAGGGAACCTGTACATGAACGAGCTCTGCAAATGTGAATGCCGTACGAAATGCCGAGTACAGTCGAGCGTTTTGAATGGTCGAGGCTTTTGCTTTATAGCGTAACTGTTCCCAATTCCTGCTCTTAGAGGCCATCTGCTCAACTTTAGCCGAGCGCGTGTATTGGCTGCAAGACTTGCAAGTCTCGCCCTGGACAGCTTGAGAACAGAGAGCCTCAAGAATCAGAGTCCCTGGGGAAAGGAAAATGTCACCATTGCCGCCCTTTGGCATGCTCGAGGCCAGAGTTCCAGCTCCGGCTTCCCAAGCTAGGCATGGCGTCCTACAGCTTCTCAGCTACCTTGGTCCTCACATGTCCTCACATGCAAGACAGGCATTGCTCGCCATGCAAAGTCTTAAATCGATTTCCAGAGCCAGACCTTCAAGGGTCAGATCGCCCACTTGCCACACGTGGCGGCTAACAGTCACACCACCTGTCTCGTATGCCGCATTTTCCTGGCCTTGACGTAAGCAAGTGTCTCTGAGTTTCTCCTTGAAAGGAGAATCCAGACCAGCCGAGGTTCTCAGTCACATTTCTTCGTCGCCCTTGTCCGTGGCGTCCATGCCATTCATTATGGCTGCACTCAATGCCGTCCTCTCTGCCGCTTTGCTGGCATGAGGTATAGCCGCGATGAGAGGCACTTGACACGTTCTACGATTGCGCCGCTGTTGTGTTGCGACGGATAAAGCGACTACATCATAGGCATCCAGGAAATTCTCCCCCATATACATCCATTGACCGAAAAGCGCGACATTCTCACACCGATAGAGGAATCCACGGCAGGAGATTTCAGAAGAGAAAGAATACTGTTCCGTAGCCGCATAGTCTGGTGATGCCAAGTCAGGAAGATCCCGGCCGAGGTGGCATGGACGCCAGCTGACTCACCCATACTCGGGGCAGACTGAGGGCAGACTGAGGGCAGACTCATCCCGCTTCGCGCGACACGGACAAGACTAGCGACGAGATGAAGTTGATTATTCCCACTGCCCAAAATTTTGTATAGATTACTCAGGATATATATGCTGCCCACATTAGATACTGTATGCGCCCTCGGCTAGCACCTACTCCCGCGCGAATGTCGCTGCCGCGTCTACCTGCTGTTGGTGGCTATAAAAATGCCAAGTAGCATCAGATATCACTCTGATATCAAGCTCTACAGATGGAAAACACGTCATAGAATATTAGAGGGTACCATTTTATATAGAAAAACATGCCAAGGTAGAGTAGTCCACGAGTGTCACCCCAGCTGTAGCCGCACTCAGGACTCGACAACAGCCTCACCCCCAGCCCTGTCCCTTGAGGCGTTGAATCCGCCCTGAAAATTCAAATACAAGACGTTTTTTGTCTTTTCATGTTTATCCGCACTCATCTCTTCCTTGAAGGGCCTTTATAAGCTACACACCACTACGTTCAACCGTTCACCGCTCATGCCGGCCTCCTCCCGTCACACGGGTCGGCTAGCCACCGCCGCTTCCAGGCGGCATCCCAATCAACCACCTCGTCACGACGACCGCTTAGCCCTTCTAAACCACCATGAATCACGCGCCTCGAGGGTATCACCGGAAGATACTCGGTCAGCAACCATGATGACTGGTTCACGAATCCAGCTGCACAACTATAAAAGAGAGGCTCTCTTCTCGTCGGCCACAGACAACTCCTCCTTGCACCACCCAACCTCAGCATCCAACATTGTTCCTTGTCCAAGCCTACTTGCCCGTTTCACTCTTGTGCCATCATCGTACGCTTCATTCTCACGTTCTTTGGCGGCTTCCCTCTTCTGTCTGGTGCCGCTCCTTGATGCCGCTCCGGGAACACGTCCGCGTCGAGACCACATCCTTTGCACCGGGCGAGCTGCCGCTGTCCGCGCGCACCCTCTGCGTCGTCTCGTGCCTCCGCATCGTCACGGGCGCCGGCATCCCGCTGTGTCTCGTGGGCCGCGTCACGGCCGCGTTCTACAACGACCGCGGCCTGCCCGTCTGGAGCCGCCGTGTGCTCCTGTGCAAGATTGTGCCGGGGGGGAGTCGTCGCAGGTCTGTTGCCGCAAGCCAAGGTATGTTTGTCTGTCCCTCGCTCGTCCCTGTCCTGATGAGCAATCGTGTTTGCTTTCCACGTACTGACCGACAAATCAGGAGTCGTTCGGCCACGAGAGGGACCTCGTCTGTCATCTCGCTCCCACCAGAATCGAGACGAAGACGTCACTTCTTCAACGTCTTCCGAGGGTCAAGGTATGACTTCCCTTTCCTAATCGTGGCATGATGAATCACCACTAAAATGATTCACAGAAACCATTGAAATCCCGCAAGACGAGCATCACCAATACCTCTTACACCGCCACCAACATCGCACACCTGTCGCACCGTACCACCAACAACATTGTCCTCTGCCATACCACTTCTACCAACCGCAGCCGCATCCAGGCTACTCCCACCAGCAGCTGATTCACCACCCGCTCCCTCCCACCCTCAACCCACAGTACCCGACCTACTTAACCCCAAGCAACAACCGCAGAATCCCCTCTGCCCTCCCCTTTGGCCCCAGCCAACCTCTCGCTCCCGTCCGCAGCTGCCCGTCGCCCTCCAGCTCCGGCCACTGGTACACCTCGTTCAGCCCGCAGGAGCGTCGCTGGATCAACACCTGGCAGCCGAGCTGACTCGCGCGCCCTCCCCGACGACACCTTCCTGTCCCCTCCTCATCCAAGACTTCGACACCCGCAATGTCTGGCGGCTGGAACCCCGTCACGGGCCGCGACAACTACGGCGGCCGTCCCAGCTTCGCGCCCCAGGGCGGCGGCCCCATGCCAGCCCAGGGACAGGCCTACATCCCGCACCTCGGCGGCCCGGGCTGCTACAACCTTGGTATGGTCCCCCAGTACGCCGGCTACTACCCAGGCATGGCCGCTTACGGTGGTGGATACGTTCCAGCGGCAGCACCCACCAACTTCTTCCCCCCGCAGGCTCCCATCGGCGGCGGCGGCGGCGGCGGCGGGATGCCCATGATGGCCGGCCCGCCCCCGCCGCAGCCCACCTCCGGCTTCTACGCCCAGCAGACGTTTTCCTGCCAGCCCAACGGCACCGCCAACGTCCTCCCTCGTCAGCCGCAGCCGTACCCCGTCATCGACCCGACCATGCCCGCCGCGCACATGACCAACAGCTCCGGCGGGGTCGGCTGCGAGCCCGGCTACAACTACTTCTTCCCCGCGGAGCACACCAAGGCGCACGTCTTCAAGACGAGCACCCCGCCCTGGCAGCTGCCGCCCACCGCGCAGATCCCCTTCAAGGCGGCGCACATCCCCTGCACCACCACCATGGCGGAGCTGCTCAAGGGCTTCGGGTGCACGAACCCAGTGGCCAAGAAGAACAAGTGCTTCGAGGTGATTGGCGGCGGGAGCGGCAAGTGGTACAAGGGGCTGGCGGTGTGTGGTGATGACAAGGACATGCTCAAGAAGACCGTCAAGGAGGTCGGCTGGGACATGACGAGGACGGGCAACCCGCACGAGAAGCCGATTGTGTGTCTGTGGTTCTGCAAGGATTGAGGGCAAGTATGTAGTAAGTTTTCCTTTTCGTGTGTTGAGCATGTCGGAGGCTGATGGGATGTGGGCGGAGTGGTTTTGCTTTTGAGGTTTGTTTGGAAAGGTATTCCAGGATGGCGTTGTATTTTGATAAAATCGGTTGCTTCTAGTCTGGATTTTTTTTCCCGCTTCTGGACTGCTGCGGACCGAAATGCAAAACGTTGCTCGTTGGCTAGGTAATCTAGCTACCAATATGATGATGTAAATCTGCTCAAATTCTGGCTTGAAAGGTCAACGCATATCAACAGACCTGTCAAGAAAACAATACAGTGAGACCCAGATTTGCCAACTCGAAGCCCGACGTCTCATAACAACCCGTCATCTAATGCAGTCGTCTGTCACTCGTCATCGTCGCTGTTGTCCGGCACCACCCTCACCATGGCCAGTCCCATCATCTTGCGCGGTGACACGTGCTGCTGCTGCTGCTGCTTCTGCTTCTGCTTCTTCTCCGCACCCGCGTCCCGGCGCCTCCCCGCCTCCGATATCAGCCCCTTGAGGTAGACCTCGGCCTGCACCGTCGCGCTGTACGCCGCGGCCGTCCAGTCCCAGACGTTCCTCCTCTCCGCGTCCGCCCCCGCCGCCAACAACGTCCGCAGGCACAGCAGGCTCCCCGTCGACGCCGCAAAGTGCAGCGCCGTGTTGCCCTCGTCGTCCGCCGCGCGCACCGCCTCCGCCGGCCCGCCCGGCGCGTACGTCAGCAGCAGCTGCAGGCGGCCGCTCGTGGCCGGCGGCGACGAGAGCCTCGCAGGTGGCCCGGTCGCCCAGGGAGGCGGCTAGGTGCAGGTTCGAGTTGGACAGGCCGGTCGAGGAGGTGTCGGGGTTGTGCAGCAGGTGCGGGTGCGAGCGGAGGATGCGCCGGACGAGCAGCGCGTCGGAGGCGTGGATGGCGCGTCGGAGCCGGATCGCGGGGTCGATCCTGCAAAGCAAGGGATGGTCAGTTTAGGGCGGTGGGCATGGTGAGGGGGAAGATGTCGGTCGGGAATGTACATGTTAACGAGATTTGCATGATAGATTCGGCCGTGGCAGACGTGCAACGGATGATTTGAGGAACCTCGCCAGCGAGGTGTAGGTTGATGGTTGACGTGACGTGTTTGACGCGATGGATGTAAAGCGGTGAGGCTGTACAGGTGTCCACAGTCGCAGCGACAGGTACTGTCAAGCACAACGAACAGTCACTTACATAAAACCGTTGCAAAAATTGAAATTTATACGGAGAATGGGATTTTTTAAGAATTGTTGATTTTTCAAACTTTATCAAATTACAAAAAATGCCATACTCCAAACTCCCAATCGATATCGAAATCAGCCCAACAACACCGAGCACGCCCCCTAAGCCTTGTTTACATACTCCAAATAAAAACATAGTGGCGACGACCTCGCTTAATCCAAAAGCTCACTCAGGTCACGCTTAGCATTGCGCTTGATCCCGCACTTATTTAAGCATGCATCGATTCCCAGCGCAATGTTATCCGGGATCGCATGCCTAAACGTCTCAATGTCCTTGCCGTCCAGCGTCTGCACGCCCCCCAGCGTCGCGCCAACCACGTCCGGCCGCAACCCGAAAAAGTTCTGCGCCACCTGGCTCACCCCCGGGTCCGCGTCCGGGAACGCCGCCACGAACACCGCCTCCTCGCAGTCCGGGTTGAACTCCTGATGGATCGCGCCCTGCGGGAACACCGCCATCTGGAAGGTGCTCATCGTGTTGGCCACCGGCGCCGCGCCGTTCTCCAGCACAAAGTTGGTGACCAGGCGGCCCTGGACGACGACGTTGAGCTCGGTGGCGCGCGGGTGCACGTGCGCCGTGTTCATGCCGCAGGCGCCGAGGAAGGCGACCGTCATGGAGGCGCCGTTGCCGACGAGCGCGGGGAACGTCTTGGCGGTGGCGGCGACGGAGACGCCGCCCTTGCCCTTGGCCTCGGAGGAGCGGCTGGGGTCGGTGGCGGCGGAGGGGTTGAAGTCAAAGACAAAGTCGCCGGGCTGGTCGAGCAGCTTGGCGCGGTCGAGGGCGGTCGGCGCGGTGACGAGCTTGCTGAGGAGGGAGGCGTCGCCGCCGCGCGTGTTGACGGGCACGACGGGCGGGATGGCGGCGTTGATGTCGCTGTCGCGGGCCGCCGGGGCGGCCACGACGGTACCGGCGAGGAGGACGGTGGAGGTGGTTGTGAAGCGCATAATGGCGGGTGGTTTTAGAGAAGACAAATGTGGAGATGATGAAGACTTGTGTTTGATCGACTGCTGCAGATCTTGTTTATGAGATGAGAAAACATTTTCGTTTCAAAACGTCGGACACCAGCGATTTATATGCACGGGCTTCAGGTAAGGCTCTCTCTCTCGCCCGGAACCAACTATCCGGCTCATCAACCACCTACCGTCCGTGTCTCGTTCATTTCGGGCAGCAGCCTTGCGTGCACAATCTACCACGAAGGATGATGAGTTGGCAGCAGCCGGAAGCTTCTCAACCCGCGTGGCTGTTATTTGGGCTTTGTGCCAATTGCGGCATGGCTGTGCAGGTTGTGTAAGCAGGCTGACGGGCATCATTAGCACGAGAACACGAGCCAATGAGGCCAAGTGGGAAACAAAGCATAACAAGCCAAATTATGAGCTAGCTCCTGCCCACATGGTGAGGAATCAAGTGTAGTTGATGAGGCTCTTCCGCATCAGGCCCGTCTAATCATCATAAGGCTCGCCTAAGGCGAGGCTCTCGAAATAGACTTTAGGTGCGCCTCGCCATACTGCTGGAGCCTTGCCCTACGCTCCAAACGGTCTTCAATTGGCTTTTCAGAGACTACTAGCTCGGCTCTTGGTGAGATTTTGGATTGGTAGCTTGTTTGTCTACATTATGATTGTAGGTAGTGAGCAAGCCTTGTGGGTTTAACGTTACTGAGGCTGCGTGGTGCAGTGAGTGGGCTTATCCATTTCGTCCAACTTGGCTAATCCGTCATCATTTCACAACATGATTCACAGCGGCAAAATGATGATGAAAAATAAAATTAGAGCAAAGTCGTGGCATAGTGTGGAATCAACGGCCAAGTCTGCCTTGCCTTGCCTTATAACCGGCGAGCTATTTGCGGGCAAAGCCAAAAATAGAACAGACCCTGTATTTTCATTTTAGTGGCATTTTTAGGCCGCAGATTATCACTGCAGAGCACATTTCTGCCCAATAGCATAGCATTGTCATCCAGATGCACTTCCCCAATGTCTCATTGTATCCACCCAAAAACTGCGTTTCTACTGTAGTCACTTCATCCTATCGTCGACTGTCTTCAAGCGGACTATACGATCCATCATGCCCGTTTGAAACCTCCATTATTAGTGGAACATGTTCAACGGGCAATGGCGCATATCGCCGCCTATTTTTGTTTTGGTTGTGTCGCCTCGCCAAGTACCGCCCGCCTACCACCATTCCTGTCACAAACACAACACCCAAAACCGTCGCGTTCGGTAGATTTCCACGAGCGTCAGGCTCTTCCCCGTACAGCCACTCGGGTAACTTGGTGACATCTTGTTTCGAAGTGAGGGCAACTTTCGCGTCGCCGTCCCCGCTCAGCTGCTCGAGGTTGTCCATGCTCACCTGCGACGGATTTTCGACTGGTTTTCCGTTCATCATCGGTGTAGTGTTTTCCAAGTGCTTCACGAGGTCGGACGGTCGGAACGGATCCTCGGAGTGCAACCAGACCAAAGGAGCTATCGAAATAGAGCTGAAGTTAGCTTCTAAACAACAGAAAGCTGCAACATGTTTCCAGTTCGACTGTATCATACCATATTTCAGGACGAAATCGGGCACAACAGGCTCCTCGCTGTCCAGTATTGACGCGGAGACGAATGTAGCGCCAAGTATGGCCAAGAGAAATGTCGACAACACCTTGCGAGCCCTTTGGAGACGCTGCGACAGTGCACAAGGCATTTGAGTATTCGTCAGAGGACAAGAACTGTCGGGCTCAGTATCAGAACGGACACGCTTCACAAAATATGAAGACTTGGGCTATGTACCAAGTGTTGTCCAAGGTTTTGTATACCCGTGCCGCATCGTTTTTCAACTAGGAAACTGTATCCTTTGTTCAGAAACAGGGTAGGCAAGGCACGAGGGCCCTGGTTTGTCCCGCCGAGATTCGTTTGTTCTGGCTCCGAATGTGGATCGAGAAGCACAATAATAACTTGAAGCCTTGTAGGAGGCGAAGCTTACCCGTTCTACTCGGTACGTAGGAACGTCCTCTAAGGATTCAAGCACATGGCCGTTGACAGTGAGCCTTGCTAATACTTGCTACTCGCATCTTCTGCTTATTAAGGCTATGTATTATGTACTGCACATCAACGGGAGCTTGTTTGATGCCGTCTTAATAGTGCAGGATCTTGTCGAATCTGCTAACATGCTTCCTTAAGTGCCCTAGAGGCGACGTATGGCCAGTCTGTAGCTTTTCGTATATTCGCAGCGAGACGGATTGCCCATTACTGAATTGGCCCCTCCCGTCTTCTATCTAAGGACGTCTGTACTTAAAGACGGGCGTGTCTCTCCAGTTTACTATCATCATAGTTTCCTTGCCTTGATTCTGAGACTAGACCACCATGGCTCTGCCACGTATCTTCTGTATTTCCATCACAATCGCCATTATGGTTAACCGTGGCATGAAACCATCTCTTTCTTTAGTAACGTCGCTAGGCCGCTTGTTATTTCTCGGCTCATTAGCCGCCGCCTCCGATTACGCCTAAGCTTCTGGATTCAACAAAACTGCTCGATACACGAACCAGTTCCAGCACTGGTTTCCTTAGTATGCTTATATATGGAGTGACATTTTGAGCGATAACTGCTCCACGCAGCTTGGAAACTACTGAACGGGTGTGATAGATATGGACAAGGTTGACTGGCGAGGAGGAGGAGGCACTAATGCTGGCGGAGCGCAGCCGGTTGTCGAGTGTCTTCTGAACAACTCCTCCGAATATCTCAAAGCGGTCATGATAGGAGCGCAAGTCATTCTTGGTGTCATACTTACGGTTATATCTCTTCTTAGCGGTAGCTGCGAAGAATTCTCTGCGCTGGCTGTCATCGGGAGGCGGCCTATCCTAGTAATGCTCCTAGGGCTCAGTAGTTCCTACATATACCTTGGTAGTAGGGCATTCGAAGCTTGGGATCCGCTGGGGCTTTTGAAGCTCTAAAAGCACAGGTTGGCGCAACTCCAGCCCCCTGCAATGATGCGACCAGTTGTTTGGGCTCTGCAATATATCCTTGCCATGTGCTCCATTGTTAACATCGGCCTGCTCACCTGGCAGATAGGCCTCCGGACTGTTGTGGCCATGTGGACAGATATGCCTATAGGGCCGACGATATGGACCGTCCTTCTCATGCCTGTTCACCTTGTCGGCGTTTGCTGCATGTACCCTCGGGCGGATCGGCGATTTCATGACGACGAGAATGGCAGTACGCCCCTACCGTCAAAACAGTCCTGCCGAAGTCTAAAGCAGCAACTATTTTCCCATAGATGGATTCAACGATTATGGCACACGGATACGACGCTGTGTATATCTCAGCCATATATTGACGTCAAGATGCATGATGAGTCGCAGGTCTCGATCGGTCTTTTCTGGCTCGTTTCAATCGGAGTTGTCGGACACCTTATTCTCGGAACCGTCATATTTTCGAATGCATTATTCCTTGGTCCCAAAGACGCGCTGTCGATCACTGGCAGATACATGGCCTTCCGTCTTTACTTGCCGGGCTGTGCTCCTATACGAGCTAGCCGGTATCAGAACAGCCTATGCTAGGACTATTGATGGTCGTGAGTGTGGCCCAGCTGCCGACTAATTGTGCCTCAATTGATATAAAAAGGTGGCAACCAGCGCCTAGACATCAGCTGGGTCGCGAACAAAATCATCAAAAATGCTTGGATAGGATAGCAGCTTTCGAGAAATCCAGTGGAGGGTTGTACGCCTTTGAACAGGGTTTTTTAGTACCTGACTGTTGGGGAAATTCCCGGCCTGCAGATTGATTGATGGGTTTACTAGGGATCTTCATAATTAGTTGGGAATTACCTGTAAAGTTAGGTATTCGTTGGCGGTAGGAAATCAATGAGTAGCTGAAAATAGCAAGCCAACAGTAATAATACATCTTGTGCTACTGCTGCTGGCAGAAGACAGGAGGCTTGGGGAGCGTCTCTAAGTTTCTGTTTTGGTAACAGAATGCAAAACAGTGAAAAAATAGGTGTAAGAGGAGTAGAGCTTGGCAAAGAAATGAGCAGCACTCGACAAACATCAACTTATATCTGCTAATCGTCGCCACAAACATACCAACGATGTGGCTGCCACGGCCATGCGTTTGCCACTGGATGCACAAAAATACAAGATCATCCGTTAACATGTCTTTGGTAGATTTTCCCGTAAACAGTGCTGCGTGCTGCCATGCATCGCGGCCGAAGCAATTTGCCCTCCATTGCATTTGGACTACCTCGTAAATGCGATAATTTTCTGCGCTACATTCAGAGCACTGAATAAGCGAGCGCCGTTCAACAATAAAAACCAACCATGATCCCGTGGTCTAGTTGGTTATGGCATACCGAGAAGGTCCCCGGTTCGAGCCCGGGCGGGATCACGTTTTTTTGCTTCCATTTTGTCGAGCGAACACTTTTTTTTTTTGGCAGCCGCGCTTGATTTTTCGCTTTTTTTCTTCCAAGCATTGACTGATTTCTAAGGCTCTCGTTACAGCAATGTGTCGAGTTGGTAGCTAGATACGCCTGCCAAGAAGTCTAGGTGAAGTTTTAGTTCCGACAAATTCATTGCATAGATATGTTGTCAGCTATATCAAAAGGAGCAATTTAGGGATACATGTTCTGAATTTATAAACGTATTTTAGAAGATTTGCGAAGACATTCTGGCTAACTTATAAGAAAGATAGTGATGTCGCCGACCCTAAATTGTACCTACTAAACGTATTCAACCAGTAACGTTACCCTACAACCACAGCAGCTATTCCGCGACAACCGACCGCGACCATCACCATAGCGTTGGAGAGGCCACATTGCAAGCCTAGAATGGCCAGGAAGTTATAGAAAATGATGAACGTCTTTCGCTTTGTGATTAGGTCTCAATTTCTTAAGGGAGTGGGTATGCACTTTTCATTCTATAAGGGCAATTTTGGCTTGTGCGCTTTGTAACAAGTGACGGGATACACTGGCAGTTGCACACGTTCAGTCCCAATTGGCCCTAGATCGGCTACCGAACAGCACATTTCTCTCTTAAGTCTCTGTATTACTGTTGCCTAATTCACAACAATTGAATTAACAGCAAACCCCTTGGCTAATTAATTACCCAGTTCAAAATTGCTTGTTTGGTACCCTGGGCGAGGCGATGCTGACCGTGGTCTACGGTATGCTCAGCCCAACCCACTAATCCTGGGCAACTCCAGTCAGCAGCGCAAACCTTGTTCTGACACCTCCATCTTTTGATTGCTCCAACAGGAGACGTGGGAATCCGAAACGCAAACCTACGTAATCAGCTCGATGCGAACCCGCGCCTCCTCGCAGGCTTCTCATCCTCCTACATCACCACGGCGCTCGACTCTTCCCCAGCGCCCGTTTGCCCGTTGCATGATGCGTTCTGCGTCGGACGACTCCCCAGTCTCACCATGATGCTCGCGCCGCTGCTGTGCCTGCTGCGCAAGCGGTTCCTCCTGCTCCTCCTCGCGCCGGCCCTCGCCGTCACCACCCTCCTCCTACTGAGCCGGACCTACTCGCCGACGCTCAGCCGGGTGCACTGGCGCAGCGACTGGTCCTGGGTCGACATGGGCGCCTCGGGCATGGCGCCGATGCGCCGCTACCGCTCCTTCGACCACGCCTCCGTCGACGTGCGCTTCGTCGTCCGCGACGAGCGCCGCTGCAGCCGCGAGCAGCTCTTCCTCGCCACCCGCGGCTCCGGCACCGAGCCCGGCGCCGTCATCCTCGACCACGCCGGCGAGCTCGTCTGGCGCCAGCCGCGCTTCGCCGACGAGGTGCACGACTTCCGCGTCCAGGAGCACAGGGGCCAGAAGTTTCTGACGTTTTGGGCCGGCGCCCCCGACGGCGGCGGCAAGCAAGGTTCTTGGTATCTGGTACGCCACCACACCCCCTTAGGCCTAATCACCCCACGAGGCGGCGGCGATGAGAGAGGGCGTCGCAATCTCGGCAGCGCCACCAACGTCGAGTTAGTGTGGATCGGCTTGTGCCAGGGGAGCTAACATGTTTTTTTGCTGTAGATGGACGACACTTACACGATTCGACACAATGTATCGGCGCCCGGCTTCGAATTCGGGGACATGCACGAGTTCGAGCTCACCCCCAACGGAACCGCACTCGTCACCATCTACAACCCCATCCCGGCTGACCTGTCCGCGATCGGCGGTCCGGCGCAGGGCTACATGCTCGACGGCGTCTTCCAAGAAATCGACCTCGAAACCGGCGCGGTGCTGTTCCAGTGGAACGCCTCCGACCACATCCCCCTCAGCGCCTCCAAGAAGCCGCTCGCCGGCTGCAGCGACGACCCGAAACGCGCCTTCCTCGGCTGCGGCAACCGGCCCGACGCCGCGTTCGACTACTACCACATCAACAGCGTGCAAAAGGACCCGCGCGGCAACTACCTCGTCTCCGGCCGGCACACGTCGTCCCTCACGTACATCAACGGCACGAGCGGCGCGCCCCTCTGGCACATGGGCGGCGACCTGAACCAGTTCGACGCGGTGCCCCTCGGCACGCGCCTCCTCTTCGCGTGGCAGCACGACGCCCGCCTGCAGCCCGACGGCACCACCATCACGCTGCTCGACAACAACGCGTACGACCCGCGCGCCGCCCCGCGCACCGAGTCGCGCGGCCTCCGCCTGCGCGCCGACTTTTCCACCATGAACGTCACCCTCGTCACCGCGTACCGGCACCCGCAGCGGATCATGGCCTTTTCCCAGGGCAACGCGCAGGTCCTGCCTCCGTCGCCCAGCGACGAGGGCGAGGGCAACGTGTTCGTCGGCTGGGGCAGCAGCGCCGCCTTTACCGAGTTCGCGCCGGACGGCGAGGTCCTCTGCGACGCGCGCTTCGCGCCCGCCGCGCTCTTCTCCTTCCAGCCGCTCAGCTCGTACCGCGCGTACCGGGGCACGTGGGTCGGCCGGCCGCCGTGGCCGCCGAGCGTGGCCGTCGTCGGGCGCGGCGTGTACGTCAGCTGGAACGGCGCGACCGAGGTGGCCGCCTGGCGGCTGCAGGGACGAGTGCGGGGCGGCGATGGGGAGTTTGAGGACGTGCTCGAGGTGCCCAAGGTGCGCTTCGAGACGGAGATCCTGCTCCAAGGCGAGGCGACGCGGAGGAGGAGGTACGGCGAGCTGCGGGTGCTGGCGGTGGACGTCGGCGGCACCACGCTGGGGACGTCGGCGGAGGTTGAGGCGCCGAGTCGCTGGCTGGTGCTGCTCCTGGGCAACCTGCTGGTCGTGGGCGCCGCGGGGGGCATGGTCGTCGGCTGCGTGCTGCTCGTCGCCGGCGTCGTGCAGTGCCGGAGAGGACGGCAGCGCGGCAGAAAGCCCTCGTCTGCCGGGTACGAACTCCTGGAAATGGAAGAGTGAAACATTGCCCCTACCCTGTACCTTTTCTTCCTCTTTTTATTTTGTCTCTTCTTTCATCTGCTTGTGGAGATGAAGACGCTATCGTCTGCCGGGTACGAGCTCCTCGAAATCGAAGGGCAAGGGTGAAGCAGCGTTCTTACCCTGTACCTTTTCTTTTTCTTTTTCTTTTCTTGTCCATTCTTTCGTCGGCTTGTGGTGAGCCTACGCATCTGCATCGGGACGGTGTCTTTTTTTTCTCACTTGTTTGTATATAGTTTCTGTACTCATAGCATGCATCTCATAGACCGAACGGCAACTAACAAAGGACCAAACATTTCCATCTTAACCGTCTTTCTTTACCCGCCCTACTTGTTGTGAGAATACCCAAGTAGCCTTTATGATGGCTGTGGATCCGTACCTCCCTCTTGCGCCTAGAAGCAAGGGTGATCAGGACACGGTGAGCGTAGAGACGGCATTCATGAGCACGAATCCGTCTCATTCAAACGCACCTTTGCCGATTTCGGTGCTAAGACTACCAATATTACAGTAATGAGGATAAAATTAGTACTAGTATTACGTTTTCTAACGCGACCTCGCAAGGTCCACTGCCCACCCTTGTTCAGGACAGTGCCCCGGCGGGGAATCGGTGGCACCTCTCCAAACAGGTTGATCAGTGGGGGATCCGGGTGATCCGCCGCTCATTCATGGTTCGAGCATGCATCCGCGGAATCTCGGGAGCCTCTACAGACAGGTTGATCAGTGGGTGATCCGTACTTGAACCATGGTGATCACCCAAGGCTGCACCCGGGGATTCGGGAACCTGTCCTGACAGGTTGATGAATCACGGTGATCACTCGAGGATGCATCTGGGAAATCGGGGACCTGCCCTGACAGGTTGATCAGCAGGTGATTCGCAGCTGAATCGTTATGATTACTCAAAGTCTGCTGTTTCTCCATTCCCGATGCCACTTCTTCATCTTAACCGGTCCGTGTTGGGAAACGCGCTCCGTAGGCACAGCCTCGGCGTGGGTTGAGTGCTCAACCACGGTGATGACGCAAAGACTGCTGCTCCTCCAGTCCCGTTACGACTTCATCTTAACCGTCCGTGTTGGGAAAAAGCATTCCTCCTCGGTAAAGCTTATGCTTTGTTGAGTGCCGCGACGCGAGCCTCTGTTGATCAAGCCCGGCTGAATGAGGCTGAAATTCCTGAGCGAACGCAGCTGGCTGCTCTCCTTCGTACTGGCCGGCGCCGGAAGTCGACCGTCATACGATGCTGCTCGGTACACCAGCACTTGACCTATCCGGCTGAGGCTTTTTTCTCGTTTTGCTTCCTCTCCTTCGTCTCGTGAACGCAAAGAGTGAACAGGGCCGAGAGCACAGACAGTCGTCCAAAAACATCGGGCGACTACGGACGGACTCTTGTTTTCTCGCAAGACCAGGGGTCTCGGATGAACGAGCATGATTTTGGCCGCATCAGGATGAGGCCGTGACTCTTTGGGCGCTATCACCTATCACGATCGTGCGATGGCGTTTTGATGCGAAATGCAATTTTGGGAGCTGGCAGGCCAGATTTTTTAACTTTGCTAGTCTCGGTCGGCCCAACGCGGAGGCGCTCGCAGCGTGCTCGTTACCAGCTGTTTCCTGTAGCACTAGTGTTTCCTGTAGTACTAGAGAAAAAAGTGCAATCGATAGATTGCATTCGTCAATAATACGAGATGAGAGTCGGACAGTCCGGGTCGAGTCCAGTCCCTGGCGCGGGGATGTTGCGAGGTCTAGACAAAGGAAGGCATTCACACTGACAATTTGAACAATGGAATGCTCCATAAATCGTCACCGATTAATTAATCAGCTCTCATCATTTTGCCCTGCTTTTCATGGAATGTGTATCATGTCTGAAAACAGAAATTGTGAGCAACTTTATCATGTTTTGTTTCCTCTGGACAGGACGAACTGGGGGAGAGAAACCTGGGGACTTGGCAGGGAGCGGGACGCAGCGTTGGCGGGGTCGTCGTACCACGGAAGCTGAAAAGCTGAGCAGCGATATCTGATCTGTCACTCTCGACCCTGATCGGCCGGAAAAGACGGTTCCGCAAGGAGCAGCCTTTGTTGAGCTAAACGAGTCGTTGCGGCTACCAGACTGGGGTTAAAGTTTACCAGCAGCGTGGTCTGTCGTGCCGGTTTCGCGTCTTGCCGAGTTAGGAACCGGGGAGGATAAGTAAGTAAGCTCTGCGCTTGGACAGGGGGGAGAGGAACTAGTTAGCGTGGGAACTAGCAGACTGTTCCTGCATATCACAAGGCAAGCCAAGCCTCTTTAGGTCAGCATAAACGGCATGCCAGGCTGGCCGACGATGACATGTAATGCAGGGGTATAGGGTAAGGCCGTGCGCAGGGCGAAAGAGCGGGCATGAGTGGGCTTTTTTTCTTTTTTTTTCCTTCATGAATGCATGGACTTGGGGCACTTGGCTATAACTAGTCCGATAAAAAAACCCTTTCGGCCGGGCATGCCATAAGCTAGGAACGGACTTGCTCCATTTTTTTTCTCCAGCTCATTCAGCACGTGTGCCCGCCAACCCCAGGCCCCGAGTACAAATGACGGAGGCATTTTTGGTCAAGGCTATGTACAGTATGTACAGAAGGCTGAGGCTCATTCATTTGCACAGCTGCCAACACCACACTGGCTTGCGGGCCGGCGCTGCCCCCACAGTCCACAACCAAATACAGGGCGACAATGGATCTTTCTCCACTGGAAATCGTACAGTGGCTTGGTTGCGAGGCTTATTATAGTTCTCATAGCCCCAAGTTCGCCTAGATTCGCTCGAGCGTGGCGTCTAGCTTTTGAGTCGCTCACCGTTGTCACCGCGCAATACTTCCATTTACAGCCAAGCTCACCGAGACAAGACAATGTAAGCCACAAGATCGGTGATTCCAGCACACAATGCACATGACAACACTGAAAACAGAGTTTCGACTAACTATTCAGGACAAAGAAAAAAACTTGACATTAACAAGGAAAAAATTAAATAAATTAAGCTAATAAAAGAAACAAAGGTATTACAAGGAGAAGAACAAAGTGGCGACGGCCAGCGCCAGTGGCACGCAGTAGAGGCCTGCGGTTTGATGGCGTGCTGCGCTGCCGGTAACCACGGGGACGCCGCCCGAACCAGTAACGGTAGGGACACCACTGCCCGAACCAGAACCAGAGGCAGACGGAGAAGTCGCCCCGGATCCTGAGCCGTTTCCTGAGCCGTTTCCAGAGCCATTGCCTGAGCCAGAGCCGTTGCCAGAGCCGTTGCCTGAGCCATTGCCAGAACCATTGCCTGAGCCATTGCCAGAACCATTGCCTGAACCATTGCCTGAACCATTGCCTGAACCATTGCCTGAACCATTTCCAGAACCGTTTCCAGAGCCATTGCCATTGCCATTGCCATTGCCAGTTCCATTTCCAGAACCGTTTCCAGAGCCATTGCCATTGCCATTGCCAGTTCCATTGCCAGAACCGTTTCCAGAGCCATTGCCGGAACCAGTTCCGTTGCCATTGCCATTGCCATTGCCATTGCCATTGCCATTGCCATTGCCATTGCCATTGCCATTGCCATTGCCATTGCCATTGCCATTGCCATTGCCATTGCCATTGCCATTGCCATTGCCATTCCAATTGCCATTGCCATTGCCATTGCCATTGCCATTGCCATTGCCATTGCCATTGCCATTGCCATTGCCATTGCCATTGCCATTGCCATTGCCATTGCCATTGCCATTGCCATTGCCATTACCGGAGCCATTGCCATTATCGCCTCCGGGATTGTTTCCGGTCTGGCAAACGTGGCAATCTACTCCAGTGTTACCGCCGGTGTTACCACCAGGGTTGTTGCCGTTGCCTCCGGGATTGACCCCGTTGCCTCCGGGATTGTTGCCGTTGCCTCCGGGGTTGTTGCCGTTGCCACCGGGGTTGTTGCCATTACCCCCGGGGTTGTTGCCATTACCCCCGGGGCTGTTGCCATTGCCGCCGGGGTTGTTGCCATTGCCTCCAGGGTTGGTTCCGGTACCCGTAGGCGCAGGCGCTCCCGTAACTGTCTGGGTAGGAAGCGTGGTGGTACTTGTGACAGTTGAAAGCGTGACTGTCTCAGTCGTTGGACAACCGTCAACGAGAGAAAGATAGCCAGCGCTGAAAAGCAGCGAAAGCGCTGCGGTGGTAGCTGGAACGCGCATGGCGATGAAAAGAGTGAAGAAACTTGGGAAAAAAAAAGTACAATGGTGGGTGCAAGGCGAGTTACAGTGGAATGATGGGCTGCTAAAGACTCTTATACGGGATGGCAAGATGTTTTTTGCTCAAGCCTCACCGTGCCACAAGGACATGACTAGCTCGCTCTGTCCGTGACAGCCAGCTGCATCCTAGCTCGTCCCAAAACGCTCCGAAAGTTAATAGATAGAGCTTGTATGTTTTGAGTCGTCTGTGGATTATTGATTTCTTCATGGGTTGCGGTCTAGATGCCAAGAGTCCTCTGAGACATTGACGGTGTGGGTGGGCTGTCGAAGAGGACGCGTAAACTCAAATCGAGCGCCTTTTTTCCACGAAATATGGTAAATAAACACAATAACCAGATTCAGACATATCGTAGATTTGAGCTGATCCAGGCAGCCAGGGGAGACTAGTAGCCGAGGATGTGGGCGGGAGAGTCTGGAACCATCCTAGCAGACCCAGCCGGCAAGCCGCCACCACGACTCGCCTACCCTCTCCATCGTCCTCGCCGGAATGAGATAAGTTATTGGAAATTTAAAATAGATTTGACAATGTTACCAGCTGAGTCAAGAGGCGTAAATAAATCTTTTTGGCTTGAACTCAATTCACAACCGTGTTCCTGCGGCCATGCCGAGCCTCTCTCCCTCCTCCTGGCAGTTGTTGCAACTGGGGCTCTCCTTGCCGACTATAAACACTCGTACCATCCAGTGAAGAGATTCATCTCAACTCGTGTCTTCATCCAAGGAGGAAAACAGCTCTGCAGAAGCCTTCCTCGTCACATTCTTTTTCTCTCCCCCATCATGGTCCCCAAGGCTCTGGGCCTCACGCTGCTCTCGGCGCTTCGGAAGCGTCAAGATGCAGCGTGCTCAGACTATTGCCCCTTTGGCACCTTGACGGTTGGCCTCGCTCCGACAGAGACTGTTGTGCAGCAGCCTATCCGTATCTCGGGCTACTTCTCTACCGATGGTCCTATCACCTTGGCTCCCAACGTTGTGGCAACCGTAACTGGCGCACCGGGAGTCATCGACACTGTAGTCACAATTGCTACTAACAACGCCGCGACGAATACCATGTAAGCTGTCTTGATCTTTTCATGTTGACGAAGCTTTACTAATCACTTCTGTGATTCATCAGCACAATTTGTCCTGGAAGCCAGTCCACCAGCAGCCCATCTGGCAGTGCCACAGGAGGCTCTAGTCAGTCACCTTCCGGCACCAACACCGGAAGCCAGTCCACTGGTGGCCCATCCAACACGGCCACTGGAGGTTCTACTCAGACGACATCTGGCACCAACACTGGAGGTCAGTCAACTGGCGGTCCATCTAGCACAGGCACCGGAGGCTCTAGTCAATCAACTTCCGGCACCAACAGCGGAAGCTCTACCGGGTCACCAACCGACACCAACAGTGGGAGCCAGTCCACTGGCGGCCCATCTAGCACTGGAGGCTCGACTGAGTCAACTTCCGGCACCGACACTGGAAGCTCAACCGAGACGACTGCCACCAACACTGGGGGCTCGACTCAGTCAACTTCCGGCACCAACACCTCTGGCACCAACACTGGGAGCTCAACCGAGACTACTGCCACCTCCGCATCTGGGACGGACACTGGAAGCTCTACGGGGGTAACTGCCACATCCACGGAGACTACGTCATCCACAGGCTCTGCCTCTTCTACCTCTGGCACTGAGACTGGAAGCTCCTCTGGCACTGACACTGGCAGCTCGACCGCCACTGATACCGGAAGCTCCTCTGCCACTGGTACTGGAAGCTCAACTGCCACTAACACTGGCAGCTCGACCGCCACTGATACTGGAAGCTCTACTGGCAGTGCCTCTTCCACCGCTACTGACACTGGCAGCTCCTCTGTCACCGGTACTGGAAGCTCTACTGACACTGCCTCGTCTACTGGCACTGACACTGCCTCGTCTACTGGCACTGACACTGCCTCGTCTACTGGCACTGACACTGGAAGCTCCTCTGCCACCGACACTGGCAGCTCGACTGCCACTAACACTGGCAGCTCGACCGCCACTGATACTGGAAGCTCTACTGGCAGTGCCTCTTCCACCTCTGCCACTGACACGGGAAGCTCTTCCACCTCTGCCACCGACACTGGAAGCTCTACTGGCACTGCCTCTTCCACTGCCACCGACACTGGTAGCTCTACTGCCACTACCTCTGGTACTGGAAGCTCTACTGGGACTACTTCAGCTACCAGCAGTGACCAGTCGACTACTGCAGCCACTAGCAGCGACCAGTCGACCACCACAGCTCCCAGCAGTGACCAGTCGACCACTACGACTGCCACCTCTACCACGAGCTGTGTCACTGCTCTGCCAACTGTCTGTGCCACGACCCTACCTCAGGCCTGCCAGGCGCTCGGCAGTGTCAGCGGGCTTGCGCTTGTTCCTCTGGTTCCTCTCTGCACCACTGCCCTCGGTGCCTATGCTACCGTCGGAGATATCGCGACGTGCCTGTCTGCCAGCATCACCTTGACCACCTCCGGAGCGAACCTTGTCGCTTGCCTCAACGCAGCCACGCCAAGCATTTGCATCTCCCAGCTTCCGTCCGCGTGTCTCGCCATCGGAACCGATCCCATCACCCAGGTGCCGCAGGATGTCGTTGCTTGCACCGCAGCCCTCGGCCCGTTTGCCGTTGGTGCGGCTCTCAACTGTCTCCAGCAGACCATCCAAAACCCCCTGTCCATCCTGACGTGTCTGCGATCGAGCATTGGACTGGGAGACCCGGCTCAGCAGATTTGCACGTCGGCTCCGGCCTCGTCGACCATCGTGACGACGCCGGCTAGCACCGCGACTGATACGTCGTCGTCTAGTGCCAGCGCTACTACGTCTGAGACCAACACGTCAACGGATGCATCCTCTAGTGAGACCAACACTTCAACCGGAGCAACGTCCACCAGTGAGACCAACACCTCGACGGGTTCATCCACTACTAGTGACAGTAGCAGCTCGACAGAGGCAACGTCCTCGACGGGAACTTCTAGCAGTGAGACCAGCACCTCGACAGGAGCGTCCACCACTGACACTAGCACCTCGACTGCGGCCACGTCTACGACGGAAACTTCCTCAACAGGGACTTCCAGTAGTGACACTTCCAGTAGTGAGACCAACACGTCGAGCGCAACATCCACTAGTGACACGAGCTCCTCCACCGGAGCTTCCTCTACAGGGTCTTCCACTAGTGAGACCAGCAGTTCAACTGAGTCTTCCACTAGCCAGAGCAGCAGCACTCTCACAACCATCACCAACACCGGGACTACAACCACTACCACTCCTACTACTACTACTTCTACCACCACGAGCAGCAGCTGCGTACCAACCACCCAGGCGCCAGTCTGTGCCACGGGACTCCCCGCGCCATGTGCTGCTCTCAGCTCTGCCAATGGCCTCACTCTGATTCCCCTGGTCCCCCTCTGCGCCGCCACTCTCGCCGGTCTTGGCACCACTCAGACCGCAGCATGCCTGGCCACCACCATCACCTTCACGACCATTGGTGCCGACATCGTCGCCTGTCTCAACCAGGCCATCACCTCGGTCTGCATCACCTCGCTGCCTCAGGCTTGTCTTGACATCCCTACCGCCCCTGCCGTCAACCTCCCTGGCGATGTTGCCGCCTGCACCACGGCCCTTGGCCCCTTCGCCATCAACGCTGCCGCCACGTGTCTCACCACGGCCATCACTGATCCCTTGAACGTCCTGTCGTGCCTGCAAACGGCCATCGGCCTCGGAGATGGTAGCGGAGGATGCCCTACGTCGTCGATAAACACGACGCCCGTATCAACCGCGGCGACCACGAGCTCCACCACTTCCGCTGCGGCGACCTCGTTGACTGACACCACGAGCTCGTCGACGGACACCACGAGCCCTACCGCTTCCAGTGCAACGAGCTCTTCGACAGATGCTACGAGCTCTACTACTTCTAGTGATACCAGCTCGACCACGGATTCCACCAGCTCTCCCACTTCTAGTGCAACGACGACAGACACTACGAGCTCCACCACTTCTAGTGATACCAGCTCGGCCACGGATTCTACCAGCTCCACCACTTCTAGTGCAACGAGCTCGACTACTGACTCTACGAGCTCTACCACTTCTAGTGAGACGAGCTCCTCAACAGACACTACGAGCTCGACCACGTCCAGCGAGCCCAGCTCGTCGACGGACGCCACAAGCTCCGCCACGTCTACCGATACCAGCTCGTCAACGGATTCCACAACCTCTACCGCCAGCTCGACCAGCTCGTCGACGGATACCACAACCTCTTCCACTCCAAGCTCAACTGGCTCGTCAACAGACACTACAAGCTCTACCGCTTCCAGCACGAGCTCGACCTCTTCTTCCAGCTCTACCACTTCCAGCAGCTCGTCGACTACCACATCGCCAACTACCACAACCACCACCACTACCACAACGACGAGCTCTACTAGCTGTATCCCCACCACCACCGGCCCAGCCCCGTCTGCATGTGTGACCGCTGTCCCCGCCGCCTGCGCAGCCATCGGTAGCCTCAATGGCCTGGCGATCGTGCCCGCTCTCGCCGGATGCACCCTCGCTCTCGGACCGTACGCCGTCGGAAACACCGCCACCTGCCTGGCCACGACCGCCATCGGCTTCACCACCAAGGGCTCCGACGTCGTCAACTGCGTCCTCAACTCCCTCAAGAGCCGCTGCATCACCACGCTGCCATCCGCGTGCACCAAGCTGTCCACCGAGTCCGGCCTCGCGCTCATCCCCGACGCCGCCCTCTGCGTGACCGCCCTCGGCCCCTTCGCCGTCGGCACCGCCCTCACCTGCCTCGCCACGTCCTCCATCACCAGCTCCACCACCGGCACCGGCATCGTCACCTGCCTGGAGACCGCGCTCGGCCTGCAGGCTCCCACGCCGACCAGCGGCGCCGCATTCTGCACGCCGACGAGCACCACCGCGCCGAGCTGCTCCGTGGCGCTGCCCTCCGCGTGCCAGAGCATCGGGACCACCAACGGCCTTGCGCTCCTGACCCAGATCCCTCTCTGCGTCACCGCTCTCGGAGCGTTCGGCATCGGCAACGCGGCGCAGTGTCTCGTGACGACCGACATCTCTATCAGCTCCGTGGGCTCCAACGTCCTCAACTGCCTCACGACCGCGCTTCAGGCGCAGTGCCCGAGAGCGCTGCCCGCGGCCTGTTCCAACCTCGCTACTGACAACGCTGCCCAGCTGGTGGTTGACATCCCGCTCTGCACGGTCGCACTTGGACCGTATGCTGCCGGCGATGCGCTGATATGTCTCTCGACAAGTGGCTTAACCGGGCCGCAGATTGTTTCATGCTTAGACAATGCGCTGGGTATTGTGGTTTAATTATCTACTGTACAATCTTTTTCTTTAATATTTCTTTAACGTTAATTTATATTCATTTTTATTCCACCAAAAATCGTGTTTCTTACTCTAAATCTCTTCCGGTAACTTCGTATTCTCAACTTGTTGCTTTTGCTTTAGTGCGCGGCTCTCCCGCTCGCATTTAAGAATTCGCTAGAAAATAGCTAGCTGTTAGTAGCAAACGCGGGAGAAGAGGAAAGTAGTTTCTCATTTACTTGCAGGTCTTTCCGGGATACGAAATAATATGAAATGCACTTGTTTCTCATACGGCGGTCAACCATTCGCTTCGAAAATGCACTGTTGGTTTCCCGTCTCGACCTTTGTGACCTCTCCTTCCCCAATCATCACCAGCAGCACCAGCAGCAGCATCGGCCTTTGAATCGCATCTTTGCCGCCAATAAATCTTGTTGTCTAATAAAAGTCTATATCATAGATTGCGCAACATAATTCATTCCCGGCCGAATTGTCGTGTTGCAAGAATGTGTCCGGTGTCGACTGGAGACGAAACTGGGAACCAGAGGAAAGAAATGGGCAATCATATTCAGTGAAGCCTATCAAGGCATCCGTGAAGTATAAAACAAAGATACGGATGTAGCCCCTCCTGCCACGGCACCTACCAGCGCATCTCCGCCCTCGTCATCGCCATCTTCGTCGTCGTCGTCGTCGTCGTTGTCGGCGAGTGTCAGACTATCGCACAGATGGCTAGGTTGGTCACCGCCGCGTTGAGCGACTTGTTGGCCTTCTGAAGTTAGTTAATCCGCCGCAAAGACTGGAAGGGGTCTTGTGGGATCTGCTGCTGCGCGTTCTTCGCCGACAAGATGAGGCCCCGGGCCAAGCGAGTGCCTCGCGTGCTTCCACGAGGGATTCTACAGGCGCGGGAAACGCGGATCAGCACGGCCCAAAACGCAGCAAGAGGCGTAGAGGTGATGAATTGCTAGGAAAATGGAAAGATGTAGGAAACTTACTCTGGACCTGAGTCTCGTAAAAGCCTGCGTGAACGAGGTTGAAGTTCTGCACAAACTCGGCCACCTCCGGCACCCTGTTGTCGGGGTTAACGTTCCTTGCCAGATCCGTGCAGTTTTCGCTCTTGGGGTCTGTTTCGGACCGTCAGCCCATGCATCTTTCACCGCATGCTCTTCCCTTGACAAGAAGCACAAGATGGACAGCCTACGTACCCCATGGTTTGCCAAGCTTGGTAAAGTTGTCCAGCACTGCCACGGCGCTGGCACGGCGCGGCGCCAGCGACAGAAACGCCAGCGCCACAGGCCCGCGAAAGCGCGGGCCGAACAGCTCGCCGATGCGGCTCATGCCTAGCCCGTCCACCTCGTCCACCTCGTCCGCGCGCCCGTCGGTGGTGCTGTCGTGCGGCTGGTAAACCGGCTCGCGCATCTGAACCGTCGCCTTGACCCAGTCCTCCGTCACCTCGGTCCAGTTCGCAAACTCATCGCGGAATAGCGGATGCAAGTCCATCAGGCCGTTCTCCATCATGTCGCCCACCGAATCTCTTGCGCATAGTCCGGTGAGCGGCAGTGCGCCCTACGATAGGTACTCGCCAAAGTAGTAGGAGCCGCTGCATCCCTCACCGCGCCCGCAATGACGCAGGCACCAGAGACGGACCAGCTTAGCGTCATCGTTCACAAAGAAGCTGATGAGATCCAGGTCGCAGATGAAGACGTCCTTTGGGAACAGCGAGGTGTCGAGGACGTATAGCTCAATGTCCTCAAAGTCCTCGCGGTCGCGTGCGCGCCGGTAAAAGGCGTTTGCGAGCGCGTATGGCAGGGAGCTGGTCCACGAAACCAGGTTCCACGCCTCGGACCCCTTCGCGCGTTTCCAAGTAAGGTGCCTCTGCAGCATGTCCGTGGCGACCGCCACGTCCATGTCGAAGATGCACGTTGTCGCTTCGGGATCGCCCCTCCCCGCGCTCAAGCTTTGGGCAATGTCTGAAGTGGTGATCCCTTTTGAATTGCTGGAAGAGATTCGAAAGAGGTATCGTGGGATGTCAGCCCTTTCTAACCTACCGCGGGGTAAAAAGGGCAGCCCGCTGGCGGCTGCAACGACACTCTCCGTGGCTGGGGTACTCGTCGGGATGTGCAGCGTCCTGAGGTGAGCCGCGAGGTCGTCGATGGGGGAGTCTGCTGATGCCATATTGGTGAAGGATGGATAACGGGGTGCAGCAAGTGTTGATCAGGCTTGGCTGCTTCTGCTGCTGCTCTCGTGGCAGCGAATTGCCATTCAGGGATCGAAGAGCTGGCAACGACTGTATCATGGCCTGATGCAGCGGCAAACGGCCCAAAAACAAGACTGCGAACGCATCCAAGACTGGAACAAAAGCAAGGACAAGGGCAAGGCAACGCTTGCAAGACTCCCAGCTACCTTGTCGGTGAGTGGTGCATTGCTTGAAAAAAAAACTTGATTGCTGAAAGAATGAGGGAAGTCAACTCAGGTGCACCTGCCTTTCTCTTGCTGCACCGCTCCGCGGGCCAGTCCAAGGCGACTCCTTGGACGGACGAGATATACTCTGGATGGATGTCAGGCAGTCATCCGAGATGCAGAAACACTGCCAGAATGTACCACGGCGTTCCCCTTCCTGGTGACGCATGCAAATATTGCGCAGCGAGTTCAAGCTAATTTTCATCATTCAATACATTAATTCATACAAAGTCGTAGCGTGCCCCATCAATCCTTCTTCCCGCGCATGACCCGAGGCAAGACATAACTACCCGACATCCGACATCTAGAATACAAAGCGCTTATTAGAAACTACCCTGACAATAAACAAGATACCGGTACCGAGCAAAGTGACGGCGGCACAAAATATGAACACCCCCGACCAACCTCCCGTTGCGTCCTTGATCGCTCCAGTGGCCGGGCCACCAGCAAGCGTACCGATGGAACAAATGGCCATCATGGCCCCGATGCGAAGTCCAAGATGCCCCATGTCTGGAGTTGTCTGTGCCACACAAGCCGAACCAAGAGGCACAATGCCACCAGACGAAAAGCCAAACAAGAGAGAAAAGAGAATAAGTGTAGGCTCTGTCGTAGCCCAAACAAAAGACAACGTTGCAACACTGGTCAAGGTGGATATCAACAGAAGCATGTTGAGCCTTTAAAAGTCAGCTTGATTCTCAGAGTTTGACAATGTAACAAAAACTTCTATGTATCTTACCTGCCAATGTGATCGCCAACCCATCCAGTGACGATGCGGCCAAACAGCGACGCGACGTAGGAGATGGCAAGTAAGTTGTTGGCCATTGTGAGCTCCACACTCTGATCATTGGCGTACTGGGGTATGTAAAAGAAAGGTACCATCATTCCACAGTCAATGAAAAGTAGTGCAATGCTGAGGCCCAGGAACCGCAAGTCGCAAATTGCCTTGGAGATGGATCTCTGCGAAGCCTTAATTTCGTGTCCGGCTGTGTCATGTCCGGCAACATCCTTGCGCTCCCTGACCAAAATGCAGGAAATGAGCGTCAGAGGCACGGAAACGGTTGCAGCGACCCGATGCGTCCAGGAGGTGCCCAGCCGTATGAACAGTTGATTCAAGGCCATGGGCCAAAGGATCCCACCCGCGGAGGCTCCAGAAACGACCAGGCCGAGGGCGAGACCGCGATTCTTGTCAAACCATTCCGAGACGGCACTCGTAGTGGGGTAGAATCTAGCATGGGATTAATATCGAGGTTGGGGGTAGAGTCGCGTGGTCCTCACAGCAGTGCACAGCCTAGGCCGAACAGGAATCCTTGGGCGAGGAGCAGCTGGTAAAACTCTTTGGCAAAGCTGCAAGCAAGGAAGGCGATGAGGCAGAGAAAGGTTCCGGAGAGCATGAGCTTTCGAGCACCCCATTTGTCAAATGCAGGGCCAATAATAATCCCGCTAAGAAAAAGAACAAACATCTGTAGAGTGTGAGTCGACGGCTAGTAGGTAGACCTGGTCGGGGACATTGTTGCAGACGCACCTGCACGCTGCCGATCCAAGTGACGGTAGAAGTCCGCAAACCCATTTCGTGTTCGTACCTTGTTTCAAAAGTTCCAAAAGAGTTGAGTAGACCTTGGCGAGTTGTTAGTCAAATTTCGCCTTGCGAGTGGTAAACTCACCAAATGAAGCTGTAAAGTTGAGAAAGCCACCCAGGACAACCAGCCAGGCGCGACGGCCACTATCCGGGACGCCGATGTGATTCGGCTCATGGGGCGTCGGGAAGGAATGGATGGAGGAAAATGCAGGAGAATGAGGGGAAATGGGACGAGGAGAAGCGATTTCTAGTGTTGCCTTGCTCTCGGTACGTTGGGCCATGGTGCCTTTCAAGCACAGCTTCGAAGAACGACGTTGTAGCGAGGCGACAAGAGATTGGAGAGTGGAATCTAAGTGGATTAATGATAAGCAAAAGTTCAATTCCAAGTGTTCATTCCTCGATTGAGTGATCGTTTGCATGCGCCATCAGGTTGCCAATGGACGCCAACACCACCCTTCCACGAGCGCAAAGGCAACGACGTTGAATGGTCTTCGAAGGAGAATCGAGTACATGATGACAATACCGCTGCAATTGCGACAATTGGATGCGACGAAGGGGTAGAGTTGGAAGACGCTTACCAAGACGGCTCAAACAATAAAACGAACGAGGAGGCCAAGCGCGGGCTGGATAACTCAACAATGCGAAAGATGCAAAACCCGTACAGTAAAGGAACGACTGGGGTAACCGCAGGGTGGGAGATGAGAAAATAAAAGGGAAAGTAGAAAAGAAAGAGAGAAAGAAAGAAAAAGAAAAGAAAAAAGAATGACGGAGGCCGAATGGCAGAGCTCGCAGGGTTGCTGGTGATGTGAAGGCCAAGTCCAAGTTGTCGCGGACTGGCTGGCTGGCTGGCTGATTGGTTCAGAGGGCGTTTGCAAACTGCGGGTGGCTGCCAGCTGGCGGTTGGTATGGTTGTGGTTTGCAGCTGCCTCGAGTACCAGGTAGGCAAACGGATGTTGGTGGGGGTTATTATCTTTTTAAAAAGAAAAAAACCATATCTATTTCTTTAAATAAAAGGACCCGTGAATCAATTCAACTTTGATCCTGCCATCACTTACATGCCTAGCTAAACCATGCGCCTCCCTCGGGATTCCCATCGAACCTTTGCCCGATTCGGCAGTAGATGCGAGTTGCACCAATTTTCAGCATATCCTGACCTGCAAGTCATCCTGCAATATCCGTTAAATAATATCCATTCTGCCATTAGATGGGACGAGATGGTGAGGTAGTTGTCGATCCATCACAAGCAACCTGGGTCATCACTCGGCGGGGTTAAACAATGACGAGATGCCTGCCTTGACTTGCGGGCACGGGACACGGAAGCTGTACTCGATTCGGCACTGGGAAAAGTCCATCAACCAACCAAAGAAGCGTTTCACAAATGCTGGGCTGAAAAAACCCCAAGCTGCTGTCTTCCTCCCCCCTCTCATCAGGTGAGACGGAGCAAACCAGGAGAGACATGCCAAGGTGACATGTTTGTGACTCCGAATGTCGACAAGGATCGAGGTTGGAACCAGGACAGTCATTTGTTAAAAAGCATACATGCATTTAACAAGAGCCAGCCTCCCGGCCACGGATCTTTCAATTCGTTGCATCGACACACCAATCGCGACTTTGACCCAGCCAAGTGGCGGGGCTTGGACAAGGCTGTCCGTATTCCCGGATATATTAGAGCCTAACTAACCTAGTCACAATCTGGAGAGGAAGAATTGCTGTCAATTAATGTTCTGCATCTGCTATTTACGGAAAATCCCCGAGTCACCTTTCTTGCCGAAACTTGCTGCGAGAAATACACTCGAGAATCACAGATCTGCCAACTTATAAACCATAACCAACACCTGTATCACGAATAACAACAGTTGGGGCTTTTTTACCAACAGCCTGCCTACCCCAGATTAGGAACTTTATCCCAGGCCAGGCCAGGCCACTACCTAGTAACGGCTCGTACCACCGATCACCGATCCGCGGTTATACAAGATGCACCTCCGCACCTCCGCACCTCCGCATCCGACGTCGCTCCCCCTCTTTTAAACGCCATCTCGACGGACCGATGCACCTCTGCAGGTTCCAGTTCCATCATTGTCATCATCATCATCATCATCATCATCATCATCACCATTTCATCCCATCCGTAGACCGTTTTACTTTAACGCAAAAACCACCTCACTTCCGTAGAACCACGGATAACGCCCCACCGAACCATGTCCCACTCCCGGCCGTCCTTTGACTCCCTCCCGCTCCGCGCCGACGGCCCCCCCGGCAATGCCTGGGGCCTCTACGGCGCCTCCGATCAGCTCGGCACCCTCAACCTCCTCACCCCCGCGCGCATCGCCGCCGCCGCCGCCGCCGAGATCCGCGACGGCACCCGCGTCCCGACCGACTGGCCCCTCGACAGCATGCAGCCGCCCGCCTTTGGCCGGCAGCCCTTCCACCACCAAATCGTGCACAAGTGGCCGCCGCGGCCCGTCAACGACGACGTCGTCACCTTCAACACGCAGTCGAGCACGCAGTGGGACGGCTTCCGGCACTACGGCAGCGCCGACGGGCGCTTCTACAACGGCACCACGCAGGAGCAGATCATGACCACGGACGAGATGGGCACCCACGGTACGTCGTCGTCCCAAGCTGGCGCTCCCCGTAGTTATGCGCTGATGAACCTTTCCCCTGGCAAGCCTGGGTGGAAACCGGAGGCATCGTCGGCCGTGGCGTGCTCCTCGACTGGGCCGCCTGGGCCGAGCGCCAGGACCGCAAAGTCGACGTGCACAGCAGCCACGCCATCACCGCCGCCGTCCTCGACGAGGTCGCCGCCAGCCAGGGCATCGCCGCCTTCCTTCCAGGCGACATCCTGTTCATCCGCACCGGCTTCACCGAGTCCTACGACCGGATGGCCGCCGAGGCGCGCGCCGCGCTGACCAAGGACTACGCGCCCGACTCGATCGGCCTGGAGAGCTCGCGCGAGACGCTGCGCTGGCTGTGGGACCGCGGCTTCGCGGCCGTGGCGGGCGACCAGCCGGCGCTCGAGGCGCTGCCGTTTCCGAAGCACGAGCACGTGCTGCACGAGTGGCTGTTGCCGGGCTGGGGCATGCCGATCGGGGAGCTGTTCAGCCTGAAGCGGCTGAGCGAGGCGTGTGCGGAGAAGAAGCGATGGACCTTTTTCTTCACCAGCATGCCCATTTATGTAAGTTTAGCAAACCACGGAGTGCTGTCTTGTACGCGCTAACAAGAGCGGTAGGTTAAGGGTGGTGTCGCCAGCCCGCCCAATGGGATTGCAATCTTTTGAACAAGCAGAATGGCATTTGCCTTTTTAGTCAGGAATTCGTAGCATGTAATGAATTACCATTCCATTCTGTTCCTATGTAGAGATGCCTGCCTCCTTTTCAATCTCCTCCTTGGAGAAAGACCACCTGTCCTGCAGCTGCTTGTCCAGCGACTTCTCGAAGACGGCCTTGTCCCACCACTCGCCCCAGCTCGTCAGGAAGATGCGGTCCGGGTCCTCCGGGAAGTCCGATCTGGTCAGCGCAGCGAGCATGCTCTGAGCGCCTGGCATGACAATACAGTTAGCGGAGGGTCGATGAATCTAGGTAGTCGTGGGCAAGAAGAGAAAACGCTACCTTGCGGGATAGTCTTGGCGTCGGGCGACCCGGTCGGCAGCTTGACGCCGCTGCCGCGCGCGAGCCCCGTGCCGGGCACCAGCCCGGGCGAGACGGCGACCACGTCGCAGACGCCGGTGAGCTCGCGGCGCCACCAGTGCGCGCCGAGGAGCTGCACGAACTTGGTCATGCAGTACAGCGGCATGCCCTCCGTGCCCGCGCCGGACCTGAGGGCCTCCTCCGCGATGCCTGCAAACGCGTCAGTGGAAACTGTAGCACAAAAAGATGGGGAGAAAATGTACCAGGGTCGGGAACGGCCGTTACGGCGCCGGAGGAGACGAACACGATGCGCGCCTTGGACGCCTCCAGCTTCTCGCGCAAAAGATGGACCAGATAAAACTGGGCTTTCCACAGAGTTGAATTAGCTTCATCACCCAATGGCCTCTGGGGAAAACGTACCGACGTGGTTGACCACGGCGGACTCGCACCACCTGTACCCGCGCGGGTTCGCCACCGCCGGGTCCGTAATAGCCGCGTTGAGGAAGAGGTAGTCGATCCTAGCCTCGCCAACCTTGGCGAGCGCCGCCTCGGCGAAGCGCCGCGTGCTCTTGAGGTCCGCGAGGTCCAGCGGCAGCACGTCCACCTTGTTGGTGGACTCAAAGGCAGCGTCGTGCAGGGACCGGTCCATGGCGGAGGTGTTGCGGGCGCCGAGCACGGCGTGGTACGGCTCCGGCGCGGCGAGGAGCTGCTTGAGCGCCTCGAATCCCTGCGGAGTGTTGGTGAGATGGGCATGAAGGGGGAGGAGGGGGGTGGCTTACTAGGCCAGAGGTGAGGCCGGTGGCGACAATGGTCTTGGCTGCGGATGCCATGATGTCGGAGTCTGGGTCGGTTTCTGTTGTGGTCGTGAGCATTGAGCTGGTGAGTTTAAGGAGATGAATGAAATTTGGAACTGGGTTTGCTATTTATTGAGATGAACTGGCTAGAGTATTGTTTGATTTATAATTGTGCTGGTGCCAGGCCGGACTTGGCGGGGTTAACAAAGTCGATGACTACGCCGCCAGCCTCGTGCGGACATTGGGCCAACGCTAGATGCCTCGTTCCTATGACCACTAGTAGCCGTCTTTCTGATGTCATTCATAAGCTCAACTCCTGAATTCATTTCACTTTTACTCCCATCCCCCATCGTTAGCAATTCCTCTCCCTCACTCCTCCCCTTCCACCTTCTCCAACGCTCTCCGCAGCTGCCTCCGGATCAGCCACTCCGGGGAGTCGTCCTCGCCGCGCACGATGGCGTCCAGGCAGAGGACCGCCTCACAGCACGCCGTCCACGTGCCCCGGGCCACAACGTCGCCGCCGTAGCCCGCCCGGGCCGCGATGCGCGCCGACGCCGCAGCGCCGACGCTGATGGTCAGCCCGCGCACGTCGACGGACGGGTGTCCGATGCACGCGTCGCTCCAGTCGATGACGCCGGTGAGGCGGCCCGTGGCCGGGTCGACGAAGATGTGCTCGCCCTTGAGGTCGGCGTGCAGCAGGACGGGCGTGTAGGGTCCGTTGACGGCCGTGTCGCTGATGTGAAGCGCCTGGGCAATGTCCACGTCGGTGAGGCGCCCGAGGTGGCCGTTGTCGCGCAGGCGAACGCGCCAGGCTTCTAGTGCAAGCCGGCGACGCTCCAGGAGGTCGACGGGCTCGGCGTCCACCACCCCTATCGCTCGTACCTTTTCGATCGGTGTCTTTTTCAGTAGCTTAAGCAGTTCGACGAGGTCATCCTCCGTCGCAGCATTGACGCTTTGAGGCGAGTCCTCGATCGACACGCCAGCCAGCTTCCTGTACAAGCCGTAAGGTCGTCTACCATCATCCCACGTGCCAACCCCAAGGCAAGTCGGCATCGCTGTGAATCCAGGCTCGACTGACTTCAAAACTCCCCATAGTGCTTTTTCTTGGATTAGCAGCCCGCCGTCCAGCCCGTCAGCCCGGAGCCGGAGGACGAAAGCGTCGTCGATGATCCAGACCATGTGTTCCCCGCCTTCCCCGCTGCGGACCATCTGCCCGATCGGCTTCGGCACGGCATTGGCCGTAGCGAGGAGCCGCAGGATGGCATCATCTGTAATTTCCGTACTTTTCGACATGGTAGATGAGCATAAATTGGCTGCAGATCCAAGATTGCCAAAAACAACCGAAATTTAAACTCGAGCTTTGCATGGCACAAAATGAGTCACGCCGGAGGCCACTCCAGCCAACATAGCTCCATGTATAAGGCTGTCAAAGTGACAAACCACCGCGATGTCAATTCCTTGCAGTGTATGCAACATCTAAAAGTACAAATTCGCCTGCATCTCAATCGACAAATCCCTCTGCGCAGCCAGCACCTCCCTCTCCTCCAGACTATACCCCTTGCCCTCCTCCCCCTCCCCCGGAAAATACTCCGCGTCCCGCCCACACACCACATTCTCCCCCGGCACCGTCCCGTTCGTCAAATACGCCCTCAGCCTCCCTGCCATGCAAAGCGACGGCACCGCCACCGACCCGTGCCCATACCCATCCAGCATCACCAGCCTTGCCCCCTCAAAACCCTCCTCCTGCGCCTCCCGCGCCACCCCGTGCGGCCACGCCGGATTTGACGTGCAGCGCGCGCGCCTCGCCAATCGCAAATCTTCGCCTGTCGAAGAGCAGCAGCATCTTCTCCAGCAGCCGCATGCGCGGCTGTGGCCAGCCGCCCGCCGGCCCGGACCGCCCGTCGTTGAGCCGCACCACCAGGCCCGCCTCATCGTCACCGTCATCATCCCCGGCGTAGGCGAGGAACATGCCCGTCGCGTCGCCGGCACGCAGGTCCGCGAGGCGGCGGGCGAGCGCGGGCCAGTGCGCGGGCGTATGCATCTCCCTCAAGAGACCGCGGATGCGCGCCGTGAAGTCGTCGACGACGCCGTACGCGCTGCCGCTGACGTACGCGCTCGCCGGGCTGCGGTACAGCGCGTCGATTACCCGCGTCACGTTCTCGCGCAGCGCCGGGCCCGTCACGCCTCGCCCGGCCAGCGCGCACTTGCCCTCCCCCGCGCGCGCGCACTCCTCGAAGAAACCGTCCACCACCGCATCCGCGTCCTCGTGGCGCCTCGCGTCCAGCAACTCCTCAAACCACGCCTTCTGGTCCGGCAGCGCGTCCAGCACCACGCGCCCCACGCGGCTCGGGTACGCCGTCGCGTACACCTGCCCGAGCAGCGCGCCGTAACCTACGCCCCAGTACGCCATTTGCCCCTGCCCAAGGGCGTCCAGGACGACGTTGAGGTCCGCGGCGGTCTGCGGGGTGTTCACGTAGGCCAGGTGCTCGCCGGCGTTGTCTTGACATGCGCGCCCGTGGTTGGTCGCCCACGCGTACAGGTAGGGGCTGTCGCGGATGAGGTCCGAGGTGGGCGGACGCGCGCGGAGACGCGCGCGCGAGGCCTCGGAGGCGTAGCACGTCGCTGGCGGGGTGGAGGCGCTGACGCCGCGCGAGTCGAAGCCGATGATGTGTAGGCCGTCCCCGACAAGTCGGCGGAGCGCGGCGCGGGCGCGTGGCCTGCCGCGGAGGAAGGCGACGCCGCTGGCGCCCGGTCCGCCGAGGCTGATGAGCAGGTTCGTAGCGGAGTGGCTACGGCCGCGCATGCGCACGAGCGGGACGGTGAAGGCCTTGGCCGCGCCGTCGGTACGCGGTGTCTGTGCGGAGGCAAAGTGGTCCATCGGCACATTGATGGTGCCGCATTCGAGGTCCTGGTCCTGGTCGGTGATGAGGGGGTCACCACACGGTCGCCATCGGATCGACTCGCCAGGGTAGGTGCGGAATTTTGGTTCCGCGGTGGGCGGCCGCGCATCGCCGCGGGATGTGAGAAATTGCCAGGATAGCAAAGCCCAGAGGGTGACGACGGTGAAGATGGCCGCTCTGGAGGCTGCTCGTTTGCGGTTGGCGGTTGGGCTGCGGTCGGCGAGAGGCCCGCCCAGCAGCGTCTGCTTCTCCATGCGATATGAGTATGTGTGTGTGTGTGCGCTAGATTTCAACGTAGAATTAGTCACTTCCCCCAAGCATGAAGGCGTTTTTGGTAAACCGATAGCATTAAAGCTGCGACGGAAGTTGACGATGTAGAGGGGAGGTGGACAGAATAAGCTAGAGGACTGACGCCCTACCTGTTAGGTGGCTTGCACCGACGTCTTCAGCACCCGTGATCTAGTGATGATAATTCGGATGAGATGCCTGTAGGAAATATTTCAATAAAGTCAACATCTATTCTTTTCGTCGCCAAATATTTCGCACCTCCTATAACATCCCGTCTTCAGCAAAAGGTGTAGACCAGTATGGTAAAAAAAGACCGTTTCATCATTAGGCTCTTCTCGCCACTGTATATGGCTTCGCTATCAGATACTATGGAATATCAAGGCTCATACAAGTTCACCCGCACGTTTGTGCATGTACTCCCAAACGCCATCATTTCGCCCTGAACAATTACACTCCCTCAAGCACATTCTGCATTCCCCTCTCCGCTTACTCTCCTCCCTGCTTCTTCTTCTTCTCGTCCTCCTCAATCTCAAACAGCTGCGGCACCAAGCCCCTCAAACACTCATCCAGCCCGCGCCACCCCATCCCCAGCACGCGCTCCGTCTCGCCCGCATCAACACCAAAGTGCGTCTCCGCCTCCCTCCGCCCCGGCTCCCCCACCGGGATCCTATTCCTCCCTCCTCCCGCCGTCACCACCTCCCTTGCCACGTCCGCCAGCTCCTGATTACAATACACGCCCTGCGCGAGCAGAAAACGCCCGCCCCCCGCCTCCGGCACGCGCAGCGCCCGAACATGCGCGTCCGCCACGTCCCGCACGTCCACCCACACGGGCCCGCGCGTCGGCGGCACCGCGCTCTCCCGGCCCGCGCTCACCACCCGCCACACCATTGCGTTGCTCGTATTCACCTCGGCGAGCGTCGCGGGCCGCGCGCCGGGCAGGAACGGACCAAAGACCATGGCCGGGCACAGGCTGACCATGTCGAAGCCGGCCGGGTCGCGCTCCTCGAGGAAGCGCCAGGCGGCGCGCTCCGCGGCCGTCTTGCTCGCGCGGTACGCCGTCGGCGCGTCCGCCGCGTCCACGCCGTCCTGGTACGTCAGCGGGCTCCAGTCGCCCGCCGTGTACGTCCTCCCCGGGCTCGGCCCCGCGGCCGCGTCGTAGATGCACGCGAAGCTGTTCGTATGCACCACGCGTCTCACCGACCCCGCCAGCGCACCACCACCGCAACACGCTTCCAAGACGGCGGTCGACCCGCGCACGGCGGGCACCATCAGCTCCGCCTCAAAGTCGGTTGCGTCGTAGTGAAAGGGCGCGGCGAGGTGGAGGATGGCGGCGGGTGCGAGCGGCCCGAGGGCGGCCCGGTAGCGCGCCGGGTCGGTGATGTCGTCGACGACGACGACGGAGAGCTTGGGGTGGGCGGCGTGGGCGGCGCGCACGGCGTGCGTCTTGGCGGCGGAGCGAACGGTGCCGACGACGCGGTAGCCGGCGCGGAGGAGCGCGGCGATGCAGTGCTGGGCGATGAAGCCGTTGGCGCCGGTGACGGCGACGAGGGCCGGTGGCTCAATGGGCATGGCGACCTTGGACGGCATTGTTCGCGGGATGGAGGGTTCCCGGGTGTGGGTAGTGGGTGTGGTGACGATGGCGTTTGCGGTAGGGGTGGTGGTTTTGTGTCTTGCCGTTCGGTGATGAATTGCAGCCACAAATGCAATCGAGACGGCTTTTTGGAAGAATGGTCGCGTATCAGCGTAGGGTTTTTGGAATGACAATTGTGGTGACGGGCTGAGAGGTGGCGGGATGCACTTTGCTGGTGGTGGCGTGGTTGTGGTGCGTGGTGATGGTGATGGTGATGGGGTGTTTGGTCTGCGAAGCGGCTGGCAGTGTTGGAAGGCGTAGTTCTACAAAGTACGAAAAGATGACGGTTTAGTATGAACGTAAAAGAAGGGAAAGGAAAATCACGGGCTTTCTTCTCCCACTTGACGACAAAAGGGCCCAGAAATCGGAGGGACCTTATGAAGGGACCACGAGTACTACGCTTTACACGGGCGCTGCCTCAAATCGAGCTTGGGCTTGCAGCTGGGGGGCCGGCGGTCCGCGCTGGAGGCTCGCGTCCTTGGCTCGGTCAGTTATAGGCCATGCTGATTCAACGGATTTTGTGGGCTTTGTCTTTTTTTCTTGTTGTTCGGATTTTGCTTGCTTGCTTGCTTGGCTGGGCTGACGTGACGACGGGCTTGCGTCGCATAGGAGGAGGTAGGTTGGAAAAGCAAAGGCAAACGGATGGTAACTAACTAGTGGTCAAAGTGAATTTTAGATGCGGGGGGATTGTGATTGGTCCGACGGAACTGGCCAAGCTTTGGACAAGGCAACACAGGTAGCGAATGCCGCGGGAAAAGTGAGACTGGGCAGGGCATACGGCCGGGGAGTGGTTAGATTTGCCATGAAAAATAATTAATAAATAATTAAAGAAAATAATATCAAGCACAAAAGTCGTGCAAAGACGAGCCTCACTGTGACGCTGACTGTGACGCTGCTGCCTGCAACCTCCGCGGGTCGGTTGGTCATCCGCTGTCCTGTCTGTCTGTCCCGCTGTCGCTGTTCGGCAAGCTCTGCAGCCGTCGCAAAGCACCTTTTTCCACTGCTCCCTTCTCCCTCACTAGGTTATCAGCAGCACACGTGCCCGCGCTTTGCAACTTGACACCAAACGCAGCACGATTTCACCACACTCTTCTTCATGGGCGCGGCGTCTTTGATCCGAGATGCGACCCCCGATTTTTTCCTTTTTTCTCCCTTCCCTCTCTCGCTGTCTCCTCCTCTCCTCCCCCCGGTCTCTCATCCCAGATCCGTAGATGAGACAGCCGAGATGCGACGCGCCCGCCCCCCGCCCCCGAAAATGCCAATGCAAGCCGCCCGCTTACCAGTTGACGGGACGGGCAGACGGACCTGATCAAGGTTCCTCGCCGAACTACCCTCCCGTACCCGATCAAGCTCGCGCAGTCCAAAGGAAATGAGGCCATGTCCACTGTCCCTGGCCGATCAACGCCCACATTAACCGACGGCTTGGTCCTCCTCCACTTTCTGGGCCCTTTGCGCGGCCGCTGAACCAGCTGGTGGCTTGCGTCGGATAACAGTAGCTCAGCGACTCAACGACTCAACGACCAATGTCCAGCCCGTTGGTCTGCCTTTTTTTTTTCTTTTTTCCTCGGGCGGAATGATGTCACCGCCTAGCATTCTGGGCTTGTGTTTCGGCCATTCCCGCGCCAAAATGTTTGTTCTGCCACAATTTATTCTGCCGCAATTTACTCTGCTGCAATTCAGTCTGCGACCGTCAACGTCCAAGGATATCCGTATCCGATAATCGGCATCGCCCGACACCTACCAAGCATGCAGACTTGGCAGTACTCTTGTGTGAATTGTGAATTGCAAATCTCTGCTGTGCTCTGTGGTTCCGTAATGACCGACCATTTGCTGTAACCAAACACCAATACGAGCCTGCATCCCGATGCCATAGTTGCATTCAATGCCATAGTCCCATCATTATTCATTCACATCTACCCCCTAATACATGTACACAAACTTGTCATTCTTCAGATCCGTCTCCTCCTCGTTCAGTACCTCTGCAGCCTCCGCCTCCCCCCGCGCAATCGCCTCCATCGCCGCCCTCCTCGCCGCCGCGTTCCTCCCGTTCCTCCTCCCGTACAGCACCCGCAACAACACCGCCAAAACGATTCCGACCCCCGTCACGCAAAACACCGTTACCTTGGCCGGCACGTACCCCGGCGCGTCCCCCGGCCGGAACGTCTGCGGCCCCACGATGCTCGCGCAGGCGTTCGCCAGCGACACCAGCCCCGTCACCACCACCTTTTTCGTGTACCCCTGCACGTTGGCCCCGACCATGCTGAACACCAACACGAGGGGCGCGATGTCCAGGTTGACCAGGTAGACGCCCGTCAGCGCCGCCGCGCGCGACGAGGTGGCAAACGACATGAGCCCGGCGCCGAGCATGCTGGGGATCAACAGCAGCACGATGCCCAGCCAGCGAGGGAAGTCGTGCAGGATGGCAAGGGTGGAGGCGGCGGTCCCAATAATGGTCACCGCGCCGGAGGGCATGTTGAGCAGCGCGGCCTGGCGCGGCGTGAAGCCGAGCCCGCGGATGACCACCGCCGAGAAGGAGGTGATGAAGCCGCCGGGCGTCACCGTCGCCAGCGTGAAGAGCACGAACAGCAGCACCTGCAGGTCCGTCAGCGCCTCGCGCACGCCCGACCACCGGAACACCTTCTTGCCGTTGCCCGCCTGGTCCGCCAGCAGCGCCTCGCGCACCGTCCTCCTCTCGCGCTCCGACAAGAACCGCGCCGCCTCCACGCCCGTCGGGAGGAAGACGAAGACGGCGACACCCGTAATCACGTTGAGGGCGCCGGCCGCCCCGAACATGATGCGCCAGCTGGAGGAGGAGGCGTGCGCCGGCGCGTGCTGGGCCGCCCACGACACCAGCCCGCCGACGATCTGCCCGACGCCGATGCCGCTGTACCAGAGGCCCATGCGCGGCACCGCTTGTCTTTTCGTGTACCACTGCGTCGTCACCATGATCAGCGCCGGCGCCACCACCGCCTCGAGCGCGCCGAGCAGCGCTCGCAGCGCCGCGAGCCCGGCGAACCCGCGCGCGCCGGCCATGCCGCACACCATCGCGCCCCAGAGCGCCACGTTGGCGCCGAGGACCTTGCTGACCGGCAGCCGCTGCAGCAGCGCCGCCTGCGGCAGCTGGCCGACGGCCATGCCGACGTAGAGGATGGTGGCGAGCCACTGGAACTGGCCCGGCGCGAGGTCGAGGTCGCGCTCCAGCCCCATGACGTTGGCGTAGCCGATGAGGATCTTGTCGAGGAACTCGAGGAAGTAGCACATGAACATGAGGGGCAGGATGACGCGGTCGATCTTGTGGTAGATGCGCCGCAGCTCAGCCTGGTTGCGTAGGTCCATCAGAGGCGCCTGGCTGGACATGCAGCCTTCGTCGTCGGAGGTCAACATGGTGAATTGATTTGAAGGCAGGGCTGTGCTTTATACATGAAGTAAAAAATACTAAAAAAAGAAAAAAAAAAAAGAAAGTAGAGGGCAGACAAGGTGAAACGGCAAGACGCCGTGTTGCCCGGTTTGTAATCCCACCAGCTCGGAATTGCAGATTATTGCGTTCGGTGTGGCAAGGTGAGGGTGCGGTGAGAGACAGATTAGGCCGTGGCGGCTTCCCGTTTCAGATGACGATCAAGATGGCACCTTTTCAAACACGATGCTCCAACAAGCTGCCTTGGGGAAATTGAAGGGCACCACCACCAAATTCTCGTAGAGCCTAAAACTCGGGGTCTTCTAGCTTCTGGCGAGTGCTCGGGCGCTCCGCGATGGGGGCCCGATGAGAGACAAACGGAGACCGGGGCCTGGCTATCGAGGGCCGGCCGTGGGACGAGCGAGGAGAGGCGACTGTAATGTAATTCTGGATCTCGATGGTATGTATATGTACAGGTTAAAAATGATGCAAAAGTGTAGGTTGGGAGAGTGTCAGCAAACCCTGACCCAGCAAGCACGTCCCGAGCGCAACTCACTAGTAGACAGAAAAGCTGGGTTCCGAATTGTCTTACCGCAAGCCCGGAGAGCTGGCCGTTACGGATGCTGGTACCAGTAATCTGTATGTATGGATCATGCAAAAGCACGCGAATTAGCACCCTGCAAGTATGGTTCATCGGTGGGCTAGCAACTGCGCAATGTAACCCAACACATATTGTCTGACAGAGGGGCTGCCACAGTGTGATATAGTAACTACTAGTCCCATGTCATCATTCCTTCCAGCCATGTGCATGATGCATGGAGGGGTAGTTTGTCTATTTCTTTTTGTCCGAGAAACAAGTCAGATGAAATGACCAGTCAAGTGAGACTTGCATTTGAATCGCCTGTATCATGCATCGATCGCCAAACCCAATCTTTCTACGAGTATACGGCCCCCCGTATTCAAAAGTCAGGGAGTTGTCGTTTTTTGTCGGAGGCACATGTTAGAATTGCGATGGCCTGTTGCAATACCAGATAAGCCAATACTACTAAAACATAACGGCTCTGAAATAGCTCTGAAAGAAGCGCTGGGTCTAACTGGCCCGGCCCCTCAACTCTATTCCGCCAACTCCATTCCGCAGCGACCGTCGTATTAGACAGCGCCGGACAACTTCCAACGCCTGTGAAAAAGAAAGATTAAAAAAACAAGATAAAAGAAAGGCAAAAGAAAATAAACATGAAAGGAAAGTTGATGTTTTAAACTTTCCCTGCTCCTTTCTGAAGTGTGTCTTATGGACGAACTTGCCATGACCTTCCCATGTATACGACCATGACCTCTTCTCCGACAGCCATGGGAACCTCAAGACGTGCGTTCGAATACGCGTAGAGGATGATGTGCTACATGATTTGGACCCCAGCTAGCACCCTCTCAATCCCTCCCTCTCCTCCTCCCCTCCGTCCCTCGCCCCCATCGCCTTCGCCGCCCTCTCTGCCGCCGACGGCCTCACCACCTTCCCATCATACGCCATCAGCCTGTGCCTCGCCACGAAGCATTCCACCCACCTCAGCCCGATCAATACCACCGGCCTCCCCGCGCGCGCCCGGATCGTCGCGTTCGCCGCGTCGGCGATCCACCGCTTCGGCACCAGGTGGTCCGGGCCGTCCAGCCGCCGTCGGAGAAGGCTCCGCGCGGTGGACAAGTCCCCGGCGGCCTGTATTCGGGTACGCGGGGTTCTTCCGCGGGAACTCGAGGCACGCGGGAACGTGCTTCTCCTTTTCCGCGGCCGTTTCCTTCCTTAGTCGGAGAGAGAGAAGGCAGGTTGTCTTGGATTGATGGAATCTATTGATGGAGCTTGGTGCTCATAGTGTGCGGTGCAAGATGTGGCCGCGGGGCTATCCAGCGGCCACGTAAATTGTGTGCCCGCTCATGACACACCTGCGTGACTGCGACACGTCCTTAACATTGTTTCTATCCGTAGATCAGGAAGCTTCTTAGATGTTCTATCATGGTTCGGTCACCTTTCAATAGATGTAGGACCTTAAAGGTAGGTTTGCTTCGTAGGACCCCACCATGTAGATGCAGCAAACAGCAATGTTCAGGAACCAGCCATCTTCTGTAACTGGGTGGCTTATGACCCTGATGGGTGACATCACATTCGTGTCGCCTAATAATAATAAAAGGAGCGAATTGCGGCCGATCAGTATATCAGTTGTTTCATAGGTACCAGCGATTGCCAGGCCCGTCTGGAGATGATGACCCCTCCCGTCGCATCGCATCGCCGTCCCGCGGCCCAGTCAGTTCCATCACGGGGCTGCCGCGGATCACAGCCCACCATCGGCGCGGGAAGCAACCGGCGCACAACCCCTTTCCTATGCGCATTGTACTTATCACCATAGGACCGACGGACGACATGCGAAAATAGCATCATCGATTGTCCCGAGTCAAGATCGCGCATCGACTTATCCAGCCCACCACGATTCTGGGGTCGCCGCGGTCCCTCAGGCCCCGGGGTGTCATCAAAAGCGGGCGGAAGCTGTTCCGCTACCGAGCAATCAGGCTGGGCGGGTTAATAACCGGAGCTAGCTGCCAGCAAGTCTCGGCGACTTTTTTATTCTTGCCCATATTTAAAACTTGACATCTACCTTTGGACCCTTTCCTTTCCCCCTCTCTTCCTCTCTCTCTTTCCCTTCGGAAACAACCCATGCCGTCCACCACCACCACCACCACCGCGCCGCCCGTCTACTCCATCGGCATCGTCGGCTCCGGCCTCGGCGGCCTCTCCGCCGCCATCGCCCTGCGCCGCGCCGGCCACGCCGTCACCGTCTACGAGCGCTTCGATTTTGGCGGCGAGGTCGGCGCCTCGCTCTCCCTCGCCTCCAACGGCTCGCGCCTCCTCGAGGCCTGGCGCGTCGACATCCCCCGCGCCCGGCCCGTCGTCCTCCGCGAGCTCGTCCGCCGCGACTGGGCCTCCGGCGACGTCCTCGCCACCTACCCGCTCGGCGACTACCGCGCGCGCTTCGGCACCGACTACAACAACTTTCACCGCATCGACCTCCACCAGCTCCTCAAAGAGACGGCCGTCAGCCCAGAGGGCGAGGGCGCCCCGGTGACGCTCAAGACGTGGCACAAGGCGACGGCGCTGGACCCGGAGACGGGCGAGGTGCGCTTCGAGAACGGGGTGGTTGCCGCGCACGACGCGGTCGTCTGCGCGGACGGCATCCGCAGCGCCATGCGCGGGGAGCTCGGCGTCCAGCCAGAGGTCACCCCGTCCGCGTCCTGCTGCTACCGATGCATCATCACCCGCGAGCGCCTCGCCGAGCTCAACCTCGCCGCGTTCGCCGACGCCAGCGCCATCGAGTTCTGGGGCGGCCGGGGCACCGACAAGATCGTCATGAGCCCCTGCGCCGCCAACGCCGTCGTCAGCTGCTACTGCTTCTACGCCGCCGCGCTCAACGACCTCACCCCCGACGGCTGGGACCACTCCGCCACCGGCGCCAAGCTTGCCGCCACCTTCCCGTCCCTCGACCCGCGCCTACGCCTGCTCTTCGAGAACGCCGACGACATCAAGATGTGGCGGCTGTACGACCACCAGGCGTACCCGCACTGGACGCGCGGCGCGGCGACGCTGCTCGGCGACGCGGCGCACCCGATGATGCCGGACCAGTCGCAGGGCGCGTGCATGGCGGTCGAGGACGCGGGCGCGCTGGGGATGCTGTTCGCGGCCGAGTACGCGGATGTGGGCGTGCGGGAGAAGCTGGCGCTGTACGAGCGGGTGCGCAAGCCGAGGGCCACGCAGCTGCAGGATGCGAGCCGCCGCGCGCGGACGGACATCAACGAGCGGATTGGCTGGAGCAGCGCGAGCGACCGCTCGGGGAAGCTGACCATCGAGGAGGTCTGCGGCTACGACATGCACGCGCACGTGGCCGAGGTGGTGGCCGCGTGGCGCGAGGAAAGGGCAGGACGCAAGACGGATGGATGATACGAGGAGAGCGATGGAGCTCAGCACATAAACCTGTGGTAATTACTGGTGGATTGCAGTATAGCCAGTGTATATAGTAATTCAAGCAGCGCCAGCTCATTGGGTTTGTCCAATGCAAAAAAAAAAAATATCCATATCCATGTCCCAAGTAAGCAAGAAGAAGTGAGTAAAGGTAGAAGAGGAAGAAGAAGAGGAAGAAGAAGAGGAAGAAGAAGAGGAAGAAGAAGTAGAAGAAGAAGAAGTAGAAGAAGAAGTAAAAGATGGAGCGGCCAAAGCTCGAACAAGACCGAAGGACGGAAAAGATTCGCTTCGCTCAAAAGACAACCAGTCCGTGCATCTCCTCATAGCGAATGCGCGCCCAGTTCACAATCGCACCTGTCCCCTTGGTCTCGTCCCTTCTCGTCCATACGCGCTCCACCAGGTCGCGCGCGTTGAAGACGTAGCCGAAGCCGCATGTGCGCTCCATGACGAGCAGCCGGTCCTGAATGATGAGGCGGTGCTCGTACTTGGAGCACGCGCCGCCGGCCATGACGAGCGGGAAGAGAACGCACGCCTCGAGCGGGCTACCGTAGCGGATCTGCTGCACCGCATCGAGGATCGCGCTCACGCACCGGTCCACCTTGGGATCCGTCAGCTCGTACCCGTCAACGACCTGGTGCAGCCGCAGCCGCACCGCGTTCTCAAACGCCACTGCCGCGTGCAGCACGTCGTCGCCGTTGCCGCTGCCGCCGGACGATGATGGCTGCGCGTAGACGGCCCGCGGCATGCCGCCGTACTCGTATGACCAGTGATTGATACGTTCCTCCACGTGCTGCGCCTCTTCGCGGAAGGCGGCCTCGGACGCACGATCCACGCGGGTCTTGCGCTTGTCGGCGAGCGTGTTAACGAGGTCGAGAAGATGGAACAGCTCTTTCGGTATGCCATAGACGGCGGAGTCCTCTTCGTCCGGGCTGAATGATAGGCGGTTGAGCGTGGCAGCCTCAGCCTCCTCATCTCCGATCAACGGTGGTCGACACGTTGATGTAGTAGCTGCCGAGTCGAGAAATCTAGCCAGCCTCAACAGAAACTTGTAATGCCCGGTCAGCATTTCGCCTTGCTGCGTCATGAGGGTAATCAAGAGTCGCTTGGCACCCTTGAGATGTAGCTTCCACCCTTCACTAGTCCCATCGAACAACTCAGTCATGCATAGCAGTAGACTCGCGACCAGGGCAATGTCTGCGCTTTGCTTATCGACATGCGGAAGCAGTTGAGCCAATGCAGATGTTGCCTGACCCTGATGATAGAGACCTCTGCTCCCCAACGACGGTTGCAGCTTTCGCCAGTGATTCGCTGACAGGGCTAAGATGCAGTGGAGCACTAGGTCGTTGCCCTGTGCCATGGGTAGGAGATAATGATTATATGGATTGTTGGCCGAGTTTCTTCTCGAGAGGATAGAAGACACAATGGTAGAGTAATGATTCATCAAGGCGCGGTCGTTTGTTGTTTGAAGTTGGGGTAGCAGTTGCGGAATGTATACGGAGAGCGTCGTCTGGTTGAGTTCCATGCCGTCGGGCAGGCTGCCGTTGCTGACAGGAGTAAAGGCTTCCACCCAGGTGGAAGGCGATGTAGACAGGTCCCAGGAGACCTTGTCGGAGAGTCCCTCGCCGTCTGATGTGGTGCTATCGCGCTTGATGACAGCAAAGTTCTGTTTGACATCAGGTTGGTAACTGCTGGCATTGCTGTTGCTTCTCTCGTTGACACTTCCGTTCGAGCGTGGCGAGCTGCTCGAGCTCGGGCTGGGGCTCTGACTCTGGCGGATGGGGATGTCGATGATGGTCGAGTCGCCGCCCAAATTTTCCGAGAGCGACTCCTTGCGCGAAGATATGGTCGGGGACCTGTCCTTGGAGCGCTCGGTGGGCCAGGCGCAGTCGAGACAGAGGCGGCGACAGTCGCCGCAGCGAGGCTTGGTCTCGTCGCACTTTTTCTTACGGCGCTTGCACATCAAGCAGCCCGTTTGGACACGGCGGATGCGGGCCTTGGGCATGTCGCCCAGAGAGCCCGGGTATCCCTCGCCGGCGCCGACGGCATCCCGCGGCATACAAGGTAAGCTCAGTCGGACGCATCGCGCGCAGGGTAAGTTGCCATCGCAGGCCTGCTTGATTTGGGCGCAGCGATGGCACACAGGCCGGCTGTCGGAGCCCATGTCGTCGTATGCGGGCGATGGTCTTGCTGGATTTTTTTCGTTGATTTTTTTTCTCTTTGTTCTGTTGCGTGTAGGTCTGGGTGGCGGAAGAGGGGGCAAGTTGTTGTGCGTGCGCTGTTCTTGTCGCCTTGCGTATTGCCGAGGCAAGAGAAACTGGCGGGATCTAAGGCGGCAAGTTGAAAGATTTCAAGAGATCGCGGGGGCGATGAATCGGCGGGCTGGTGGCGATGGATCAGAGGGCGGGTGGACAGTTGAGACGATGGAGGAGCAAGGAGAAGGAGGCGATGATGAGAAAGGGCATCGGGATGGCTTGGGGGCTAACAAGAGATGGAGCTGAGAGCGGGCTTTGCGGGCGGGCTTGGTCAGCGGGAGATGGAGACGACAGACAAGGTATCGGTCGGCATTCTGTAACTATGTATGTACCTAGCTAGAACCCGGACTAATTAGGGTGATCTTGTCTGGGCGTCGGGTGGAGGGAGTTGTGGTGTGAATGGTTTGAAAGGACATCCACGGCCACAGTATTCACGGGAACTGGCGAAGACCAAACTGAAAACTGAAAGGCGACTTCTTTCTTGGTCTGGGCAGAGGACGACGAGACGGGGCGGGCGTGGCGGGCAAACATGGAGGAGAAGAAGCAAAAAGGGTTGCCGATCCCCTCTCCTTTGGCCGGCGCCTCTGACCCAGGTGGGTTTAGCCTTTCTGTCCAAGAGCAAGCCTCGGAGCCTTGATTGTTGGAGGGGGATTGAGCACCCACTGGGAAGATGAGCGCAAATCAGCAGGCAAATCAGGCGAATCAGAGGTGAGTATGGAGTCGATATGATGATTGGAGGTAGACAGTATGAAGCAAGCTTTGACACTGTATTTATTCCGTTTGCGAATAACGCTTGGGTAACACTGGGATCGCGTTGACGGACAGAGCAGAGCACTGCATAAGTAAGAGGCAAACGCAACAAGGTACTGCTCGCGTGGCACCAGATGCAACAACGCACATCATAGGTACATACTATGTATGTAGGTAACCCATCCGCCTGGAGATTGACTACAGATTACAATCTAGCAAGTAGGGAGGTAGCAACCCAACCCAGGTCATTGTCGCATTTCTGACTTGTCAAGTTCATGTCGCTTCCCGCAGCAGCCTGCAGGACAATGCCAAAAAATCCCGCCATCCAGTTCCAGTCCCAGTCGGTCCCGCAGCTCCAGCCCGCACAGCCTGCACCGGAAAGATGTGCTAACGACAGTAATACTGATGGTCCTGGCCGGCCTAATGTCGCAAGCCGACGCCACGCCGTCTCTACCGGGGCAAGCCATGTCGCAACTCGCACGAGATCGCACTTTGCGGCATCAATATTGCCTTGCGGCCCTTGCCAGAACGGTGCGGTATCGCCGTAGTAGCCACCAGCCTCTCTACTACTTTTTCCAATAACTCGCCCGATTATAATCAATTTTACTGGAGGTGCCTCAAGGGCCGCGCCGCTTGACACGGACCCGCCAAGACAAGACCTGGACAAACCCCAGCACAGTGCGCCCGCATCCCCTGTATCTTCCTTGCTTCCTTCCATCGTTCTGGCCTGCTCCGGCGCCACAACCCCGCTAAGAGAAAAACGTGAGAGACGGACAAGCCCCCGATTTCAACGGCCCCGCCATGTTACCACTTATTTATTTAGTACTGCTACTAAATTATGAATGCTGGGACAGACTTGGGAGGCGGTTGAGTCTGGTACGGACATTCTCTGACCAAGCCATGTTAGGGCACTGCTTCAGACAGCATTTCTTGCCCTCCCCTCATCTCATCGTCACGCGAATAAAACTCGCATCGGATGCTTACTGCAGCTGAAACACGTGGGGATGCAGAGCTAGAAGCCACGCCGGAGCTTCTGCGCAGCTTCTTCTGCAAGCCTGATCCAGGGCGACACTCACAGCAAGTGGGGGCTCGTCTCACTCTGTTACCATCTCCGTAGTCGTCGCAAGCCTGCCACCCGTCCCTTGTCCATAACAAGAATTCACATATCACAACGAGCAGATGCTGCATCGCTGACACGCCATTCAACAAAGGAGATCATTATCATTATTGCTTTGTCCCGTATATTCGGCTTCGTTTATCTATCTTCCTTGCCTACCTCTCTCAGTCCCAGTGGGCCAGACGCACGTAACGTGCCGTCTCGTCAATGAACTCGCGCCCCTGCCTCAGGCTACCGTCCATGTGCATGAACGGGTGCGGCACGCCGACGAAGCGCTTGACAATGACCTCGTTGCCGTTCTCCAGCAGCTTGCGCGCGTACGCCTCGCCCTCGTCGCGCAGCGGGTCCGCGCCCGCCGTGTAGATGACCGTCCGCGGCAGGCCCTCAAAGTTGGGCGCCTCTAGCAGGTTCTTGAACCAGCCCATCTCCGCCTTGGCCTTGGCCGCCGCCGCGGGGTCCTCGGGGAACTTGAAGCGGTTAAAGTACGCCAGGCGCGCCCAGTTGAGCGTCGGCGCGAACTCGTTCTCGCGCATCGACGCGTGCGGCGAGTCGGCCGGCGTCGCCGGCAGGTCGTCCACGACGGGGGTGCCGGCGGCCACGAGCCGCAGCGGGAGGTCCGCGTCGCGCGCGAGATGCGCGAGCGCGAGCGCGATGCACCCGCCGGCCGAGACGCCGCCGACGGAGATGCTGTCGGGCTTGATGTTGAGCTTGGCGGCGCCGTGCTTGTGCACGTACTGCAGCGCCGCCCAGCTGTCGGTGATTTGCGCCGGGTAGGGGTGCTCCGGGACGAGGCGGTAGGCGACGTCGACGACGGCCACCTTGGCCTGGTGGCAGATGTGCTTGCAAATGTGCGCCTCGGTGTCGAGGTCGCCGAGGCCCCAGCCGCCGCCGTGGAAGTCGACGTGGACGGGCCAGGGCCCCGGCGTGTCGGGCTCGTAGACGCGCAGGGTCAGCTCGGTGCCGTCGTCCAGGGCAAAGGTGGTGTCGTAGGTGCGCGCGGCCTCGGGGGCGGCGCCGGTGCCGTAGCTGTAGAGCTGGGAATAGTGCTTGCGCAGGACGGCGAGGTCAATGGGCCCGTTAGGCTTGTAGGCGACGTTGTCGTTGTAGAGCTTGACGAATACGGGGTCCAGCTTCCCCTCCATGGAGGGGTGGATGGGCTGGACGGGCTCGTGGGACTTTTCGGCCATGTTGAGGTGTGTCTGAGGCTGTTTCTGTGTGGAGGGTGAAGGTAAGTTTGTTGAGGAGCTCCAGGAGGAGAACCGGGGGCGGAATCGGGCGACGAGATATATATTAAGCCTCTGTCGTGAACGAGCCGGAAAAGCTGGCCGGGGCTTGAGCGGAAATGTTGGCGTAGCGGGGTTACTGAGCTTGCTGGTCTGCTCTGTCCCGCCGAGGAGAGGTCCGTCGTCTGTGCCCTCTTTTTCGTCTTCCGGCTCGCAACCTTTGCCGTCCCGGCCAGTGTTGACCTCCTTGAAGATCTGTACTAATGGAATTGCCTTTTACCTGAGCAGTTAGCGGGCAAGAACTTGATAATCTGCTCCGCGCGCACAACGCGACGGCGCGGTTGGCGGGCTTGCAGCGGGTTATGCCGCTAGAAACCCGCCGGCGACAGGCTTTGTCTCCAGCGCAACACCCGCTAAAGATTTGCCGCTAAAACTTCCACCATCGCCCCCCAATGACCCTCCTTCAGGGCCCAACCGCCATGTGGCAGAAGCCCCTCCAAAGTCCCTCCAACTCCTCTCGATGCGACGGGACTGCAGTGGGGGGTGGAACTGATGATGATGAGAGGTGCAGAACCGAACGGTAGACATCAGGGTGCGGATTCTCTCAAACTGATTCCTGTCCCTTTAAATCCATGTCTTTTGTTTGCTTCTTTTTCGTTTCAATTTTTTACGCAGCAGTCAGTAACAAGCCAACAACCCCAAAAACCCGCAACCGACCAACAGAAGCGGCTAGCCAAGCTACGTTCAGTAGTGGACAGCCCGTCTAACTGGTTGGCTTATCCAGCAACCTCTATTGCCATACGGGTACAAAACAGTTTCAGCCTCTATCAACTTTCATTCTCATCTCATCATGTCCGATTATTGATATTTGCTGACGCTATTACAACTAACAATTGACCCATGCCCGCAGACTCCGCCCGCTTAGCCTACATAGGTGCTAACAGGTTCGCCCCGTTTTGTTTGCTCGCCTCTCGCCGGCTGCCAAGCACCAGCCAGGGCCGTGAGAGGGACTGCCAACGCCCAATATTGTAGACTCGTCCGTGAAGCCGTCTGTGAGGCGGCTCCAGTGACTCGATTCCATCTTAACTACCTATTCATAGGTCTCCCCATCTTCGCATGAATTTTCACTCCTCTCTCCATGTATAAAACTCGATTCTGCCCCGCCAGTGCCCACGGACCCCAACGCCGCACCCGCTCGGAGCAAGCCACATTTCGACTACACAGGCACACCACCCAAAGCCGTTTGTCCCTCACCCCTCCTTTGTTTTTTTGTTCTTGTCCCTCTCGACCGCCATCTTCTCTTCTCCTCCTCCTCAATTGTGCAAGACTGTTGCTAGTTTGCAAACTGCCCGCGCACTATGGACAAGCCCGTCCTCATCATCGGCGCCGGCGTTGTTGGCTTGTCGCTGGCGCACGGCCTCAAAAAGGTAAACCATCACCCACCCTGTCAACCCGCCCGCCAAGGCTAATCGGAGATTCTTCATCTTCTCCGCAAAAAGCATGGAATCCCGTTTGAAATCTACGAACGCGACGAGCACATTGACGCGCGCCCGCACGGCTGGGCCATCACCCTCCACTGGGCGCTGCCCTTCCTGGAGGAGCTCCTCGACCCGGACACCATGCGCGGCCTCAACGGCGTCCAGGTCGACCCCAGCGTCGGCCGCAACGACACGGGCAACTTCGTCTTCCTCAACCTCGAGACCCTCGAGCCCAAGTTCCACATCCCGCCCAACCGCCGCCGCCGCGTGAACCGCGAGAAGCTGCGCAAGTTGCTGCTGCAGGGCGTCGCCGAGCACGTCCGCTGGGGCAAGCGCCTCGACGCCATCGACGTCGCCGCCTCCGACAACGGCGGCGTCCGCGCCTCCTTCTCGGACGGCACATCGGCGGACGGCAGCATCCTCGTCGGCATCGAGGGCTCCGGCTCGCGCACGCGCAAGTTCCTGCTCCCCGACGCCTACCGCAACTACCAGCTGCCCGCGCGACTGCTCGGCGCCACGCTCACGCTGTCCGCCGCCGACGCCGAGCCGCTGCTGCGCATCGACCCGCTGCTCTTCCAGGGCTGCCACCCGACCACCGGCAACTACCTGTGGATCTCGCTGCTCGACAGCCCCGAGATCAACGGCACGCTCGGCGGCGGGCCGGACCGCGAGACGTACAGCTTCCAGGTGATCCAGTCGTGGCTCGCGCGCACGCCCG